AGCGTCTATACTGCTCATCTTATACCGCTGACTGGTCATGTACGCGGGATCCATGAACGACTCACAGACGCCGAGAAACGTCGAGCTGGATCGCGTAGCGCCGTGACAGCAGATCACGACACCCCACGCTATCACTGCGCATCCCAGAGTCTGGAAACCTCTGAAGCAGCATACTTGCCGGGTAGCAGAAACCCAGATAGCCCAGGTAGAAGCTGCTGCCCACCCACGAATATGTTCGGGAACTCATATTGAGGTCTGTCAGAATACACATCATAGGCAAAATGTACCAGTCGATTTTTCTCACAACTTCTCAAACTCTGGATCTAACCGGGATTTTTACGACTCGCCAGCTTTCTCAGAAACCATGAGGATATCACGTCAGTGATCTATTCCTAGAACCTTGTATTCTTGAAACTAAGTAGCTTACAACTGACAGTGGAGAGAAGTCGACTCCATCGTTTTTGGACTTTAAGATATAATGAGAATCTTGCCAAGGTATCATATGATTCGATGAGATGATGCAAATATCAGGGATCTCCGACTGCTCAGAGTAGTCTACTTCCTTCTCGCTCATGTCGAGTACCGGAAAAATGGATTCTCCTTATCGGTCAGGTCCGCAAACTCGATGTTCTCTATCCTGCCTGCCTCCTCTGCAATTTCAGGATGCTCTCTAAGCATCTTTTCGTTTTTGCGGTTTCTGCGTTCATACTCCCACCAGATCAGGAGCAAGAAGACCAGACCGGCGGAGTAGGAGACCACAATGGCGACTTTCCCCCCGTAATAGCTAGGTGCCTGAGAGTCGATAAAGGTTTGGGGGCCAATGATCATTCCAGCACAGTAGCCAATCAGGAAGATTGCGTCCATCACAGCTTTTTTTGTGGTACCTCCCGTGTTACTTGAAAAGCACGACAGGCATTGCACCATACTAATGGGGTTTAACTCCTGAAGATAAAACCCTGCCAGGCCCACTTTGTTGTTCCCGTTGGGCCATGCGAGCATACATGCAGCCGCAATACAGATCACAGTGGAAAACACCGAAATGAACATACGGGAGTTCCACACTTTCTGACAGCTCCAGACAAATAACGGATTGCCAAGGAACCCAATTGCACCTGAGGGCAGGTTCATGAGCATCGACTTCGAAACGCTGAATTCAAAGTCGTCGTTCAGTAAAATGGAACCAAAGGATCCCATGGAACCGGACGGAATGTCCGAGGAAACGCCATACCAGAAGTAGTACCAGGTGACCACGTCCGTCAGCGCCTCCTTAATCTGATGCATTTTGATCTGCTTCGAGCCAAATCCTTGCTGGTTTCCTCTCAGCCTCTCAACGAGCCTTGCCTTCTCTTCGTCATCGAGAAACCACGCCTTCGACGGGTCATCTGGAACATAGAGAACAAAAGCAATGCCAATCACCATCGAAACCGCTCCTATGATAAACAAGTTCAGTCTCCATGGCTCTACCTTGTATGAATCCGCGTACTTGACCATGGCATAACCGATCAGTTCAATTTAGTTGCGGCCCCACTGCAAAACCAAGTAGTACTTCTCAGGAACTGCTCATCTGCTTTGTAGTACTGACCGGTGATCATAACCATGGCAGGGTTTATCGATGACTCAAGCATTCCCAGAAGTACCATCAAAGCGGCGTATGACCTACACGCGTCGTGAAGAATTAGGATCAGCGACCAGAGGACAAATGTGCAGTCTTGACCAAGGGAGACCTCTGCAGCAGCATCCTAGGAAAATGCGGAGGTCGTCCATGAATACATATCCCTTCCATTTTTAGATCCTCTTTGATCCCTAAAATGGCTGAGGTGCTCAATGCAGACTTGTCCATGTACAGACCAGAACCAGAAGCAAAAGAAAGCCTATTTCAGTACTGTAATCTTTCCATCCACCTTCTGTGCCACAGCCAGTTTCATGGCAAGGTCTACATCAGTTGTGATCTCAACGTTGTGACCATTCGCACTTGTGATGGTGGCTATGACCTCATGTGTGTTCAGCTCATGGGAGAATCTGCTCACCTGTCCCGTGGTCACTGCCACGTCTTTCTCAGAACCCATGATGGTAACGGAAAAACTTGGCACCTTATATCGGCCGCATATGGGTGACAGCTTTTGCTTATCTTGAATTATGCATGCATACCGTGCTGATTTTTTAACGGACACCTTGAGCCTGGTAAATCATTGTCGCCACTCGTAGCTGTTACTGAAGCTTCATCTGAGGTCTGGCACCTCTCTACTTCCCTGAGTCACCTGTCCAAGCACCAGTTATCGGAAACGAGGTTGAAAAATTGTACCTTTTCGGAGTGCATGCGACTTTCCCATATGGGTAAATTTCTTCTTTCAGAAACTAATCAGATCAAAGATTTGCAGTCCTGTAGTCCAGAAATGCAAGAGTTGGAACGGGACTTGTGAAGAGATGGAGACGCCTCGATCAAATTTATTCAGCGAGTATTACCTCTAGTGCTAATTCATCTACTGCTTCAATGAAACGGTTAGATAGAATTTGAGAGCAAGCGTCTGACTGACATTATAAATAATAAGAGACGAGATGATGCTAAGTCACAAACAGATCCCCGTGCTCAAGCTCAGAGACACTTCTGACGCCATTTGGCTGGAGAAGTCTCTCTCCCATATACCTCATGATGATAGCGAACGGGGCAATCTCCCATCCAATGCTATATTGTCTTTCTACAAGCAGCCAGCTGGTACAAGCCAGCCTTAAAGGTAAGATGCCGCAGAGTTCTGCTCGCTATCTGCTTCCATCTGGTTCTTATTGCGAGCAATTTAGAGCACTCTGCAAGTTTCCCACAGTCCCACACGAAACTGGCACGTGCTTGTACTTGCTCGTCTCTACTCCAACACCCCAGTATTCGTCGGTGTCATCCGGTTTGCCAAATCCGCCTCCCCCCGGGGTCAACACCTTCACGATGTCTCCTTGTCGAATTGCAATCTCAGCAAGTGACGGCAGCTGGATCCACTGAATCACGCCGTTGCCTCGATTTCTTCCCAGATAGTTCTCTCCCTTCTTTCCGTTCTCTCCTCCGTAAACACCCCACGGCGCAAAAACGCGACGTTGCGTAACCAGAGACACGTGCACTGGGGAGCTGAACTGAATCTCTCGAATGAGACCGTTGCCGCCGTTCCATTTGCCGCGTCCACCACTGTTTTCGCGAATACAGTACTGGCGCAGGAGACAGGGATACCGTTGCTCAAGTATTTCTGGGTCCGTGATCTTGGTGTTGGTCATGTTGGTCTGCGTTCCCGAAAATCCGTGGAACCCAGTCCGAATGCCGTCTTTATCGACTATACCAGCGCAGTTGCCTTGTCCAATCGTTTCGGTGTATCCAAACCCCTTAATGAGCTCACCCTTTTCGTTTTCACCACCTGATCCGAAGTTGAGACCGTTCATGCATCCTCCCGTGGCTGAGGTTGCACCGAACGCCTTGAAGAGACAATCGGTAACCCTTTGAGATGTCATACCATTACCGGCACAAACAGCAGCGAATTTACTTGGGTTGATTAGGGAGTTTTCCGGAATGATAAGTGTGCACGGGTCCAAGCAGCCTTGATTCAGCGGAATATCAAGATTAACCAGACATCTAAGAACATAAATGACTGCAGATGCCGTGACGGACTTTGGGGCGTTCAAGTTGCTGTAGGATTCAAGGGATGTTCCCGTGAAATCAAACACCGCGGACCCGTCTTGTGGGTTGATGTCAATTCTGACCTGCACTTTTGTTCCATCGTCAAGGTAATCCACCGCAGTTAAGGGCAGTCGGTCAGCATTCTCGCTTGCAAACTTCATTAAAAACTTCCGAACTCCCATTTCAGCAGTCTTTTTGACATTTCGCATGTAAAATAGAACTGTCTCGCTTCCGTACTCGTTGAACAGCTCCTTCAAAAGATTAATGCCTCTTTGATTGGATGCAATTTGAGCTTTTAAGTCTGAAATGTTATCATCAATGTTTCTAGTTCCGGAAACGCCATACTTTCTAGGTGCCACGTTGAAGTGATAGTCGAGTCCTTCGTAATCCAGTTTTCCCTTTTCCACAATCTTCCATGTTTCAATGTTGACGCCTTCCTCGTAGATCTCTCTGGCGTAGGACGATGATGAGCCAGGAGAGGAACCACCAATCTCCGAATGGTGTGCTCTAGCCGCAACCACAAACTGAATTCTGTTCTGGTAAAACACTGGAGAAATCACTGTAATATCAGGAAGGTGAGTTCCTCCGACGCTAGGAGAGTTTGTGCAGAGAATGTCGCCTTCGTGAAGGTCATTCTTCCAATACTCAAGCTGATACTTGATAGCGCTGGACATCGAGCCAAGATGGACCGGCACATTGGGAGCATTCGCTGTCAAGTTTCCCTCATTGTCAAATAGAGCGCAGGAGAAATCCAATCTTTCTTTGATGTTGGCACTCACAGCGATTTTTTGTAACGTGCGCGCCATGTCCTCTGCAATGGACATGAATCTATTGCTGAAAATTGAAAGCTGGATAGGATCGATATAGTCCGTGCTGATTTGGATTTTAGATTCCACATTAACGTCCAAGACAACATGTCTCGGAAGAATGGTGGCAGAAGCATCGGGGGTCACCACTATGGTTTGCGTCTCATCTAGAATAAGTGCTGGGCCAGCCACCACAGTTCCAGGAGCTAGTTTCTCCAAAAGGTAAACCTTGGAGTCAAGAACGCCTTCGTCAAAAACAATAGCAGTGGTTTTCTCTTCAACTGCTGATTTAACAATAACTTTTTCCACTGAGTCGTAGTCTTTATACGGAGACCTTTCATTGGATTCATTGGACGTATTACCAGTGCTCCTGACTCTAACATCAGTAATTAGAACAGGCTTGTCGTAATCATTAAAAGCAAACTCCCTTTCGTGTGTCTTATAAAACACGGACAGAAAATCGTCGTCAGCTGGCCGTGCAACCATGATTTTGGTATCTGAGCCCTTATAGCCCATGTTGAGGTAAACAGTCGAGGACACAGTCGCTGGATCAACACCTTGGGCTTCCAGCTCCATGAGAGCTTTTTTCTTCAACTTGTCTGCCTCTCTTATCAACTCATTTCTGGTGAAATCAGAGTATACTTTTGCACAAGGAATCTGCTGCTCGTTGACCACATCTGCCAAAAATATACCGTACGCGGATAAGATTGAAGAGTGCCTATGAATAAGCACCTTCTTGATCTTCAGAATTTTTGCAATTGACGCTGCGTGTTGCCCTCCAGCACCACCAAAAGAGGCCATAGAATGAGCAGATGCGTCGTGCCCCTTGGCTTCAGTCAGCTCTCTAATTGGCTTTGCCATTTGATAGTTGGCGACTTTCAAGAATCCAAGCGCAATTTCATAAGCAGTCTTGGGAAAGCCTGGATTGTCTCTATTGATAGTGTGAGCTAGCTGCTCAAACTTCTTTTTGGTGATGGCATAGTCGAGAGGTTCATTCTCGCCCGGTCCAAAAATCTTGGGGAAAAATTCAGGCAAAATTCTTCCTGTGAATAGGTTAGCGTCAGTCACCGTCAAAGGTCCACCTTTCTTGTAGCATGCGGGACCCGGATGAGCAGAAGCAGATTCTGGTCCAACCTTGAACACACCATTGACGTATTCAAGGATGGAACCGCCTCCAGCTGCAACAGTGTTGATATCCAGCTGTGGAGCAGCAATGTTGATCCCAGCAGTAATAGACTCAAAGGAGAATTCAAACTCGCCAGCGTATCTCGAGACATCTGTTGAAGTTCCACCCATATCAAATCCAATCACAGGAATTTTGTTGTCGCGGTCGTAACATGTCTTCGCCTCACCAACAACGCCTCCAGCTGGGCCTGAAAGCAACGAACGGAGTCCTGAAAAGTTTCTCCAGGAGCACAGCCCACCATCAGATTGCATGAACTCGACTCTTGTGTGCTTCTCAAAGCCTGGCTCAAACCCAGCTAAGAAGCCGTCAATGTACTTCTTCACTATAGGAGTCAAATAGGCATCGACAACCGTTGACTGGCCTCTGGGAAGAGTTTTGATGACAGGTAGCAGTTCATGAGAAAGCGAAATGTTTCCAAATCCAAGACTTTTCGCAATCTCGCCAGCTTTTTTTTCGTGCTCTTGATAATTGTAACCATGTATGAAGACAATGGCAAGGGAATTTATTCCTTGTTCTTTCAATTTCAGAAGATCACAAGTCAATTTCTCAGTGTCCAAAGGCTTGATAATTTCAAACACTTCTTTCGTTTTACCCTCAACGTATCTTTTACTGTCCAACAGATCGCGTGCATCATAGCCAGTTGGGTCAACCAAGAATGCTGGCATAGTGACACGCTCATCTGCTTCAACAACCTTTTCGAAAAGAACACCAGGTTTCACAATGTTAAGCGCAAACAGGTCAGGTCTCGACTGGTCTCCAATATGAAGCAGATCTTTGAAACCCTTGGTAGTCACTAAAGCGCATCTTGACCCTTTACGTTCCAGAAGGGCATTGGTGGCCACTGTGGTTCCAAGCCGAATAGATGAGATAGAGGAAGTATCAAGGAGTTGGTTTCTGGGTATAGATTTGCCAGAAGTTAGTTCCAGAACTCTTCTGATACTTTCAATGTTTGCGTCTTTGTAATTTGAAGGATCAACCGACAGAAGCTTGAACGTGCCTTCCTTTTTCCCGTACTTGTAGATCACGTCGGTGAAGGTTCCACCACGATCAATAGCAATACTGATACCTGATTCACTAACCGTCATGATGTAGATGCTGAAGAGCTAGAAATTATTCCTGTATGAGCTGGCCCGTTTAGTATATTTAAGCAGATAAGGCTGATATAGCTAAGATAAGAAGGCAGCTCGTGACGAGCGGAAAACAATGGCGCCGCGCGGGTTAATCGTTTTTTTTTCAGGGCAGGTCGAGACGAGCTAACGCGATCGTTGTAAACAAATTTCTTTTGGTTATTCAGATAACCGACTAACATTATCCAGTCGCTTTATCTTTTGCTTCCCCGGATCAACAATGGGTATTTTAAGTTGACAAATTGTCCTCCATCGCTAAACAACTATTCAGAATGACTTCGACCGATTTGCCTGAAAAAGATGCTTATTTAGCAGTTACCACTCAAAAATCAATTGTTGATGATCCTAGTGCAGACAAAGCTCTTCAATTTCTTGCTGAGCACGCTGGCAAGTTTGAAGAGCTTACTCCGGCCGAGGAAAAATGGGCGATTAGGAAGACCGATCTAATTTTGCTGCCAACACTCTTCTTCACTGCCACCATGGGTGCCGTTGACAAAGTCTCTCTTAGTACGGCCGCCATATTTGGATTCAAGACCGACAACAACCTTGTTGGACAGCAGTACTCCTGGCTGGGGTCTATCATTTTTATTGGTTCTCTTGTCGGGATGTGGCCGATGTCTTATCTATTGCAAAGGTTCAGAATCGGCAAAGTTATTGCTTGCTGCTCGATAATCTGGTCCGCGTCTACTCTTTTGCTATGTGCCTGCCATGAATTTATTGGCCTTGCTACGCTGCGCTGTCTGATGGGTCTTGTTGAGTGTGCGATCGTTCCCGGTTGCTCTTTGATGATTGCTGGGTTTTACCTGAAAACGGAGTCCCCGCACCGCACAGCATTCATTTTTATGTTTGCATCGTCAGTGATCAACGGAGCTCTCTCAGCTCTTGCCACAACCTTTGGCAGCGCAATACCTACTTGGAAGTACATCTACGTGCTGGTCGGTTCTATCTCGTTTGTGTGGTCCGTCGTTATCTTTTGGTTCCTACCAGACTCTCCAATCAACGCCAAATTTCTGACCGAGCGCGAGAAGGTGTTTATGGTTAAGCGTATTGCTGATAATGCCACTGGTGTTGAAAACAACATGTGGAAATGGGAGCAAGTCAAGGAGGCATTTTTAGACGTGCGAGTCTACTTGATTATGCTTTTCAACTTTGGCATCAACATTCCTAATGGTGGATTGAGCACTTACAACTCCATCATCATTAACAATTTAGGCTTCACTCCTGTCAAGTCTGCTCTCATGGGTATTCCTACAGGTGTGATCGCTTCTATTGCCACTTTCTTCTTCACCTGGCTTGGTGCCCGCTGGAAGAACAGAAGATGCTTGGTCTCCATTATTTCCTTGATTATTCCACTGATTGGGTCTATCATTCTCTACGCAGTTGACCAGACAAAGGTCGGCCCTCAACTCTTAGGACTCTACCTGATGTACTTCTATTTTGCACCATATGTTGTAATGATGTCCTGTGTTCAAGCAAACACTTCCGGAAGCACCAAGAAATCTGTCACATATGGCTTCAACTACCTTGGTTACTGTGGAGGAGCTATTACTGGCACACAGACGTTCAGGAGCAACCAGGCACCTAAGTACACTGGCGGATTCATTTCGATGATTGTGGCCTATTGTGTCTGCATACTATTGTCTGCTCTCTACTGGGTCACGTGTGCTATCATGAACCATACCAAGAGAAAGGCTCTTGAGAATATCCTGAAGACGCGCTGGACGTGTCCATCGAGGGTGTTGAGGACGAGAAGATGCTGGACTACACAGATAGACAGCAGCATCACTTTTTCTATACTACGTAGTTTTATGTACAGTTTCTTATTTCAACTTTATGCGGACATTGAAAATTTACAAATTTCTCAGCTCGTCTCGAGCTTCTTGTTTTTTAAATTCTTATCTTATCGGTACCACATTATTTCTCATCATAAAACTAAAAATATAAGAGGTGTCTTTGCTCGAATTTGACATCGTTTACATGACCAGCCCTAAATCCTCTGTTCTGATTGTTGGTGCTGGCACCTTTGGCCTTTCCACCGCTCTTCAACTACTCCGCAAAGGCCACAAAAATGTGACCCTCCTTGACCCGTACGCAATTCCCTCCCCGCTTGCTGCAGGCAATGACATCAATAAGATTTTCCAGTCAACAGTCAGTGACGAGTTTTACTCTGAGCTAGCTTTGGAGGCTTTAGAACTGTGGAGATCTGATCCTGTATACCAGCCAGCATTCCACGAAGTAGGCATAGTTTACGGTGCTACGGGAGATGCTGCTGTTGCTGAAATCAACCAACGCTACAGCCGTCTTAATTCCAAAGGAGAAGAAATCCAAAAATTGGAAACACCGGGAGATTTTGCAAAGTTAATTCAGTGGAAAGGAGATCTTGCAGATGACCTCAAATCTTTGGACCTTGAATCGAGATTCAAAAATTGGAAGGGGTATTTTCAAAAAAATAAATGTGGATGGACGTTTGCAGCATTGGCTCTGAATAATGCCTGGAAAGAATGTAAAGAGAAGGGGGCTCACTTTTTTCGGGATGCTGCTGAGGAATTGCTCATACAAGGGCCCAACTGTGTGGGGGTTCGCACATATTCGGGCGCAATATTGAAAGCTGATCGTGTCGTGATATGTGCTGGAGCAAACTCAACAAAATTACTCAACTACAGAGGCCAACTGCTGGCCAAATGTTGGACTGTGGGTCACATCAAGCTCACCTCGGACGAGGCTAAAGCATTGAAACACTCACCCGTTCTTTTGAACCTAGATGAAGGTTTCCTTTTTGAGCCTGACGAAAATGGAATCCTAAAGTTTTGCAACGAGTTTCCAGGATACATAAATCAAGATGGAACGGAAAATATATCAGGGCCACTTTATCGCGACCAAATCCCTGTCGAGGCTGAAAAGCAAATGAGAGGGTTTTTAAAGCAGGTTTTTCCCCAAATCAGCACGCGTCCCTTTGATGCCGCCAAGATTTGCTGGTGCACCGACACGCCTGATCGTCACTTCCTGATTTGTGAACACCCTGACTTGAACGGCCTCATTCTAGCAACGGGAGATTCCGGACAAGGATTCAAGTATATGCCTATAATTGGCCATTACATATCCGACCTTGTCATGAAAGGTGAGTCGGGATTACCAGAAGTCCATCGCAAAGCATGGAGGTGGAGACCAGAGTCAGCCGAGGGAAGAGATATTTACAACCTTCAGGGGCGGTTTGGCGGTTCAAACAGAGTTAAGGATCTCAGTGAGTTGAGCGATTGGACAAACTGATAAGCTGATTTATGCTAGACTCAATGTGCATGCTTTTTCTCGAATCATATCTCTCCAACGTATGTGGTCACACCCCAAATCTTTCTCCTTCCAAACGCTCGTAACAACGGAACACGCTGTTCGGACACTTCCAAGCTCTCTCGAATTCTGCAGAGTGGTGAATGCGTTCAGAACAAACCATCTATCTTCGTCTGCCACAGTGGATACAATGCCTATGACAAACAACGGCCACAGCAGAGACATGTAGATGTCGGGGAGGGACCTCATCAGCGTCACGATACGTTTAGAAATCTGCTGAGTATCCGCGTGTCTCTTATAGAATGATTTAGAGACCCTTCCGTTGTGCTGATAAAGAGCCTCCAAGTCAATTCTAGCAAACAAGTATATGATAGCCGTTAGCCGTTTTATCTCGGCAATAATTTCAATGTAGTGTACGTCCTCATCACTAACTTCTGGAGTTGATTCAAATTCCTGGCAGAGCTTTTGAATTTCTCGGTGCAGATGTTCGCGTCTGATCCAAACCTCTGACTCGATTGCATCGCGACTCGCTTGGGAGGTTTCCAGTTCTAGGTCCTCATAGCATTTACCGAGCATGGAAATTCGATGAATGATTGAAATCAGATACGCACTGCAACCAAGGACGAGATCGATTCGAGTATCGCCGTCGTTGCGAAGAGTTTCCAGGTGAGGGTCATCGAAGATGGGTTGCGGTAGTCTTGGAAGAGACATGGAAGGGCTCGAATGGTTTCCTCCGACCCAGGCTGTTTCGCCCATCACCTCGTGGCTGATAAAGTACCTGGTAAAAAATTTAGACAGCGGATTCTCGTTATTGCGCATTCTGGTTTCCTTCAGTAGCTCCTTTGCCTGTGCAAGGTGCGTAGTCCATTGAGCTCCAGACCCGCAGTTCGAGGAAATCTCCTTGAAACAGAGCATTATGATGGTCGCAAGAACTTCATCCAGGTTATGTATATCTCCAATGGCGTGCGGAAGTTCTCCTAGCACCTGCTTTGTGTAGATGTCGGATATTTCTTCAAACTCCTTTTTTCCCAAAAGAAACAGCTGGTATGCGCTAGCAGCTAAGACCGAGTTGAGAACCATTGCTGATCCTGCAGCCAGTGGAACTATTAGGTAAAGGTAAGGGTTTGTTTCCGGGTTCAGCTTGTACCGGAACGAGTCGATTGATTCTAATGGATGTGACGAAAGCTTGGATTTTTCTGGATAACACACACAGACGGGGCAAATGGAGTTGATGAAGTATAAAAGAAGCTCACGTTCTTGGGGATCCAGGTTAGCAAGCGATGACTTGTTCTTAGGTTCCAGCACAAACTCGCTAGGCGAGCCTATTGAATAGGGATACTCGAATTCCTGTAATGCCCCCAAAAGAAAAGCGTCTTCCGACGGTGTGGGAAAAGTGCTAGGAAACGAGTGTGATACCTGCGGGCTGCGAGGTTGTTTAGGAGTTTGGGCAGGTAAGCTCGCTATTTCGTCATTACGCTCCAAAATGTTGTTAAAGTCCTGTTTGGTAATATTAATGAATAAGGTTTTGGTGTTTTGCAAGGGTGGCCACGGTACTGGTTCTGCTGCTACGCGCTGACTAAGAGTTTGTTCATGATCATCGATCACGTTTTCGATCTGTTGCTGCTTAATCCTTTTGTACTGTTCAGACCGACCGAACGCGATCCCTCGCTCAATTGCATCCTGTTCCCAAACAACTCTCTGATTGTATGTGCAAGGTCTGTCTAATCGCGCGCAGTTATTGCATCGCGGATGGGTTTCTTGGGTTAGATCTCAAATCCATCACTTACCGTCACATTTCACCCGCCTCTGGCGACAAGTTAAGCAGCCCTTGCGGCTTCGCTTATCCCTAGGCATTTGGGATGTTTTGCGATAGAGACTTGTGGGGAAGAGATTAAGATAAAGATTATAACTTTTCTCAGCTCGTTTCGACCTTCCAAAATTTGCCCAGCATTTTGATAAAAGTTTCGCAGCCTTTATCTGTCCCTCCCGATTCAGGAAACTCCGCTACTCACGTGATAGGTCTTATCTCGGCACAATATTTTTCCTTCATGTCCATTACACAGCTCTTTCCTGACGCCATCACAGACGGCGAGGGAACCACTTACATACCGCTTAAAGGCTCAGAGTACGCAAACAGCAATAGCGAGCATTTGTTCACCGCGAAACACTACGATTGGCGCGACGATTTTGTCAACAACGGCTATGTCGTGATCAAAAACGCTATTCCGCGAGACCGCGCGCTGGAATACCAGAAAGAAGTGTTCCAGCTGGTAGCCACATTTGCCAGCGTTGACTTTGACAATCCCGCCTCTTGGACACCAGAAACCCTGCCCTCTGTGCCGGGCAATATCTACAGCGGCCACGGACTCAACCACGAAAAAGTGTTTTGGGACGCACGGCTTGAGCAAGGCGTTGTCGACACATTCGCGCATCTTTGGGGTACCGATCAGCTTCTTGTGTCCTACGACGGCTTCAATGTCACACTTCCCGTAGAGCGAACCATACAACCGTGGCCGCATTTCGACCAGTCGCCGTATAAAAAGGGCCTGCACTGTGCGCAAGGAATTATCTGTTTGAGCGACCACACACCTTCTGACGGCGGTCTAGTGGTCTACCGGCGCTCGCATCTTTTGTTTGAGGAGTTTTTCCAGACTTTTCCTGACTGGGAAAAAGACGACTACGTCGAGCTGACTCCTGAGCAGCTGGCGTGGTTCACAGAGCGCGGATGTGAGGAGTTCAAGATCTCGTGCGAGGCGGGCGACCTCATTATTTGGGACTCGCGGACGTGCCACTGGGGAAAACCTCCGACGGAAAAAAGTGAGCACGTTCGCACGGTCCTGTATGCATCGTATGCTCCGGCGCAATTTGCGTCGGCCGAGTTTCTGGAAAAACGTAGCAGGCTCTTCTACGCTGGTGAGGGAACCACGCACTGGACTCACACAAACCTGGCGTCGTATTCAGCACCTATTCCTGCGCTGGCCGACAGAAATACGCCCAGTAGTCCGCCAGAGCTTTCCGACAGGCTGCTGCGGCTGGCCGGTATAAAAAGTTACTAATTCCGCAATATGATTTTTTTTCTCCTTATCTAATGTCCAAAGAAAATACATCCGTCACGGTCGAGGAGGTCGCGGCCGTCGGCCACGGCGACCCTGTGCTGGCCCGCAAGCTGCGCCTTATCAATGATGCCATTGACGAGATTGGCTTCACGTGGTACCATTTCCAGCTATTCTGCATCGCTGGCTACGGCTACGCGGTGGACTCGCAGCTGGAGCTCATCCAGTCGTCGGTGCATTCGTACGTTGCGCTGCAGTTCGGCGCAGACTACCCCACAGATACCCAGACCACGTACGTGGGGTACGTTCTGGGCGCGCTTTTCTGGGGTTTTGGCGGCGACCTAATCGGCAGAAAGCTCGCGTTCAACACGTCGCTGATACTCGCAGCGCTGCTGGGCTTTGCTACCGGCGGCATGAACTCGTTTGCCACGTACTGCATTTTCAACGCGCTGGCCAACTTCTGTGCCGGCGGCAACCTCGTCATGGACGTCACCGTGTTCATGGAGTATGTGCCGTTCAAGTGGCAGTTTCTCAACACCATGATGGCTATGTGGTGGGGAATCGGACAGACGGTGAATAATCTTGTTTGCTGGGGGTTTCTGCCCAACTATAGCAGCGGCTGGCGGTACGTGTGGTACACCAACAGCGGGATTATTCTCTTTTGCGGCCTGCTACGGCTTTTTGTGCTGCGGCTGGACGAAACTCCGAAATTTCTGGTGTCGACCGGCCGCGACGACGAGGCCGTGCAAGCCCTGCAGAGAATTGCCCGCAAGTACAACCGTCCGTGCTCGCTCACGCTGGACCAGCTGCAGGCGTGCGGCGAGCTTTGCTCAGATTACTACTCGCCACAGCAGGGCTGGCAGCCGGCCAAAATGCTTGCTGCCGTGAAGGAACACGTGCGGATCCTGTACCAGAACAAGATCGTCGCCTACTCCACCACGTCGCTCATGCTCTCGTACCTGCTTGTTGGCTTCTCGTCCAGCATCTTCTACAATTTCCTCTACATCTACATCCAGTCGCACGGCGGCAACACGGCGGCGCCAAGCCACATCGTGTACAGAAACTCGACTCTGTCGTATATGACGGCGATTTTCGGGCCAATCTTCTCGGCAGTGCTCGTGAGAGCTTTCGGCAGACGCTACACCATGCTGTTTGGCGGCGTGGCCACCATGGCCATCATGTTTGGGTACACGACCGTGCGCACGCCGGCCGGCGACGCTGGCTTTTCGTCTGCTACCAATTTCTTCATGAACGTGTACTACGGCTGTCTCTACGCGTACGCGACAGAGATCTTTCCGGCACAGGCGCGCGGCACAGGAATGGGGCTGGCGTCTGTCCTGGGCGCCATCGGGGGTGCCCTGTCCCCTGTGGCCTACCATTTCGGCGAGAGTTCTGGCACCTCAGTTCCTATCTGGCTGGCGGGCGCGCTTTTTGGCGTGCTTGGCATTTTGGCGGCGTTTTACCCATTTGAGCCTTCTGGCAAGGGCCTGAACCTGGTGCGGCTAGGAAATAGAAGTGAGGTAATTTAAAGCTTAATACAGCAATTAAATTTCGGAGTTCGGGGCAGATGCAAAGAAGCTTTCATGCACCGTCAGAAATTATAGCAAGTGCTACCACATGATGTCTTTTTCCGTTTAACGCCTGAAATGGCGGACTTAAAAGTCTAAAGCCCAGTAGCTAAATCTCCCGGGCCCTATATAAGGTCCTGTTCTCCACTGATCCTCTCTATCATGCCACCTAAGTTCAACTCGTTCAAGTGGGACACGATTCCGCAAGAACTCTACACTCGGTTGGGAAAGTCCGGTCTCCAAATCTCCAGAATCGTCCTGGGATGTATGTCCTACGGCCGCAAGTCGTGGTTCGACTATGTGCTGGAAGACGAGGACGAGGTGTTTGAGATCATGAAGAAAGCTTACGACAGCGGAATTCGCACCTTTGACACCTCCTGCAACTACTCCAACGGCTACTCTGAGATTCTTGTTGGAAAATTCCTCAAGAAATACAACATCGACAGACGCACGGTCGTTATCTTGAGCAAGTGTTTCTTCCCTCCTAACGAGTCCGATCCAGACACAAACATCCTCATCCCCGGAACGGCCGAGGGTTCGGAGTACATCAATCGAATCGGGCTTTCCAGAACCAATATTCTGGACTCTGTGGATAAAAGTATCGAGAGACTCGGCACCCACATCGACCTGCTACAGGTGCATCGGTTCGACGTGAACACCCCGATCGAGGAGACAATGGAGGCTTTGCACGATGTCGTCAAGTCTGGCAAAGCAAAGTACATCGGAGCCTCTATGATGAGAACGTACCAGTTTGTTGAGATGCAGAACGTTGCCGAAAAGCACGGCTGGACCAAGTTTATCTCCATGCAGAGCTACTACTCCCTGTTCTACAGAGAGGAGGAAGACGAGATGATCGCGTACTGCAAGAAAACAGGAGTTGGCCTTATTCCGTTCTCGACGCTCGCCGCAGGCGTGTTGGCCAGACCGTACGATAAGATGTTTAACACTACGACTCGATCCAGCGCGGCATTTTCGGCTAGGATGTTCAGATTGAACGAAGTCACCGACAAGGACAAGCTGCTGCTTTCCCGAGTCGAGGAGCTGGCTAACAAACACGGGGTGAAAATGGCCACTGTGGCCATAGCCTGGTGTCTGGCCAAGGATCACAATCCTATTCTGGGGCTCAACAAGGTCGAGAGAGTCGACGACGCATTAGCCGCTCTCAAGCTGAAACTGACCGATGACGAGATCGCGTACCTTGAGGAGCCCGACGTTTCCCGGAAGCTACCTAACTTGTACCGCTAAAATCAAAACTAAATTATAAATCCAATTAATATTTAATCAATATATTTAAATAACGTATATTTTTAGCTCCACAGCAGAGAAAGAAATTTATATATGCCCTTTGGAGGAACGTCGTTCTCCGGTCTGGTCTTGTAGTCTTCCATCAGGGCTGGAATGATGATGTCCTTGAGGTCGATCTGCGGAGTGCGTCTGGTGATTTTCCAGGCGAGGTAGAAAATCACAAACAGCACTGGGGAGCAGTACGCAGACACAAACGTGGACGTTTGCCAGTTTCCGTGGAGAAAGGTGGTGAAACCGCCAGTCACCAGAAGAATGACCGATGCGATAAGCGAGATCCATGCTCCGGCAGGCGCGATTCTGTTCGTGTACGGAAGATCGGATCTCTTGTATCCTTGGACTTTGAGTGCCTTGTTCATTCTGATGTGGCAGATGGAAATAAGAATCCAGCCCAGCAGCAGGTTCGACGAGGTGATGTTCTGGAACCAGCTGAACACTGTGGCTGCCGTGCTGTCGATGCTCATATAGGACAGCGCCAGGAACAGCAAAGCCAGGGCGACACCCACAAACGGAACGTTGAGTCTCTTGTTGGTCTTCAAGAAAATTTGGGGTGCCTGCTTTTTCGCAGCAAGCGAGAACAGGACCCTGGCAGAACTGGTGATACCGGCGTTGGCCTCAGACCACGCAGAGGTGAGGGTGAGGGCGTTGACCACGTGGGGAAGCACCTTGATTCCGCCTCTTTCGAACGCAACCACGAACGGCGAGTGAGCTGCCGTTCCGTCGCTCACGGCGATCTTTTTGTCGTTGTATGGCACGATCAGGCTCAACACGAAGACTGCCACCATGTACAGAGAGACGACTCTGTACAGGATTCGTTTGGCGGCGCGAGGGATGTTTGTGCGCGGGTTTTTGGTCTCACCAGCCAAAAGCGCAATGCCCTGGACTCCACCATACGAATACACAACCGACGACAGAGCAGCCCAGAAACCAATGAACTTTCCTATGTTGCCGGTCTTGACAAACTCTGCAAACGGGCCAGGGTCTTTCCAGTAGTGGAAGCCCAGTCTTTCCTGGCCCTTGACTCCTCCCAAGTCCAGCACTAGACCAGCTAGCACGAGCATAGCAATGAGAGCGATTTTCAGCAGCGCAAACACAAACTCGACTTCTCCGTATATTCTGATCGAAAACAGGTTGGTGGCGGCAATGGGAACTGCCAGAACACTGATCCACACAGCAGGACTGAGGTTGCTCCAGTACTGGATGATGAGGGCTGCGGAAACAAGGCCTCCCGGAAGAAGGTGCTGCCAGAGCGAAAGGTAGCCATACGCAAAGCCGACGGCCTCGTCAATGAAGATCTCGGAGTGTCTGATGGTGGATCCCGTCAGCGGAGCCAGAGCTGCCACCTCGGCAAAGGCGATCTGGTTCAGACCCACGATGGTTCCAATAAGGGCGTACGCAATGAGGATACCGACGGGCCCTGTTTTGGCAAGTGTTCCTCCACTGCTGAGAAATAAGCCTGTGCCAAAAACACTCACCAGAGCAATCATGCCGATGTGTCTGTCTTTCAGGGTCCTTTTCAAGTGCGTGTCGTCGACCTCGAAAAGCTCACTGGCCGAGTCTTGAGGCCCGATGCTGACGGTCTCGAGGTTGGCAACAGATTTTCTGTCTTCTTCGCTGTTGTCGAAGTTGGCTTTGGACATGATGGGTAGAGACACAAGCCGTCTGAGCTGACCAATTTATAATCTCAGGGAAGTGTCACAGCCATGGATCCACAACAGCCACATCTTCGACGCAGATTTTTTTGCAGCATCCAAACGGCATTTTTTTGACAGGGTTTCGGTAGGAAGAGCTATTCACAGACGGACGGTCCCCTCTAGGGAGACATGGCCTGATTGTCCTCGTGCCGAACCGTCTTGGTGTTAGATCCTCCTCGAAGCCGTCCCTCGTCCCTGTCCGTCGCTCAAATTTACTGGTGTGGCTACGGAACGCCGTTTGCAGCCGCTGCCCCATCTTCATTCTGTGCTAAATGGCAACTGGGGCGCGATTATATCACGACTCGTTGATTTATCCAGCTTCGTATCCTCCTGCATACGCGCATGCACTGCCCGACAAACGCTGAAAAATTCTGTGAAATTTATTCTCGAGCCAGCGAAAATGACCCAGGACCAGCTCGAGCCGGTCAGGCCATGGCATGTTCTGCACAGAGAAAAACACGTCGTCTACCTCTGCGGTAAAGGAACACAACACAGCAAGGCCCCGCTGCTGCTGAACACCATGTTCGCGGCCAAAGGTCTAGATTGGGAGTACCGGCTCCTCGACACAGACGACGCCGAGGCCTTTGGCAAGATGCTCGCCTCGGGAAATATGATCGGCTGTGCGGTCACTATGCCCAACAAGGTGACTTTCAGCTCGCTCGTGGACCAGCTGACCGAGGACGCCAGAGTTGTCGGATCGATCAACACTGTTTTCGCGCGAAAAAATTCCGGAACCGGCCAAGTAGTGTATGTGGGCGCCAACACGGACATCATCGGGGTCAGAGACTCGTTCCTGTTCAACGAGACTGCAAGAACAAAGTGTCAGGAACTGCGGCCCGGTCTCGTGTATGGCGCCGGCGGAGCCTGTCGAGCGGCAATATATGCGCTCCACACGTATCTCGGGTGCCCCAGAATTTACGTCATCAACAGATTTGCTCACGAGGTGGAAACTGTGGCTAAGAGTATGAAGGAGAACGGATTTGCAGGTGAAATTGTCCATCTGAGCACTCCGCAAGAGGCGCGTCGCGTAGAGTTGCCAAAATTCATAGTCTTGGCGGTGCCGAACGTCAAGCCTCAGACAGCCGAGGAGAAACTGGCCAAGGCCACACTGGACGTTTTCATCGAGTCCGGCAAAGGATCCGTGCTGGAGATGTGCTACCACCCAATCATCCGGACCCTGTTGTACGAGGAGTTTGAGAAACAGGGCTGGAACGTCATTCCAGGCTGGGAAGCCGTGATATACCAGGGCGCCGCACAATTCGGCTACTGGACAGGAATACCTATGGAGGAAACTCCTGTCGAGCACGCCTCGCAGACTCTCCGTAAAAATCTAGAAAATGTTTAGTCGTTAAATACATTATGCGCTGATAGATGATGATTTGGTGATGTCGGTAGGGAGCACCTCGACGTCGGACTCCTCGACACCTTCGATTTTTCGTTGCTCGATCACAGACATGGCGTACTCGCGGGCTCTCCACGCAGGCACTCCGGGAGTGAACAGCAGTCCGACATCTTCGACAGGAACGTTCGACGTCTCCGGGTAGAAAAGGTAGAAGATGATGAGCGTTGCAACGACTCCCGAGCCAAAGAAAAAGAACACTCCGTATGCGTGCATGCTGTTCACCATGTTCCCTGTGAATCTGGCGAAGATGAATGCCCAAAACCAGTTGGAAGTGGCCGCACACGCCTGAGCAAAAGTCCTCACGCTCTGGTCAAAAAGCTCTGACGAGTACACCCACGGGATTCCAGACACCGAGATCGAGTACGCAATACACCAGATGTAGAACATGGCCATCGTGGCCTTTCCGCCGGCGTCCATGCCTGCATGAGAGGTCGGATCTGCGATCTTGATGTAAGCTCCGATGAAGAAGAGACAGAAAATGCAGATCGGACAGCCGATGAACATCGACTGTCGACGGCCGAGCGGGTCGATCAGGAAGAAAGCCCAGAACGTCGTCGCCACACCTTTCAGCACGCCAAAGAGACCGGTCGACAGCAGCGCCGACGAGGTGCTGCTGGCACCTATAGCACTGAACAGCGTAGGGCTGTAGTAATTCACCGCGTTGATACCGGACGTGTTCTGCAGTATGAACGTGCTTGTGGAAAGCAGCAGTCTGAACCTGAGGTTTTTGTTTGTGAACATTGTTTTTATCGGTGCGAGAAGACCGTCTCCAACCTTTTTTTCTGCCTCCTGTGCCTCGGCGAGCAGATTGCCCGTCTCGTACTTGAGGTATTCATCGTTCGGTGGCAGTTTCCGGAGATATGACAACGCTTCAATCCCCTTTTCTATCTTGTGTTTTTGGAAGTACCATCTAGGAGTCTCCACGATGAAGGCCAGTCCAATCATAAATATTCCTGCAGGAATCAATTGCACGGCAATAGGAACCCGCCATTTTTGGTCACCGTGCAGATGCTTATTTGTTCCGTAGTTGATGAAGTATCCCGCAATACCACCTACCTGCCACGAAAGCTCATAGAGTCCAACGAGACGGCCTCTGATGCTCGGCGGTGCGATCTCCGCAGTGTACATTGGAGCAATGTTGCTGATGCCTCCTATGCCGACGCCCAGGATGGTTCGTCCGGCGTACAGCGGCGCAAGCCCCGTTGTGCCGTTCGCGCCCAGCTGGATGGCAGATCCCATGATGATTAGGATCGAGGCGATAATAAGACCGATTTTTCGTCCTCGGTAGAAGTTCACGGGATATATGAGCAGAGACCCAAAAAAGGCGCCGACATGGAACAGGGAGATGATGTTGGCCTTGACGGTTGTCACTGTGGACTGGGACATCGACTCGAAGCCGAACTCCTCCTGGAACGAGTCCAAGACAATAGTCCCGCTGATAAATCCTGAGTCATATCCACAGAGAACAGCGGCCCACGACGCGAAGATCGCGCAGCGGTACAGCCTGTAATTGTAGATGCTCTGGGGAATCACCACGCCCTCTTTCCTCTTCTCGCCTTTTCGTCTGAACTGTTTCGCGTCGAACATGGCGAGAATCTTTGGACAAATAAAATTTGTCTTGTCTGAAAAGTTCCTCGGGAGCCACAAGGAAGAAGGCGGTCGATTGAGAATAGTACCAGATTATGGACGATTACGTACGCGAGCGTATACGGTAGTTACAGACGGCCAGCTGGTCGCTTTGGCGGCTGAGGACGCCAAATCGCTACGCTAGCTCGAGATCTGGAGCTCCGTTACCGGCGGCACTTGCAGCGTGTGGGGAAAAATTTTCAGCACATCCGTGCACAGACAAGAGCACGGTGCAAAGGAACGAGACGTTATTAATTATAGTAGCTCTGTCTGCTTGGCAATTGCCGTTTCCATAGCGCTGAGAAAGGCTGGAACCAAATCTGGGACCTGGTGTCGTGACAAAGATGCTGATAATTGTTTTGCAGTCTAATTAGTGAGTTGACCATGTGGTGTATTGACTGGAATCTGCACCCGGTGCATATGGCAGAATTCGTATGCCGTTTGCGTGTTGGCTGCTCCAATCTCGGCAGACATTTGATCTCGGCTCCTGATATTGCAAGGCTGAGTGGGGGCGATATAGTACTTTGGCCTCGAAATGCTCAGCTGATTCTACCAGAGACACATCATTGTAAGGTGAGGCTTTGCAGTTGTAATCTGTAAATTGCGCAAAACGAAATTTATTTTTTGCGTATTACAGGAGTCAGCGAAGATTATCTGATAGATCACAGCGCACTGTAGCCTGCTTTGATCGCACAACCAATCTGGACGTACACCTGCAGACATTTACCCGTTGTGCTGGGGCGGGTGAAATGCGACCAAAGTGGAAGCAGAAGTTCAACTAGAAGGTGCAGCTGGCCAGATGGACCATGAGACTACGCTATTATGATTATTTTGCTCATTTCTCCTCGGAGCGGCCGAGAAAAGCATGGTGAAATTTCCGCCGAACTTTTTTTGCTGGCGTCGCCGTACGATTTTATTCGCTAACTTGCATATCTTTTCCATCTAAGCATCAGTATTAGGAGGCCGTCCAAGCGCACAACCAGATGGGACACTGATGCAGGCAGAATTTCCCCGTTATTGCACATAACCCCTGTGCAATTGTAACTTGTTTTTGACGCGCGAGCTATGAAGTCGGGGCTGTAAATCGCTGTGCTTGTGTTTTCCAAGCACGGCGATCAGTGGCCGAAACAATAAAACGAAACTCGTTTCTTTTTGTGAGACCCTGAAGTGCAACAAATGGAGCAGTACGGGGCAAGAAATTTCTCAAGTCCTGTGGCAATTGTCTAGGAGGACCAATGGTGTGCTCCTGCTGCAACTCTTGAATGGACGCATGCGACAGCCCAACAACATCACGTTAGACCTCAAACCCAAATTATCGTAAAGATCAACCTGTATGCATGTCATATGTACGCACAAAAGTGCTTAGAAAATATCGGAACTTGTACGTTTCCATCCCAAGTGAGAACTTTTCGTGCTTGGCAGATGGCTATAAAAAGACGGGAGTATCGAGCCTTCCCCTTCAACCATGGCAGCACCATCCACCGACTCGCAAGAAAAAGCTAGCAAGGCTAGCAAGGCCAGCTCCGAGCTCGACCCTGAAACCGTCGAGCTGAGCAGGTCTGCCTCGGAGACCTCGAACACGCCCAGGGGCAAGAAGCTCATCCTTGCCGCCTACTTTGTGCTTGTTTTCGCAGCTTTTGTTGAGACCTTTGCCGGCGACTCCACGTCGGGTCTGGATTCCTATGCCACGTCCAATTTCAACGCCCATGCGCTGATTTCCACCGCCGCCGTCGTCTACAAGATCACCGCAATTATCTCGTACCCTATTATGGCCAAGCTCAACGACCTTTTCGGCCGCAGTGAGGGTTTCGGCTTTTCTGTCCTGGTGTACACCATGGCCTACGTTCTTTACGCCGCATGCCAGAACGTGCAGACTTACGTCTGTGCAGAGATCCTGTACGCTGTTGGAAAAATCGGGTACCGGGTGTTCCAGCAGGTGTTCATCGCCGACACGTCTTCGCTCATCAACCGTGGTCTCATGTCGCAGCTTCCTGACGCCATTGCCGCCGTGCCTTCTCTTTACGTCGGATCCGTCATCCAGGACGCCTTTATCGAGCACTCCACCTGGAGATGGGGCTACGGTATGTGGGCCATTGTCATGTTTGTGTCCTGTCTCGTTCTGACCACCATGATGTACATTGTCGACCGCAAGACCAAATCCACCGGCCACGAGAAGATCATCAAGTCGCTCCAGGACCTGCCCGAAGGAAACTTCTTCAAAAAGGCCGGATACTACCTGTTTGTCAGACTGGATATCTTTGGAGGCATTCTGATGGCCGTTGGACTCGTGCTATTTTTCATTCCACTCACATTGACCGGAACGTCCAGTCCGTACAAATGGCACGAAGCTAAACTCATCGCGCTGCTGGTTGTCGGGTTCGTCATTTTCTGTCTGTTCTTGCTGTGGAACACCAAGTTTGCCAAGTTTCCGTTTGTGCAACACCAGGCTTTGCTGCAAAGAACCACCTTGCTTGCCTGCGTCATTGTTGCCCTGGACTGGTGCGAGAACTCTGCCTTCTCCACGTATATGAAGACCGTGCTCCAGGTGTCCAACTACGTGACCGTTGGAGAGGCCAGCAGAATCGACAACTCGAAAAAAGCGTGTCTCCAAATCTTCAGCGTGGTGGGTGGACTCATGATGAAGTACACCAAACGCTCGAAATTGTTCGTCACCTCGGGAATCGTGCTCCTTTACTTGGGACACGTTCTGCTGGTGTACTTTGTCAACACGGGCGACGGAATGGCCGCCAAGCCGCTTCTGTACATGGCTGAGGTGTTTATTGGTGCAGGCAGAGGATTCTACCAGTGCGCGATGCAGGTGATTGTGCAAGCTGTGGCCGGCCGTCACAACATTGCCATGTCGACCGCTTTCTTCCTTGCGTTCAGCTCTATCGGCTCGCTGATCGGCTCTGCCATCGCAGGCTCGATCTGGAACACCGTTATCTTGTCCAAGCTCAACAAATACCTCCCAGAAGACTCCAAGAGCAATGCCACCAAAATTTACAAGAGCATCAAGGTGGCTCTCAAGTACAAGAAGGGAACCGAGGAGAGAGACGCCATTGCCAGGGCCTACCGCGAGACGCAGCAAATCATCGGATGGGCCACTGTTGGCGTCATCACCCCTATGCTCATTCTGATGCTCTTTGTCCACAACGTCCAGCTCACAGATAAGGCCGATGTGTACGAGGACGACACTGTTTCGGAGCCAGAGTCTGTTGAAGACGTCAATGCCAAGGTCGCCGAGGAGAAAGAGGTTACTCAGGGACCAACGAGGCTGACGATGAAACAGGACATTCGCCAATCGTTGAGCAACTTCAGAAAGAAGCCTCTGAAACAACAGATCTTGGACGCTATTGGAATTTAATCGGCTAGGGAACGGTTTTGTCAGTAAATAGATCGAGCCGAAGAGGTTTGGTTTTAATCAATGCATAACTGCTTAAGAGAGTATGTAATCCGATCATAGTAGCTTTCGTACATTCGCACGAAACAACATCACCAGACAGAAGCCATGACTGTGATAGTCTCTTTTATCACAAGCCTGCTAGCGATTCGTACTTGCCTGGCTACCATCTGGGCCAGAACCGGTTTTGACAGTAGAGCCCAGACAATCTCCCTGAACTATCCAAACACCTTATCCATGTATTTGGCCGCTTTCGAATGATACTCCAGCTCCTCCTCGTCCATCGGGTAGCTCAGATCAATGTCCTCCAACGGAATCTGTTTGAAGTTTCTGGTGCAGCACTTGTAGCCAATCCAGAAAACAACAAAAATCACCAGAGAGATGTACGCTGCAAAAAAGTTCTGGGTGTCCCAGGGGATGAAGGCGGTGAATCCCTGCGTGAACGTGATCAGAACCAAGATTGAAGCTGCAAAAATGGCCGAGTACGGCTGGAGCGGCGACTTGTAGATCGGAAGCTCGTCCCGCTCGAGGCCCTGCTTTTTCAGCGCATAGTAGTACCTAAGGAACGCGTAATTGATCAGCGTCCAGCCAATGAACCCGAAAACAGTGGTCAGGTTCATCAGCCAGTTGAAGACCTGCTCGGCAGTGTTATTGAGCGTGAGCAGCGCAAGAAGCCCGAACGCAGCGTTGCAGATCACCGAGTAGTACGGCACGCCGTTCCTGTTGGTTATTGTCAGGAACTTCGGACAGTAGCCGTATTTCTGGCCGAAAAAGTACGTTCTGGACGGAATGTAGATCTGGGTGTTGGCCGCAGACATGGCAGCAATGAGAATGCCGCCGTTGACTATGGACGGAAGCACCTTCACTCCGGCGTTTTCCACCGCAATGACAAACGGCGACTCAGCGCCGTTTCCCGCTCCCGCGTTGACTGCGCTCAGCAACTTGTCGTCGTTGGACGCAACCATCAACGTGACCATAAACAGCGAGCCCACGTTGAAGGTGATGATCCGGACAATCACCGACTTCATCAGGGACGGAGCCAGTTTCCTGAAATTAGGCACCTCGCTATTTGTCAGAGCAACCACCTCAGTTCCCTGGAAGCCAAATCCAGCATTGATGAACACCCTCCAGACGCCCAGAAACTTCCCAATCGGCTTATCTGTTAGATAATGCACAAACGGCCCCGGATCTCTCCAGTACTGGAAGCCTGTGGTTTTGTGCAACGGGTTGCCACCGCACGTAGCTACCAGACAGAAAATCATGCTTCCGACAATCAACAGAATTTTGACCATGGTGATCCAGAACTCCACCTCCCCGTAGGCCCCCACGTCCACGATGTTGACCATAAGCACGAAAAACGTGAATATCAGCACAATGGCGTAGTCAGGCAGCTTTTTTTCCGTGTCCCAGTAGCCGATCAGCAGACAGATCGACGAGATTTCAGACGGCAGGGTCAGATTGTAGCCGAGCGCATAGCACCAGGTGTACGCGAACCCGGCCGATTTGTCCACGAATCGCGACACCATCTCGACGAAATTACCCTCGCTGCCCAGAAAAGAGCACATTTCCGCCAGCGAAAACAGAGTGCACATGGTGATCAGGCCCATGATCATGTACGAGAGCAGCATCCCGACCGGCCCAGCGATCGCCAGAGAGCCTCCGCTTCCGATAAGCAGCCCAACGCCAAGAGATCCGCCCAGAGCCAGGAAATTGACATGTCTGGGCTTGAGGTGCTTTTTGAGCTTGTGGTCGGGGAAAGACAGGACTGAGGCGGCGTCAACGTCCACCTCCGGCAGTTTCTCTTTTACTTCGGGCATTAGGAATGGAGAGTTTTTTGGACGGTATCTTATCTTGGGTGGCTGCTGTCGATCTTTCGGATATCCTAAACGGGCAGAAATATGCACGAGATTAGATAGTAATTTTAGCTCTAAGCGGGACCAAAAATAGACGTCCATGGTCTGTCCAGCGACTGTGCCCGTTGGACGAAATTAGAATATTTCATGCTTACGGTCTACCTCCCGTCCCCCTTTCCTGACAGACCATCTGTTCTCCACGCCTTACATTTTACAACAATCTCTGTCCATGGACATCGGCTCCCGCAAGGCAGAAAAATAAGCACCAAGCTCCTAAAAGTATGCTCTCTATTACCAAAAAGAACACCATCCTATGTAGTGCTGGCAGAGGTTCTCCACAGACGTGGCCTGCTGGATGAGCTTGTCGACCTGGCTCGGAACGTCCAGCTCCCGGAACCGCTTGAAGTCGTTGCCCGTCAGCTTGTCAGTGATACGCTTCAGAACGTACGCAGCACGCGCGTTCAAGATGTCTGCCTTGTTCTGCGCCTCCATCCGGGCGGCCTCCTCCTCGGTGATCTGGCCGCTGCGCAGCAGCTCGTTGTAGTTGGCGTTCGGGAAGTGCTGGTTCGGGTTGTCGACGATCTGTTTCAGCGGGAAGTCGAAACCCCAGTTGATCAGCGGGTCGTACGCGAACGCGTCCAGAATGGCCATCAGCGACTCCTTGTTGTCCCGGAGCACGCGCATTACGTTCTCGCTCGTGATCCGGAACGAGCCCTCGATGCCGCTCACCTCCATCGCGTAGCTCAGCATCCGAGTCAGTCTGAACGGCACTTTTTCCGGGTACTTTTCTCTCAATATGGCCGCCTCAAAACAGTCGCCAAAGTCGATGTGGATCACTTTTCCAGTGATCCTGTCCATCATCAGGTTCGAGGGGTGTCTATCCCCGAGACCCAGAATATATCCAACCATCGACATCACCGCCAACGAGCGCGTGTACGTCGTTCGTCTGTCCAGCCACGCCTCCGACGACTTCGACTTGAACCACAGCACCTTGTACAGGTCCTGTCCCCGCGTAATGTCCAGCGCGTACGTGAACACCTCCACCTTCTCCAGCAGCGTCAAATTGTCATAGTCCGGAGACATCTGCAGCATGATACGGTGCTCCACGTCAAGCAGGATCTTGCGCGGCTCTCTGTACTCCTTGATCAAAACATGGAACGTGTCAGAGTTAGGAACCCAGCCAAGCATGCCCGAGCTTGGAGACAGCGGGATCGCAGCGTACTGCTGGATATCCATGTGCCGCTTGAAACACTCGGCGTCGTTCGCAAGCAGCGTGTTCACCAGTCCAAACAGCTGCATCACCAGGTTGTCCTGCCGGATATCCTCGTGGCCCTTGAGCAGATACTGGTATTTCTTGCCGTCGCTGCCCAGAACGTTGAACTTGCGAGGCCTCTGCTTGGACGTGATCACAGAAAACACCGGCTCAAAACGCACGATGCGAATCACCTCTTTGCCCGGCACATACGTCCCCGGAACAGCGAGCTCGAGGTCCTTTGCGGCCAGCAGCTTCGGAGAAACGTGCTGCAGGTCCAGGTTCTGCAGCTGCGGCAGCTGTCTGGAAATGCGGCGGAACACGCCGTAGTACAGGTCCCACGCCTGGTTCAGGTACGCCACGTCTTTTGTGCGCCGGAAATTCATCAGCCACTGGTGCGCATCGTTCAGCTCCTTGCCAAAAGCGTTCACAAACGACGCCTCGCGGATCGTCTCTGGACCTTTCTCGAGCATCTGGTGCAGAGGTGTCAGGATCTGGAACATCTTCTCGATGTTCTGGTCGCCAAAGTACGACCGCGACGCGTCCTCGAGCCCCTCGTACCACATCTCGTGCCACAGCACCGCCACGCGGATCAGCTCGTTGCTCACGAGGTCCGCCTGGTCGACCAGCCGCGCCGAGTGCGCCCGCATCTTGTCGATGATCGTCAGAGCTGCTCTCTGCCGCGAGACGCTGTCGGACTTGATGGCCACAGTGAGCGGATAGATCAGCGCCTGCGGATGCGCACGCCCCAGGTCCGACAGCAGGCCCAGAAGCGACTTGCTCACCACGGGGTCCGGCTGGTGGATCCGCGAGATCAGCTGCGGAATCACGTCCAGCCACGTGTCGACCTTCACCAGCTGGAACCCTTCCTGCATCGCGTCGGCCACCTCCTCAATGCCTCCGTACTTGATCCACAGCGTCAGCAGTCTCAGCGTGTCCTGGAGCGGGTTGGACTGCGACAGCGAGATCGAGTGGAAAAATCCCTTAACGGCCGGCACCACGTAGTGCAGAATGCCGCCCAGACTGTTCTCGTCCACGTCGGCGTTCTCCTCGTGCAACTGCTTAGCCTGCGGAGAGATCACCTCGAAGTTGGCAAGTGCCCAGTTGTGCCAGGCCTTGTACCACGTGGGGTCGAAGTGCGTAGCCAGAAGGAACGAGCCCAGGATGCCCGTGGACTCCATCTCCGTCCAGTTGCTGTTCAGAGCGATCTTCCACTCGCCCTGTTTCAAGTAGCATCTCGCCAGCAGCATGGTGTACCGCTCAATGTTGTCCGAGGCGCCCGGAATCGCCGTCGGCAGCGGCTGTGTAATGGCCTCGTTCTCGTTCACGCCGAGGTCACGTGACAGCTTCGACGCAAAGTCGATGAGGTGGTTGAGCGCCTCTCGCTGCTGGCCTCTGGCCCACATGTACTTCAGCTGCGCGTACACCACGTGCGGCGGAGCCCTCGACGTCTGGTGGCCCGAGTCGCCCTCGTCCAGAAGCGCGTTCAGCGACTTTTCGGCGAGCCCCAGCCGGCCCGATTTGCGGCACAGGTTGGCAAACTTGATCCACATTTCCATGTCCTGTTTCGGCTTCACGACCAGAGCACGCACCTTGAGCATCCTTTGCCAGATGTCCACGTTGCGCTGGCAGCCCAAGAGACGTTTGTTCCACGTTTCGCGGATCTGGATGCGTTTTTCGGAGCCCTGGGGCAGGCACTTGTATTTAATGATTTCCTCGAGCTCCGCCAGCATCTGCACTCTCACAACCACGCCGTACGCTCTGTTGTACGACTCGCTCACCAACGCAGTGATTTCCGTCACCAGGAGGTCCCTGGCTTTTGAGATCTGCTCTGCGGCCTCCCCAAAGTTGTTTCTGTGCAGACACAAAATAGCGTTGAAGAACGCCTTATCCGGCGACTCCACCTTCATGACGCTGATGTAGTTGCCCATGCGCTCCCATTGTCCAAGGCCCCACGCGGCCGCGGCAGCCAGGGGCGCAATGGCTCTTTTGATGTCACCAGACGAGTTGTTCCATTTATCCTGCGCCAGCTCGCTCAACAGCTCCCATTCGCCCAGAGCGTGCAGACATCTCATTTTTCCCATGGTGATATCCGTGGAGTTCGGCTCCTCCTTCTCGCGCTCGTTGTAGGCGCGCAGCGCGTCGTCCCAGCGCTGGAGCTTTTCGTACCACGTTTCCTTGAGCTGCAGGCCGTGGTGGTCTTGCGCGTACTTTAGAATTCCAATCGCAGCATCCGACTGCTGCAGCTGGTTGTTGATGCTGATCAGCGACTCGATCGTCGGCGTCGACGGCTCCTGGATGAACTCCAGCTCCTTGTAGTGCAGCGCCTTGGCGTACACGTGGCTCCGCTGCGCGTACTGCGACAGCGTCTGAATCCTGATCGGCAGCGACTTGTCGTCGTGCTCGAGGAACTCGGCGAGATTCAGGAGCGTCTGGTGGATCTCTGGCAGGTTGTTGGGCGACGACAGCGCGATGCACAGCGCCTGGGCCAATTCTCCCTGGTACTGGATGTGCAGCTCGTTCCAGCAGCTTGCAAACGCACAGTTGAAGAGGTCTCTGGCTAGCGGCGGATAAACGGTAGCCAGCGAGGAGCACGCACGCAGAGCCGGCGACGGCGACTCCTTGAGCAGCTCAATGCTCAGTCTGCGGATCCATTCCTGCCAGTCCTCCTTTGTGCGCATGCTATTGCAGTCCCAGACGTAGCGTAGAGCCTGAGCGTTGACAGGCAGTTTCCGCGGCGTGGCCTCAATGTCGAAATTGTCGTTGGATGAAGTTTCCTGTGACTTGTCGTTCAGCAGAGTGGTTGGCAGCGGCTCGCCGTGAATTAATTTATCAACCAGCTGGTCGTAAACCGGATACTGCAGTCTGTGTTTGGTCATGATGCTGGTGATGCCGGGGATGAACACAGAAAACTCGGCGCCCATCTGCAGCAACAGCAGACAGATGGTGTTCACGGCAGAGTTCTTGACGTCTTCGGAAGAATGAGAGACCAGAATTCTTATCAACGGCTGCACAATTCTGGATGAGTAGTCGTTCAAGCTGACGTGTTTAGACAGTTTTCCAATAGTGTCAATGGCCTCCTTACTGACAGATTCCTCCGGCGACTCGAAAAGCTTCACTATCTGCGGAATCACGAGGTGCATGTACGGCTCGACGTTGCTGCCAAAAACGGTGAACGCCTTGAGAACGCGCAACGTCGACACCTTGCGCGGCAAGTTGTCCTTGTCCAGCACGTCCAGAAAAATGGTAATCACCTGAAACATGTATATTTTGAACTCGTCGTCCAGCGCCTTCGAGACCTGCTCTATCATGCCTATAATGGTGACCTGGAGATTCACCTGGGGGAAATATTCCTCGATGAGAGAAAAGATGTCTGGCAAATGAGGACGGATGTGCAACTTGACGATCTTGATCAAATCAGCGAGCTGCTGGAAGTACGTCTCCAGCAACGAGGGCGGACACGTGTGGATTACGGTCGCGAAACCAGGGATCACCTTGTCGAGGAAAGGAACGCACTTGATGCCCAGCGTTTTGAAGATGTGCATGATAGCCTGGATGACGGCCGGATGATGGGTGCTCAGCGAGGCGTCCTTCAAGATGCGCAGCAGCGTCTTGATCACCACTGTCGGGAAGTAGTCCTCGTTCGACGGCGACTTGCCCTTCATCAGCAACTCCATGTCCACAGGCGGCGCGTTCTGCTCTGCCACCGTCTGCGAGTCCTGGCCGTGTCTCTCCACCTCTCTGTGTTTGTACGGATCAAGAGCGCCCAGAATCCCGACAAGACGCACGGTTTCGCGTCGCACCGCCAGCGACGTCTCCGACTTGAGAATGTTCACCAGCAGCCCCAGAAGCTGCGGATAATCGAGCAGCGGCTGGATGACGTAGCCCGAGGACCCGGCGATCTGGCCGAGCGTTTTCAGCGCTGCGTCCCGCTTGAAACTCATGCTTTGGTCCTGGAACGTTTCGATGAATATCGGCATCAGCTGCGGAATGTACTGCACCATTTCGTCGCCGACCACCACGGCCAGCTCGCCGATCGCCGCGATCGCCGCCGCTGCAACAGAAGCGCCCGATTCTGTGCTGGCAGGCAGCAGCACGTCCATGATGGGCTTGAAATATGGCTTTGTGAGGTCGCCTGTGTGCGAAATCAGCACAGCAAGCAATAGAGCCGTGTCTTCTTTCTCTCTGGAGTTGTGGCCGCCGTACTCTAGCGTGGTGAGCAGCTGGATGAGCAGCTTGCGCAACGATGGCACTATGTACGCCGGGTTAATTGCTGCGAGTCTTCCGACCAGCTTGATGGCCGCCTTGCGGATTTCAAACGACTCGTCGTTCAGAGCCATGAAGAGCAGCCTCACGTTTTCGGCCTGCGACAACTGAGGGTCGAATCTCTCGCCCAGGCTGTTGAGCACTTCCAGACGGATCTCCTCGTACGGGTCAGTTATGCAAACAGTGAGCAATTTGTCAAGAACCTCGCTCACAGCTTTCAGAGAGTTTAGGCTCTTTTGGAGGCAGATCGGGTCGGAAAGATATATTTTCGACGAAGTCAGAGCTGCTCGCAGCCGCACCTCGGGACTGTCGTGGTCCATGTAGTGGATGACAGAGTAGCGGACAAATTCTGTGAGAGAGTAGTTTCTGAAGTCAAAGTAGCTCAGAGTCTTGAGTGCCTGCAAAATAATCACCACGTCTGGCTCTTCCTGGTAGTGGCTCTTCGGCAGCCCAGTGAGCGACGTGATATCCACCGGCGGCGTGTTGAACTGGCCACCGTCCCTGACGTACATGCTGTGACGGTAGTTGTGTGCAAGACTGGCGTTCATTTGCCGCTTGAAGTCGGGAGCTCCTGGGTGTTTGAACTCGAAGCCCGAGAGACAGAAGCTGACTGCGTTGATCAGCTTTTCGTTGATCATGGGCTCCAAGGACGGGAGATTATCGATGAATATTTTGAGCAGACTCAGCATGTTGTCGTTGATTGGAGATTTGAGAATGAGTGTCATGAGCTGGTAGTTGTTGATGAATTTTGTCAGTGGTGGTCCGAGAGAAATGGCCAATTTCGCCAGACAGTAGAAACAGTACGGAACGAGCTCTTTCTTTGTCTTCGGCACCTTCGACGCCAGCGCGTCCTTGATGCTTTCGAGCACGACACCGTCAAGATAGTTGATGATGTTGTTTTTGGCCTCCACCGAGAGGTCTCCGATGCTCAGCAAAATAAACGAGCGGTCTTTTCCGATCTTCAGCTGCGAAATGTAGTACAGCAGCACGCGATGCATGTATTTGTCCACAAACTTGACTCTGTCGAATCTCGCGAGAATCGGCATGATCTTGGTGACCTCTCTTCTCACATCGACGGAGCGGTGGTCCTTGATGCCCATGAGGTTCTCATAGATGTCGTCGATTTTTGAGTGCAGCAGCGACGAGCCCTGGAGAACCAGCTCTCTGTAGCACAACAGGGACCCGTGAATGAACTCCGAAGGGTTGTTGTTGACCACGGGGCCGCTGCCGTTGGACGTCGCAAGAGAGTTGCGGAAGATCAGCGTCGCCTCCGTGTACAGTTTCGAGAACCAGTAGCTTCTGAGCTCCAGGTCTCGCTCGTAGACGATATTCAGACAGTGCCGCAGACAGATGGCCGAATCTTCTCTCAACAGGCTTTTCGAGTCCCGCAAGCCGATCCAGATATTCGACAGCACCTCCTTGATGTACGGATACAGCATTGCAGAGGCATTTTCTGCCAGCGAGCTGATGATCAGGATGGCTGCGTGTTTTTTGTTTTCCACTTTCTCCGCAACGAGCCACTCGATCGACCGCTTGACCTCGAACTCCACAAAATCGCCCGTGAGCGAGCCCCCCGGAATGGCCAGCTTGCCGAGCGTCTTGGTGGCCCGTCTCATGACCGCCAGGTCGCTCGACGTGATCAGCCGACGGAGATAGTTAGCGTACCGGGCGATCATGTTGGAGTTCTCTTCCGTGGTAGACGAGGCCCCAATGCGCGGCAGCGAGCTGCTGATCAGCTCCACAAGCGCGTTGATCGCCTCAATGCCGCCCAGCTGCTGCGAGACGCTCGAACTGTTGATGAGATCGAATATCCGTTTGTTGATGTAGTTGTTGTAGACACTTAGTTGTTCGGCCGTGATGGCCTCGCGCGACACGGCCACAAACTGGTCGCGCAGCCTGCTGGCAGCGCGTTTCTGCCGGCCGGCGTCTTTGGAGCCGAGCTCCGTGAATATTTCGTCCACATGCCAATTGTCCAGGGGAGTCGACATGGTGAAAATAAAGAGAAATTAGATTAGCACTGCCATGTAAGGACGATTACCACAATACGGCCCCGTTTAATCTACAGCACTACAAGGCAAATTATTGCAAATTAGCGTATGTCGTCAACAGTAAGATGCTCAGCGGCTTAGCAAATCCGGTACAGGCAAAATAGTCGTAGGCCCCTATACCACCAGACCGTGGAACGTTCGTGGAAATTCTGGATAGCGCAAATTTTCCTTATCGCACGACTCGAACTTTCTTTAAATATACATGTCTCTTCTTATGACATGGACCCCGACATGGCGTGCATAGGCAAAAAGCGGTTTCTGGATGGCACGGAGACGGCATTCCGCGACACCAAGCGAAGGCTGATCGAAAACCTGACGGATCTCCACATCGGTGTGGGAGGCCCAGGGTTTGCAAGCAAATCCATGTTTGAGAGCGAGTACCTAAACTCTGCCCCACGACACCATCCCGCCAGCGACAGGGTCGTGATACCGAACATTGATCAGTTCCTTAGAGAGAACCCTGACCCTCTGGAGGGCGAGAAGGTGGACCTTTCGAACGTGGACCTGGACAAACTGATTATCCCGAACGTGGCGGACGGCCGGCGCGTGAACGAGCTCAGCGAGCTGTACGATCGGTATGTGCGCAGCCAGGGCGCTCTGGTCAAGTACTATAATCCGGAGATGCTCACGTATTCGCGATATTTGGACTCCAAGGACCTCAAAGGGAAGATTGAGGAGCTAGACAGCAACGACGAAGACACGCCGGTCGCGCAAGACGAGGACGTGGAAATGGACATCGACTAGCTGTGCTCTGCGTCCAAACTAGACAGTCTCGCCAGTGTGCTGGTCAATTTCTCTCTGACGGCTGGGTCCTGAGTGACCTCAGCAATCACCTCTCGTGCCTGGTTCTCGAGATCGCGGAGCGCTTCGCGGCAGTACTCGAAACTATGGGTGGACTTCATGATGTTAAGGGCATGGAGCTTGAGTTCGTGCTCCTCGGTGCGCAACTTCAGGATTCTCTGTAGCTCTTTGTTGGTTGGGTTTGTATTGATTGAATGAATGATGGGGAACGAAAACTTCCCCTCGGTGATATCCTCGCAATAGCCCTTGTTTTTGTTGTAGACGTCCGACATGAGGTTCAAGTAGTCGTCTTTGATCTGGTAGATCACTCCGAGCATGTTGCTCAGCGTGATGAGCTTGTCGCACGGCTGATCCGCCAGCAGGTTCATCAACTTGGCGCTCAGCCGGAACAGTCCCCCCGTCTTGTTCATCACCATATTGACATAGTCCTGCTCAGACGGACACTCGTTGATCTCTCGCCAGTGCAGATCGAGGCCCTGGCCGCGGTGCAGGTTGACCATCTCGTCCAAAAAGATATTCTGCGCAGCAAGTCTTTTGTCCTCCTTGTCGATGGCGTCTGTCAACAGTCGCATCGCCACAAAGTACATGTAGTTGGCGCAATTGATGGTCTGGGGAACGCCAAAGATCAGATGGGAGCACGGCCTGCTGCGTCGAAGCTTCGAGTTGTCCTCAATGTCGTCGATCAGCAGAGACGAAAGGTGCAACGTATCGATCACAGCCTCGATCTTTTCCAGCTTCTCTGCCGGGACATTGAGCACCAGGTTGAACGTTCTGATTAACAGGCTCCGCAGATGCTTACCCTGGGTCTGGTCTGCAAGATAGTGGTACGGTGTCGTCAATGTTTTTTCATTCTCTTTGTTCCAGGAGGGAGACAAGGGAACAGGAACCATTTAAAAAATAAATCAAGGTTAAAGTCAGAATTTAAAAAGTTCAAAAAAATAATTCACACAATGGAACACATGCCCGTTCAATGGCTGATGGAAGTACCCATCGTCACCAGAATGCTCACTGTCGGGATAGTCGCCGTGTCGCTCGTCAACTTCGCCGGCTTTGCCTCCGAAAGAGACCTCGTGTACACATATGAGGACGTGTTCATCCGCGGCCAGTTCTGGCGAATACTCACGTCTCTGCTGTATTTCGGCCCGTTTTCCTTCAACGTGTTGGTCATTCTGTACATGTTTGTGGGGTACTCAAAGTACCTCGAGAACTCGTTTCACCGCACAAAAGACTTCATCACGTGTCTTGCGATCCTCAGCTCTGGACTCTTTATGTTCAGCACCTACGTCCATCCACTGTACAGAATCGGCGAACACCTCATGGACACTATGCTCTACATCTATTCCAGACGCAACCCGAACGACGGACTCCAGATTCTCGGCATCTACCGCTTCAACGCCATCTACCTGCCCGTGATGTTCACGGTGCTGTCCGTGGTCAGATACCACCCGATGCAGGGCAACATGCGCACGCTGCCGCTCACGTGGATCTACGAAAACGTGTTCAGCTTCCTGTGGGGCCACATCTACCTGTTTCTGTGCGACACGGCCCCCAAGCTCCACCGCTCTGCCGTTGCCGGTGCACGGGTGTGATAATCATCACCACGCGGGGCCCACAAGCGGAAATTGGAACCGCAGCCGAGAATTTTTATAAATCGCCTACCATCGCGACTTGAGCACAAACCACCAATATATGTCGTTTCTGGGAGGATCGGAGTGTGCTGCCAACGCCAATCCGCTGGCGCAGTTTTTCAAGCAGTCGCAGCACGACACGTCGCTCGAGCAATCGCTCCGCAACGGCGCCCACGAGACCCGTCAGAACGCCCAAATCAGAGCACCTGTGGCGATGAACGAGGCCGACAGAGCACACATGGAGCAGTTCATGAACCAGAGCGCGCCGTTCAACTTCCAGCCGATGGCCAACGAGCTGCGCATGATCCAGCCTGACGTGCAAACGCAGACTGCCCCTGCCCTGGGCAGCTCCCGCGTGCAGAACCAGCTGCCTTTGCAAATTCACGGGCAAGCGCGGCCACAGGTTTCCGGGTGGTCCTCAGAGTTCCAGAGCACAGCCACGTCGCAGGTTACGCACAGTCCGTCTCCAGTCAGCCAGGCCCCGGTGAGATCGATGGGGATGGCTCCCCGGTTGCATTTGAGGCCGTTTACCTCTACTAACGGGCTAATGCAGGCCAGTAGCATTTCCAGCAGCATGATGCAGGAGGACACAAGCCAGCAGGTGGACTGGGAGCAGCAGTTCAAGGAGATGGAGGAGATGGAGGAGATGGAGGAGATTACGGCAGAGACTCAGCAGCCAGTGGAGGAGACGGTTTCCGCGCAGGAGAGCGCGTTTGATCAAGTTTGGGACAACATCCAGGAGACCTATGCGGACAACATGCTGAGCAACGACGAGTTCCAGGCGCAATGGGAGAAAGACTTCGAAAAGTACGCACAGACAAGGCTGAACTACGGCGAGTACACTTTTGAGGAGAATAACCAGTTCCGGAACAACCTGGACGCGTACGAGATTGGCATCAAGCTGATGGAGAGCGGTGCGAAACTCAGCGAGGCCGCGCTGGCTTTTGAGGCTGCTGTCGAGCAGAATCCCGGCCATGTCGACGCCTGGCTGCGTCTGGGCCAGGTTCAGACCCAGAACGAGAAAGAGCTTGCTGGAATAGCCGCGCTGGAGAAGTGTCTGGAGCTGTCGCCCCAGAACCTTGTTGCGCTCATGACTCTGGCGATTTCGTACATCAACGAAGGGTACGACAACGCAGCGTTTGCCACGCTGGAGAGATGGATCGAGACCAAGTACCCGGAGGTGGCCGAGCGCGCACGGAGCGCGAACCCGGACATCCAGGCGGACGACCGGTTCTCGCTGAACAAGCGTGTGACACAGTTATTCATCAAGGCCGCGCAGCTGTCCCCTGAGGGAGCCAACATGGACTCCGAGGTCCAGACGGGGCTCGGAGTGCTGTTCTACTCGATGGAGGAGTACAGCAAGACGCTGGACTGCTTCCAGGCGGCGATCGAGCACAACCCAAATGACGCGCTGGCCTGGAACCGGCTGGGAGCGTCGCTGGCGAACTCGAACAAGCCCGAGCAGGCGATCGAGGCGTACTCGCGTGCTCTGCAGTTGAACCCGAACTTCGTGAGAGCAAGGTACAATCTGGGTGTTTCCTTCATCAATATGGGGATGTATCGCGACGCGGTGGACCACCTGCTTACGGGACTGAGCATGCACGAGGTGGAGTCGCTCGATGGGTCCTCGTCTGTTGCCCGGAGCAACCAGTCGACGAGTTTGATCGAGACGTTGAAGCGCGCGTTCCTGGCGATGGACCGGCGCGACCTGATTGACAAGGTGAAACCTGGGCTGAACGTGGACTCGTTCCGGAGAACCTACGATATATAGCTTAATGAGTTACGGAGATGAAAGATAAGATAAAAATTAAAGAAAAATAAGCGTAAAGTAAGTAAAATAAGTAAAATAAAATAAAATAAAATAAAATAAAATAAAATATTACAAATCATCCATATGGACCAGCGCAAGGTGGGAGCCGCGTGCGACATTTGCCACCGGCGAAAAATCAAGTGCGATATTGGTACCACCGGGACGCCGTGCAGCAAGTGCAAGGAGCTGAAAGTGGAGTCCCAGTGCGTGCTTCACAAGCGCAGAAAGAAGACCGACGGCATGACGTATTTTGTGACCCAGGACAAGTTTCTGAACGTGATCAAGTTCTCGCCCAAGAAATACATGCGCTCGGCGGCCCAGACAGAGAGCCGTGCCGTCAACATGGCCTACTACCCCGCCGTGAACGAGCTGGCGTCCAAGTTCTACAAAAACGTCGTGGGATATGAAACGGAACTCGACGACCTGGATTTGCAGTACATGACACAGCTCGGGTGCTTCAATCTGCCAGACAAGGTCACCTGCTGGAAGCTGTTCAACTACTTCTTCAAGAACATGAACAAGTGCCTGCTGATCCTGGACTACGGCAGGTTCATCAGAGACCACCAGAAATTGGACGAGGTGCCGTCGTTGGTGCTGGTGCAGGCGCTGCTCTGCGTCGGCTCGATTCTGGCAAAGGCGGACCTCGCAACGGAACACGAGCGCGACACGTACGACAAGTACACGGCCGTGTTCTACAAGAGAACCAAGGCGCTTGTGGAGGCGTCTGTGGAGCAGGACCCGATCGCGCTCGTGCAAACGTACATGGTGCTCTCGTGCATCTCGGAGATGACCAAGTACGCGATGGGGACCAGCGGGCGCACGTGGCTGCGCATGGCGCACCAGGTCGCCCAGGACAACCGGTTCTACCAGGAACAGCCGCGGCTGCCGCAGTACAAGCGCAACATGTACCGCCGGCTGTGGTGGATCATCTACGCACGTGACCGCATGTTTGTGTTCTGGCACGGCGGCTCGTGTCTGGTGTCGAAGAGCGAGACGGCGATTTCGAAGGACTCGCAGGACCTGTTTGCGCTGGACGAGTTCGAGCACGAGAGCCACGACTACTTCCGCAGTCTGATCAAGATTGGCGAGCTCATCGATATTACGTCATCAAACGACAACTCCGCGGACGGGATTTTGCTGTGGAAGGACGTGGACCAGTGCGACGCGCTGGTGACTAAGTGGTTCGAGAGTCTTCCGGCGCATCTGGTGTTCAGGCTGGACGATCCGGGGTCGCAGACGGGCCATTCGGTGCTGATCACGATGTACTACTACCTGCTGCTACTGACGATCCACCGAGTGAATCTTTTGCGCGAGTACAAGAAACTGGCCGCTCATCGCAGGGACAAGGAATCGTTGCAGAGCGTCCCGTCGTGGGGGCTGACTTTCCACTGTGCGTTCATGATTTCGCAGATCTCGGGCCGGTGGCTCAAGGACAACAATTATGCTCCGTGTCCGAATATATACATGCAGTGCGTTTTTTCGAGCTCGTTCACGATGCTGTGCCAGCTGCTGAACAAAGACGCGACGATCGCGAAGATGGCGGACGAGTGTATCCAGCTGAACCTGCTTTCTATGCAGGAGTACGGCAAACAGTATCTGCAAGGCCAGATGGCACACTATGTGGTGAGCCAGGTGTACCACGACAAGAAGAAGCGGCTGAAGCTGTTGCGGTCCTCGTTTGAGGTGAGCGACGCGAGCGACACGTTCCCGGACCGGCTGAACGACGAGATCAGCGCGCGGATCGAGCACAAGCTGGAGGCGCGGTCGTTCGAGGGCGCAGACGACCAGCTGGAGAAGGATCGGCGCGAGCTGAAGAATTTCCTGCCGTTCCAGCTGTACCAGAAGAACTATGCGCCGTTCATTCCGCGCAAGCTGGCCAAATACTCAACCGACGACGGCACACGGCCCGTGGTGGACCCTGCCACCAACTCGTTGCAGCACTTCCCGGAAACACAGCCAAGCGTGGGCAGCGAGTCTGTCTCAGACAGCTCGCAGGACAGCGTCAGCGAGTGGCTTGCGCATATCAGCAACCCGACGGAAATGGCCAACGTCAGAGACTCAGACTTCGTCAAACATTTCACGTTCAGTGCCGACCCGACGGCAGAGACGAACATGCCCTTTGAGCTCGACGGGATGCCCCGAATGCAGGACTTTGCCGACGTAATGCACATGCCGGTGCCGGGTCTTGTCGACGGCAACTATATGGGCGGTGCTGCCACGGTGCCTGATTTCGACCAGCTGCTCAAAGGCCTGTAGCGACGATCGACTTCTTTTTTTTTATTTTATGTTAGAAATTATATAAATAAATATTGCGGTGCGATGTCCATCCCGTACGCGGCCCACCAGCCATATCTCAAGACCCTCAAGCCGGCGGCCCAGTCGCGGCTCGCGCGATTGGAGCCCGCGGCGCGGTACCTGCGCCACCGGCCGTACCTGCTGCTGCTGCCCCTGCTGTTGTTCTTTCTCGTGCCCCACTACCACAAGAGCCCGCGGGTGGTGATCATCCTGGCGGCCAACGAGGGCGGCGGCGTGCAGCGATGGAAAACGCCGCAGGAGTGGTCTGTGGAGCGGTCGTCGATCGCCAACAAACGCGAATACGCCGAGCAACACGGCTACATCCTCTCCATCAAAGACACAGCACTGAAAAGAAGGTACAGCCACGAATGGCGCGAGGGCTGGGAAAAGGCCGACATTCTGAAACAGACCATGCGCCAGTACCCGGACGCCGAGTGGTTCTGGTGGCTAGACCTGCACACGTTCATCATGGAGCCGCAGATCTCTCTCGAGGAGTACCTATTCAATAATCTCGAAAAACGCACCTACAGAGACCTGTCGTACCACAACCCGCTGCATATTCCAGTGGACTCGCCGTACGTGGACGTTGAGCACTCTCCTGTGGATCTGGTGCTGGCCCAGGACTGCGGAGGGTTCAATTTGGGCAGCTTCCTGGTGAGACGGTCTGAGTGGACAGAGCTTTTGCTGGACGTCTGGTGGGACCCGGTGTTTTACGAGCAGATGCACATGACGTGGGAGCACAAGGAACAGGACTGTCTCGAGACGCTGTACCGCACACAGCCGTGGATCAGAGAACGCGTCGGGTTTGTGCCCCTGCGAGCTATCAATAGCTTTCCGCCGGGAGCCTGTGCGGAACAGAAAGACGACCCGCAGTATTTTTACAACGAAAAGGACCGCGATTTTCTGGTCAACATGGCAGGCTGCAACTTCGGCGACCGCTCGTGCTGGAACGAGTACGAGCACTATAGGAACCTGCAGAAACAGCTCAGGAAGAGCCGGCGGTGGTCGTGGTTACCCGGCTTCTGATAAAACTAAATACTCAGAAAAATCGTCTATTATTATTTCCCTGAATTATTGCTCCATGAACAGTGAATTCTGGAACGAGCAGGCCGGCGACGACGAAATGGCGTTTCTGACGTTCCCCGACAACCCGTCGTCGTCGTCGCGTCCCGCCCAGCCGCAGGCGGCTGCGCCCCAGCCCCCGAGGCCCGGCGACGAGGCGATGTCCGGGGGCACCATGTCGTCTTTCTCGCCGCAGGTGTTTGAGAACAACTCTGGCGCTCAATTGGAGCAGCAGCGCGCTCTCCCGTCCCAGCCACCCACGCAGAGCCCGTTTGAAGCGTCTGCGCCGACCCCCACCCCGCCGCCTCAGCAGTATCAGCAACCGCGTCCCGTGCCCTCCCACAACAACAGTCCGAACGCCAGCACTCCGCAGCAGCGCCAGATGCAGATCCAGATGCAGCAGCAGCACAATTTCATGTGTCTGCTGGAGGAGTTCATGAACCGCAACAACACTCCCCTAACGGAGAGGTATCCTGTTATTGGGGGCAAGAAGATGAACCTATTTCTGATTTACGCCGTGATGGTGAAGTTTGGCGGGTTCAACAACGTGCTCAGGTCCAAGAAAATTGTGCCTGTGGCCAGCAAGTTTGGAATCCCGCCCGATAACAACCAGCTGCTGCGCGAGTTTGTCCAGATGTACCACAAATGTCTGCTTCCGTTCGAGCTGTACGCCAACACGCCTGAGGGGATGAAGGAGCTATCGATGCGGAAAAAACAGCTCGAGCAGCAGATGCAGTTCAAGCAGGCCACGCCGACCAGTGCCAGTCACCAGACGCCGCCCGTTTTCAACGAGACAAAGTTCACGCCCGGGGACCAGCGTGCGAGCGAGCCGTCGCCGGCCACTGTTGAGTCGCGCCACGCGACGCCGCAGCAAGACGCGAACTTCGTTCCCGACTTCATTCGCAATTACGTGCCGCACCAACGGCTGCTCGACAAGGTGGGGGGCCACGATTTGAAAGCGCTGTCTGCGTTCGGCGAGCAGATCGACCACTTGAAGCCTGTGTTTCTGTTTGTGCCAGAGCTCGGCAAGATCGATTTGAACGCGCTCACGTTGTCGCTGCTGTCAAAGATCGACGCCGAGGTGAACCTCGCGCTGAACGTTCTGCTGATTGTGACGTCGGACCCGAACCTCGTTGTGCCGCTCGGCGAGTGTATGGGCCTTCTGGAGGCGCTGGCCAGCGTCGGCACAGACACCCTGGACATGCTTGTTTCGGGCAACTTGGACAAGCGTAGAGACAGGTACGAAGACGCGCGCCCGGAGTATTTCAAGCCAAACAAGATAGAAGAGGTCTTTGAAAAGTACAGCGGACGGCTGAAGGCAGACAAGGACGTTGAGGTGGTGGTGGACTCGTTCACGTCGAAGGAGGTCGGCGACGAGAGCCAGGACTTGGAGGTCGAGGAGTCCGACGCAGACGTTGTGTTTGAGGAGCCGCCGCGCGTCGACACGCCGGCGTCGGACGTGGACGAGAAGCCGTTGGCGCCATTCGCTCTGCCGTCGTACGTGGAGCTGCTGGAAGCTGCACGTGCCGAAGCGGACGACTTTTCCGGCCGCGTGTACGCGAAGACGTTCCTGGACCGGCGGCTGATGCTGGTGGAGGAGCTCAACACGGTGTCGATGATTTTGCGCAATCTGTCGTTTGTGAACAACCCGCACGGCGTCTCGAACAACAACCTCATGGCGGCGAACTCGTCGCTGCTCAACTTTATCTACGCACTGATAGCGGCGCTGGGCACGTCCGAAGGGTTTGTGTTTGCACGGAAAAAAATGCATCTGATGAAAGACACGCTGATGACGCTGGCGAACGTCTCGCACGCGATCGAGCTGCGCTCGACAAAGGAGGCTTTTCTGGTTCTTGCGCTGTGTCTCGCGTTTGGCGTTCCACTGGAGCCGGAGGACGAAAAAGCTGGGTTCTACGTGCCAAAGTTCGACGCCGGCAAGGGCAAGTACCAGCTGCACGCGATCGACGTGCTCACCAAGGTGCTGTGCGGATCGCTGAATAACAAGAAGATGCTGTCGTCTGTGCTGGCGCGCGAAAACCTGGACCCGGAGATGAACTCGCTGATGCAGACGTACGACCAGGCCAAGAACGGCGACCTGGTGGTGCGGACGATGGGATTTTTCGTTTCTGCGCTGCCGCTGCACGTGATCTACGAGGGCATCGAGCGGTTCAACGACAAGCTGCCGTCGTGTCTGGAGCTGCTGCTGGGCAGCATCTTTGTGGCGGAGGTGATTGAGGACGCGCAGTTTTCGCGCAACGTGGCGCTGCGGCTGCTGAGCTCGCCCGAGCTCGTGGGGACCAACCTGTTTAAGCTGGCGTTCATCTTTGCGGCCATCTACGCCAAGACCAACCACGAGAACAAGCTGATGTACATCCACATCTCGGGCAAGAGCATGGAGCTGGTGAACGTGCTGCTGCGCGCGGCAGTGGCGCACGCCATCTCCGCGGGGGCCCGGGACGAGCTGCAGACGCTGTTCTCGGTCTCGAAGCTGTTCCCGGCGGACGAATCCATTCTCGGCGCGCTCATGACGCCGTCGTTGCCGCCAGACATCTCTGTGCAGGCGGTGGAGTCGGCAAAGCTACTGGTGAGACTACAGGAGGCTTTGAGCAACTAGATAATTATGTTTTGGCTCCACGCACTGACTATATCTTCTTTTCCGGCTGCATCTCGACCACCTCCACAGAGCTGGCCCCGTCAGCCGAGCCCCGTCCCAGGAGCACCTGTAGCAGCACCTTGATCGAGTGTCTGCCCTGCCACAGCGGGAAGAAAATGATGTACATGGCTGCCACGAGCAGCCACATCAAAACGACCACAATGAACCCGGTGAACGAGGCCTTGCTCAGGTCGTGGCTGCTGCCATACAGCCCCAGGGGCAGAACCACGTACACGCCCAGAACAAGCACGAGATTGATTGCGGCCGCGGCCCAGATGTGCAAGCGCAGCTTTTTCTGCTCGTTTGCCGGCAGCTCGGCCGCCTGCTCCTCCTCGGCGTCCATGTCGTCCGCCAGACTGATGCTCGTGCGGAACGCGGCCATGTCAAACGGCTCCGCGTGCGGCTTCGCCAGACTGATCAGCACGATGTACACCGGTGTCGAGAACAGGGCTGTGCAGTTGCCGATGAAGGTGGCCTTGGTGATGTTGAGGGTGTCCTTATCGACGACGGTGTTGCCGAAGCAGTACGCGCTGGCGATCCAGCACAGGACGCCGGATACGGTGCCGAGGGGCGCGCCGACGACGAGCGCCCATTTGGTCATTTTGCTCCAGAAGAGCGTGATCACGACGGTGAACACGCTCGGGTTGACGATGATGCCGCTAAAGGTGAGCAGCCACCCGACGGTGACCCCCACGTAGTTGAACACGACAGAGAGCACCGCCATGAACAGGCTGAAGCCCACGACGGCTATGTGGGCGGCGCGGACGAGCTGTGCTCCGGACGCGTTTGGGTTGATGTAGGTTCTGTACACGTCGTAGGTGGTGACGGACGAGAACGCGATGAGCTCGGCGCTGCTGGCGCTGGTGACGGACATGAACAGCATGATGAGGCCTGCGGCGGCGCCGGACTTGCCCATGACGGCGTAGAGGCCGTAGATGACGGGCATGCCGTTGTTGACCTCCTGCGTGGAGAGCTCGTTTGGGTACGTGGGGGAAGCTGGGTGCGACAAGAGCGCGCGGCACGCGAGGCCGGCCGAGGAGCCGATCACGGTGGGGATGACGGCCCAGCACAGCGCGCCGAGCGTGTAGCCCTGGAACACCTGTGTGGAGCTGGACGCGATAGCGCGCTGGGAGTAGCCCGGGTCGCCGAACACGGAGCTGAGGCCGCCCAGGCAGACTGTCCACGTGAGCATGAGCATGGTGCTGTCCTTGAAGCTGAGGTAGCTCTGGCCGGTCGCGGACGGGAACGTCGTCTGGGCCTGCTGCAGAAGCTCGTACATCTTGCCCGGCGACCCGATCAGCGGCGACGAGCAGTAGATCTTGTAGCTGGCGACGAGCAGGATGACGTAGATGATGACGGTGTGGATCCAGTCGGAGATGAAGGTGGCCTTGAGGCCGCCCAGCGCGGTGTACACCATGACGCCGAGGGGCAGCAGGAAGCTTGCGGCGACGACGTTCATGCCGGTGGTGGCCGAGAAGCCCTGGGACCCGCCGAGGAGCAGCAGGGACGAGATGAGCACGTTGGTGGCGAAGACGTAGCACAGGAACACCCAGTGGCCCGCGGGGCCGAACCTGACGGAGAAGCACTCGGAAACGGTGTGTGCTGCAGGGGCCCTGGACTTTATTTGCAGGCACACAAACACAAACAGGGTGATCTGGATGGTGCCGCCGATGCCGTAGAGAAAGCCGCCGGAGACGCCGTGGGAGTAGCTCCACGCGCCGGACGAGAGCAGCGTGGCGGGCCACGTCCACGCAGACACCGTCGACGAGGCAATGAGGCCGGAGCCGACGTTTCTGGAGGCTGTGGTGAAGCGCTCCGAGTTCTGCACCTGGCCGAGGTATTTCGACAGCACGCGGGTGATGAGCGACATGAGCAGCGCGAAGGCCGCGCCGATGCCCAGCACGAAGCCGTAGCCGTAGCTCTGGTCGAGGATCGGGGTGGCCATTGCGCAGCAGACTGGTGTTGCACGGTTTAAATAGGCGCATGCAAAGTGGCACGATAAGATCTGCGGGTCCATTATCTTGCATGAAATTTCTCCGTAGGGGTTCTGAAAGCGCCCGCGAATGAGAGCGCCCGGCCGCCCCTGTCGACCCTGCAGCGTGCGCATCGCCCGCCGTGCTTATATACGGCTGTCTGTGGCCTCGTTGCGAAGACCATGTCGTGGCAGCAGATAAGAGACAGCAAGAAAAAACAGCTCGCTGAGGCGATTCCGGCGGACTGGCGCGACCCGGCGCTCAAGCGCAGGATGCTGGACGCGGGCTACTTGAGCACGAGAGCGTACCTGGACGCGGTCTTGCCCGAGGCAGAGACGCAGATCACACGGCTCGGGCTGGCCGAGCTGGCGCGCAAAGTCGCCGCGGGCGAGCTCACGGCGGTCGGCGTCGCCTCCGCGTTCTGCCACCGCGCCGCGCTCGCCCACCAGATCCTCAACTGCTGCGTCGAGATCTTCTTTGACGACGCGCTCGCGCGCGCGCGCCAGCTCGACGAGTATTACGCCGCACACGGCAGGACCGTCGGCCCGCTGCACGGGGTGCCCGTCTCGCTCAAGGACCAGGTCGATCTGGCCGGCAAAGACTCGTCGATCGGCTACTGCGCGCTGTTTGGCAGGCCGGCGGCCAAGAACGCCGTGCTGGCAGACTTCTTGCTCGCCCAGGGAGCCGTCTTCTACGTTAAGACGACCGTCCCGATCGCCATGATGTGCACAGAGACAGAGTCGAACCTCATGGGCTACACGTACAACGGGGTCAACGTGACCATGTCGTCGGGCGGGAGCAGCGGCGGCGAGGGCGCGCTGATCGGCGCGGGCGGCGCCGTGCTGGGCTTCGGCACAGACATCGGTGGCAGCATCCGCATCCCGTCCGCGGCCCAGGGCCTGTACGCGCTCAAGCCGTCCACGGGCAGGGTCTCGTACATGGGCGTGAGCAACTCGTACGCGTGGCAGGAGCTTGTTCCGTCCGCGATCGGCCCGATGGGCACAAGCCTGGAGGACGTCCACCAGGTGTTCCGGCTGATTGTGGAGGCAGGGCTGTGGAACACAGACCCCAAGGTGCTGGCGATTCCGTACAGGCCGTTTGACGGGGAGGTGCGGTTCGGGTTCTGGACGGACGACGGCGTCAGGACGCCGCAGAAAGCCATCCTGCGGTGTCTGAGCGCCGTGGAGGAAAAACTGCACACGGCCAAATACGAGACCAAAAAAATAAATTTCCACTTGCAACCAAAACTGCTCGACACCATCGGCAAGGTTTTCGGCGCGGATGCGTACCAGGAAATCGCCACGACGCTCGCGCAGACGGGCGAGCCCGACATCGATATGGTCAGAGACCTGGTTGTGAAGGAAGGAATCGACAAGCCGCTCGATGTGACGCAATGGTGGCAGGTCAGCAGAGAGGTGTACGAGTGCAAGCAGGAGTTCTACGCGGCGTGGAAAAATTGGGGCATTGACGTGCTGGTGTGTCCGATCTGGTGGACGGCCGGGTGCAAGCCGCACACGTCCTCGATGCCGCGGTACACGGCGCCGTTCAACATCGCCGACTGCGCGTGTGTGGTGGTGCCCGTGGGCAGCGTTGACTCTGCACGTGACGGCGACGCGGACTGGGACAAGATGCCTGTGTGTGTGCAGATCGTGGCCAGACGGTCGGAGGAGGAGAAGGCGCTGTATGCGGCGGGCATTGTGGACAGGTTGGTGAATGGGTAGGAGAAAAGGGGGCAGAGCGAAGCGTCGGTGGCGCGTTTACCTGGAGAGGTTATCGATCTGTGCTATTTTTTAGTCTGGTGTATTTGGTTTGAAAATATTATAACTGAATATTAATACGTAGTTGATCCTTTAGTATGAAATAAAATAAGTGTCTCATTCATCGCAGATCTATCGTTCCGCAGTAGCAAAGTTACACCCTTATACTTGTCTTCATATCAGATACTCCGCTCAAAAAACCGCACAATCTTGCCCGCAGCCTCCTGCCCAACCAGAGGCGCCAGCTCGGCCTCGCTCATCTGCGCCAGCTCGCGGATGCTGCGCACCTTGTTGATGATCAGGTGCACGTTCACAGAGCTGATGCCCGGAATGTTCTGGATCAGATCGATCGCCATGTCGTTGAAGTAGGTGTCCTTGTCGAACAGCGGATTTAGCCCCGCGTTGACCGCCTTGTCGACGTCCGGCTCGTCCTGGCTGAGCTTGAGCTCCCGGAACAGCCGCGCGGTCTCGAAGGGCGACGAGGTCCACAAGATTTTCAGGCTCGGAAACGCAATCAGCAGCATCATCAGCTTCAGCTGCAGGTCCTGCTGGAACGCCGTGCTGCCCGGCCCGGTGCCCAGCGGCCGCCCGTCGCGGTAGCCCGTGAACGGCTCGAGCGAAAACGACTTGCCCTCCTCGAACTCGATCAGCAGCGCCGGCAGCTCGTAGTACCGGAACATCTGCTCGCACTGCTGGTATAACCGGCCGCTTTTCAGCGAGCTGACCAAGTCTGGAATCGACTTCCGCTCGATGCAGATCTTGGGCGACAGCACGTAATCGCCCACCGTGAGCATGCACGGTATAACTTCCATGGCGGCCAGGTAGCACAGAAAAGGCAGCTGCGACCGGAACTCCCGCACGTCGACAACGACTTTGTTTTTCGTGTCGAGCGGGTTGCCCCCTGCAATTCTCGTGCTCTGCGCCAGCGTCGGCAAGAACCTGGCGCTTTCGTCCTCGTCGGTTATAAATGTCTTTGGAAGCATCGACTTCTCCCTAATGAGCCGCGTAAAGGCGTCCTTTTCCCGCTTGATGCTGTTCAGATAACCTTGCTCCTCGATGGAGTCTCCGTAGTACATGAAATAGCAGCGGGCAGGGTGGGTGTGCCGCAGAGACTGGAACAGCTCGACTCGCCGGATAAAGGCCAAGTTCGGCTCGTAAAGAATGATGTACGACGGCATAACTTCCTCGAGGAGGTAGTTGCTGGCTTTGGCGTCGAACTTCTCAATAATTATCTGGTCAGTGCGGTCGACGTACTCAAAAGTTATGCCGTGCGAGCGCACTTCCTCTAATTCTGGGGTCTGCTCCAAATGGTCCATAAACTCTTCAAACTCCTCGGGCGGCACAGAATCCGGGTCCTCCTGCTTGACGTCGTCGTCGCCAAGATCGGCATCCACCTCGTTTTCCAACAGATCGACCATCGCCTCGTGGACCGCGTCGTCCACGTTGTCGTCGTCTTCCGTCTTGCTCAGCATGCGGTTATACGTCGTCATAACTGCACCGCCACGCGCGCGACGCCGTTTGTTGGGCACCGCCTTGCGACGCACAAACGTCCGCGACACGGCCACGTCGTCGTCCATGTCGCTGCGGGCCTGGCTCGAGACCCTGTTGAGCTCCTTCTGGATCTTCACCGTGCGGCTGCCCGTGCCTTTTTTCCACGCCAGATGCTGCTTGAATATTCGCACCATCAGCTTGCGTGCACTGAACCCGGTGCGGCTGCCGGCCCGGTACTCTTTATAACTCATTAGAAAATTGCGTAGCTGGCTGCAGCAGTGCGCCGTCGAGCACATAATCAGGACCGGCCCGTCCTCGGAGTGGTCGCCACGCTGTTTCTCCTCGTTGATGTCGTCCAGAATCATCGCCAGCTGCTCCCATTTTGGCAACTCTTCCAGCAAGTATGTGGCCTCTGCGTCGTCGTCGTCGCGGATTTTATCGAAAACCCGGGCCTTGCTGCACGATATAACCGTCATGGCCTCGTCCAACAGGAGCCATGGCGCCATGGTCTTGTTGTTGTTGGTCACCGACGGCTTGTTTGCCTCGACGATGCTCGATAACTCCTGGTAGAACTGTACAGAGTCCCACGTAAACAGGCGGCCTAGCAGCTCTCTGAGCGTAGCAAAATCGTACAGCACCTGTTTTGTCGTGGACGAGACCCTGTGCCAGTAAGGGTCGAGCGTGGCGCGGATGTTGCGCACGAACTCGTCGTCCAGCGCGTTCTCGATCGTCCAGTACTCGGACGCGATCTCCGGGTTATGTCGTTTCAGCTCGTTTATGCATGCCTCCATGCACGCAAGCAGCCCGGTCTGGATTTTCAGCATGTAGTCTGTCATCTGGACGTTGATCTCGGTGACTTTGTTTTCCACCTTGCGCGACTTGAGCGAGTTGGTTATGTCCACATGGAACCGCGGCCATAGCATAACTTTCTGCAGCCGAAGGTACTTCAGCCGCGTGTACAGCGGCTGGAACCCGGCGCCCATGCTCTCTGGCTCGTCTGAAAGCGCCTTGACGAACCCCCATTTATTTTTCTTGCGGTATAGATTGGCAATGAACCGTTCGCTCGAGTACTCTTTGACGCGCTCGGCATGCAAAAACACAATCCCGGTCACCAAGTCTGGGTTCAGCACGTCGCCGAGCAAATCGGTCACCAACACTCGCGTGGTTATGGCCAGTATCCCGCCCTTTTCGTATAACCGGCGCCGTTTGTCCAGTGTAGTCGGGTCCCGGCTCACAGACAGAAACGAGACCGACTCGTCCTTGCCGTCGAGCCACGCCAGCTCACGCAGTTCCTCGCCGATTTTGTATATTTCTGCGTCGCTCGCGTTCACCAACAGAATCAGGCTCTTTTTGTCCTCTATCACAGATAACCCTAGAACATGTAACAGGTTCGCCACAATGGTTTCCAGCCCCAGACCCCTGCCCAGTATAACCAGTCCATCGTCCTCAACCAGCTCTTGCACGATCTGGCGCTGGTAGCCGAGACTAAGCGTGAGATTGATGGTCTTGTCCTCCCGGCTTGAAAACAGAGGATGCACTGGCGCAGGCGGCTCAGGCTCGCTTTCGCGAGTTACCGCCGGCACCGTAAGCTCATCGGTCTCGCGGTCCTCCTGCAGCAGCCTGGTGAGCTCGGATTCGACGTGCTCGTCGTCGGAAACGGCCTCGAAAAGCAGATCGGACATGGAGAGAAAGAAACTATAGCACCCGCCGATCGACGCTCCAGTGAAATTTATCGACGCAGATATTTTTCTGTTGCCGGTTTTTCGTATTTTCTTTTGTTAGTCATGTCTATCAAGATCAGTGAGAAAATCAAGACGCTGGGCCCGAACGACCCATTTTTCTCGTTCGAGTTCTTCCCGCCCAAGACGGAAAACGGATTGCGCAACCTGTACGCGCGGCTCACCAGAATGTCCCTCCTGGGCCCGCTTTTTGTCACCGTCACTTGGGGGGCAGGCGGCACCACGGCGCACAAGACGCTGGATCTCGCGGTGACGTGTCAGCAGGAGCTAGGCCTGACCACGTGTCTGCACCTCACGTGCACCAACACCTCGAAAGAGGTCATTGACGACGCTCTTGGGCGGGCCAAGACGGCAGGAATCAGAAACGTTCTGGCTCTGAGGGGCGACCCGCCCAGAGACGGCGTAGATCCCGAGCGCCACGGCCACTTTAAATACGCCGTCGACCTTGTGCGGTACATTAGAGAGCAATACGGTGACTATTTCTGCGTCGGAGTGGCTGGGTATCCGGAGGGCCATGTGGAAGGGGCCGACAACAGCGACCAGGACATGAAAAAGGACTTGCCGTACCTGGTGGAGAAGGTGAACGCGGGGGCAGACTTTCTGGTGACGCAAATGTTCTACGACGCGGACAAGTTTGTGCATTATGTGAAGACGGTGAGATCGACGGCGGAGATTAAAAACAAGGACCTGATTATAATTCCCGGTCTGATGCCAATCAACGGTTATGGCATCTTCCAGCGCGCGTCGAAACTGAGCCACGCGTCGATCCCGGACTCGCTGCTGGAAAAATTCCCCGAGGATATTCAGAACGACGACGACAAGGTCAAGGAGATCGGCGTGGACGTGCTCTCGGAGATGGTTACCAAAATCCACAAAGACACGAACGGTGAGATCCGCGGGTTCCATTTTTACACTCTGAACCTGGAGAAGTCGATTGCACAGATCATCAACAAGAATGAGCTTCTCTCGCAGGTGCTGAAGAAAAAAGAGGAAGAGGTGGAGGAGCTTGGCGAGGAGACGGTTTCGGACGAGGACATTGACGAGGCAACGACTACGGCGAAAAGAGCTGCGTACGCCGACCGGTTCCGCCAGGTGAATAACCAGGTTATAGTAGACGCTCCGATGAGACGGTCGGGAGCTCGAAACTCGATGTCGCAGGTCAAGACGATAGTCTCGATCTCGTCGGGCAAGGGCACGCTGGGCAAGGACGCCACGTGGGACGATTTCCCGAACGGACGGTTTGGAGACTCGCGGTCGCCCGCGTACGGTGAGATCGACGGTTATGGTCCATCACTGAAAATAACCTCCACCAAAGCGTACGAGCTATGGGGGTACCCAGAGAGCCTAAAGGACATTTCGCGAATCTTCACCAACTACCTGAGCGGCAAGATCAATGCGCTGCCGTGGTCGGAATTGGGATTGAACCCGGAAACGGCGCTAATCCAGGAGGAGCTGATCCGGCTGAACGAGCTGAACTGGTTTACGGTTTCGTCGCAGCCGGCCACAAACTGCAGCAAGTCGAGCGACAAGATATTTGGGTGGGGCCCGAAAAACGGCTACGTCTACCAGAAGGCGTTTGTGGAGATGTTCATTTCGAAAAAGGACTGGGAGGCGTTGCTGCCTAGGCTAAGTGCCAACGAGTACGTTACATACTATGTTTCCGACAGCAGGGGCGGCTATGCGTCGAATTTGCCGGGCCACAAGAGCAACTGTGTTACGTGGGGGGTTTTCCCCGACAGAGAAATTGTGCAAACGACCATCATTGAGGAGGAGTCGTTCCGTGCGTGGAGCGAGGAGGCGTTCAACATCTGGCGAGAGTGGCAGCTGCTGTACGCGCGCGGGTCTGTGTCGCACACGCTGATCTCGCAGGTGCTGGAGCAGTATCTGCTGGTGAGCGTGGTCCACCACGATTATCCGAACGAGCAGGCTCTTTGGGAGCTGTTGCTGGAGGAGTAAACCCCGAAGTGTGTAATTTACCCGGTGTAATTTATTTCACGTTTGAAATTCTGCAGCTCGCGACGGTACAGGTCGTGGTTCATGTGGGGGAGTTCGCCGCCAAGAAAGCGGCAGGTGGATGGGGTGAGCTGAAATGCCGAGCCAAACACCACTGTGGCGCCCTTTTGCACCAGCAATTTCGACCCGAGTCGGACCGGGTACAGATCCGGGCTACTCCGTAAAAATGGCAGAGGCTCGATCTCGTGTGCGTAGCACAAATTGCCGTGCGCGTCCTGGAGCGTGAGCCGGTACGTGGGGGTGGCTGTCTGTGTGGGCCAGTGCTCGTGCGCGTCGCCGTCGACGTTGGCGGACCGGATGACCCTCTGCTTGCGCGGGCGCGACCTGGTCTGGCGGTCGTAGAAGCCCTCGTTCGCGTCGATCAGCTCGGCCAGACTCTCGATGTACGAGACGGCAGACCGCGACACGTCTCTGATGGCGACTATCTGGAACAGCGTGTCTGAGGCGAGCGCGGCCACGTAGGGCGGCGCGGGCGCTGTCGCGGGCACGAACGGAGCCAGCAGGTGCTTGACGCCGTCGCTGCGGGCTTTCGTCAGATCCAGTGACCGCAGAGCCTCCATCGGGAAGGGTCTTATCACGAAATATTTTCAGGGCGTAAATTATCAGTCGATTGCACGCGCATAGTGGAGAGACATTTCGGAAAAAAAATCGCAGAGCGTGCATGACAGCTGCACCGCCGCGCGTTGTTCTGCACGGAGACAATCGTGGAGTTGCTACTTTGGACGAGAATCGACTGACCAGGCGTCATCCGTGCGGCTCGGGATACCCAGATCGGTGGGGAACTCCAGCCAGGTTAAATATATGTCTGTGGTCGTCCCCATACACATCTTCCCCATGAAAACTTTAACCAACCTTATTCTCAACAACAAGTACCAGCTCGAGAAGCGGATTGGTTCCGGCTCGTACGGAGTCGTATACTCTGCGCGCCACCTGTTCACGGGCAAGATGTACGCCATCAAGATCATCCTCAAGAACCAGTCTGTCCACGGCAACAAGAAGCTGCTCGAGCAGATGGAGGCCCAGATCCTCGACATGGCGCTCGCGAACGGCGGCAACCTGGCCGCCAACCTGCTCAGCCTCGCCATGATCGAGCAGAACGGCACGCACTGCAAGATCCTCAAGGAGATCAGTCTGCAGCTCAAGGTGCACAAGCACCCCAACGTGCTGTCGCTGTACAAGGTGTACGACCTCAAGCCGGCGATCTTCGTCGTGATGGACTACTACCCGGACGGCGACCTGTTCAACACGATTGTCGAGAAGCAGCGCTACAAAAACGACCCGTTCCTCATCAAGAGCGTGTTTCTGCAGCTCGTCGACGCCATCACGTACTGCCACTCGAAAAACGTCTACCACTGCGACATCAAGCCCGAAAACATCCTTGTCGCGGAAAACGGCACCAAAATGATCCTCGCCGATTTCGGCCTCGCGCTCCAGGACCACCACATCGAGTCCAACATCTGCTGCGGCTCCAGCTACTACATGTCGCCCGAGCGCATCCAGAACTTCTGCCAGGGCTTCGACTCCAAGGACGCGCACTCGATCCACCTCGAGCGCCTGCTCCAGCCGTCCTCCGAGGGCCTGCGCGAAAACGTGCGCTTCCCCACCAGCGCCGGCGACGTGTGGTCGCTCGCCATCATCCTAATCAACCTCGTCACCATCAGAAACCCCTGGCTCAAGGCCTCGCTCCAGGACACCACGTTCAAGGCGTACGTGAAGGACCCGACCGTGCTGCTGCGCATCCTGCCCATCTCCACAGAGCTCTTCCACATCCTGTGCAAGTACCTCAGGCTCAACCCGTGGGAGAGAAGCGACCTGTTCGAGTTCCGCCAGGACGTGCTCACGTGCTCGCGCTTCGCCGACTCCGGCCCGCTCTCCGTCGACGCCAGAATCGACCTTGCCGACCAGTGGCAGTACTCGTGTCAGGTGCCTGTGGATCACGTGCAGCTCGACAAGATCAAGAGCAGGGAGCGCGCCGTGCCCGAGGAGCACGAGACAGACCACATAATAGACCTCCCGCTGCCCCAGCGCCGCGGGCCGTGCGGCAGCTGTGCCGACTGCGGCTACGGCGCGCGTCCCGCGCCGCAGCCCCGCGTGCTCGACCGTCTGTTCCACGGCAAAAGATCAGACGAGCCGTATGCCTCCGCCGAGAACGACAACATCCGCGTGATGATCCACGGCGTCGACTCCGACGCGTCGAGCGTCTCGAGCCTCAGCATGGCGAGCCAGATCGCCGTCAACGGCTGCTCCTACATCAACCTCGAGTACTGATCTATAGAATCACGTAATGCATCGAAATCCCGCTCGCCGCGCGAGACAGCACATCTCTGCACCGTACGTTCTGGAAATATATTTTTCGCCTCGTACTTTTCGCTCATGGACATTGGAGTAGGGTATGGTTCTCAGCGCGGCCGGCTGGGGAGGCAACTAGCTCGTGCTGGCGGCAAAGCCAAGCTGGGCGGCGGCGCGCTTGTGCTGTTTTTTCTCTGGCTTCTCTTGGGCCGCAAGAAAAGCCCGGCCACCCAGGAGCTCGCACAAGAGCCCAACGACGTCCAAAGCCTGATCCAGGAGCACGAGATCCGCCGCGAGAACGTCCAGTACCTCAGTTTGCGCCCGCCGTTCGTGAATCCGGCCACTCTCGCGATGATCAACTACGACAACGGCGGCAACATGGTGATGAAAAAAGACTCCGACTACGTGCGTCTCGTGCCCGAGCGGCCCAATTCGGTCGGGTATGTGTTTTCGCGGCTGCCGGTCTCGCTCCAGGACGCCGACTCGTTCGAGGCAGTCGTCGACTTCAAGATCCACGGCCAGCAGACGCGGATCTCGCTGATTGGCGACGGCATGGCGTTCTGGCTCACGAGCCAGCCGCTGAGCCAGGGCGACATGTTTGGCATGCAGAACGACTACCGCGGGCTCGCGGTGATTGTGGACACGTTCAAGAACACGCCGGGCAAGATGCGCGACAACAGGGGCGCCAACAGCTTCCCCAGAGTCTCGATCCAGAGCAACAACGGGTTTGCGGGCAAGTACAACAAGGACGACGACGGAACGGCGACGGAGATCGGCAGCTGTGCGCTGCACAGGGCGTACAACACGCGCATGGACGCGCCGTCGCGAATGCGTGTGCGGTATATCCGCTCGTCTGGGTATTTTAGCGTCGAATTCGATATTCTGGGCAACGACAACTGGAAAACATGTTTCAGCACCACAGAGCTTGCTGCGTCGCTCGTGCCAGAGACGCCCTACGTGGGGGTCAGTGCAGAGACGGGCGAGCTGTTCCACAACGTGGATCTGTACGGCATAGAGGTGCACTCGCTCAAGGACGCCTCGGGGGGGCCTGTGCAGTCGATCGACGCGCTGATCGACCGGCTCGACGACAGAATCGACGCCGAGACAAAGCAGCACGAGGCCAAGAGACGGCACCGCCGGTTCAACAAGCCGCAGAAGACCACCACCCGGCGCACCGCGAGCCGGCTCAGGCGGTCGGAACAGCGCGCCAAACAGCTCAACAAGGAGCTGTACAACGACGAGCGAGGAGCCGTCGGCTACTTCTTCAGTCTTGTGTGGCGTCTGACCACGTACGCCCTGTATACGGCCATGTTTGTTGTTCTGGCGTACATCGGCCTTCTGGGCTACCGCGTGTACCGCGACAAGCGCAAGAGACGCAACCAGCGGGGACTTCTGTAATAAAATAAAATAAAATAAATTAGCATCATTTATTTTCCATTATTTATTTTCCATGCTGTACTCGATCTACATCACCTCACGGTCCGGCTCGCTTTTGTACCAGAAGGACTTCAAGACGGTAAACTCGCCGATCACAAAACAGCGGTCCAACGACTACCTCGTCATTGCCAGCACGCTGCACGGAGTGCACGCCATAGCGTCGAAGCTGACGCCGCCAGACGCGGTGCACAATTACCAGAAGGCCAAGACGCTGGCGAACTCGAACCGCACGGGACTGCGCGAGATTGCCACGTCGCGGTTCAAGATCTTCATGAACCAGACCGTCACCGGCATCAAGATCATTGTGTTTGCGTCGCCCGACATGGACGAGGCCCGATTCGCCGCCATCTACGACAAGATATACGAACATTACTGCAATTACGTTCTCAAGAACCCGTTCTACCAGCTGGACATGCCCATCAGATGCCAGCTGTTCGACACGCACCTAAACTCCGTGGTGGCCGGCTGCAATGTGTAGCGTCGGCGTCGCGTCGATAGAAAAAAAAAGTCCTCAAATAATTAATTGCAGCTTTATTTTCTCCCATGCGTGACATTATCGTCTTCTCTGGGTCCTCCAACCCAGAGCTCACAGACCGGATCTGCCGCAATCTTGGCCTGCCGCCGGGACAGGTGGAGCTCAAGAAGTTTGCCAACGGCGAGACGTCTGTGCACTTTGGCGACTCCGTGCGGGAGAAGGACGTTTTCATTGTCCAGTCGGGCGCAGGCCACGTTAACGACCTTTTTATGCAGCTGCTGATCATGATTTCCGCGTGCAAGATGGCCTCCGCCAAGCGAATCACCGTCGTGTGTCCGCTCTTCTTCTACTCGCGCCAGGTCGAGTCCCAGGCCAGCAAACGGGGTGTTCCAGGAGGAGCCCAGCACAGAGGGTCGAAAGTGCCCGACAGCGTGCCGCCGTCACCGAAACTGCCGTCGCGGGCCAGTGTCCGCGACCCGAGCCCGAAAAACGTGCTCAGCCAGCGCGCCATCAGCACCAGCTCGTCGCTCAAGACGCTGCACACCAACGAGGCCTCGATCGCCAATCCGACAGGGTACCGGTCCTGGATCGCCCAGAGCGGCACGCTGATCGCGAACCTGCTCACCTCGGCAGGCGCCAACCATATCATCACCATGGACCTGCACGACGCCCAGTTCCAGGGCTTTTTCGACATCCCCGTGGACAACTTGCTGTCCAAGCCGTTATTCCAGCACTATATTACAAATTACGTGCCAAACTATAAAGACTGCGTGATAGTGTCGCCGGACTCTGGTGGGGCGAAGCGCGCAGCGGCCATAGCGGACGCGCTGTGCATGCCGTTCGCCCTGATCCACAAAGAGCGCCGGCAGAAGGTCGACACTGCGCAGATGCAATCGGAGCTCATGGTGCACTCGAACCCGTCCACGTCGAGTCTCAACAGCGTCAGCTTCGCCACGCCAGGGTTCCCCGGCCGCCGCTCGCCGTCCAGCGCGCCCAATGGCCAGCCCGCGGCCGACCAGCAGTACGTTGCCACCACGATGCTGGTCGGAGACGTCCACGACAAAGTCTGTGTGGTGGTGGACGACCTGGCAGACACGTCCAACACGATCACGCGCGCGGCCAGCCTGCTCAAAGACCAGGGCGCCAAGTACGTGTATGCGCTGATCACGCACGGCATCTTCAGCGGCGACGCGATGCGCAAGCTCAAAGAGTCGCAGATCGACAAGATCATCACCACCAACTCGGTGGACCAGGCCGCACACGTGGCCGAGCTGGACGCCAAGGAGATGGTCATCCTGGACGTGTCGCGGATCCTGTCCGAGGCGATCCGCAGAATAAATAATGGCGAGTCCGTGTCCATGCTGTACGACCACGGGTGGTGATCAGCCCAGCTTCTTGGCCATCTCGCTCTGTTTTTTGCGCTCGGCCTCGATCTTCTCCAGGTCCGTCTCTGTGATCAGATGATGTGTATGGTCGCCCTTGATAGAACCGTGACACCAGTCAATTCCGTAGAAAAACGTATCCTGCTGCAGCTGGTCCATGGTTGTCCGTTTGTCGACGGCCACCGTGAGCATCCCGCCAATCAGCGGCCGCGACGCAGCCGGCAGCAGCTTCAAAAGCCGGCCCGAGCCCGACGAAGCCTTGCCGTCGTCGCCTGGCTCGCCCATAAATGCCCGGTACGACGAGTCTGTCGTCTTGGGAATCTTCCAGGGGAACCGTCTCAGCACCATGCAGCAGAACATAATGGCCAACGACCACACGTCGGCCGGCCGCGGGTCGTACGACCCCAGCGACAGACACTCGGGAGCCAGGTACGGGTCTGACCCGACGATGCCCCGAACCGGGATGATGGTCTGGTCCGGGTCGCCGTCGGGCATTCTGAACCTTGCGGCCGAGCCAAAGTCGATCAGCTTCAGTATCCCCGCCTCGCTCACCACGCAGTTGTCCAGCTTCAGGTCGCGATGAGCAATTCCCTGGCTGTGTATATAGAGCACACCCTCGGCCATCTGCTTGAAGTAGCAGTATATCTCGTCTTTCGACATCACTCCGCCCATGACAATGGTGAAGAAATCGTACTTGCAGTACTCCATCACCATCACGTAGAGCGTGTGCTCGTTGAGCAGCTCGTAGACACGGATGATGTTCTCGTGGTCCAGGTCCACGAGCAGGTTGTACTCGTTGATCACCTTCTTTCGGTAGTCGTAGTCCGACTCGCGCGACGTCTGCGGCCGGAACTTCTTGATCGCAAACACCTGTCCGTCAGAGGGCCGGCGCACAATCAGGACCGAGCCGCCTGCTCCTTCGCCCAGCACGCTCTTCTCGACGGCAGCGTCCGGGATCTCGCCGTACTGCGCCACCAGCTTGCGCACGGCCACGCCCTCCTGTCGTCCGTCCGGCTGGGGCGGCAGCACCGGCTCTGTCTTTGGCTGGTCCTTGTGGTGGTGGTGGTGGTGGTTGCCGATCTTGAGCTTGTTGAGCTTGTGGTGGATCACCTGGTGCAGGTGCTCCTGCTGCTCCTTGGCCTTGGCCGAGCGGTGGATCGGCTTCAGAAACCGCTTGAGCGACAGGTGTCGCAGCGACGACGAGTCGGTGCTCCCCGCGGTGGAAGCGTTGCTGCTGTTGCTGACCCGCGGAGTGAGGTTGGACGACGTAGGCGTCAGGGACGCCGACGGGGTATTGTTCATGGACGCGGCGCGGCTAGACGCGTTTGGGCTCGACCGATCAGAGCCCTTCCGGAAAAGCTTAGCCAGCACATGGCTTCCGCTGCCTGTTCCGAGGTTGCTGGAGTGCGAGTGGAGCGACGACGACGACTCGTCGCGTCTCATGCTTACATTAGATAGCGCGACCTGGCTCTGAGACAAGTCCGTCGGCTTGGGCATGGTTTTCAGCGTTCTAGACCGGCTTTGCAAAAGAAGCAATGACACAAAACAATGAGAAGCGTTAGGTAGGAAAATTATAAAAAATATGGAAAAAAACGGCGCCGATCGACGCGTCGAAGCTAGCCCCAGTCCCAGAACCGTTTCGAGTCCCGGCGCGGCCTGGAGCCGTTCTCCTTCTTGAGAAACGGCACCTTCTCGCTGTGCGTCGGGTCACCCGCGTCGTTCTCGTCGCCAATGTCCATCGCCTCGCTCACCGCGCTCTCGCCAATGACGGTCTTGCTCACTCCGCGCACGCTCACAATGTTCTCAATGATCCCGCTGTTGCTCCTGGTCGAGTGGCTCGACGCCATCGGCAGGCCGACGGTGTGCTCGGTCAGTTCGGAGGCCGCAGACGGCAACGGCGACGTTTGGTGCTGGACGTCCGACAGGTCAACCGACGACCGCTCACTCTTTTGGGTCGGAATGGTGAACCGTTTCTGCACGCCCTTGTGCTGAGTGGACGAGAGTTTGCGCGCTGTCGGCTTCTTGTGGGCGTCGGCAGACGCGTCGCCGTTCTCCTCGGCAGAACCGTAGTTGCGCGCCACGTGCTCCGGCCGCGGGTCCAGCTGGGGCTGTTTCTTGATGGTCACGTGAGTGTTGTTCGTCTGCAGCGGGTTGACGGCCAGGTTCGACGGCTTGATGCCGTTGGCGGTCGTCGAGTTGATCTGTGTGTTGTGTACTGGCTCCACCGGCGGCGACTTGATTCTGAGCGTGCTGTTCTCGCGCGGTGTCTCGGTGTCCTGGCTATCGCGTTTCGGGTAGTACGCGGGCGCCGGAGGAGACGACTGTCTGGTCTGCGAGTTCTGCGAGTTGGCTCTCGAGGAGTACAGGCTGTGCAGGTACGACGAGACGTTTTTCTTGGCCAGCGGGCCGGGGATGCTGCGCCGGATGTTCTTGTTCACGTCGATGTAGACGTCGCTTTCGTCGACGATCTCCTCGCCAATCAGCTCCTCGATAACGTCCTCCAGCGTCAGCACTCCCACGGCGCCGGTGTCCATGCCGGGCGTCGTGCTCACAATCACCATATGCGACTTTCCTTCCTGGAAGTAGTTCAGAATGTTCAGACACGAGGTGTCCAGCGACGTCTCCGGCAGCGTGGCCAGCGGGAAAGACGAAACGGGCAGCGCGTCCTCCGGGTCGTAGCTGATCAGAATCCGCACCAGCAGCATGCCAACGAAATTGGTTGGCTCGCCAGGCAGATGGATCGGGATCCGCGAGAACCCAGCGTTGAAGATCTCCTCAACCACCTCCTCGTCCAGAATGCGGTCCGAGGGCAGCGTGTACACCTTGTCGATCGGGGTCATGATCGCACACACCGGCTTCTCCTTCAGGTCCAGCACTGCGCTGATGATGGTGACCTCGTCCTGGTTGAGTCGCTCGACGCCCATGGTTTTGTGCAGCGTGACGAGCGTCTTGAGACCGGACTTGCGGTACGCGGTGCCGTGGTCCTGGCCCAGAATGTAGTCCAGCAGCAGCGCAATCGGGTACGCCACAGGGTACATCAGGTACATCAGAACGAGCACAAAGGGCGCGAAGTACGCTCCGAGTTGCAGGCCGTACCGGACACACACGGACTGCGGGATGATCTCGCCGAAAATCACGATCGACGCGGTGGCAGAGAAAACGGCCGCAAACCCGCCGCCCAGAAACCGGTCGAGCATCACCGGCAGCGTCTCGTTGGTGATCACGTTCGACAGCAGCAGCGTCACAAGCACCCAGTGCTTGCCGCGGCCAATCAGCTTCAGCACGTCGTGCGCCCACTTGCGCTCGCTAGGCGTCCCGCTGTCGGCGATCACCTTTAGGTACAGCTCGTCCTGACCCATCAGGCCCAGCGTGAGACCGGCAAAAACACCGCCGAGCAGAACCAGCGAGATCGACGCCACCATGTACATGTAGAATTCGCCGTCAGACAGCGGCTCGTGGTGTTTGCTGGCAGTGTGAATGATCCCCCTCGCAACTAGCCCCTTCACGGGAAGGGGCAGTGCGTTGGAGAGATTGGGCAGCAACGATACAAGGGCTAGTAGACTCTTGTACAGTTGGTGTGTCGGGGGAAGCTTGCTGGCGTGCGATCGCGGAAGATGTTTGGACATGCAGTGTGCAGCGAATAAATAGGAGCTGTTAGCGAATTAAAATAATGTCTTTTTTTTTTCGCATCTATTTCACCTAATTAGTTTCTGCGCCACATGGCCCGTGGCGAATTTTATTCTTATTTGCTTAAATACATTTTCAGCTCGCCTACAAGCAAAGATAACCTCTCCATCCTCACTGCTGCTTGCACTCAGCCGGCTGCTGCGCCTTGGCGGTGTCGGCCTGGTCTGAGCTCTCTTCCTCCTCGTCCTCGTCTGCATCGGTCTCGTCCGCCTCAGAGTCCTCCTCGTCCTCCTCGTAGTCCTCCTCCTCGCCGTCGTCGTACTCGTACTCCAACGCCTGTCCCGTGAACCAGTCAATGGCTCTAGGAAGCAGCTTGTCCTTGAACAGCTCGCCGATCTCGTAGTCCAGCTGCAGTCTCTGCTCGAGGTCCTCTTCCTCTTCCTGCTCCTCGTCTTCGTCTTCGTCCTCCTCGGCCTCTTCCTCCTGCTCCTTGCTCTTTGGTGGCTGTGGCGGGTTGAAGAAGTTGAAGAACGAGTCCACGGCCGTCAGCTTCTCAATCGTTCTCACCTGCTTCGTGTGCTTGTTTCTCTGTTTCCGCTTCTCGACCGTGATCGTGAGGTTGTGCTCGTTGTCCTTCCACTTGATGTCGCAACCTTCCGCGTGGTCGTACACAAAGTCCCGCGAGTAGCCGAGCTCCTTCTGGTAGTAGTACGTCTTGACAAGCTCCTTGTTAGTGAAATAGTCGTTTTCCTCGAACTCAAACACCAGTCTGAATCCCAGGGCGTCGAAATACTCCAGTCTAATGTCGATCAGGTGGTTCAAGGCCTCCGAGTCGCGGTCCGTGATCAGCTCGGCAATAGGTCCCAGGTTCTCCATGGCCGTGAGCCAGAAGCTTGGCACGCCCTTGACGTCCTTCAGACTCTCGTCGATCTCTGTCTTGGTCTCGTCTGTCTCGTCCTCCTCGTCCTCCTCCTCGCCCATCAGGGCCTGGCCCTCTTCGATCTCTTCCGGAGCAGGCTCCAGCGAGCCCGTGACGAGCTTCTTTCTCTTTTCGAAAATCGGCTGGTGTTTCTCGTGGTACTTTTTCTCGAGATTCAGAAGCTCCATCTGAAATTCCGCCTCCAGCTTGAACTGTTTCTGTTGCAGGGCCTTCAGTCCATACAACCGGTTTTTAATCTTCGGAGGGAGCGCCTTCACGTAGCCTGAGTCCGTGCCAACCAGCGTGTTCAGCTTGCCCTCGATCATCGACAAAATGGCAGGGTTGGCCAGCAGCTTCTTGCGCAGCTCGTCGTCCTCCTTGATTGTGGACGGGATAGTAGGCAATGGAGAGTTTTTCAGGTACGATCCGCTCACCGATGCCGGCGTATTGTGCGGTGTAGGGGCCTGGGCAATGTTGCCCTTCTTGATAGGCTCAGACATCGCTTATTAATCTGTAACTGTGTTCGTTTGCTGTATAGGCAAATTCAGCTGTTTCGACTCTTCTTTTCTTGGGTAAAAAAAGGTAAAGCGATTGGTCCTACAGGAATCTCTGGAACGCGTGTGTTTCGGTTTATCGCCAGTTGGTGTTTCTATGTTTTCACACCTGGTACAACTGACTTAACACTCCACTTGATAATTTTTTTTTTGCGTGGCCAAAATCGCGCCTTTTAAAAAAAGTTTCTGGCGGTGTTAAGAGGTTTTCTGTATAAAGGAAAAAAATGCTCTCCAGAACTGGCCTGCTACCACGCGCTGCCTAGTACACAACCTCGCACCAGCTCCCTGCTGTCTGCTCCAGAAGATGCTCCAGCACCCGGCCGCGCTGGAACTGCACGCTTGGGTCCAAATCTGTGTCGAACCGGTCGTTCAGCAGTCTGTACGCCTGAAAAAAGTCGGCAGCCAGATCCTCCTCCTGCTTCTGCTCCAGGCAGTACGCTATCGTGCGTACGGTGTGTCTGTGCACCACACGGCTGTGCAAAGCCAGCTCCGTTATCTCCAGCAGGAACAGCGAGTCGGGCGCTCTGCGACCCATTTTTAGCAGCTGCTGCATCAGATACATGTTGGGCACAACATTGTGATTCACGAGGTCCCTCAGTATCCGATGCTGGAGCATGGCCGTCGCACTTTTAGTGTCGGAGTCCCATCCGGCCATATTTCGCGCAGACAGCGAGTAGTTCAGCATGCGCCCCATAAACGTACGAGACACGCCACACTGCTGTTTGTACATCGTGTACACGGAGTCCAGCGTCACTATGCCTTTCAGAGCATTGAGCAGCTTGAAAAACTCGCCGAGACCCAGCTTCAGTCCCGATTTGTGCATGTCGTGCAAAAAGTGCACTCCAAAAGCGTCTTTGCGCAAAGCATGGGGACAGCCGCACAGATACCGTATGAGATACTCCAGATCCTGCGTCTGCATGTACAACGGAGCCGGCTGGGGCAGTGCGAAGTACGCCTTTTGCAGCCGCGAAATGCCAATGTGGTCCCTTCGCAGTTCCTTGAAGAATTTCAGGTATCCTGGCGACGAGAGCGGGTCGATGGTCTGGGAGTTATTCAGCTTCGCCTCGTACCTCTGTTTGCGCGCATTGTAGTACTCGTGGCTCGTCATTGAGATATCTGCACCCGGCAGATCTGGACGATCAGATGATCTCTCGAACTGGGCTAGATATCGGTCTGTCGCTCGTTCAAGAGTGTATGGCTTATTGGAAATAAAGCTGCTGTGCAACAGCTGCTTGAGATCGCCGTAGGGAACCGCTTCGTGCAAAAGCTCGTCCAGTCGCTTCTTGATCCGATACCGCGCCCTGTCCTCCATGGACCTGGTGTTCGAGGGCCCGTCGAACCACGACAGTTCCACCTGCCGCATCTGCGACACACTGCGGAAGCCCTGCGGCAACAGTATCGCCGCAAAACGCTGCGCTCGCACCAGACTCGTCAGCATCGAAACAGCTCTATGCGGGGAAACGAATAAATCCTTATTTTTATTTTTTTGCGTCCGTATCTGGTGTACGGATGTCCCCATCACATACGGATCTGGTAGCTTTTCGCTCTGGACAGGTAGTTGACGCTCTTGACGGTGGCGTAGTTCATGGAGGGCTCGTGCACTTTGAAGAACTTGACTTTGTGGCCTCCCACAGAATACGAGTCGATCGAGAAGCTGAGCGAGATCGGCGGTTTTGCGGCCACAGCGTCGGCACGGCTGTTCGGCACCGCAAACTGCAGTCTGTGCTTCTGGCCTCCGTTTACTTTCTTGAGGCTCCATTGCACCACGTTTTCCTCTTCGACGAGTCGGCACTTGCCTGATTCCGTGTTTGTTCGCAGTTTTGCCGTTCCCTGCGGCACAGGGATCCGGAGAACAACGTTAGTGGCAGCGACGTCCGACGGATATGCAGACTCCAAGTCCACCGTGTAGGACGACTCGGAGCCACCGCTGTGGGGTTCTCTAGTGGTGTAGACGTGGAACGGCGGGTTATCCACGTCTGTGCGGTAGCTCAGCAGCTCGAACTTGCCGTCGGGAGGAATAAATTTGATTATTTTGTGCTCGTCGAAATCTTTGAGGTTGACGCACTGGTGGAACGTGCAGTCGCTGGATTTGAACTCCTGGTAAGCGTCGCTCTGGTTTTGGTGGACGAGGCCAAACAGACACGTTGGCATGCCGGAGAGACGGCAGTCCATCAGAACACGGCCCTCGACGAACGACCGCAGCACAAAGCCGTTGGCCGTGGTGAGCAGGTTGAAGTCCTCGATGACATCGATCTGGACCGTGTTTTTCTTGTATTTGAGCGCCTGCGGCCGCCAGGGCTGCGGTGCCGCGGTGGTGTCGAGCGGAGCGTTGATGATCTGCGGGAGTTTGCCCGCAGACTTGCGTCTGATGGAGCCTGCCTTTGCTAGCAGGCCGCTGGCGGTGTTGTTTTTGAATCTGCCCGGTTCGGCTGCTTGCGCCGACAGAAACGGCTGCAAGGTGGACAGGTCCATGTTGGAGACGTGGCCGGACTCTATGGACTCGTCCAGGATCTCGTATACGAGCGGAAAGTTGGCCTTGACGTCGTCCTCGGAGACGTTGTCCAACCCAAAAAGCCGCTTCAGCAGGTCCACAAAGCGATGGAGGTACTCGAGAACAACTGAAGCGTCCACGTTGGAGCGCGTGACAGCGACGATCCACAGCGCGCCGTGCCGGATGTGCAGAAATGAGGTGGAGCCCAGGGTCAGCACGGGAGACTTGATATCGGAGCATTTGGAGATGACCTGGATGCGGAACACCTCGCAGACGTTGCGGCGGACGCCGTCGCGGAACAGCCGCGAGATCAGCACCTCGCCCTTGCCGTTGTACACGAAGAATGCGCTGATCATGGTAAATACACAAAACTACAGAGAAACTGGTTTGAGCCGCGAGCCAGATCCGGCACCCTCGCACCGGGCATCAAGATTATAAGTCTGTATTTTTTCTGGAAAATGAGCTGCAATCGGCCATGGCACGGGGCAACCAGAGAGAGCTGGCAAGACAGAGAAACCTGAAGAAGCAGCAGGAGCAAGCGAAGGGACACAAGAAGGAGGGCGACCCGAAGAAGAGAATGGAACGCGACGCAGAGATCTTGCGTGCGAAGCAGAAGGCGGCCGAGGAGCGCAGACAGGCCGAGGCCGCGAAAAGGTAGACGAAATGCTCACTACGTAGACCCAATAGACAGGTTGACTTCTATTTAGCTTCGATCTCGAACTGTTGTGTGGCCTGGGCGGTTTTTTCCACGTCGTACAGGAACTCGAAGTAGGACCGGTGGAAGTGGTGGAGACGCACAAAACCGTCTTCTCCGCCAGATGCGTAGCACGTTCCCTTAGGATGCACAGCCACGTAGTTGAGCGGGCCGAAATGGCCTTTCACACGGCCGATTTCCTCCTCGAAAATCTTGTGGTAGAACCGCGACTCAAACTTACCCTCCGACAGCGACGTGGTGGTCACCTCTCTTGCGTCCTGACCTCCTCCCAAAATCACAAACTCCTTGACCGGCGTGATGCATGCGGAGTTCATCGGCACGTCCGCGGTGTACCGCTTCAGCAGGGACAGACGGTCAACGTCGTACAGACACGCCGTCTTGTCCTTGGACGAGACGATGAAGTACGTCTTGTCGGGCGAAAACTGCAGGTCCGTCAGCACCATCTCCTGGTTTCTCGTGCTGCCTAGCAGCTCGCCCGTCCTGGCGTCATACTTGCTCACTTTTCCGTCCGCGTGGGCTGCCAGAATGTAGAATGCCCCGTACGACCAGCCGGCCACAGTGAATCTCGAGGCAGGACCGTCCTCGTTCACGATTTCCAGCTTCGGAGTGGAAGGTTGCGCGTTCTGTGTGTGGTCGATGTCGAAAAGCTTGATTTTACCCGTCTGGCCCATCACCTGGTCCGTAACTATCAGCACCTGGTTGCCGTCCGGGCTGAACTCGACTCTTTTGACCGGCGACTCCAGCGTCCATGTGTGAATACACTGTCCGTTCTCGGCCTTCCACAGCTTGGCAGTGAAATCGGCGCTGCCAGTCACCGCGTAGTCGGTCTCGGGATCAATGTCGATCGACCAGATGGTACCGTTGTGGCCAACAAAAGTCCCCAGCCTCTCTCCGTTCGACGAGTACCAGACGGACGCCTCTTTACCTTTCGAAACGGAAAAAAGAAGGTCTCCCTCCCTGTTGAACTTCACCTGGGTCAACGAACGGTCGTGACCCTTTAACATCAGAGGTCTCATCATGGTTGGTGAAATATTTAATTTTCCTGAAATTTTTTACCCACTAGTAAAAAGGTCGTGCGTGCGCGATCTACATCCGCGTAGCATCTCGTCTCGCAGTCGGTAACGTCCACAGCACCTGCCACAGCGCACCGACAGTCTCATCGACGTCTCTGCGTCCCCAGATCACCATCGTTTTTCTGCTCTCGCAGAACTCTCGTGTCTGGGCAGAGATGCTGCCCCCGTCCACCGCAACGCAGATGACGCTCGCCGCGAGTGTCTTTTTCGTGTTGGCGTTGAAACTCGTCACCTGGAGTTCTCGCTGTGCTGTGTGGCTGGTGGCGGGCTCGCAAATCTCAATCTGCCAGTTCTCGTATCGCTGTGTATATCTGCGTGTCTCCAAATGCTCCTGAATAATTCCAAAATAGTCCTCTTGTGCGTGGACCAGAAGAATTATATAGCTTACCCCCATCAATGCGGACTCAACAAACACACGAACCCGGTCCTCCAGAAAGTCGGTCACGGTGTCGTCCAGTTCACCTGGCACCTGCGCTTGTGGTTCCACCATGACCCGGAGCTTGCCTTGGTGCTCCATTATCTCGTCTTCAATTTTGAGACGCGTGAGTCTCTCACTGTTCACCTTCTCCTGGATCACAGAGTATTCGTCTTGTGCGGTGGCGTAGTCTGTCTCAACGAAAAGCTCCACTTTCGCGCTCACTGCTTCCAATTTCGAGACCAGCTCGTTCTTCTGCGTCTCGAGCTCCAACACCTGCTCGTCCAGCGTTCCTTTGTAGTTTTTCATACTGTCAAGAGCAGACTTCTGTTGCTCAATTGCGCAGTCCAGCTGTTTTAACGACTCCTCCTTCTTCGACAAGTCATCTCTGGCTCGTTCCAGATTAGCTCTCAGCTCAAGAACCGCCCGCCGCGGCTCACTCAAGTTCTGTTCCTTCCGTCTGTTTTTCTCCCTTATTTCGGTGTCCACCTCCGTAAGCACATCGTTGAGCTTGCGCTTGTTTTCAGCCTGCAACCGTCGCAACTCCTCCTCGAGCTCTGTGTTTTGTACCTCCAAATTAGTCAGCTCCTGCGCACGCACACGGTCCTCCTCCTCGTCCTGTAGCGTGGACTGCATCATTTCATGTATCTGCAGCTCTACCTCCCGCACTTTTCCGCGCGACTGCTCGTCGAGCTCCTTTTTCTTCACTTCCAAAAGCCTCTTGTTGTGTCGCACCTCGTTGTCTATGCTTTTGTTTTTAATCACTAGTGTTTTGTCGAGATTCTCGTAGTTTGCCTTGAGGTCACCTATTAGACTCTGTATCTTGCGTTTCTCGCGAATGATCTGGTTCTTCTCGTTTGTAAGCTCCTGGATCTGGGCCATCACCACATTGATCTTCTGTATAAGCTGCGTGGTCTGCTGTTTCTCCAAAATCAGATCCTGATCAACATACGCCTCCAGAATGTCTATATACTCTCTGGGCGTTCGATATTCAGCAGGGGCAGGCTCCCCTTTGATGGAGGAGGGCATGGGAAGCATGCTTTTTGAGCTGTTCCCCCCACTGGTCTGTCGTAGCAACCCCGTGGGTGTCACGGTTCGTCGCGGAATAAGAGACTTGCGTCGGCTGCTGACGTTTCCGTTGCTCATTGTGAAGGAATAGCTTAGCCGACAAGATAAATCAACTGTATTTTCTTCTTGTTATATATCAATATTTATTATTTACGTTTTTACGTGAGGCTGTGGAGGCTAGTGACTACTCAACTAGAATCTATTTAGCACTAATAGCTTTGAAAGAGCAATACGAAGCGAACAAAAACATTACACCCCTGACGTGATTCTTCTCGGAGCAGAGACCTTTCTCACCCCAACGTTGCCTATCACTTTCTCGTTGGAGCTCGACAATCTAGACCCGTTTCCTCTCACCTTTCCATCCTTGGACCCTAGAGATGCTCTCTGCTTAGGGATAGTCAAAACACCCGACTCGTTGGATGCCGAATGCGTAGGAGATGACGAGATTGTAGTGGTCGTGGTTGTGGTCGTGGAAACACGGCGGAAGTAGGGGGATCCTTGCGGGCTGGTTTTCTTCGTTTTCTCTGACATCTCGTACTCAGAGCCGTAATATGCCTCGTCCTGTCTCGCACTCTTGCGCTGCGGGCTGGAGAGTTGATGCCCAATAGATTCGTAGGTGGCCTCCTCGTCAGAATTGGAGTATGGTTGGTTCTCCTTCGTGGACGAGCGGTACTTGCGAGGCTGGCCGGGGCTTTCCATGGGAACAGCCTTCTGAGCGATCTTGAGCGTTCCAGAGACTTTGCGTCTGCGGACTGGCGTCAGGACGTGGCGGCGCAATTCTGTGTCAACCACAAGGGCCTCTCTTTCCTCGATAACCGTGTACGGGACCAAAGAATGCAGTCCTCCAATGGCCTCATCTGGCTGGTCGTCGAGAACCATGGTGTACCGCCAGTCTCTGAACTGGTTCTGGTGCAGATACAGCCAGTGCTGCTGCGGCCCAACGACCATTCCCGGCCTGATCATTCTCATGTATGCGATACACTCGTTAGCTGTGAAACCGTGTGTGTAAATCAAATGTGCGCCAATCAGACACCCTGTTCTGCCCAAGCCGGCCTTGCAGTGAACGGCGATCTTGCCGCCTTTCTGGATGACGGTTTCTGCTGCTCCAATAAATTTCTGGACGTACTCCATGGTTGGACAGGTTCCGTCCTCAAAAATCATGTCAATGTGTTTTATACCTCTCTTTTCAAACTCGTTCTTGTCGTACAAGTGAGAGTTCAGTCTCACCACCAGCTGAACGTTGTTGCTGACGAAATAATCCAAAACTTTGCGGAAAGGCTCGTTGAGAGGAGCTCCTGGTCGAGACTGCTTGGGCGATGCAAATGCGATGAAGTCTTTGGAAATAACATTAAAGTCTCCCTGGTCCACTCTCTCGTACTGCTCGTACTCTTCCAGATTGAAGGAGGTGATGTCGAGCATACCGCGCTCCTTGGCGCGCCAGACCCCGTACACGACGTCCTGGATGGTGAGCTCGAAGTCGGCGTGGGAGTACCCTGCGTCTCTGAAGCCGCAGAACGGAGGCTCCTGCTGAGCTATCGGCTGGAGCACCTGGTGCGGCGACCAGTTCTGGACAAGCACCATGTAGCAACACAGGAGACAAGCGGCGTTGGTTCTCTGTTTTGCGCCCGTAGAGGAGTAGAACACAACAGCCTTGCTTTTGTTGGCACTGTCGTTCAGAATGTTGTGCAAAGTGACGGCAAACCTATACAGATGGCCAAGATGCAAGGGACCGAAATCCAGATGAAACGCGTTGTACGGTAGAGCTTCCTCGACGGTGAAGAATACCAGGTCGTCTGTGTTCTGAGGATGGTAGTCGTAGCTGCCGAGATACACTCTGCCTTTGAGAAATTCTATAGCTTCGATGGCAATTTTGCGGGGCATGTTTGTGGAATGCAAATTGGACGAGCTATGGCAGGTCTTGTGACCGATGTGAGGAAGAAACTTTTATTTATTGTAAACAGGGGGGGATGTTTATTTTTTGCTACATGAGGAATCGCCAATCTTGACGAGTGCAAATAATTTAAGGCGGCTGTCGACGCAGGGCGTCTGTGTCGACGGTTTCTCCGGAATTTATTTAATTTTATTTTTCACAGAAAGTTCTCTAATATGTCATTTCGTTCGTTTGGCTCGTTTGGCCAGTCCCTCGGGTTGGGCACTAACGGCTACGAGGTCTCGCTCAACTACATCACGGGCGTGCCAGACCCGAATCTGCTGTCGTCGGCAAACCTGAAACTCGTTTTCAAAGCCCTTCTGAAGAGAGACGATACGACAAGAGAAAAGGCCATTGTCGATCTGCACTCGATTGTCGACTCCAGCGACGCCGAGTTCCAGGACGAGCTCGTGCTCATGTCGTGGTGCCAGCTGTACGCAAAACTCGCAACGGACAACTCGAAGAAAGTCAGACTCACCGCGCACCAGATCCAGTCGAAGCTGGTGGCGCTGCTCGGCAAGAAATACGTCAAGTATCTGCGCGACACCGTGGGGATCTGGATGAGCGGGTGTTTTGAGAACGACCGTGTTGTTTCCAAGGGCACCATAGTGTCTATTTCCGCTGCCTTCGGAGACTCTCCGGAGAAAACCAGCAATCTGTGGAAAATATTCGCCCAACAATTGCTCACCTACTGCCACCAGCTGCTGCTTTTCGAGACCATAGAGACGCTTTCGGACGAGAGATTCGTCGGCAAGGAAGAGAGCGAGATCAAGTATCTGCGCACGGTGCAAGCAGGAGTGCAGATGCTGACCAGTTTGGTTACCCGACAGAACAACGGCGAAATACAGCTCGACGAGACACTTTTATCAGAGCTGCTTGAATCCGACCAGTTTGTCTCGCTTTTCGAGTCCAGGGACCTCCAGATCAAAAAGGGCATGTATGTGCTGCTTCAGCGACTGCTACAGACAGAGCTGGGCGATTTGCTGTTCAAACACCTTGCCAAGGCTGCTATTCGAGGTCTCAATCTGGAGAAAAAAAATTCGGCTCTCTACTCCGGAATAATAATCCCTGTGCTCGAGACCGTCGTCGCGCTCCTCAGAAAAGACTCCCAGACGGTCGTTAGCATCAGAAAGGCCACCCAGCGCGTTCTTGATCTGTTGCGTCTGGGCTCTCTAAACTCAGATCCGCACTACTACTCGGTGGTGGCCACGCTGCTGCCGCTGCTGCCCCAGGACGACCAGACCAGAAACTCTTTGCTGGAGATCCTCGAGAAGGACGTCAAGTCCGAAAAATTTGCCGTTTTCGCCCAGCACGCGTGGACATGCTATCTCGGCTACTGCGAGAGAGTTTCATGTGGTGTCGACCGCGTGCTCAAAGTGCTGGTTCCAGCGCTGGATTCGCGCAAGCTGCCCGCCAACGTGATTTCCGGATTCGCCGGCGCCGCGAAAGTTACTGACGACGACGGCGACGTACTGCTGGACCTCAACTCTGAGATCCTCAACGCTCTGCCGGGCCGCTCCGTGGAGTTTGTGGACCTCGGTCTGGTCGTGAAAAACGAGGCTGTGTTCGTCGACAACTATGTGCGTCTGCTGCTCCACGTCGGGTCTGATCTGCTCGACGACCTGGTTTCCAACGCGATCGAGTCGCTCACAGACCTGCAGGACGAGTACGTGCCGCCCTCCCTGGCAATTTCCGTCATTGACAGCGTTGTGCGGTCGAACAGTGTGCAGTTCCGCTCTCAGGTCGAGTCGTTCGTCGGCGACGCGTCGAAAGTCGTCACGCCGCAGTTTTTCGAGCCTGTCTTTGCTCTGCTGGTGGCCATAGCAGGGTCCAAGTTCAATGTGGAAATCTATGACGCCGTCAACGACGTCGCTGCCAAACTCGACAGCGACAAAATGCAGCTGTTCCTGAAGTACATTGCCGACATCCCTGGCTTCGATCCTGCCAGATGCGACAAAGTGAGCACGTATATCCACCAGAAATCCGACTCCGCCGCCCCCGACGCCGACGACTACATGTTCCAGTTCCTCACGCCGGACGTGCTCCGCAACATGTTCAGCAAACTCTCTGAGGCGGACACGGCGATGTTTCTGCAAAAGTGCAACCGGCACTACCAGAACGACGTTTTTCTTGCGTTTGCAGACGAGAAGTTCCTGGCTGTGCTCTGGAAACGACTGGGCAGTGCGGATGCCGACTCGTTGCTGGACAAGCTGGAGCAGAACCTTGGCGACCAGCGGTTTGAGCAGCTGTACATCTCATCGCTTCAGAAGGGTGTCGTCGAGGCCGACAGAACGGCGCTCCTGGAGAGACTGGCGACAAAACCCCAGCTTGTCTCGAAAGTGCTACCGGACAAAGTGGTCGACGAGCTGGCTGGGCTGGTCGATAACGTTGACCACCGGCTTGCCGTCTCAAACAAGCTGGGACTGGGAGTTTATCTATTTCCAGCAGGTGAGCTGACTGCTGCAGACCGGTTTGCAACCTATTTGGAGAAGATCGTATTTTATTATGAGCTGGCTTCCAAAGCGGGCCTTTTGAGCTGCGAGCTGGCGTTCCAGTTTGCTCTTGTCGGCGAGGTTGCTCTGGACTACGTTTTTCTGGGCCTTTTGGATGACGAAAACAGAGCTCTCGATTTCCACTTGCGCGTTTCTGCCGAGCTCAATTTCGGTACAAGCCTGTTCGAGCAGTTCGTCAAGGACGACTTTTCTGGCGTTCTGACTTATCTTCGGTCCTCTCCTGCTGTACAGTTCTACGCTGCGCGCGTTCTGGCTACGATATTCACGAAACTGTTCGAAGCGATGCAATTGTCGACATTCAACGGCTACAATTTAAATAGAGTGACCGACCCCGTGAAACTGGCCATCCTAGCCACCAGCGCCAACAAATTCCTCGCTGCCGCCGCATTCGACCGCGTGCGCAACCAGGCGTGTGCCAACCTTTTGGGCATTCGCGGACATACCACCACCACCAACGGTCTACAGGGCCTAGTCCTGCTAAACATGCTTATAGACCTCGATCTGGACTATATCGGAGAAAACGTCCAGCTTTTCCCTGCCCAGAGATTTGGCATGATGCTGAACGGACTCGCCAGCTGGCCAGAGTCGGAAGACGCGTACGAGCCCTCGTTTGTGCCGGTCAGAGTCGCGCTGTGCCAATTTGTTGAAATTTACATGAAAAAAATTTATCATGTCTGCGACACCAACTATCCGTCCGATTTTAGCGAGAAGGTGTTGGCGCTCGGCGCCACGCTGTGCTCTGAGTCGTTCAGCATCCTCAGCTCGGGCGACGACGACGCCACCCTGGCATACTTTTCGCTCAAGTTGTTTGCCGTGCTTCATGAGCACCAGGTCGATTGGAACGAGGAAGACGTTTATGCAGACCTAGTGGAGCTGCTGTTTGCTCCTGCGTCCGGCCAGGCTGGCCTTCTTGTGCTGTCTCTGCTGACGCGTATCTTCAGCGACCAGGTGCCAACAACAGCTTACAAATCGCGATTTGACGACCTGCTCCTGCTGCTCTCCTCTTCCAACACACAGGTGCAGAAACTGGCCGTATTCCTGTTACACAGAGTGATTCCAGAGCTGCAAGACGCGCTTGTCGTGGAGGCAACGCTGAACCAGGACGAAGAAACCAAGTTGCCGGCACCGCTGCTCGAAAATATCGTGCTGCTACCCGACGAAAGCGAAATTGCAACCAATAAATATTTGTGGAGCTGGTACCTGATTTTCGACCATTTCAAAAACATCACACAGAAAATCCGCCAGGACTACATCCTGGAGCTCGGCGAAGACCGTATGGGCCAGTTCTTGGACTTTCTGTTCGACATGGACCTCAAGCCGACAGAGGACAACCGCCGCGCGCTGGTGGAATATTCTGTCATCGACAGTGACGGCGACGACCTGCTGTACCATCTGATGTATCTGTTCTGCAAGCACGTTGGCGGAAATACCGCGCAGACGTGGTTCCAGTCGATCAGGAACAAGCAGCACAAGTCGCAGATTGAGACGTTTATTGTCAAGAACGTGAGTCCGTTGCTGATCGACGAGACGCTTGCAGGACTCGAGAAAAAGGACACCATCGAGGACCCGGAGTTCAGCATCCGGCTGAACAGAACCACCAACGAGGTGCGCTGCGTGTACCAAATCGACGAGCAGAAACTGGAGATGTCGATCGTTTTGCCGAAGAACTACCCGCTGTCGGCGATCAGCGTGAACGGAACAGCACGGATCGGCGTGGACGAGAAAAAATGGAAATCGTGGATCCTCTCGTGCCAGTACGTGATCAACTTCCAGAACGGCACGATTTTGGAGGCCATCCAGCATTTCAAGAACAACGTCAAGGCCAACTTCGACAACTACGACGACTGTGCCGTGTGCTACTCGATCGTCCATGTCATCGACCATTCGACGCCAAACAAGGTGTGTCCGACGTGCAAACACAACTTCCACTCGGCCTGTCTGTACAGATGGTTCAAGAGCTCTGGCTCGTCTACGTGTCCATTGTGTCGGTCGAAGTTCCAGTTCAAAAAACACAGCTAGTTATACAAATTGCTCCTCGAGCAGCTTTTCCATCTCGTCGACCGTGAACGGGACGTACAGAATCTCTGCGCCGGCAGAGTTTTTCGTGAGCGTGCACATCTTGTGCTCCACAAACTCTCCCAGCACCGTACGGAAAGATATCTCGTTAGAAGTAATAAATTCCGACAGACACTGCTGGTAGAACTCCTTGAGCAGCAGACTGTACCTGGTGCTGCCCTTAGTGGCGCCTCTTTTGTCGAGGTCGTCGTGGTTCACGCTCAGATCGATTTTCTCCAGCTGCTGCAGAATCAGCAGCCGGTACAGGTTTTTGGCGTTCGCCGTGAGCGAGCTCAGAACGTACTTGACACCCTGTGTGCCAACGAACTTGTTGCTCTTGCCCAGCCCAAGCGGATCCTTGAACCCGTTTTCGATTTTGTACGACTTGTATGTGGTGATGTTGTGCCAGATGAAATTAAAATTGTAATGCATGCTGGAGTTCCAGAAAATAGGCATGTTCAGGTTGTCCATGGTGCACAGAAAATGCACCTGCTCGATCGCGGCGATCTCGCTCAGAACCTGTTGCATTCTGTCCGTGCGCAGCGCCTCGCCGTCGATGTTGTTCACCAGCAGGACGCACCTAAGATCGCTGTTCTGCGCAAAGCTCTCCTTAATGTTGGACAGTGTTTCGTGAATGTGTGGTGCTATCGGGTTCTTGATCCCGAGAACAGTCTCCTGGATCATCGACAGCAGCGTCTTGGGACGGAAGTCCGGGTTGTACCCGTTGACAACAAGACACTTCGCGCCGGGCACCGCGGGCAGAAAATGTCGTTGCAAAAATTCGAGCACCAAAAGACGTTTCGAGCCAACACCGTAGAAAACCAAATTGAAGCCCTGCTGCAGCTCAAACGTCCACTGGGGGAACTGGAGCCGGTAGTAGTTGTTCAGGTTCGCTATCTGGTGCTCGGCGGACAATTCCAGGATCTTGCTGTATTTTTCGTACTCCTCGTAATTAAGCTCTGGAGCCAGCGCCATGGACGCCGTCCCGGGCTTTTTGTTTTTCAGCTTTTGCTGCTCAAAGTAGCCCTCGTGGCCGTCGTAGAAAAGCGACTTTTCCTCGTCCGCAAAGTTCAGCAGCAGGTCCTCCGTTCTGTCGATGTTGGGGACTTCCATCAGCTTTACTGTGCTCATTTTTAGCGGTTTGAGATCGGCCTCCTTCAGCGGCGCAACGCTCGCACTTGGCGAGCTGGACGCGCGGAAAGCCGTGCGAACAGCGCTGCGCGGACGCCGTATTCGCTTTCCGCCAAACTCCTCGTCCGACGAAACGCCCTCGTCGACGTTTTCCATCGGATCGTCCTCGGCCTCTTCCACCTCCTCAAACTCGCTGACCGACTCCTCGCCGCTCTCGTGCTCGCTCTCTTCTAGCTCCAGAGGCGCCAGTCCGTCCTTTTTGCTCTCGGCAATTATTCGGTCTGCCAGAGCCATCTCCTCGGCGTCGATTTCGTCCTCGTCGTCCTGCAGAGACTCCAGCTTGAGACGCGTGGCCCGCTCCACCGCCGCACGATTGAGCTCCGCCATCGACCGTTTCGCCGGACTGCGTAGCTTCGCCAGCCGCAGCTCTTCGTCCTCGGGTCGCTTCTTGCGCGGCGACCGCAAGCCAGCTCTTCCAGAAAACGGCGAGCTCATAATTAAATAAATATTTTGGAAAAATTAAAGTACGGTAGCAGAAAATAAGAGGAGCATTTTGGCGACGGTTCTGCCATGTCAGACGTGTATTTCGGGGTTTGGGGAATGCTGATGCCATTAAGGAAGCCCAAAAGCGCTCTCCAGTAGCATCACATTCACTCATGGCGCAATCAATTAGCCTACTTCTAGCACACTGGTATATTTAATAATAAATATTTCTTAAAACTGTAATCATCCAATTTAACTACTTTGCTACCCCCCCTTAGCAGACACAAACACAGCCTTTACACCGTCGTCCGATAATGTCCTTCACCTACTCTAGAGGGTGGCTCCTTTCCAAATCATCTGCTTCGCACACCCCTGCACCACAAATCTAATTAGCGGCACTAAATCTTATCCGCTAAAAAATTCGTTCCTCCAGCACGCCAGTCCACCATGTCGTCCAAGTCCCCTGACGAGTCGTCGCCGCTTGTTCCAGTATCGTCCGGGCCGTCATATACCCAGGAGCCTGAGGGACTCAAGCTTCTGCCCGCAGACACCACGTTTTCCAACGAGGCTCGATACGTGCTCACCAACTCGATTCCGGTGCTTCTGACGTTCGTGTTCCAGTACCTCTTCCAGATAATGATTCCGATCTACTTCTCGAGCAGGCTCGGGGAGACGTATCTTTCGGCGTGCTCCTTGTCGCTCACTACGTTCTACGTCACAGGACCCGTGATAGTCAACGGATTTTCCACGTCCATGGATACCTTGTGCTCAACGGCTTTTGGAGCAGGCAGCTATTCCAAAGTGGGCCTGTACTACCAGCGCTGCACGGTGATATTGATGCTGATTTTAATTCCCAGTGGCATATTCTGGCTAAATGCCGGATCGGCTATCTATATGGTCACTCGAGACGAAAACCTGTCCAGCTTGTGCGCACAGTATCTCCGTGTGATGCCCTTTGCCATTCCTGCCATTGTGACGTTTGAATGTTCCAAAAGATACCTCCAATCGCAGAACAAGTTCAGTGCTCCCACCAGAATAATATTCCTCGCTGTGCCCGTCAGCGTCGCACTGAACCATCTATTGATCCCCAAACTCGGGTTCCTGGCACCCCCGCTTGCATTTGTGTCAACCTACTGGCTCATCGCCAGCTCTCTATGCCTTTACATCTGCTTCGTCGACGGCTACCAATGCTGGCACTATAACACCACTTTCCGCCAGCTCACCTCCGAATGGGCCCCGTTCTTCTCTCTGGGCCTTCCCGGCGTGCTCATGATCCTGTCGGAGGCATTTGCGTTCCAGGTGATCACTTTCCTGTCGGCAAAGTTCAACTCGTTGGAACTGGCCTCGCAGTCGATCGTCTCGACCGTCGCGTCGTTCGGCTTCCAAATCCCTTTCTCGGTCGGGATCTGCTGCTCTACACGGCTCGCCAACATCATCGGCGCCAAGTCCGAGAACTACAAGATTGCCGTTGTCGTGTCGCTTTTTGCGGCCTGTTTCCTCAGTCTCTTTAATTTCTGCTGGATGGCTCTTTTCAGAACCCGTCTCACAAAATTGTTCACCAACGACCCAGAACTCATTGCCAACGCCAGCAAACTGTTCTTGGTGGTTGCCTTCAACCAGTTTTTGGACTGCATCAATGTCATTTGCGCGGCCATTCTACGAAGCCAGGGTAGACAGCGGATCGGGTCGCTGCTCAGCATGATATGCTACTATCTGATAGCCACGCCATTCGAGGTGCTCATGGCGTTCAGCTGGAAGATGAACGTCTTTGGGCTGTGGCTAGGTCTCGCAGTGGGAGTGGGCACGCTCTCGCTGGCAGAACTGGCTATTGTGCTCAAATCCGACTGGGAATCGATAATCATAAAAAACACGGACATAGTTTGATAGAATAGACAAAATAGCAACAACATAACATTCTGGGTATCATTTATTCGATGTAGGATCCGAACACAGAAAGAGCACCAAACGTCAGCGCAGAGCCAAACGCAAGGCCAGCCAGAAACGGCTTGGCCTGCACCCGCTTGGTCTTCCTTGCTGGTTCTTGCTCTTGGATCTCGTAGACGCTCACAGTAGCGTCTGAGATCGATCTCTTTCTGCACGAGCGCTCCTCCATGTCAGACTCGATCTTGATCTCGGGCTCCTTTTCTGGCTCACGCTCGATTTCCACACGCTCCGCAATCACTTCCTTGAGAATGGCATCTTCCTCTGGCGCAGAGTCCGAGTCTTGGTCGTTGCTGCCGAACAGATTGCAGCTTTCCTCGCACACAAGCTCGACAATGTGGTCAGAGTCAACCTCCTCACTAGGCGTCTCCTCACTTTCAGAGTCCGATAGACCATGGGCCCAGAAGCGTGTCCCGTGTTCGGCACATTCGCACTCAATCTCGCTCCCTGAGTCTGAGTCGTCTTCGAAAAAGTCCTCATAGCCCGGACCAAAGTACGTGGACTCGATGATCGGCGGCTCGAAGGTCTTGCTAAACATGTCGCGGAGAGCTCCCAGATGCTCGTCCTGGAGTCCTCCAAACGCGACCGCGTCCTTGGTTAAATCGGTAAACGTCCAATCCCAAAGGTCCTTTTCAGGATTCTCACTAGCCAGTCTCAGATACTCGTTGCGGTTGAGCCGAACGGCACGCAATCTCATTCGGTAGTCGGTCACCACTTGAAACTGCACTTTGGTGCATCTAAATATCTCGAATGGATCGTTAACCCGGCACTTGCCGAGAACAACAAGCCCGATAATATCGCCATTGCGCAACATAATGCGGGTCCCGTTTTTTTTCAGCCTCATAGCATCAGAGGTCCCAAAGCGTAGCAAGCAAGACCCATGCTGGGAAACGTCTTTGATATAGATTGCCGACTTTTCGGTGTCGCTGACGGGAGTCACATAGCCAAGAATGTGATTTGCGCTCACAGCAGCGTCATTCACAAGAAAATTGTCCTGCTTTTCCTGTCGTTCTGACTTATCGCTTTTGTGGCTCGCTCTCCCAATAATTAGAGAGGGGGATATTGACTCCCCTGCCTCATTGAAAATTGGCGGCTTTAACTTGATCTCACGATAAGGATACGTGTCCTTGGAATTGACAAATTCAAAGGAACTTACTTCAGGCTCAGCAACCAAATTCGCAGACATGGTTAAAAAAGGGTTGTAATTTGAAGGCAAATACAAATTGCGATAAGGACTTTCTAATATTTACGGCTGTGCAGAGTTGGTCAATTTTTTTTAGCTGCGGCTTGCGAGTATAGATCGACCGCTTGTATGAAGAAAGGGAAGTTGGTGTGGTCCCGTGTGACTGCAAACAATGGACGGTTCTCGAAATTGTAGATTGGCGCTCCATTTAGAGATTGCGGCATCCCCCGTTCTCTGGCAAACTTGATAATCAGTTCCGGGGAGTCCAGCACAGCCAGCTCTTTGTCTACATACGACTCAATATCAGAGACGTCGCCGTCAAATTGCACAAAATTCCTGACCATCCTGACCACTCTTTGCTCGCCATCTTCTTCACTCACCAACTTAACTGTCAGCCCGTCTCCTGCAGAATAAGTCTCTGAGATCTGGGCCGACTCCAGCTGCGAGCTCACCGGTGCCGGCTGTAACTTTGCAAGTCCACTATCCTCGTCCGATGGTCTATCCGGCAATTCATGGTGTATCTCACTGTTTTCTATCGTTATGGTCTCGGAGTTGTTCACTCTTAACAGCTTGATCCAGGTCTTCTCAAAAGACTCGCCGTCACTCAGAGCTGATACCTCTGTCTGGATCATTGACCCCAGTCTGTCCAAGTTTTTCCAAGGGTTGCCGCTTCTTTCGTAAAGCGTGACGGACTTCATTCCCGAGAAAAGTGCCCATGCGACCAGCCTTGCAGACTCCGCACACACTCTCATTACCTCTGAGGCCTTGTGCGTGTGGTGGGCTGCTGCCCACTCGGCTCTCTCAGATAGCACCTGGGAAATCTCCTTCTTTTCGGGAACCACAATCTTCTTTTCGGCTGTCAAGTAAGGAGTGGGCAGTTCTCTGGGTGGAGGCACAACCAAGGGATTCAACTCGTAGATGACCATCAAATGTTTAGGGACCCGTTTGCCTGCCAGTGCTTGTCTAACCATCAATTGATTTTTTGGTATGCTTGCTGCCAGCGAGTGCGCTAGTGCGTGGTTGCCAATCGTGGTACGTAACTGTAATATCCTCCTAATTCTAGATTGTGATGGGGGCTCATTGGACATCTGAGAAATGGCAGTACTAGGGTCCACCGATTTGCCCCCTGACGAGGGAAAAACCCCTAAAGAATAGATAATCCACCAGAAGTAGACATCCATAACCAGCAGCGTCCATTGGACCCAGCTCCACAGATCAAGTAATAGCCCATATAGTCCGTGCAGTCTCTTGAGCGATTGCCGCCGTAATTTGAACTGGAGCAGTCCCCATGTGTTGGTGTGTGCTAGGAGCTCCAAGTTTGATCCAGCAATAATCACGTCCTCGAGTTTGATGGGCGCAGGACTATGGCCTGCTCCGCCAAACATCTTGAAAGTGAAGAACCGCGTGTCTGAGGCCAGGATGCTGGGCTTGATGATGGACGACTGGCTCGAAACGGCCGACGAAAGCTCTTCTGGAACATCTTCGGACATGACGGTGGGAATTTGCGGAAGGAGATTGACTAGATACTTGTTTTTCCCTCTTGTGCCCCTTAAATAGGACTCATCAATTTCCCCTTGGTTAAAAGAGGCGGCGCACGACCTGAAAAATAGTATATAATTTAGCAACTGGCCAGGCCAAATACTGAATGAGTTCTTGCGGAGACCCTTGCAAACCACAGGCCTGTGCAATTCAAGGTGAGTACACGAAGCATTGAGCCGTACTAACATCGCAGATTGTCTCAAAGCGAACAACTACAACGAGTCGAGATGCACTAAACTGATAGACAGGTTGTACGAGTGCTGCACGAAATTCTACGAAGAAAATGGCCAGGACGCGAGATCGCCCTGCTGTCCGATTCCTCGACTGCTCGCATTAAAAGTGAAGCAGCGCACACAGGAAAAATTGGACGCAGAGTTGGTGCGATAGATGTATGTTTTGGACCACGCGAAGCCGGTAGAGCCTGGCTTCGCTTGAATGGCGGTGTAAACACTATGATCTTAGGCTAACCCGAGCACAAAATATGAACTGACAACCATATCCTGTGACTCTAATGGGCGCCTTTGAGTTAAGACATTATTTAGAAAAACAACTTTTTATGCGAAAATTTTCCATTTATACCCCTATTCTATTTATTTTTGGTATATTCGTGAGCGTCCGGTATTAGTGATTTCAAGCGAGATTCTCCAGGAACCCACAGGTTGATCGTGGTGGGCGTGGTTTCCATGCGGACGTTCTCCTCGAATTTTTCTATGGCCTCGTCGATGCTCACCGGATCGATGCCTTGGTCTATCAATTGCTGTCTCAATAGTGCAATGTGCATTTGCATCTTGCCCTGGATCATCATGTGTTTCTTGGAATTTTCCACCGAGGCAAGCGTGATCTTCTTCTTGTAGTTCTGCATCTGGATGAGCATCTCCTTCTGATTTTTGCGGAGTAAGGCAAGCTGTCTCTCGTTCTCTTGCAACTTTTCCAGCAGCTCGTAGAGCAGGATGCCCAGCGTGACGCTGATGGTGAGCGACGCAAATCCGATCCCGAACCCGATCCCAAGATTTTTCAGCTTTTGAGAGCTAGAGATCGGGGGCTCTGGCGGGCCCACGGCGGGCCGTCGCAGCTGGTCCAGCGTCTTGGGCGGCTCTGCCGGGTTCCTGAAGTACGAGGGAGGGTGGTTGACAGAGTAAAACCGCAAATTTCGCGTGCGAACGGCTTTCAACATGTGGCCTTAATCTCCCACGTCTACAGAATTTTCCTTAGCAAGACTAACTCCCGATCGCTGGAGGCTAAACGGTTTGGAAACTACACCTCGCACCACATACTATATTTTATTAGCTCGTATCAAATACTGTGCAATTAGTGTCTTCTAGATTCAGCAATGATCTTGTTCATCTCCTCGACCTTGGCCTTAGCTCTCTTCTGGGTACCGAGTCTCTTCTTGGCGAGCTTCTTGGCTCTCTTCTCACCAGCGTTTCTGATGAGTTCGATGACTCTTCTTTCGTATGGGGCGAGACCAGCGACTTCTCTCACGAGAGATCTCACGAAAGCGGTTCTCTTGGAGAGAGCACCCTTTCTGTAGGAGATCTTTGGAGCAACCTCCTTGGCCTCAACCTTGTGACCTTTGTTCAAACCAGCAGCGATACCTGATTGTTAGTGTGACGGGTGCGTGAGGGACAGCAAAACGCGACTGACGGAGAGCCGTTGTGTGCTGTTGGCAAATAGCCATCATTGATTGTAAAAGCTGTCTTCATTAATTAAGGTTGGATCATCTTGTTCATGGTGTATGCGTACGGTCGATATCCATATCCACCTTGCCCGTGTCGTCATGACAACGTTTCTCTCGTCAAATCAGCACCTTTGTGTCTCCCTTGCGTGTCTAATTATACATACCAGACTTAGCCATTTCGATGTGTAAAGTGTATTCTTTCAATTTCTGTGAAAATTTTCATATTCAGTACCCAGGTCTGCCATTCTACAATCCGGGTTTCTGATGAATTTCACCCACCCCTTGAACTCTACACCTGAAACCGCTGTCCGTGACTGTGAAAATTTGTCAATGATAATGTTACTTCCCGTGTACGGATGTCTATGTACATACGATCTATTTCACAATAACGTCGCTCAGGTCCACCTTGTAGTGCTCAAGCTCTTTCAGAAGCTCGTCAAAAGGAGCACTCTTGCGTCTGTTGTTGAATGCGGCAAACCTAAGATTTCCAGGAGTGTGCAGCTTCACCACAGGGTACAGTTTCTGTAGAAGCTTTCTTCTGCCAACCACCAAAGAAACTGGCTCTCCGTTGTATGTTCCTTTGAAGAAAACCTTGATCTCGTTGCCCTCTATGTCACTCAAAACTTCGTAGTTCTTCACGTTAGCCTTCTTGGCGCGTTCCTGGGCCTTCAAGACATCGTATCTGAGTCTCCATCCGAAGGGGCCTAATTCCTTGATTCTAGCTCTCTTATCCTTTGTGAGATAGTTGTCTAAACCTCCCTCCTTCGTGATTGTTCTCAAAACGCGCGCAGTCAGTTTCAAGGGCACCATCTTGTTCAGCGACTCAGACCAAAGTTTTTTGTTCACCACGTTCGGGAGCCATGTCCGGCGTGCCCTGTTTTTATGTTCCGAGACTTTGTTTCCAAAAACAATGAACTGGCCGCCAAATAGTCCACGGTTGCTTCTCTTGAAAATACGAGATTCTCCGTATGGGTAGGGCGGATACTTGGGTGCCTCGGCAGGTATTCTCAAACTTCTCGGCTTCAAATCACCAACCTTGTATTCGACTTTTTTCTTCAGTTGGCGATCGACCACATGTCTGTAGTTGCGGCCCATGGTGCTTGTTGTACTCGAAAAGGCCCGCACGCCGCGGACAACATCTTTGAGCGCCAAAATCATGTTAGAGCACAAACACTTTTTTCGCTAGCAACAAGTTATTGGTATTTTTTTGATTTATTCTTTGTCTCCGTGTAGAGATGTATCTTAGCTCTATACACATTACCAAAAGCCACCCTTCTTAAACCACTTGCCCTTTGCTTCGCTGATCTCAGACTTTGCGTCCGCCAGCTCTTTCGTTACGAGTGCAAGCTGCTCTTCCAACAACCGATTTTCCTCCATAACCTCGAGATTTCTTTCCATGGTCTTTTGAATTTCCATATTCATGTTGTTGGAAATTTCGCCTGTGAAGTCGACGTTCGTATCGTTTTGATTCTCCAGCCTTCGAAGCCGCTCTGTCAGCTCGTCGATCTGTTCCTGCAGTTGCCTATTTTCATCTTGCAAATGAGCAATTTCCATCTTTCCCTGTACCATTTCGTTGGCGATTTCTACGTGCTCGCGATTGAGTGTAGCATATTCTGCCTCGATGTTCCTTATGTCCCGCAGAAGCTGGCCATTTCTTGTCTTGAGCTGTGATATTTCGGTTTCCATCTCTCCTTCAAGCTTGTGGATTTCGACGAACTCTGCCTCATACCGTTTCAAGTTCACAGGAAGAATATCGATGGCCATAGAGTCGGCCACAAAGTCTTCGAGTTTGTACGTGTCGATAGAGATTTCCCTGTTTGAGTAGCCATCTGTCAGCGTTCGTGGTGCGTTCTCATCACCGCTGTTGTCGACGTAGTAGAAAAATAGCTTGTCTTTCAAAAATGGTAGCGAGTCATCGAAACTCAGTTCCAATAGCTGTTTTTGATTTTTCATCATCAAGTTGATAGCAAACTTGAGAAGTGACTCAATGCCTTCGGCAATGACAATATCATATATGCGCAACACCATTTCCAGCGGGAATTTGTAGCCAAAAACAGTCAGGAACCACTGGGTAGCATACATCGAGGACCTCACGCCTTCTCGTTTTAGATGCAAATACAGCTCGGGCAGGTTGTCTTCCATGAGTCTGTCGAATTGGTACAGTTTCAAGTGAAGCCCGGGCATTTGAGGCACAAATAGCTGCTTGAAGTCGTATGTGTTCATGAGTTTCACCAGCATGCAGAACGCCTCACTGGCTTCCATATTCATCAACAAGGGAACAGTAATAAATGCCATTCCCTGAGTGTAGCCGACCTCCTTGTCATATATGCTGTAGACCTTGATGATCTCGTACAGATCGACGATCTTCGTTTTGACAGCACTATTAGTCACAAAACTCGTTCTTGCCAGATCTCTTTTGATTAGTTTCTGGTACTGGCTCTCACAGTTGCGATTGGCACGGAAGAACTCCTCCAGCTCCATAGACTTGGAATTACAGATCACCTGCCACACCATCCCGCGGAGCTCTCGCGGTATTCCTTTGGTAATATTATCAATCAGCTCCGCTGATTTGTTTTCGAGAACCGAACTGTAGTCATTGATAACCTCAGACCAAAATTCCCAGTCGATTCTCTTCACCAGCTCGTCGTCGTTAGTGTACTCAATTCCTGTCTTGATCTCGTTGAAAGTCCTCCTGATCCCATTAGCTCCCTGACTCAGCAGCTCGCGGTCTTTGGTGGACTGCGAATTGAGATCCTCAACGTTCTCCCAGTACCGTGAGAATGCCAGACTCTGATTCTGGGGGCCGGCAAGCTCGCTCATGATTTCATTGAAGTTGCCGTTGGACTCCTCCGAGCCCTTCATGTTGAACGCAAACCATCTCCGCAGCGTTTTGACGGGTCTCTTCATTGAATAGTCCGAGTTATGTCTCTCCTCCCCGTTTTGTTCTTGTGGAATATTGTCGTCAGCAGCTATCACAACAGGCTCTTCATCGCGATGCACAGGCTCCGGAAGCTCACGAGGAGGAAGCTCTGGAGGAATCAATTTCTTCTCAGCAACAGGCTCTTCTGCTGGAACCTCCGAGGAAACGCTGCCGGCTTCTGCTATCAAGGCGGAACTCTGTGGATCATCTTTGACGGAACTGTCTGTTTTTTCGATTGTGACTGATTTGGCTGTGGAAATACTAGACTGGTCATTTTCAATGGGGGTAGGCAGCTGCTCCTCGAGCTCGTCTTCTTTCACCTGAACAGGAGCAAGTTCCGGCTCAGCATCAGCATGCTTGGCTTCGTTGCTCAAAAGAGTGACACTGGAAGCATCTATGAACTCGTCGTGAGATTCGGGTTCCGACTCATGTTTTGAATTATTCACAGACTCGCCACCATCCTCCTGGCCATCTCCCTCCGTTTCCGGCTCTTCTGCCTCGACCTCAGTATTGACTTCCTGGGGTTCCTGCAATTCTTTTGTCTCATTGACATTTTCTTGGACATCATCTGAAATGGCAGTTTCCAAATCGCTCACAGAGCTTTCTGTGCGCTGGCTGCCCGGCATTTTTTGCTTTCTGTTCTTCTTGCGTGCCATGGAAAGCAGAAATCACGCTCCAAATAAATTGCAAAGAAAACACCTACTTTTTTATTTATCTATTTACACTAAACGTGCGGTGCACGGGTTTCGTGTCATTTAAAAATCAATTCATAAGTAGCCTACCTAGTCCCGTCATCAACCATGATAATCGCGTCCATATCGCTGTAGATCTCGCTCACTGGGATATCTGGCGCTAGAAATTCCAGACCCTCACTGGACGAAAGCACCGGATGCTCGTCAAAAAAGAAAAGCGGGTCGTCTTCGGAAGCAGAAGAGTCTGAGGAAACAAAGCCGTCGAAACAGTCAAAATCAGGGGAATCGCATGGATCGGCAGAGCTCAGCGAGTAAACGCCGTCGCTAGCCATCGATACGGAACGGCTTTCAGCGCCTTTGACTACGCCGCTTCGGATTCCAGACTCGGCAAGCATGGTCTCCATCTTGGGTACGTCGCAGTTGGGAAAATGACATCGGATCAGGTTCCTATCGTCCAAGTGCTCAATGACGGTCACGCCTATGATCTCCTTCAGGCGTTTGATGTCGCTCAAGATCAACATGCGGTGCTCAAACTCGTTCACAAGATAGGCATTTTCGAACTCCTGCATAATCTCGTCGTCCAAAAGGAATTTCTTTGGCAGTGCACGGTCGTGGCACTTGAGGCTGAACTCGACAACACAGCCGTCTGTCTCGCTCTCGGCTCTGGCAAGCTGCATGTTGTGCTCCACAAAGTGCTGGTTGGCGTTCTGGGAGCCGTTGGAGTCTCTTCCCATCAGCTTGCTCTGCAGCTCGTGGCCCTTGAGAATCGAGGCGCGGAGTCCCTGCGACAGGTTGTGTGCTGCCTGTGACGCTAGGGTGTGGCCGTAGGTGGAATACATTCTCGCGTTGTGGCGAGTGAAGTTGGAATATAGTGAAGAAGGCGCGTAGTTGCACCCGGCTCGGAATGTGACTCTGAAAGGCTGCACCTGGTATACAATGTTTCTGGTGACAGACGACACGGAGGATCTTGAGACTGCGCGGAGATGCACCGGCGCCCTGCGCGAGGTCGAGTAGTAGCGCTGGGCCCCGCCAAAAGCGCCAAACTGGACGCCACGGGCTCTGCGGTTGGCCAGAGGATGACTCTTTGTCGGAATTCGAACGGGCACGCGTTCGAGCTGTACTTCCAGCTGTCGTTGCCGCTGGTTGGCAATCAGCTGCTCGGCAACGTCGTCGAGCGCCTGGCGGATGTTCCGCGCAGACCTTCGAGTAGCCGAGATCAGCTCTCTTATCTTGTTTGCAACCATACGCTGGAATGTTTTTCGCCACTCGGATTTTGCGCTACGACGATACAGCACTTGCACCGCCACGTGTGTGGCTGGAAAAAAGAAATACCTAGTGGCTTCCCCACAATTTAGATCAAATATCTCTAAAATACATTATTTGATACAAGAGCATATAGCTTTGAAGATTTGGACAGCAATTTTCTGGTTCTGCGGAGTGTTGAGCTGCTCGAACATGGACTGCTGATGGGCATTTTGCTGCTGGTGCGGTTGTTGATACTGCGGTTGCTGTTGATACTGCGGTTGCTGCTGGTGCGGCTGTCCACCTTGCAACTGGACGTGGTCGTCGTCCGGAACGTTCTGGTGCTCATTCATGGCGCCGATGCCGTTCGGATTGATGTCGCTCCATGAGGCATGGATCCGTGCGCCAGCAAGCTCAATAATCAGAACACCAGTGTTTTTCGGATTAATGTAGCTTTTCAGGCCGGCCTCGTTGCAAAGCTGCTCCACGGCAGGCTTCAGCTTGGCAATGCCGTTTTTCGAGTGCAGCCCCTTGCCAACAATGCACTCCAGATGGTGCTCGTTCCTGCTGATACCGTTGATGATGCGCTGCTTGAGAATATACTGGGCCTCTCTCACGTACAGACCGTGCAGGTCGATGTCGTTGCAGTCGGAGTCCAGGTTGTTCTCCCTGAAAACGTACTCTGCGGCCTGACGGTTATAGTTTTCGGCCTCCTGGGCGTACCTTTGAGCCTGCGTCGAGAACTTCTTTGCCGCAGCGCCGTCTCCCTGCTTGTACGCGCGCTGCGACTCGCTCGAGAAGTGCTGTTTCTGCTGATAGGCTTGGTCGGCCTTCTTTCGTAGGATCTCGTACTGCTTGTCGGTGGCATGGTTGTAATCCTTCTCGTCTGGGTGTCAGTGTGGAAACGGCTTACTTACTCGAAAGGAACGCTCCGCGGCTCATAACCTCGGTCATGGTGCTGGCTCTGGTTCCTGAATTTCATTTGGAGTGGAAAATCGACGCGACGGCCGGGGCTGCGGGCCCTTGTGTATGTCACGTGCGTGGGTTTTTTCTCATTTTTTTCCTCAAGTCAAATTTTTCAAAAATATTCTCATCCAACTACACAATGGCTGCTCCGTATGTTGTTCGCTAGCGAGCAAGGATCTGGACGGTTCTTGTTGTGACATGACACTCACGCCTATGGCGTGGTTTTGAGATTATTACAAGCGAGACGGCAGGCCCGCGCTCCTCGTACTTATCTCACCGTCAAACGCACTGTAATCCGGCACCGGATACAGCTGACACCCTGTTCATGTCCTCGGACGTGGTGCTGCTGCGTATCGCGCAGAGCGATTGCAGCTAAAATGATGCCAAAGAGAGCCAGGCTTTACCTCCTCTCTCTGGAGACATTACAGCTGGGAATGTTCTTCAGGGACAGTTCCCGGCGGGGAATGTGGCAGAGATTGCGTTTCACACGTGCAACCTCCAGAGGCCTTACTCTGGATTCCCGCTACTAACCTCTAGAATTGCTAAACCAGAATCTCAAATCAAAAAGACCAAGCAGGCTGCCAAGACTGCTGAGCAGGTCGCTGCCGAGAAGAAGGCAAGAAAGGCCGTATGTATAAGCTTTGAGACGTCCCATCAGCTGATGAAAACCTATTTTGAAACGGCTAGCTTAGGCAATGAAGCTTGTTAGTTAACCATCTTTCGGGACTGATTTGGGACGTCAAAAAATTTTTCATCCTTACTAACTATTTTAGGCCAACAAGGAAAAGAGAGCAGCCATCTTCAAGAGAACCGAGGCTTACACCAAGGAGTACGCCGACGCCGAGAGAGCTCTGATTGCTGCCAAGAGAGAGGCCAAGGCCAACGGCTCTTACTACGTTGAGGCCGAGCCAAAGCTTGTCTTTGTCGTCAGAATCAAGGGTATCAACAAGATTGCTCCAAAGCCAAGAAAGGTGTTGCAATTGCTGAGACTGACCCAGATCAACGCTGGTGTGTTTGTGAAGGTCACCAAGGCCACCTCCGAGCTCATCAAGTTGGTCGAGCCTTACGTTGCTTACGGCTACCCATCGCTCTCCACCATCAGACAGCTCATCTACAAGAGAGGTTACGGTAAGATCAACAAGCAGAGAATTCCTCTGTCCGAGAACTCCATCATCGAGGCTTCGCTCGGCAAGTACGGTATCATCTCCATTGAGGACCTGATCCACGAGATCTACACCGTTGGTCCAAACTTCAAGCAGGCCAACAACTTCCTGTGGCCATTCAAGCTGTCCAACCCATCTGGCGGCTGGGGCGTGAGAAGAAAGTTCCAGCACTTCATCCAGGGTGGATCTACTGGTAACAGAGAGCACTACATCAACGAGCTGGTCAAGAAGATGAACTAGGCGGATTGTGTACTCATAATAATACGACGAATTAAACCTATTATATTTTTTTTTCTATTTTTTCTGGCACACCCAGTCGTTCAGGCCGTATCTGTTTCTGAGAATTTCAATGGCGTAGAATTGCAGTCTCACCACAAAGATCGTTCCGTGCTGGTCGTACTCCTTCGAGGCGTCCGATCGAAGCAGCGTGCCGAAATTGTAGTCCTGCACCTTGTCCTCGAACTTCTTGAGAAAGTTTCTCCACCGCGCCTTGCCGCCAGCAGACTTCATGTCGTCCTCGCTGACCTTCGCCACGCCTTCAGGAGACGCAAACTCTGGGAAGTCCTTGAGCACTTCCTCGATGATCTCGTCGTCGTACTTGGTCAGCTTGAGCTTGCTGCCGGGAATCGACTGCAGCAGGTTCCAGTACGTTTCCATCTGCTGGACGGCCTTGACGGCAAACTGCTTTTCGATGTCCTCGAGGTTATCTGCCGTTTCTGCGTCAAAGGTGTTGAGTGACATGAGACCAATTATTTTATTATATTTTTTTTTATTTTTCTGCCAACATTTGTGCAAATCAGTAGAATTCCAAATTGGTAGCAGCTGAGCAGAACAGATTACAAAATGCGCTATAAAAGACATTGCGCTGGCCGTACTGAGCCAAGCAATGGACTCAGAGAAAAACATCAGTGTTGTCGAGCTCGAACAGCAGGAAACCTCCCGCAGCTGGCTGCACCGCACACTAGCCACATTCAGACCCGCCGCCGTCACCGACGGCGTCGCCGCGCCCCTGAAACACCAGCTCGGCTCGTTCCAGATGCAGATGATCTCGCTGGGCGGGTCAATTGGAACCGGCCTGTTCCTCGGGTCCGCCCAGTCGCTCAGAGACGGAGGCCCCGGTGGCATTCTGATCTGCTACTCGCTCATCTCCGTCATGGTGTTCTGCATGGTGCACTCGCTGGCCGAGCTCGCGTGCAACTTTCCTGTTCCCGGGGCGTTCTCGTACTACGCCACCACGTTCATCGACCCGAGCTGGGGCTTCGCGATCAGCTGGAACTACGTGATGCAGTGGCTGGTGCTGCTGCCGCTCGAACTCAGCGCCGCCTCCATCACATTCAAGTTCTGGGACGGGTTCCCGATCGGCGACGGCTACCTGATCACGGCGTTCTTCGTCATGATGATCCTGATCAACATGCTGCCCGTGAGGATCTACGGGCTTGCCGAGGTGCTGTTTTCGGTGACCAAGATCGTTGCTATTTTCGGGTTTCTGGTCACGGGACTTGTGATCTTGTTTGGCGGAGTGCCCCATCACGCAGCCATTCTCGACCGCTACTGGAAAGACCCGGGCCCGTTCACGCCAGCAGGCTTCAAGGGCATTGTCGCCGTGTTTGTCACCGCGGCGTTCAGCTTCAGCGGCACAGAGCTCTGCGGCCTGTGCGCAGCAGAAACACCAAACCCGATCAAGTCGATCCCCAAGGCGTCCAAACAGGTGTTCTGGCGAATCCTGTTCTTCTACATCAGCTCGCTCACACTGGTCGGGCTGCTGGTGCCGTACAACGAGCCGCGGCTCATGGCCCGCAGCGAGCGGAGCGCCAACAGCTCGCCGTTTGTGATTGCTATCCGCAACGCGGGAATCCCCGTGCTCCCGTCGATCATGAACGTGGCGATCCTGATTTCGATCCTGTCGGTCGGCAACTCGGCTATCTACGCCACGTCGCGCACGCTGGTGTCGCTGGCAAAGGCCGGCATGGCGCCGCGCTGCTTCGGCTTTGTCGACCAGGGCGGCCGGCCAATGGTGGCCATCGGCGTGACGCTGGCGTTCGGGTGTCTGAGCTACGTGTCGCTGGTCGGCAACGGCGCACAGATCCTGTTCTCGTGGCTGCTCGCGCTGTCCGGGCTCAGCTCGCTGCTCACGTGGTGCTCGATCGGGTTCTCGCTGATCCGCTTCCGCAGCGGCCTCGCCGCGCACGGGCAGGGCGCACGTGACCTGTGCTACGTGTCGCGCACGGGCCTGTGGGGCGCGTACGTGTGCTTTGGGTTCGGCGTGGTGGTGCTGGCGGCGCAGCTGTGGATCGCCGTGCTGCCCGTGGAGGGCGCCGCGAGCGTCGAGAAGTTCTTCAAGGTGTATCTGGGGGCGTTTGTGGTTGCACTTTTTTTCGCCGGGCACAAGCTGTACGTGTACGTGACCACGGGCGAGCTGGGCTTTGGCGTGGACCCGGCGCAGATGGACGTGTTTACAGGGCGGCTCGTCGCGGACGAGAGCAAGAAATACGGCTCCGAAAGTAGCATTTAATACAGAATCTAGTGTTTGTCCTCGTGCGGCACAAACTGCACCGACACGGTCTTGAGGTTGTCGTGGTTGAGCTTGAGCTGTTTTTTCAGGCTCTCGCCAATGTGGCTCATCTGCTCGAGCGTGAGGTGGTTGGTGTAGTCCTTCTGGTTGGCCGAGACGTCGACGATCACGTTGAGGTTGGTGCCCGACGGCAGCACGGACAGCTTTTTCACCTTGAGGTTGCTGTTTTCGCGCGCAAGCTGCGCGACGGTGAGCTCGCGCAGGCTCTGGTAGCGCGGGTCCGACGACGGCAGCGCCTTGTCGATGAGCTCCTTGAACGACTGGAACAGCCCGGAGATGCCCACCTTCATCACCAGCACCGACACGATCAGGCCGCCCACGGAATCTAGCCAGTAGATGTTGAGGAAGTAGCCCGACGAGATGGTGAGCACCGCCACGACCGACGTGAGCGAGTCGACGCGGTGGTGCCACGCGTTGGCAATCAGCACCTTCGAGTTGAGCCGCGCGCCCACGTTGCGGGTCGCGCGGAACAGCCACTCCTTCACGGCAATGGACGCCAGCGCCAGCCACGCCGCGTTGATGTCTGCGGTCTGGACGGCCTGCGCCGCGGCGTCGTGCGTGTGCCCCGTGTCGTGTGTGTGGCTGTGGCTGTGAGAGTGGACGGGCAAGTACGATAGCACGTCCATGACGCTGTGCGGTAGCACGGGCGTCAGAATGTCGATGAGCGAGCCCCAGCCGATCTGGAGCCCCGCGTACAGCAGAATGGCCGACACAAAGAACGAGCCGAGCGTCTCCACCTTGCCGAACCCAAACGGATACAGCTCGCTCGGGGTCCGGTTGCTGTACTTGACGGTGGACAGGGTGAGCACGTCGGAAACAAGGTCGCCGACGGCGTGGACGGCGTCGGCAATGAGCGCCTGCGAGTGGAAATACAGCCCGCCGGCAAACTTGGAGACGGCCATGGCGACGTTCACTCCGAGTCCCACCCAGGTGATCTTGACGCCCTCGTTGGCCCAGTCCTTGGTGTCGTAGAGTTTCGACGCGTCGGCGCCGTGCGAGTGCGCGTGCGGGGCCGCGTGCGAGTGCGAGTGGCCGCCGAGATGCGACATCGGCAGGTGCGGGTTGAAGAAGTCCTTGACTTTGGCCCAGCCCGACTGGGGTGGAACAGGGGGTGTCGACGACGGGCCGCTGGAGTGCCGGTGCTCGTGAAGAGCGCGTGTGCTCGTGCTGAGCGGCGCGCGGGCCCATATGGGGCGCAGGAGCACGGGGCCGCGGCGCGCGGCGGGCGAGACACGGGCGTACATGGCGGATGTGTGTGGTGTATTACGGGTTTGCTCTACTTTTTTTTTTTTTCTTCACCCAGACTCGGGGGGAGGGTGATCGACGCGCCGATCGACGCGCATCAGCTCGGCCACCTTGGCGCGCAGCACGCGGCGGTCCTCCTCGAAGTTGACGCGGCAGCCCTCCATGCGGCGCAGCGCGTGGCGGATGCCCGCGAGGTCGTTCTCCAGGATGTCCGAGATGCTCAGCTTGAACGTGTAGCAGTTGCGCAGAATCCACAGGATGTTGCGGTACTCGGGTGGCAGCACCGTCAGCTGCGAGTTGGACCAGTAGACAAACTCCACCAGCTGTGCCAGCGTCGGCTTTCGGTCCATCTGCTCCAGGTGGTGGCGCGTAGACTTGAACCGCATGTCCACGTCGCAGATCGGGCACAGGAACCCGCTGATCTCTGTCTCGTCCTGGTCGCGCAGCCCGAGACACCCGAAATGGAACCACTGCTCGCACGCCTCGCACTCAATCATGATGCCGTTTTCGTGGCGCATGCGGCACACGCAGTAGCTGCCGCTGTCGGGCGGCTCGGCAAACACCTGCTCGTCGAACCGCTGCCAGTCCTCGAAGTAGCTGCGCAGTTTTTTCACCTTGGCAAGCCCGAAATATAGCACCAGCTGCTCGTACCACACGTCCACCTGGTGCTCGTAGAACTGCAGCGTCTGGTGCTCGGCCGCGAGCGCAGGGTACCGCGCGACCTTGTGCGTGATCTCCTGGAGCAGCGGCCGCGAGAGCTGGAAGCTGGCGTCGAAGTAGCGCAGGTTCGAGTCGATCATGCGCAGCAGCTCGTCTGTCTGCTCGAGGTCGCCGAACCGCAGCTGCACCGTCTGCGCGATCTGCTCCAGCTGCGCGTACACGGCCGCGTACTCGTCCAGCACGCGGGCGACCTGCTCGCGCACGGCGTGGTCGAGCGGCAGGCTTTCGTACTGGTCGTAGAGCTCGCGCAGCCGCGCCACATCGTCCATGCTCGCCAGCAGCTCGCGGTTCGCGGCCGCCGCGTGCTCTTGCGTCTGCTGCAGCTTCTCGAAAACCTCCCTGTCGGCTGTCGCGGCCACATCCTCGCCCTCGTCCAGCAGCTGCGCCAGCTCCCGCGTGTCGGCGGCAGAGTAGTCCAGCGCGCGCACCTTGCGCAGCCACTTGCTGCGCCGCAGAACACGGTCCAGCAGCAGATACGAGTTCAGCTTGACGCCGAGCGAGCTGCCCAGCAGATGCAGGCTCTCGAGCTCCTTGTCGTCCGGGCGGTGCAGCAGCTGCTGCACCATGTCGTTGTACTTGGCCAGCTCGCCGCAGTACTCGAGCAGCTGGTCCATCTCGGGCGTCGAGACGGGCAACTGCGGGATCTGGCGCAGCAGAGCGTCCAGGTCGGCGAGCTCGTTCCAGGCGTCCGGGTCGGCGTGGCCCTCGCCCCGGCGCTGCCGCATCCGCGTGGACACCTTGAACTGCAGGAACTTGGCCGCGCGCGCCGCCCAGTCCTCGGTCTCGCGACAGTACTGTTTGAGCTGCCGGTACGTTTCGTAGGCGGGCAAGTCCTGCGGCGCAAGCGTTTCGGGCCGCTGGAAGATGGCGTCGCCCTCGGCGAGCAGCGGGCGCAGCAGCTTCGTGGACGGCTTGTCGTAGCCGGCGATCAGCGCGTCGTACTGCGCGAGCCACTGCGCGCCGGTGACCAGCTTCGTGCGCAGCGCCCGCTGCGCCACACGCAGAGCGTCGTCGGACAGCTGCACGCACAGCTCAGCGCGGAGCTCGTGGGTGTCGCGCGGCGTGGCCAGAAACCGCGCCACAGACATGGTGAGCGTTTCCGGGCGGCGTCGGTCGCTCACGACGACGTACGAGGGGAACGCGTCTGCCAGGTCGGCCTCGGTGACCGTTGAGCTGGGTGTGCCCGCCGTGGACGTCTCCTTGATGTGGCTGGTGCGCACGGCTTCGCGCAGCTGTGTCTCGCGCGCCACAAGCGTCTCCAGCACCGGCTCCAGCGCGGCCAGCACGGCGCGGTCGTCGCAGTTCACCGCCACATTCGTCAGCAGCCGGAACGTGGAGAACGCCGGCGGCAGCTGCTGCCGCTGCAGCCAGTCGGCCGCGGGCAGCGCGCTCTCCAGCCACACGCGGCTCGCAAACCGCACGCTCTCGCTCACGCTCGTGCCGAGCGAGAAGCACAGCGAGTACGCCCCCGGGTACTTGAGGACGATCTCGCCGGGGAACTGAACGGTTGCAAAAAACCGCACGCCGTGCGCGCGCAGCTGCGCGGGCGTCACAAGCATGGACTCGTCAAAGCACTCGCCCGCCTCGACAAAGCGACGCAGCGGCTCGTGCTTGAGCGCAGCACGCGCCACAGGCCGCGTTGCCCGTATCTCCTCGAAAGTCGCGCGCTCGCTCGGCGGAATAAAATACCACACCTTCGGCGCGCCCGAGCGGTGGTAGTCTGCGCGTTGCAAAAAATGGTCCTCGAGACTCCAATTCTCGCAGCTGTACCGCGACGCCACACGCACCCGTGGCGCAAGCAGCGACGTCTCCTCGCTCAGATACTGCAGCAGCGAGCCCTCGCACACGCCCAGATACCGCAGGTTCCAGGGCTCTGGCTGCTCGCACGGAGCAGGCGTGTGCATGGCGTAGAAGGCGTCGAAATCGGCCTCCCAGAACCCGTGCTCGGTGCCCAGCTCTGGGCCGTTCGCGAGCGCGTCGAACTCGCGCAAATCGGCAGAAAACTCGGTCTCTGCGTCGTCCTCGTCGACGCTGCTTTCCGACCAGTGGTAGAAATCGTACGACGGAAGAGTGTGCGAGTCTGGCACCGTGAGACCGGCTTTTTGCACGGTGGAGGCGTCGAAACGCGGCTCAAAGCCCAGCCGCAGCAGCTGGTCGCGCGAACGCACCGGCCGCGTGCCCGCGTTCGCTATTCGCTGCTCTCTTTTTGTCTGGCGCCGGACGCTTAGTTTGCCATGTATTTCGATAGCTGGCCTTTTCTCCGGCGCAACGACCTTGACGGCGCCGTACTGCTTGCCCTCTGCGCTCAGCGACTCGATATAGGCGATCGCGGCGGCAAACTCCTGGGCTGACGGCTCGTGCACGGGGACGGCCTCGGCCAGCTGGGACTGCTCGCCGCGGTTTGGGACGTTCTGCAAAATATAGCCCGGCTCTGTGCTGCGAGACAGGCTCGTCTTGGGCACTCCGGCGGCCTCGAGGCGCACGGCAGGCCCGGGCGAGCGTAGCGGCGCAGGGTCGTCCTCGTGCTTGATGCCAAACGAAGGTTTGTGAAGGCGCTCCTCGGCCAGGTGGTTTATGTTTGCTGCAGAAATGGCGGATACCGGCCTCAAAACGTCTGGAATCGACTCGGTAAGCGTCGAGAGCGAGGGAAGCGTGATCTTGGTCTCGACAGACCCGGTCCCCGCGGCCCTTGCCGTGAGGGGCGGCAGGGAAAAGTCATCGCCCAGCGCGGCCAGAGACGGCAGCGTGATCCGCGGCGGCATCTGCTGGCCGACGGGGGGTCCTGTGGCAGAAGAGTCCTCTAGCATTGGTTTAGTGAAATATATTCCAATATTTTTTTTTTTAATATTTTTTCCCCTGGAAAATACATGCGTCGATCGACCGATGAAAGTATGCTGGTTACACAGGAATCGGGAGCAGCGAGTGGCTCCGCACAGGCCGCAGGCTCGCGCTGCCGGGAATGATGACCTCCTGGAAACTGGCCTGGTCCAGCAGCGCCTCCTGGAAGCTGGCCTGCTCTTTCATGCCCTCCTCGATGGACCTCTTGATCAGCGTGTCCCAGTCGGTGGTGAGCACGTAGTAGCACTCTGCAAGCGAAACAAAGCACAGCGCGCACATCATGCCGATCCAGAGCCCAATGAGCCCCATGTGCAGGTGGAACCCGCACGCGAACGCGATCGGCAGCGCGAACACGTAATAGCTGACGAGGTTGAGCCAGCCGCTGATGTACTGGCGGCCCTGGCCACGCAGCACGCCGCCGCTGACACAGGCAATGGCGTCGTTCACCTGGTACGCGGCGCCGATGATCAGGACCTTGCTGGCGAGCTCGACGACCTCGGGGTCGCTCGAGAAGCACGAGACCACTGCTTTGCGGAACCGCACGAGCACGACGGCGTTGACCGCGCCGAAAAGCACCGACATCCACGTGGCAGCGTGCGCAGACTTGACCGCGGCGTCCTTGGACGCCGAGCCGATGAACCAGGCCACTCTGGTCGACGCGGCGACAGAGATGGCGAGCGGGATCTGGTAGATGGTCGAGCCGGTGGTGGTCATGATGGACTGCGACGCGAGCGCGGCGGTGCCGAACTTGGACGACGCAAACGTGATGATCTCGAACGCGAGCCACTCGGCCTCGATCATGATCACGCCGGGGCCTGCGAGTCGCAAAGTGCGGCTCCAGTTGCGGAACACGTCGCGCGAGAAGCCGCACCAGCACTGGTAGCCGTTGACAAACACCGCGTAGCAGAAGAGCATCGTCGCCATGCACCAGTTGGTGATCACGACGGCCGTGGGCGCCCCCAGAAACCCGATACCGTACGTCTCGTTCCAAACCAGCTGGTAGTTGAGGACTATGTTGAGCGGCGCGCACAGCACAAGCACAAGCGTCGACGCGTGGAAGATGCCCTGCGCCTGGAGGTACTGTTTGAGCACCTCAAACACGATGTAGCCCGGCACGCCGTACAGCAGCCGTTTCAGGTACGACGAGGCCAGGTCGCTCAGCCGCTCGTCCTGGATGATTTTCAGCAGCAGCGGCCGCGACCCCCAGTGCAGAAACGCGTACATCGGCACGTACAGCAGCAGCAGCAGCACAAGACACCGCAGGCTGTGCAGGCCCACTGCCCGGTAGTCCTTTCTGCCGTACGCCTGCGGACACAGCGTCGACAGCGACGACGCGATTCCCTGGATGATCGCGTACGCAGACACGTTGCACAGCAGGTTTGACAGCGACACGGCGGCCAGTTCCTGCGAGCCGAGGTTGCCCACGCTGAACACGGACGCGACAGTGAGGGAGAACTGGAGCAGGAACGTGATCACCAGCGGGATCGCGCTCACTGCTAGCAGGCCGAGCTCCTGGAACGTGGACGTCTCGACCTCCAAGATGAGGCCTGCGTCGGTCGTCTTGGTGGGGATGAGGTTGAGTGGGTTGAGCTGCGACATGGACGACTTCATCGACGCCCTGCGGCCCTGGATGTAGTGTTCCTCGTTGATGGAGCCGTACTGGTGGAACGATTCGTCGGCCAGGAGCGAGAGATCGTCGTCGTCGGCGTAGGACCGCGTGGAGGGCCGCCTGGCCGCCCTGACAGAGTTCATGGGGGAATAAATATTTGTTTACAGGCTAGGATTTTTTTGGGAAGGGGGCACTGCTTTTCAGAACGCGCAGATGCGCGGTGCGGCATGAGTGCTGGGTACGCAAAAGCAGGAGATCTCGGGCGTGTGGCGTAGTTGGTAGCGCGTCTGCCTTGCAAGCAGAAGGTCATCGGTTCGACTCCGGTCTCGTCCATTATCTTTTTGTTACCCCTTTTTTTCGTCTCCTGCTGACCAGGCGAAAACGCGTCATTGGCTGCGGGATTCTATCCCACGCGGGGGTGGCCCCACCTCGATTGACAAATAAATCAGGCTCGAGTTTTTTTAGCATCCTTACGTATGTGGAGAACCTACTACAGAGCATTAAACTCCGGCAAACGGCCGCTGCCACGGCTCTCTCGCACGCTGGCGTCGTCGGCCAGGCAGCTGCCCCGCAGATCTCTGGCCGCCGCACTGGTGGCCGGCCTCGGAGCTGCCCTCGTGTGCACGCAGCTGCCCGGCAGACCGCAGCTCGCCAGCGAGTCGCCGGCCGGGCCAGCCGTGCCCAAACGCATAGTGCCCGTTGCCGAGTTCGTCAAGCACAACCGGCCCGACGACTGCTGGGTCGCCATCCGCGGCCAGGTCTACGACATGACAGAGTTCCTGCCCCACCATCCGGGCGGCCAGTCTCCCATTATTCGGTACTCTGGCCACGATGCCACCGAGCTGTTCGAGCAGCTGCATCCCAAGGGCACGATTGAGAAGTTTCTGTCGAAAGACAAGCATCTCGGGCAACTGGACGGGCCTGCTCCGGCGCTGGAAGTCGTCGAGGACGAGTTTGAGGAGGAGCGGCTCGAGAACGTGGCCAACATGCCGAACGTCAACGAGGTGATGAATCTGCACGACTTCGAGTACATTGCAAAGAAGATCCTTCCGAAGGGCGCGTGGGCATACTACTCGTCCGGCGCCGACGACGAGGTGAGCATGAGAGAAAACCACTACGCGTACCAGCGGATCTATTTCCGGCCGCGGGTGCTGGTGGACGTGAGCAAGGTGGACACCAGCACGACGCTGCTGGGCACGCCGACGTCGGTGCCGTTCTATGTGAGCGCGACGGCGCTCGCGAAGCTGGGCCACCCGGACGGCGAGTGCTCCATCGCGCGCGGCGCGGGCAAGGAGGGCGTGATCCAGATGATATCCACTCTGGCGTCGAACTCGCTCGAGGAGATCGCTGCGGCACGGGTCCCCGGCGCCACGCAGTGGTTCCAGCTGTACGTGAACGAGGACCGCAACGTGGCGTTTGAGATGGTGAAGAAGGCCGAGAAGCTCGGCATCAAGGCCATTTTCGTCACCGTGGACGCTCCGAGCCTCGGCAACAGAGAAAAGGACGCACGGGTGAAATTTGAGGGCGAGTCGGACGTGCAGAAGAGCAATGAGGTCGTCCGCAGCCAGGGAGCGTCGCGCGCGCTGTCGTCGTTCATCGACACGCGGCTCACGTGGGAGGACGTGAAGAAAATCAAGCAGAGCACCAAGCTGCCCGTGCTGATCAAGGGCGTGCAGCGGCTCGAGGACGTGGTGCAGGCGGTGGACGACGGGTTCGACGGCGTGGTGCTGTCGAACCACGGCGGCCGGCAGCTGGACACGGCGCCGCCGCCCGTGGAGCTGCTTGCCGAGGTGGTGCCGGAGCTGAAGCGGCGCAACAAGCTGCGCCCCGGGTTCGAGATCTTCATCGACGGCGGCGTGCGTCGCGGCACAGACATCCTCAAGGCGCTGGCCCTGGGCGGGCAGAACGTGCGTGTGGGCGTCGGGCTCGGGCGGCCGTTTTTGTACGCCAACTCGTCGTACGGCGAAAACGGCGTCCGCAAGGCCATCCAGCTGCTCAAGGACGAGCTCGAGATGGACATGCGGCTGCTGGGCGTGCGCAACCTGCGCGAGCTCGACGAGACGTTTGTCGACACGAGACGCCTGCTCGGCCGTGACGCGCCGGACGAGCTGTACAACCAGCTGTACAGCCCGCTCAAGACCGTCAAATTTAGAAACGAATAGAATCTCGGCAGAACCTCAGCAGTTGAGCTCTGTTTTCTCAAACCGGTGTAGCGCGTCGACCAGCCGCTGCGTCTTCAGCCAGTAGTGTTTTTTTTCTCTGTCTGCGGCCGCCAGCTCGGCGCTGAGCGTTCGGTGCAGCCGTTCGAGCCTGGCGTGGTACAGTTCAAGCTGCGCGGCGTACTGCTCGAGCGCTGCTGCCGGCAGCGCGGCCGTGTCGACCTGCGGCTTGGCCGCGTACGTCTGCACGAGCTGCTGGTGCGACTGGGCGATCTTGCGCTCCAGCTTGGGACACTGGCCGCGCAAACGAGGCGGCGATGCGGTTTTGTACGACACAAGGTCGGATCTGAGCGGGTCGGCCGCGACAGGCTGTTTGTGATGCCGTTCGTGCTCGTACAGCTCGTCGACGGCGGCGAACTCGCTGCTGCAGCGCAGACACGCGAACGGCGTCTTGCAGTGGAGCACGAGGTGGGCCAGCAGCGCAGAGGGCGAGTCGCACGGCCGGCCGCACAGGTTCCAGCGGCACCGCTGCGCGTCGCCGGCGTGTTTCGCGGCGTGCACACACAGCTCTGCCGGTGCGCCAAATGCGGCGTCGCAGTCGGCCCATTGGCAAAAATAGCGGGCTCTATCAGTGGACATGGGTGGGTGTGATTTAAGAAAAATTTGTCGAAAATAAATAATATATTATTTGATTAATTATGTCCTCGCTCCAGCTCAGAATTTTGCACACGCTGGACCAGAAGCAGCAGATCGCCGACACGGCGGCCGAGTTTGCGGACGTCGACACAGCGGCCATGCAGGCGGCGCTGATGTCGCTCGCGGCCAGAAACATGGTGGAGTACAAGACCCACGAAAGCGACAAGTGGATGTTGACGGCGGAGGCCAAGGACATTGTTGCGCACGGGTCGCACGAGTTCCGGCTGCTGCAGAAGGTGACGGAGTCGCTGGACGGGCTCAAGATCTCGGAAGTCGACAGCGTGATGGGCAGCAACGGGAAGGTGGCCCAGGGCAGAGCGTTCAAGAACGGCTGGATCGGCAAGGACGGCGACAAGCTGGTCGCCAAGGTCGCTGCGGGCAGCCAGGTGCAGGACGCGACCGCGGAGCAGCTCAAGGAGATCGAGAAGACCGGCGGTCTGGCCAACAAGAAGGACCTGGCCGAGCTCAAGAAGAGAAAGCTCATCACGCAGTCCAAGGTGTTCACGTACAGCGTTTTGAAGGGCGCCGAGTTCGCGCTGGAGATCAAGCAGCTGGAGACAGACATCACCAGCGACATGGTTGTGAGCGGCTCGTGGAGCAAGGCCGAGTTCAAGCCGTACAACTTCGACTCGCAGGGCGTGATGCCGTCTGCCGGAGCGCTGCATCCGCTCAACAAGGTCAGAGAGGAGTTCAGACAGATCTTCTTCAGCATGGGGTTCTCGGAGATGCCTTCCAACCAGTACGTGGAGAGCGGTTTCTGGAATTTCGACACGCTGTATGTGCCGCAACAGCATCCGGCCAGAGATCTGCAGGACACATTTTATCTGAAAGACCCAGCTACAGCTAAGGAGCCCCAGGACAAGGAGTACTGGGAGAACGTCAAGAGGGTGCATCAGGACGGCGCGTACGGGTCCATCGGGTACAGATACCCGTGGAAGGGCGAGGAGTCGCTGCGGACCGTTCTGAGAACACACACCACGGCGATCTCGTCGCAGATGCTCAAGAAGCTGGCTGCCGACCCAAAGCCGACTAGGCTGTTCTCGATCGACAGGGTGTTCCGTAACGAGGCGGTCGACGCGACCCACCTGGCCGAGTTCCACCAGGTCGAAGGTGTCTTTGCCGACTACAATCTGACGCTCGGAGACCTGATCGGCTTCATGCAGCAGTTCTTCGACAAGATGGGTGTTCATGACCTCCGGTTCAAGCCCACGTACAACCCGTACACCGAGCCCTCGCTCGAGATCTACGCCTGGCACAACGGGCTGGGCAAGTGGGTCGAGATTGGGAACTCTGGGATGTTCAGGCCGGAGATGCTCGAGGCCATGGGGCTGCCAAAGGATATGAGAGTTCTGGGCTGGGGACTGTCGCTGGAGAGACCTACGATGATCAAGTATGCTGTCAGCAACATTAGAGAGCTGTTGGGACACAAGGTTGATCTGGACTTTATCGAGAGCAACCCTGCAGCCAGACTCGATGAAGCTATTTTTTGAATAATAGATAATAAAGTAAAATAAAATAAAACAAAATAAATACTGTAAAATAAAATAAATAAAATAAAATAAAATAAATAAAATAATAATCATGTCCATTTTCTGCTCCCTTGGCATGTTCATCCTCGACGAAATCCATTTCGCCGACGGAACGTCCCTCTACAACGTCCTTGGTGGAGGCGGCGTTTTTGCCATGGTCGGCTCGCGGCTCGTCCTCGGAAGCCAGCACAGCAGGCTCTGTGGTGGCATTATAGATATAGGCAGCGATTGTCCGGAAGAAATACTACAGGAGCTGCAGAGCTGGAACCTGGGCGCGGTTTTCCGCTACGACAATACGCGGCTATGTACGCGCGGATGGAACAAGTACGGACTCAACGACTGGCGGGAGTTCAAGTATATGACGCCCAAACGGAGAATTGAGGTGGACGATTTGAAGCAGCACGAGCACTTGATCCGCTCGCGGTCGTTCCATCTGCTGTGTTCGCCAGGCTCGCTGCGCGAGATGCTGGAATCCATCATTTCTGCAAGACCAGACAAGCCGCTCATTGTCTACGAAGCCATTCCTGACCGGTGTCGCCCAGAGCATCTGGACGCCCTGAACGCGGCCCTTGAACACGTTGACGTGTTCTCTCCCAACGCGGCAGAGGCTGCTGCATTTTTTGGCGAGCCTGAGCCAACCGATAAGGAAAACTGTGAAAGGGTAGCACGCATGCACAAGGCCCGCGTGCTGCTGGTGCGCTGCGGCGCTTTGGGGTCGCTTCTGTACGCCATTGGCCAGACCAAATGGTTTCCCGCGTACCACAACGACCCTGCGCGCAGCGACTACAAGATGGTGGACCCGACCGGCTGCGGGAACACGTTTGTCGGGGCGTTTGCTACGCAGCTGGCTCTGAGCGGCGACCTGGAAGAGGCGTGTATTTTTGCGACGGTAGCAAGCGGGCTGGCGATTGAGCAATACGGCCCGCCGCGGCTGGAGGACACAGACCGCTGGAATGGCTCGCACTTTGAGCAGCGGGTCCGAATTTACCGCAACAGACTGGTAGCTCCAAACTGACTGGCGTAGCCGTGTTAATAGTACTAAAGACCTCTAATTAACCCTTAATCAACTCTGCTCAAGCAGCATACTTCTTCTCCAGGTCCGCAAAGGCGCCGGCAATAGTGTTGGCAATGAAGTCGCAGTGCTCCTTGGTGAACGTGTACGCCGGAGCGACGGTCACGTGATCGCCGACGCAGACGAGCTCCGAGTTGTTGACGAGCTTGCTCTCGATGGTGCCCGTGACGCCCATGATGGTCATGCCTCTTTCGAAGCAGAAGTTGCCGAGCTGGGTGCCGACCTTCTCCTTCGGATCGAACGGCTCCTTGGTGGCCTTGTCCTTGACGGCCTCCACAGAGAGGAAGTTTCCTGCTCCGCGCACGTCGCCGGCGTACTTGGCGTCCTTGAGCTTGAGCTTGAGCTGTTCCTTGAGGTACGCGCCGTTGATTCTGACGTTCTCGATCAGGTTGTCTCTGTAGATCTTTTTCTGGACGGCCAGGCCGACTCTGCAGTTAAAATCGTGCGAGTGGTACGTCTGGGCTCCGAGAATGCTTCCAGAGCCCTCGGCAAACACTTTTTTCACGCCTGGCGAGATCAGCAGACCAGCCAGCGTGACGAAGCCCGAGCCGATGGTCTTGCCGACCGAGCAGAGGTCTGGTCCGCCCGAAGAGAGACCGAATTCTGGCGACTTGTACGTGAATGGGTAGCCGCATCTTCCCAGACCGCACATGACCTCGTCCAGCATGAACAGGGCGCCGTACTTGTGGCAGATCTCTCTGCACCCGTCCAGATAGCCCTTGGTAGGCACGGACGTGCCGAACGTCGAGCCGCCGACGGTCTCGATGATCATTCCGGCGATCGTGCTAGGGTCGTTGTCGATGAAGGTCTGCTCCAGCTCGTCCAGCAGCTCCTGGGTGTACTCCTCCTCGGTTTGGCCTGGCTTCTGGTTTCTGTACGGATAAACCGGCGACACCTTGGGGGTCTTGGACTCGTCGATCAGAATGTCGGCAAACTGGTATTTTCTGGACCCGTCGCCGATGGCCAGCGTTCCGGTCGTGAAGCCGTGGTACGACTGTTTTCTGCCAATGAATTTGCATCTCTTGTAGTCCTTGAGCTCGTTGTGGTACTGCTTGATGATCTTCATGGCGTTCTCGTTGGCCTCGCTGCCCGAGCTGGTCCACAGCGCAGACGCGAAATCGCCGCCGGACTTCTCGCACAGGAACTTTCCAAGGTCCTCGGCAGCGTAGTTGGCGTAGTAGGCACCAAAAGTGTACACGGACTCTTTGGCAAACTGGCCCATGGCCTCCGTGATTTCTGGGTCCTGGTGAGGAAGCGAGTTGACGGCTGCTCCTGAAACAGCGTCGAACAGCACCTTCTGCTCCTTGGTGTGCGGGTTTTCCAGAACGAGGTACATACCGTCGCCCTTGGCGCCGACACAGAGCAGGCCCTTGTCGTTGATTTGCTTCTGGAACACGTAGGAGGTTTCTTTGTTGTCAACAGTCATTGGGGATGCAGGAGGCAGCGAGAGGTATTTATAAGGAGGCTGGCGGTAGTCGGATCCCGCTGATAAGTCGGCAATTGCCGAATCTGGAAGTCCGGCGCGGACGCTTATCGCAGCACGAATTGGGACAAATGCGGCCGTGGGCGGTAGCGAGCGAGCGCTAGCGAGCACGAGCTGTCGCCAAACGCTGTTCAGGGGCCGACGGATTGCGCGGTGCTACCGCTAGCGGTGCGCATGCTGACCTTAAAAAAAGAAGTCTGGCGAGCAAAAATATGGACGAGTTGGGAGTCGAACCCAAGACCTTTCGCATGCTAAGCGAACGCGCTACCAACTACGCCACACGCCCGAGTCTGCTAGAAATTGGGTGGTGGGATTGATGTACACACGAAATGAATGGCAACTAAATCCAGCATGTAGCGTATTTTATTTTCTAGCTATTTAAATTCTGTATATAAAATATGCCCATAAATAAATACCCGATGTGTGACCTCGACTTGCTGTGATCTGCTACAAGCTGACCACCGAATACCCAATTGATGCTTGCGACCCTTGCCAGATCACAGCATCGCCCTCTCCGCTTGGTCCCAGCCGGAATCTCCTGGCCAATCATATTTCCGTCATTGTAAGCAACCAGCAGAAACGTAAACGTGGGACCGCGAATACCAGCCGGCTCGCTAATTACGTGCGTAAAAATGTTCCCACGCGCGAAAAGCTCTAATTGAAAATTTTTTTTTGTTAACATTATCCAAACACTCCAACCGGTACTTATTCCTCCCTCACCAGCTGATTTCGGCCCTTTTGCATCCAGTAGTGCCGGAGCGTTGCATATCACCTAATTAGCATGAGCCAGAAAAATACCCGTATCGCCATCGTCTCGGACGACAAGTGCAAGCCCAAAAAATGCAGACAAGAGTGCAGAAAGAGCTGTCCCGTGGTGAAGACGGGAAAGCTGTGTATCGAGGTGGCCCCAACCTCGAAAATTGCCTTTATTTCGGAGAACCTGTGTATAGGATGCGGTATCTGCGTGAAAAAGTGTCCGTTTGGAGCCATCAACATCATTAATTTACCAACCAACCTTGAAAAAGAGGTCACCCACAGATACTCGGCCAACTCTTTCAAATTGCATAGACTACCTACTCCAAGACCCGGTCAGGTGCTTGGTCTGGTGGGAACCAACGGTATTGGAAAGTCCACCGCGCTCAAGATCCTTGCCGGAAAGGAGAAGCCCAACCTTGGAAGATACGACGATCCGCCAGACTGGGAGGACATTTTGAAGCATTTTAGAGGATCAGAGCTGCAGAACTACCTGACCAAGGTTCTGGAAGACAACATCAAGGCCATCATCAAGCCGCAGTACGTGGATAACATACCTCGTGCCATCAAAGGACCGCTCAACAAGGTTGGAGAACTAATCAAGGCCAAGCTCGAAAGACAGGACGCTGCCAAACAGGTGGTCGACACGCTGGAGTTGAAGGGAATTCTGAAACGAGAGGTCTCGAAGCTTTCTGGTGGAGAGCTCCAGAGATTTGCTATCGGAATGACCTGTGTCCAGGACGCCCATGTGTACATGTTTGACGAGCCTTCGTCGTACCTGGACGTCAAGCAGCGTCTGAACGCTGCCTTCATCATCAGATCGCTTCTCCAGCCAACCGTCTACGTTATTGTCGTGGAGCACGATCTGTCTGTGCTGGACTATCTGTCCGACTTCGTTTGCATTCTCTACGGTGTTCCCTCCGTGTACGGCGTGGTGACCCTTCCGGCCTCTGTGAGGGAGGGTATCAACATTTTCCTTGACGGCCACATCCCAACGGAAAACATGAGGTTCAGAACCGAGTCGCTGCAGTTTAGACTTGCTGATGCGTCGGACAAAATGATCGTGGACCAGTCGCACTCGATGGCGTATCCAGACATGACCAAGACGCAGGGCGATTTCAAGCTGACCGTGGAGGCCGGCGAGTTCTCCGACAGCGAGATCATCGTGATGATGGGCGAGAACGGTACCGGAAAAACGACGCTGTGTAAGCTTCTTGCGGGAGCCATCACGCCAGACGAGGGAAGCCAGGCGCCAAAGCTGAACGTCTCGATGAAACCGCAAAAGATCGCTCCGAAGTTCACCGGAACCGTGAGACAGCTGTTCTTGAAGAAGATCAGGGCCTCGTTCCTGCATGCGCAGTTCAACACCGACGTGGTGAAGCCGCTCAAAATCGAAGACATCATCGACCAGGAAGTGCAGCACCTGTCGGGAGGTGAGTTGCAGAGAGTCGCCATTGTGCTTGCGCTCGGCATGGACGCCGACATCTACCTTATTGACGAGCCTTCCGCCTACTTGGACTCGGAGCAGCGTATTATTTGCTCCAAGGTGATCAGAAGATTCATCATCCACTCGAAGAAAACCGCCTTTATCGTCGAGCACGACTTCATCATGGCCACGTATATGGCCGACAAGGTGATGGTGTTCGAGGGTGTGCCGTCGAAGTCCGCCACGGCGAGAAAGGCCGAGTCGCTGCTGACTGGTTGCAACCGGTTCCTGAAGAACCTGAACGTCACGTTCAGAAGAGACCCTAACTCGTTCAGACCGAGAATCAACAAGCTGGACTCCCAGATGGACAAGGAGCAGAAACTGAGCGGCAATTACTTCTTCTTGGAGAACACCGAGCTGTAAGTAGGGGGGATATTTATTTGGCTATTAATAAAGTGTATAGAGTCGAAAAATTACTCATTTACGGAAAATTTTGAAATCATCTATTTTATTTTTCCAATGAGTCTTGAAGACAAAGTCGAGAAATTGAATTTGGAGGCACAGCCAGCGGCCCAAGCTGGCCAGGAAACTGTTCTCGGTCCCGACGGCCAGCCGCTGTCGAAGAAGGCGCTCAAGAAGCTCGAGAAGGAGCGCGAGAAGGAGAGAAAAAAGGCAGAGACCGCCGCCCGAATGGCCCAGGAACAGGCCGCCAAGGCTGCTGCCGACGCCGCCAGCGACACTGCCAAGGACAACTACGGCAAGCTGCCTCTGATGCAGTCGAACCGCAAGACGGGTATTCCTCGAATCCAGTTCAAAACGCTTACCCCTCAGGACGACGGCAAGGAGGTGGTTTTCAGAGCAAGAGTGCACAACTCCAGACAACAGGGCGCCACGATGTGCTTTTTCCTGTTCAGACAGCAGGACGAGCTGATCCAGGGCCTGATCAAGGCCAATGGCGACTCTGTGTCGAAGCAGATGGTGAAATGGGCCGCCTCGCTCAGTCTCGAGTCGATCGTTCTTGTCCACGGCGTGGTGAAGAAGGTGGACGAGCTGGTCAAAAGCGCCACGATCCAGGACGTGGAGATCTCGATCTCGAAGATCTACACCATTTCCGAGACGCCTGCCCAGCTGCCGCTGCTGATCGAGGACGCCTCGCGCTCCGACGCCGAGGCCGAGGCCTCGGGGCTTCCCGTGGTCAACCTCGACACGCGGCTGGACTCGCGCGTGATCGACCTGAGAACGGTCACGAACCAGGCCATTTTCCGGCTGCAGTCCGGCATCTGCCAGCTGTTCAAGGAGTTTCTGCTTGAGCGGAATTTTGTCGAGACGCACACGCCAAAGCTGATTGCCGCTGCGTCGGAGGGCGGAGCCAACGTTTTCAAGGTCGACTACTTCAAGGGCAGCGCGTTTCTGGCGCAGTCGCCGCAGTTCTACAAGCAGCAGCTGATCGCTGCCGACTTCGAGCGGGTGTTTGAGATTGCTCCCGTGTTCAGAGCAGAAAACTCCAACACGCACCGCCACATGACCGAGTTTGTGGGGCTGGACCTGGAAATGGCGATCGAGGAGGACTACCACGAGGTCGTCGACCTGCTGGCAGAGCTGTTTGTGTTCATCTTCAGCGAGCTCAAGACCAGGTTCGCCAAGGAGATCGCCACGGTGAGAAGACAGTTCCCCGTGGAGGAGTTCAAGCTGCCGAAGGACGGCAAGATGGTCAAGCTCCACTACAAGGAGGGCATCCAGATGCTGAGAGACGCCGGCAGAGAGCTCGGCGACTACGACGACCTCAGCACCGAGAACGAAAAGCTGCTGGGCAAGCTGGTGAGAGACAAGTACGACACAGACTTCTACGTGCTCGACAAGTTCCCGCTCGCGGTGAGACCGTTCTACACGATGCCAGACCCGGAGGACAGCAACTACTCGAACTCGTACGACTTCTTCATGCGCGGCGAGGAGATCCTGTCGGGAGCGCAGCGGATCCACGACCCGGTCCTGCTGGCCGAGAGAATCAAGGCCCACGACGTGGACACCACCACGCCCGGTCTGTCGGACTACATCCAGGCGTTCACGTACGGCTGTGCTCCGCACGCGGGCGGAGGCATCGGCCTCGAGCGAGTGCTGATGTTCTTCCTGGATCTCAAAAACATCAGAAGAGCCAGTCTGTTCCCAAGAGACCCTAGGAGACTGCGGCCATGAGCCACCCGTACACCAGACACAGGGTGGAAAATAATATAAAGTAGCCAAAAAAAAAAGGTAGCTTCAAAGCAGTGTCTATGTCCCACCCGCCCGATATCGCGCACACCCTGACGCCCGTGGTGTCGTCGGGCGTTTCGAGCGCCGCCGGCGCGTCCGACGACGACTACGTGTACACGGGCGACCAGGACCCGTCCACGGTGCACTACTCGTACACCGAGGACAAGATGCTGAGGGACCAGGACGCCAAGGTGAAGGCGTTCCACTCGATCGCGACGTCTCCGAAAAACTCGCGCTCGTCGTCCGTGCACTCTGCGCGGCCGGCGGGGTTTGAGCACGCGTCGCCGATGGCGGGCAACAAGTTTGCGTACAACCCGATCACGCACGAGATGAGTCCGATGGGGTCGTCTGACCGCGAGCTGTTCCGGGCGAAGGCGCGGATGGGCAGTTTGCTGCTGAACGACCACAACTCGGTGACCGAGACGCCGTCCAGGGAGCTGATCGAGATCTACAAGAACATCGAGCGGTGCATCCAGATCCGCGAAAAGTACCAGAGGCTGTCTGTGCAGCGGCCGCAGGACAACCCGAAAAACAGGGCCGAGTGGCGCATCTACCCGAACCCACCGCCGCCGTTCTGGAAGAAGGGCGACGAGTACAGCATCGAGCGGAACCCGGACCAGGGCGACCAGCTGGCAGAGAATTTCGACATTGCCAAGGTGGACATTCCGGGCCCAGATCCGGCGCTGGACTACGTGCTGGACGACGAGGACGTTTTCCAGGTGGTGGAGAAAAGCAGCGGGAGCAAGATCGTGCAGATCCCGACGATGCGCGACTACTACATCGACCTCGAGCAGATCACGGCGATCGCGTCGGACGGGCCAACCAAGTCGTTTGCGTTCAAGCGGCTGGAGTACCTGGAAGCCAAGTGGAATTTGTATTATCTGCTAAATGAGCACGACGAGACGTCCGAGAGCAAGCGGAACCCGCACAGAGACTTCTACAACGTGCGGAAGGTGGACACACACGTGCACCACTCGGCCTGCATGAACCAGAAGCACCTGCTGCGGTTCATCAAGTACAAGATGCGCAAGTGTCCGGACGAAAAGGTCATCATCAGAGACGGCCAGGTGCTGACTCTGCGCCAGGTGTTTGAGTCGCTGAACCTGACGGCGTACGACCTGAGTATAGACACGCTGGACATGCACGCGCACAGAGACACTTTCCACCGGTTCGACAAGTTCAACCTCAAGTACAACCCGATCGGCGAGTCGCGGCTGAGAGAGATCTTTCTCAAGACCGACAACTTTATCAAGGGCCGGTATCTGGCCGAGCTGACCCGAGAAGTGTTTGACGATCTCGAGAGCTCCAAGTACCAGATGGCGGAGTACCGGATCTCGATCTACGGCCGGTCGGCAGACGAGTGGGACAAGCTGGCCGCGTGGGTGGTGGACCACAAGCTGTTCTCGCACAACGTGCGGTGGCTGATCCAGATCCCGCGGCTGTACGACGTGTACAAGAAGGGCGGCATCGTGGACAACTACCAGGACCTGGTGCTCAACGTGTTCAGGCCGCTGTTTGAGGTGACCAAGGACCCCTCGTCGCACCCGAAGCTGTTTGTGTTTCTGCAACGCGTGATTGGTTTCGACTCTGTCGACGACGAAAGCAAGGCCGACAAGAGGTTCCACCGCAAGTTCCCGTACCCACGCAACTGGGACTCGGCAAACAACCCGCCGTACTCGTATTACATCTATTCGCTGTACGCGAACATCGCGTCGCTGAACCAGTGGAGAGTGCGCCGCGGGTTCAACACGTTTGTGCTGCGGCCGCACTCTGGCGAGGCGGGCGACCCGGAGCACCTGATAGCGGCGTATTTGGCCGCCGAGGGCATCTCGCACGGCATCCTGCTGCGCAAACTGCCGTACATCCAGTACCTGTACTATCTGTGCCAGATCGGCGTGGCGATGTCGCCGCTGTCCAACAACGCGCTGTTCCTGACGTACGACAAAAACCCGTTCCCGAGCTACTTCCGCCGCGGCCTCAACGTGTCGCTGTCGACGGACGACCCGCTGCAGTTCTCGTACACCAGAGAGCCGCTGATCGAGGAGTACTCTGTCGCCGCGCAGATCTATAAACTGTCGAACGTGGACATGTCAGAGCTCGCGCGAAACTCGGTGTTCATGAGCGGGTTCGAGTACCAGCTGAAACGCCACTGGCTCGGCGCAAACTTCGACCAGCCGGGCAGAGAGGGCAACGACATCGAGAAGACCAACGTGCCGGACATTCGCGTGGAGTACCGCCACGAGACGCTTTCCATCGAGAAAGACCTGATAAAGGCGTATGCAAACATGGCCTAGACAGCCACCGGGGTGAGCGGCGTGCTGCCGAAGATGTGGCCGTTGCCGGCGCGGACTTGCTGGAGCACCCAGGATCTAAATTGCGGAGACAGCATTTCGTACTCGTACGCAACGATTTCCTGCGCAGCGGTGAATTTGCGGCTGCTGAACCAGTCCAGAGCATTTTCCAGATACCCTTTGTTGTAGGGGTGGATTGTTTCCGGGACTGGCAGCACGACACGCACGTTGGGCGCGTCCGGATGCTCGGCGCTGACGTACCGCTGGGAGTTGACGAGTCCCGTGCGGGCCTGTTCTTTGGTAATTTTGCGACGCAATAGAATGTTTTTCAGTCTCGACTGGCGCGAGCCAAGCGTGTATCTGTACTGCCGGGCCCTGCTGAGCTGCAAGAAGTCGATGCTGGTCTCGTTGAGCTGGAAAATGTGGCCGATCGACATGTTGAGCGTCAGCAGCAGCAGCGTGAATAGCTCGTTGACGACGATCATGAGCAGCGCGGCCGGGTGCAGGGTGTGGTGCGGGCCGTAGCTGAGCACAGCCTCGGAAAACGCAAACGTCGACACCAAGATGTAGAAAAAGAGCAGCTCGAAGCACGACACAAAGCACAGAAACCACGCGTAGTTGTTCTGCGCCACGATTGTGCCGATGTAGAGACAGTAGTGGTCGAAACGCGGGATGCAGCGGCCCAGCGTGGAGGAGTGGTGTGAGCGTAACGTCTTGATGGAACGGCACTGGGCGCACCAGAAGGGCAGGCCGTCGGCGTTGCAGAGAAACATCTGCGGCGGCGCAATCAGCGCCGCGTCGTCCACTACCGACGGCGATTTCTCGTCCAGCTCGCCGCGCACATACAGCTGTCCGTTGGCGTAGTAGCTGTTCAGGTTGTACGGCGGCACCGCCACAGGGAGCGAGCCGGGGCCAGCGACAAACAGGAGCGCCCACGACGCCAGAAGCAGCGCCACAAGCACCGCTTCGCCGACAATCAGCCCCACACCTGCCGAGCGACGGCCCGAGTCGTAGATGCCCGTCTTGCACACCACGTAGCAGTAGGCGTACTGGACATAGAGCAGGTAGACAAGCACGCAGATAGGGAAGATGCGGCGCAGCATGTGGCGCAGCATCATAAAGATTTCAGCTGAGTGTTTGCGACGAGTGTTCTGGAGAGTCTTGCGAGATCTGATTCCTGGGTCTTGAACAGTTTGCGCACGCTAACGACGTCTGCGTGGGTTTGGAGCGTGTGGTCGGACAGCTGCGTGGGGGTTCCCTCGACGAGCTGTGCGAGCTGGCGGAAAACCGTGTCTGGATCGTCTTTGTTTAGTATCTTGATCACCAGCAGCTGCGGGCTGTCGGTGATGCCAAACGTCTTCAAGCACTCCAGAATGTTCTTGAGCGGCGAAAGGTTGTAGATGATCTCGGTGTTGACCGATTTTGACTTTTTCCGGTCAAACGAGTCGTCCAGAAGTGTCTTGTACACAGCCGAGAGCACTTGTTCCAGGGTGAGCAGATAGTCTCCGTTAACGAAAGCGTAGTTGTAGGCAGGGTCTGCGGCAAGAAGCCTGTCGCGGATGTGATTCTGGTTGCTCACGTTGGTGAAGTAGGCCGCAAAGACAGGGGTTTGCGGGAACTGGGGGAACGTGAATATTTCAAACATGAATAAAAAAAAAAAAGATATGGATTTTGCAGAAAACCCGTGGGAAGACGTTTGCGTGGGGGAAGGGGAGGGAAAGGCAACATGGGACGGGGCGAGCGAGAGCGATGAGAGCGGGTCGCTGGGCGGAAGCGTCGGCAATGCGGCCAATGAGAGCGAAGAGGCCCACGAAGACGACTTTGGCGATTTTGGCGAGTTCGAGCAAGTGGAAGTCGACCGACCCAAGGTGGACTACGGCTGTTTGTCGCTGCTGGGACGCGGGACGGGCGACGACGCGACGATGATCTTTGAGGGAGACTGGACGGGCAAGTACCGGAGGCTTGTTGCTGCGGAGCGCCAGTGGCAGCAACAGCACCCACACAGAAGTTACCGGGGCCGCGCGGCACATTTGGAGACAGAAACTCACCGCCGAGTGGAGGCTGTGGCGGCGCTGTGGACGAGCGTGGAGAAGCGTGTGGCGACAAAGGCCGGCGTGACGAATCTGTTCAGCTGGTCGAGCACGAGGGAGACTGCGAAGCCGGCCAAAAAGACACAGCAGATCAACTCCAAGCTGCTGCGCACGGCGGCGACAGAGAGCCGCACCATAATAGACCGCCGGCTGGATGCGCAACGGCAGCAGAAACACAAGCTGGAGAAGGAGCGACGCGAGCGAGAAAAACGGATCCAGGAGGAGCGGCTGCGCAAGGAGCAGGAGGCCCTCAAGTACCAGTCGGTGGCTACTGTGCCGCAGAAAAAGGAGAGGACGCTGTTTGGCCGGCTTTTCGGGGAGAAGAGTAAAATCGCCGCAGACAACCTTTCACACGACAAGATCGTGCAGCCGGCACCGACGGCCGAGGACGCCGACCTGATCAGCGAGATCAAGGAGCAGCTGCAGCGGCGCGAGGACAGCGACGACGAGGGCGGGGAAGTCGATTACGGCGAGATATGCGCAGGTGCAGCCGACAGCTTGAGTCTGCAGGACGTAATGGGGCAGGAAGAGGAGGGCTCAGACACGCACTCGAGTCTCAGCGAGAATTTCGGCGAGTTCCACACAACCACGCCGTCGGAAAACTCGAGCCCCGTCCAGTCCAGTGCGAGTCCACTCGCAATTCCGGAAAATCTAATCGACCTGTAAACTCACGTCCCACTAAATTTCCCCAGATTCGGGGCGTTTCCCGATTCGGCAATCAGCCGCAAATTTTTATAGATTTCTAACCATTTCTTCACATCTCCCAGTTGTTCTTCTTGTCTTTTGCCCTCTGTTTCCACTGACGCTATGAACGGGAACGAACTGACAGAACTCAAGAGCAAGACGGACTCGCAGGGCTCAAAGCAGGGCACGGTCCACCGCAGAACGTCCACGTCGATGCCACACAGCAGCGTCGCTCCTTTGAGTGACTCCGCAAACATCCTGCCGGTGGTTCCTGAGTCGCTGCCCACGACACCTGGGTATGAGCTGAACACCAACTCGTACTTTGACGGCGCAGGCACGAATTCGTACTTTGACCTGGCCTCCACCAAGAGTCTTGTTGCTGCGCGTCCTCCGATCCCGCCCGCACAGCAGCCCCTCTCGACGTCTGTTGAGTCTGGTAGGTTGGGGGGCGCCAGCCACAAAGTGGAGGGCGGGATGACGCTGGACAACCCGCCACGCAACAAGTGGCGTGTGATCTCGGTGGTGCTGTGGTCTGTGTCTGCTGGGCTCTCCGACGCAGCACCAGGAGCTCTGCTGCCCACCATCGAGAAGTACTACAACATCAGTTACGCGGTGGTGTCGCTGATCTGGCTGGCCAACGCCATCGGGTTTATCATCATCGCGCTGATCTGCCCCAAGATGGAGCCCCTGCTGGGCAAGCGCAAGATGACGTCGGGCGGGTGTCTGGCGCTGGTGGTCATGTACGCGCTGGTGAGCCCGGGCTACAAGTTCCCGCTCGTCGTGGTGGGCTTCTTTTTCGGCGGTCTCGGGCTCGCTACGTGCCTGTCTCAGCAGAATATCTTCCTGTCCAAGTTTGAGAGGTCTTCCAAGTATCTGGGTTATTTCCACGGTGGCTACGGGCTGGGCGCGTGTGTGGGCCCCTTGATCGCCACGGGAATGATCGACAGCGGCGTGAGATGGCATCTGTTCTACCTCATCCTGCTTGGCATGTCCATGTTCAATTTCTGGAACATGTGGTTTGCGTTCAAAGGTGCTGACGACGATTTGAAACCATGGGATAACTGGGAGCCAAAAGCGCACACGCCAACCTCGGAGAACCCGGGCGAGGACGACGGCAAATACACAATGTTGGAGGAGACGCTCGGGTTCACAGAGACGCTGCGGCATCAGGAGGGGCCTCAGGAGCCAAAGGAGGAGAGCGTGCTCAAGGTCTCGCTCAAAAGCCCACGCACGTGGCTGTTGGCGTTCTTCGTGCTGTTCTACCAGGGCGCAGAGGTCTCGATGGGGGGCTGGGTGGTTACGTTCCTGGAAGTGTACCGCGGAGGCGAAGCCTCGAGCACTGGTTATGTCTCGTCCGGATTTTGGGGCGGTCTCACGATCGGCCGGTTATTTCTCACCACCAACATCCACAAGTTTCTCGGCGCAAAGCGCGGTGTCACCATCATGATCATAGGCGCCATCGTCACAACGCTGCTCGGCTGGGTCATCCCGATCCTCATCGTCGAGGCCGTGGCTGTGTCGTTTGCGGGCATCTTCATTGGCCCAATCTACCCGCTCATGATCACCATTGCGGTGCGCATCCTGCCACGGAAAATCCAGGTTATATCGCTCACCATCATGACCGCTTTCGGCTCCTCGGGCGGCGCCCTGTTCCCCTTCATGGTGGGACTCGTGTCCCAGTACGCGGGCGCTTTTGTCTGCATGCCATTTGTCATCGGACTGCTCGCTTGCACTTGTATCATATGGTTTCTGCTGCCAAACCCGGACAGACCAAGAGTCACCAACTTTCTACAAAGAGTCTGGTAATAATAGTTATATCGTGCTCTATTTACAGTTTGCGTGGCGTATAGTCGTAGAACCACCCGCTTCTACTCGGATACTCGGTCGGCACACGCAGTTCCAGCGGGAACCGCTTGCCGATTTCGAGCTTGTTGGCGGCCTCAAACAGCTTCTGGCTCACGTGCTTCAGGTCCTCGTTGGCCTCCTTGATGCTCTCGTATTGCTGTTTCAGCTGCGCCTCCTCCGCCTGCTTCTTCTCCTTGCGCACCACCCCCCACGCTCTCATAACCGTGACGTGCTTGACGAAGTCTTCCTTCGACAGTTTTAGCATCTTGGGCATTTTTCTGTTGGCAGATATAACCGAAAGCTGAGTGACCACCCGCTGCGCAACAGGATCCAGCCCTGCGCGGATACGCTTGGTCCGCACAAACTGAAGGTTCGCGCCAGACTTCTGGACCGTTCTTGCTGCTCCAAACATGAAAAATTTGAGGAATAAACTTGAGCTTAGGTAATTTCGAGTCGTTATTTTTTTTTCTTCCCCCGTGCAAAGATGGCGAAGTCGCTGCCATTTCAAGTTACATGTCTCACTCTAATAACCCGTTTTTGACGGCCGCCAACGTGCCTGACATCCACATTGTGCCTCCCGTGGGGGAGCAGACCCCGCCTCCGCTACCACCACTGCCTTCACGGCCAGCAACGCCCAACTCGTCCTCAGATTCGCTCATTTCTGAGGAGGAGGTCCTTGCAAACATGCCTCCCTCGCCAAAATACACGGAAATGCCATCGCCAGGCGAAATCAGCATACCCAATAACCAGGCAATTGACCCACTATCCATCAATGACTCCCGCCCCACGGCTGATCCGCCAGCATACTCGGAGACGTCTTCAGAAGTGGCGTCCGCGGTGGACAGGCCGCTACCGTCAGACGACGAGAATCCGCCACCAACTCCACAGAGACCGCCTCAGCGCCCACCTAGGCCTTCACGGCGTGCCCACTCAACGTCGCCAGCGCGGCACCAGCGCCCGTATGTGCAGCCAACACGGCCGTTGCACCCAATATATGCACCTCCACCCACTCAATATTTGGGGACGACCATTACTTCTCCAAATAGGCCCCCATCGCCAACGTTGCCCCCACGCAGCTACCATTAATACGCCCACCCACCTCAATGTATTGCCTGACAGCCGACCCAACTATGTAATTATCCGATATAGTGTAACGGCTATCATGGTCCGCTTTCACCGGGCAGACCCGGGTTCGACTCCCGGTATCGGAATCGGTAATTCACTTTTTTATTTGTTGCGTCTTTTACTAAAAGCAGCCCGGTGTAAAGGACATGCGCCGAAATCAACGTATTCTCGGGCGTGTGGCGTAGTTGGTAGCGCGTTCGCTTAGCATGCGAAAGGTCTTGGGTTCGACTCCCAACTCGTCCATCTTGTTTTTCATTTTTCCTGCAGTCTGGATGCTACGTAACAAGATGTGCATGCTGAAAAAAAAATTGATCAATAGGAAAACCCTGTCAAAAATAGCGGAGAAAGTGACGAAACAAGAAACCATTGCTGATCTGCAGCAAGGAGGCCATGCCAGCTTCCTGCTTGTTTTTCCGGCTCTCCAAACGGCCTGAATCATCGCATCTGCATCTTCGGTGTCGCACGACCTATTTCTTTTTCTGAAAATTTTTTTATTTTTAAACTGTATAGCTTCCTCAGGATCTTCTTTTTCCCTTCTTCTCTCCTTCTCATAGACAAAGACCTTCTTTCAGCTCCCATCAAACCCCAATTGGATTTTGATTGCTGCCATTCCAACACTTGTACATTTTTATTGGCTACAGAGCTTGAAAAGGGACTTAAAGTACGTGAGTTAAGGAGAGGACTTGTAGCCCTCTCGTAGACAAGGACATATATTAACCTCTATTTTAGAAAAAAATATTTTTTTTACCATGTCTGTGAAGTTTTCCAATCCAATCTCTCCGCCAATGGAGAGCACTGGAGACACTCTCATCACCCTGGAGACCCAGGATGGTGTTGCATTGCAAGGATATTCCTTTGGTGCTGAGAAGGCAGTTGCTGGTGAACTTGTCTTCCAGACCGGTATGGTGGGATATCCAGAGTCCATTACCGATCCTTCGTACGAGGGTCAGATTCTTGTCATCACCTACCCTTTGGTGGGCAACTATGGTGTTCCAGACCGCCAGATAATGGACGATGTTGTCGAGAAGCTGCCAAAGTACTTCGAGTCCAACAGAATCCATGTTGCCGGTCTGGTTGTCGCTCATTACACCGAGGAATATTCTCACTACCTTGCCAAGTCGTCTCTGGGCCAATGGCTGAAGAGCGAGGGTGTTCCTGCGATCTACGGTGTCGACACCAGGGCTTTGACCAAGAAACTCAGAGAAGACGGTTCTACTCTCGGCAGACTGTGTTTGCAGAAGCCAGGCACGAGCGTTTCCGAGTGCATGGATCCTCAGACCTGGAAGGACAAGTTTGTTGTTCCTGAGTGGGTGGACCCCAACACACAGAACCTGGTTGCTGCTGTTTCCACGAAAGAGCCTGTGGTTTACGATCCGCCTAAGGAGGTGGCCAGATTGGGTCCTGACGGCAAGGTGATCAGAATCGTTGCTGTCGACGTGGGTATGAAATACAACCAGATCAGATGCTTTGTCAACCGCGGCGTCTCGCTCAAGGTCGTGCCATGGGACTACGACTTCACGAGCGAGGAGTACGACGGCTTGTTCATTTCCAACGGTCCTGGCGATCCGTCCGTCATGACCGGCGTTGTTGAGAAGCTGAGAAAGTGTCTCGATGAGGCCAAGACGCCAATCTTCGGTATCTGTCTTGGCCACCAGCTGATGGCCAGAGCCTCGGGCGCATCGACTTTGAAGCTGAAATTCGGTAACAGAGGCCACAATATTCCGTGCACGTCCACCGTCTCCGGCAAGTGCTACATCACGTCGCAGAACCACGGTTACGCCGTCGACGTCGCCACGCTGGCTCCTGGCTGGAAGGAGCTGTTTGTCAACGCCAACGACGGCTCGAACGAGGGCATTTACCACACCGAAAAGCCGTTTTTCTCGGTCCAGTTCCACCCCGAGTCCACTCCTGGGCCAAGAGACACAGAAGTACTGTTTGACACATTTATCCAGACCGTCATCGAGTTCAAGAGCTCCAAGAAACTCAGGGCTGTGGAGTTCCCGGGCGGCAACATCGACGAAAACAGAGCTCTGCATCCACGCGTGAACGCCAAGAAAGTGCTGGTTCTTGGTTCCGGTGGATTGTCCATCGGACAAGCCGGAGAGTTCGACTACTCTGGCTCGCAGGCCATCAAGGCCCTGAAAGAGGAAGGAATATACACCATCCTGATTAATCCGAACATTGCCACCATTCAGACCTCCAAGGGCCTGGCAGACAAGGTGTACTTCCTGCCTGTCACGCCGGAGTTTGTCAGGAAAGTCATCAAGCACGAGCGGCCCGATGCCATCTACTGCACCTTTGGTGGCCAGACCGCCCTGAACGTTGGTATCCAGTTGAAGGACGAGTTCGAGTCGCTCGGCGTCAAGGTTCTCGGTACGCCGATCGACACCATCATCACCACAGAGGACAGAGAGCTGTTTGCACGGTCCATGGACGAGATTGGCGAGAAGTGCGCCAAGTCTCAGACCGCATCTTCCATGGACGAGGCGCTTGCTGCCGTGAGAGAAATTGGCTTCCCGGTCATTGTCAGAGCCGCCTACGCTCTGGGAGGTCTCGGGTCTGGTTTTGCCGACAACGAGCAGGAGCTCATCGAGCTGTGTCAGAAAGCCTTTGCTGCTTCTCCCCAGGTCCTTGTTGAGAAGTCCATGAAGGGCTGGAAAGAGGTCGAGTACGAGGTTGTTCGTGACGCTTTCGACAACTGCATCACCGTCTGTAACATGGAGAACTTCGATCCTTTGGGAATCCACACCGGAGACTCGATCGTGGTTGCTCCGTCCCAGACTCTCTCTGACGAGGACTACAACATGCTCAGAACCACTGCCGTCAACGTGATTAGACATCTGGGAGTCGTTGGTGAGTGCAACATCCAGTACGCCCTGAACCCGCTCTCTAAAGAATACTGCATCATTGAAGTCAACGCCAGACTGTCGAGATCGTCTGCGCTGGCTTCCAAAGCCACCGGCTACCCGCTTGCCTACACTGCCGCCAAGCTTGGTTTGAACATCCCGCTGAACGAGATCAAGAACTCTGTCACCAAGTCCACCTGTTCGTGTTTCGAGCCGTCGCTGGACTACTGTGTGGTGAAGATTCCAAGATGGGACCTGAAAAAGTTCACCAGAGTGTCGACTCTGCTGTCGTCGTCCATGAAGTCCGTTGGAGAGGTGATGAGCATTGGCAGAACGTTCGAGGAGGCCATCCAGAAAGCCATCAGGTCGACAGATTACCACAACATCGGGTTCAACAAGACGGAGGCCCTGATGTCGATCGACATCGACTCAGAGCTGCAGACGCCTTCCGACCAGCGTCTCTTTGCCATTGCCAACGCCATGTCGGAGGGCTATTCTGTTGACAAGATCCACAAGCTGACCAACATCGACAGATGGTTCCTCAACAAGCTGGAGGGGCTCGTCAAGTTTGCCGACAAGATCGCGTCGTACGGCGTGAAGGAGAAGCTGCCGGCGTCGATTCTGAAGCAGGCCAAGCAGCTCGGCTTCGAGGACAGACAGATCGCCAAGTTCCTCAACTCCAACGAGGTGGCCATCAGAAGACTCAGAAAAGAGCACGGCATCGTTCCGTTCGTGAAGCAGATCGACACCGTCGCCGCAGAGTTCCCTGCCTACACCAACTACCTGTACATGACCTACAACGCGGACTCCAGCGACGTCGACTTCAGCGACAACGGTGTGATGGTGCTGGGCTCGGGTGTCTACAGAATTGGTTCTTCTGTCGAGTTCGACTGGTGTGCCGTCAGAGCCATCAGAACGCTGAGAGAACAAGGTTTCAAGACCATCATGGTCAACTACAACCCGGAGACCGTCTCCACCGACTACGACGAGGCCGACAGACTCTACTTCGAGACGATCAACCTGGAGAGAGTGCTGGATATCTACGAGCTCGAAAAGTCCTCGGGTATCATTATTTCCATGGGTGGCCAGACCTCCAACAACATTGCTCTGCCTCTGCACAGACAGAACGTCAAGATCCTCGGCACCTCGCCGGAGATGATCGACTCCGCCGAAAACAGATACAAGTTCTCCAGAATGCTGGACAAGATCGGCGTCGACCAGCCGGCTTGGAAAGAGCTCACCTCGATCCAGGAGGCCGAGGAGTTCGCCGAGAAGGTCACGTACCCTGTTCTGGTGAGACCGTCCTATGTTCTGTCGGGTGCTGCGATGAACACCGTTTATTCCAAGGCCGACCTGGCGTCGTATCTGTCGCAGGCCGTCGAGGTTTCTCCAGACTACCCTGTGGTTCTGACCAAGTACATTGAGAACGCCAAGGAGATCGAGATGGACGCTGTTGCCAAGGACGGAAAGCTGATCATGCACGTTGTGGCCGAGCACGTCGAGAACGCCGGTGTCCACTCTGGTGACGCCACGCTGATTGTTCCGCCACAGGACCTGGACAAGGAGACCGTGAGCCGCATTGTCGAGGCCACGTCCAAGATCGGAAAGGCCCTGGACGTGACGGGACCGTTCAACATCCAGTTTATTGCCAAGAACAACGAGATCAAGGTGATCGAGTGTAACGTGAGAGCGTCGAGGTCGTTCCCGTTCAACTCCAAGGTGGTTGGCACCGACATGATCGAGATGGCCACCAAGGCCATCATGGACATTCCTGTGAAGCCGTACCCTGGCGAGAAGCTGCCAGACGACTACTGTGCCGTCAAGGTTCCTCAATTCTCTTTCTCGCGACTTTCTGGCGCCGACCCTGTTCTTGGTGTTGAGATGGCTTCCACCGGTGAGGTGGCCTGTTTCGGCCACAACAAGTACGAGGCCTATCTCAAATCTCTGATTTCGACTGGCTTCCAGCTGCCAAAAAAGAACATTCTTCTGTCCATCGGTTCCTTCAAGGAAAAACAGGAACTGCTGCCATCCATCAAGAAACTGTACGAGCTGGGCTACAACCTGTTTGCGACGTCCGGAACTGCCGACTTCATCCAGGAACACGGAGTTCCCGTCAAGTATCTGGAGCTGCTGACCGATAGAGAGGACGACAAACAGAAGGCCGAGTACTCGTTGACGCAGCACCTGGCAAACAACCTGATCGACCTGTACATCAACCTGCCGTCGGCCAACAGATTCAGAAGACCGGCCTCGTACGTGTCCAAGGGCTACAGAACCAGAAGAATGGCCGTTGACTACGCCGTTCCTCTGGTCACCAACGTGAAAAACGCCAAGCTTTTGATCGAGGCCATCGCCAGAAACCTGAGTCTGGAAGTCTCCAATATCGACGCACAGACCTCGCACAAGACCGTCGAGCTGCCAGGCCTGATTTCGATCTCCACGTTTGTGCCATCGTTTGCGTCTGACTCTGCTCCCGTCAACGTCGAGGCCGTCACCAAGGCTGCTCTCGCGGCCGGGTTCACTCTCACCTCCATCTCCCCAGTCACGGACTCTGGCTCGTTCATTGTCGACGCCAGATCCCTCGCCAGGGCCCACGAGCTCGCGCAGGACTCCACCTACACGGACTTCTCGTTCGGCGTCGCTGCGACGGAGGAAAACCCAACCCAGATCCAGCACGTTTCCTCGCTCACGTCGTATTTGCTTGTGCGCTCCAGCGAGTTCCTCAAGAATAAAATTGCATCCACCTCTGCACACTTCGGCGTCTGGCCGGAGAACAAGCCAATTGTCACAGACACCAAGACCACCGACCTGGCGTCCGTGCTTTTGCTGGCCTCCCTTTACAACAGACAGATCCACGTCGCCAACGTCACCAGCAAAGACGACCTGGCTCTGATCACCATGTCCAAGGGCAAAGGTCTGCAGGTGTCGTGCGACGTGTCTGTGTACTCGCTGTTTGTTTCGCAGGAAGAGTATCCTGGAGCAAGCTTCCTGCCAACCAAGGAGGACCAGAAAGCTTTATGGGACAACCTGGACTCTGTCGACTGTTTCTCTGTCGGCGAGACGCCATGTCTGCTTGCCCAGCACGTTGGCCAGCCGGTGACACCGGCCATTGGCATTGCCGACACGCTGCCACTACTGCTTTCTGCTGTGGCAGAGGACAAGCTGACATTTGAGGACATTATTGCCAAATTGCACGACAACCCGATCAAGATCTTCAACCTGAGAGACAACGAGTCTGTGATCGAGGTCGACGTCGACAGAGCCATGTCCTCGCTCAAGACCAAGAGAAGCGTCTGGTCGCCGTTCCAGTCCAAAAACCTCAAGGGTGCCGTTGAAAGAGTGCACATGAACGGCCAGACGGTCTGTCTCGAGGGCGAGTTTGTCGTTGCCGAGGCCCTTGGAAGAGAGAACGCCTTCCTTGTCCAGCACCCGTCGTCTCTTGCCGGCACTCCAGCCGTGGCAGAGGCTCAGTTGGCTGCTTCGCCAGCTATCGCCGGCAGAAGGGCCTCGAGATACTCGTTCGACGGCGCCAGAAGATCGACCCTCATCGACTCTCTGAGAGACACCAGCGCAATCTCAGAGTCCCATGACACTCCGACCGGTGCCGACCTTGTTTCCTCGATGCCTCCAAGAGAGCTGTCGTTGCCGAACGCCATTATTTCCTACATCAAGGGCGACAATCCGTTCCTTCGGAGCTCTGTTCTGTCGGTGAACCAGGTCTCCAGATACCACTTGCACGCTCTGTTTGCTGTGGCGCAGGAGATGAGACTTGCTGTTGAGAGAGAAGGTGTCCTGGACGTGCTGAAGGGCCGCGTCCTGACCACGGCCTTTTTCGAGCCATCCACCAGAACCTCGTCGTCGTTCAACGCTGCCATGCAGAGACTGGGTGGCCGTGTCGTCTCTATCTCCGAACAGGGCTCTTCCGTCAAGAAGGGCGAGACGTTGCAGGACACCATCCGGACCATGGCCTGCTACTCCGACGCCATTGTGCTGAGACACCCTTCGGAGGAAAGTGCAGATATCGCTGCCAAATACTCTCCAGTCCCTATCATCAACGGCGGCAACGGTTCCAGAGAACACCCTACGCAGGCCTTCCTGGATCTGTTCACCATCAGAGAAGAGCTGGGTACTGTTAACGGAATCACGGTCACGTTCATGGGAGACTTGAAATACGGAAGACCGGTGCACTCTCTGTGCAAGCTCTTGCAACACTACCAAGTGAGAATCCAGCTTGTTTCTCCTCCAGAGCTGAGACTCCCAGAGAACATGAGAAAGAAGCTTGCCGAGTCAGGAATGCTTGTTGGAGAGTCCACGGAGCTCACCAAGGAAATTATTGCCAAGTCTGACGTGCTGTACTGCACCAGAGTCCAGCAGGAGAGATTTGCCGACAAGGAGCAATACGAGAGACTCAAGGACTCGTATGCTGTTGACAACAGGATCCTTGCACACGCCAAACAGCACATGTGTGTGATGCACCCGCTTCCAAGAGTCAACGAGATCAAGGAAGAGGTGGACTTTGACCAGAGAGCAGCCTACTTCAGACAAATGCGCTACGGTCTGTTTGTGAGAATGGCGCTGTTGGCCATGGTCATTGGTATTGATTTCTAAGTATGATGATACATAATAGATATTAGTTAGATTCAACGTTTTGTGCATAGATTTAATAAAATTGGATTTATTTTTTTTAACTTAATATTTCTAGTTTATTTCTGATTTTTTTGGGGATGCAAAAAATATGCCTCCTACCGGATTTGAACCGGTGATCTTCGCATTACGAGTGCGACGCCTTACCACTTGGCCAAAGAGGCAATATACGCGTAGATTTCTACTCCTTTCGACCATGAACGAGCAGGCCAGCTTGGTAGCACATGATACATATAATAAGCCAACAAATTTAATTCTACAGTCAAAATCATCACCAGAAGCTTGTTCGTATCTATACACCTAATCGCCTTCGTTTTCTAGTTTGCCTTTTTCTGCTCATCCCGCTTCGAGTAGATCTTGGCGGTGAAGGGCTCCTCTATCAGTTCAACAAGCTGATACATGGCGTAGACAAGACCAGAAATGAACACTCCCGAAGCCTTGCCGTACCACAATGCTGTTCCCAGGAAACACAGAGTGGATCCGTCGTACATTGGGTTGTCAAGCACGCTGAATGGGAAGTCCGTGATTCTCTCGTCTTTAAGGAAGCCAAAGTGGTCTCCGAGGTAAGTTCCCACGATTCCGAGCTTATACATGGAGCTGGAGACAAAAACAGAGCCGGTCGCAAACAACAGTGCCCCGATAGCCTTAACCAGCGGCGTGTCCAGTAATGGAGAGGTCGGCTGGTCCAGAATAGCGTCTCTGTAGATGTGGTCTCTAATCAGACCGAGGGTGAAGACGGTCAGGGAGAACGCGTACACAGCAAGCAACTTACTGCCAAAAGCCAGCTTGGACAGAAGTTTAGTGTTGTACTCGAGTCTGGCACCGAAGTTCCAGTACAATGGGTTGAACACCACAAAGAATATCGCCGTCTGGATCTTCTTGGAGTTGAAGTCGATGTCCTTGGCGAGGTCCCAGTAAATGTCCGTGAATTTGTCGACGTATTCCATGTCTTGTGACTAAATTAAACATGAGTAAAGCCTCATTATTTATAAGGCACGGGCTCCAAAATGTTGAATTTACAATCACATGCGTATTTTCTATGGAAAAAGGGAGAATCTTGCAAAATATAAATACCTCCTGTTCCCACCCGTAATTTGCCCTGAATCTGCGGAGCCAACAATGCATCTTTGCCTGCTCAATGCTATCACATGCAAATTCGCGGCCCCGTTTTTTGCCTGAAAAAATTAAGTGTTGGGCTACATGCCTCAACTGCACCTTACTGCTTGTACTTACTTACCTATAGTGCTTACGCCTCGAGCCGTTCCGCAGCGAGTCTTCTTTCGATCTCGGCAAGCTCCCGTTCCCGAGCCTCGATCTCCTCCTTCTTCAGCATCAGGTCGCGCTGCACACGCTCCTCGAACGCGCGCAGCCGCTCTTCCTCGAGTCGAATCTGCTCCTCCTTGTCGTCCAAGGCCGGGCTGTCAGCGACTTTCGGCGACTGGTACGTCTCGTGTCCGTTGGCCACGCCCGTCATGCTCGTGGCCATCGACGACACTCTGGCCCTGCTGATCTCGCTAACGTCGCCGATCTCGCCCTCCTCTCCGAGAGTCTTGGCGCGGTAGTTCTCATACAGCACCTCGTGGGTGTAGTCCTTGAAGTCGTTCAGATGTGTGATGAGTAGCGTGTTTTTCAGCGACAAAAAGTCGCTGATCTCGTTGTCAAAGATATCGATCGTGCCCCACGGATACACCCTTACACGCTTGACCTCGCCCGACGCCGGGTCCTTGTGCGTCGTGTTGGACCCCATCACGGCAAACGGAAGCGTCTTCCCCAGGTACTTGTTGAGCTCGATGGTCTCCTCGTCGGCGCCTTCGTCCAGGTTGAAGAAGTCGTCGTTGAAGTCGAAAATAGGCAGCTTGTAGTGCTCGATGTCTTCCATGATGAGTTTCTTGTTCAGTTTCAGCTCGGCGAGCGTCAAAGAGTCTGCCTTGGCAATCACCGGCACTATGTTGACCAGTTCTCCAAGCGACTGCATGAAAACAACGTCCTGCTCTTTGAGGCCGTGGCCGGTCGGGGTGATGAAGTACAGACAAACGTGGACCCGACAGTCCTTGAACCTGGGGTTTCTTCTAAGCTTGGACTCCTCAATCAGAATCTCGTCGTACTGGTGTTTGACGTAATCGGTAATAACCTGGAATGACACGCTGTTATCCATGCTGGTGCCGAAACCAGGGGTGTCGATCAGGTTCAGGCAGATCCGGACGCCCTCGCCGTCCTCCAGCTCGACAGTGCTCTTTCTGAGCTGCATCTCGCGGTCTGGGTTGACCAATTCCTCGGGCGAGTACATGTGTATTGTCGAGGAGGGCTCGACGATCAGCTGGTCGCACAGCGAGTTGATGAACGTCGAGCGGCCAGAACCGCTTTCGCCGACCACCATGACGGTGAAGTTCAGCGACTTCTTGAGCGTCTTTCTTTTACGCAGTGCAGCCGAGTTTCCTAGGACAGTAACCATGTTGCCAACGCGTTAAAATAATTCGCGTAGCAATAAAATAAATAAATTACATTTCTGGCTGCACAGCCATCTATTTAGCTCTTGCCCTGATTGTCTGCAGCTGTTTGTAGCGGCGCTCCCAGTTGAACTGCCAGTCCGAGTTGGTCCAGATCTCGCAGAACTGGCCGCACAGCGTGCTCACGTTGCGGATGTAGCTCGGCAGGTTGTGCTCGCTGATGAGCTTGAAGTGAGTCGTGCTGAAGATGCCCGGTATTCCTGCCTTTCGGAATATCTTCACGCGGTAGCAGCGTCCCGCGCACGGCTCGATGACAATGCTCATGAAATTGAACTGCGACGCGATCTTGTGGAACAGAAACGGCTCGCCCGAGTCGTTCCAGTAGATGTTCACAAAGTCGTTGCCTATGTGCCGCTTCTTGCTGCTCACGGCGTCGTCGGTGCCGTGCGGCATCATCGTCGTCACGTGGAAACACACGTGTGTCACCGGCGAGTGGTGATGCACCGTGTACTCGCCGTCCTGGTCGTTCTGCGTGTCCAGTCCGCCAACGTAGTAGTCCTTGCAGCCACGCAGCCGAATAAGCTTTCCGAGCCGCGTCAGAAACGCCTCGTACGCCTCCGACCCGAACTGGTTGCTCAGAATGTCCTTTTCGGTCGTCTGTCCGCGGCCAATGTACACCACGCCGATTTTGTGCAGGTTCACCACCGGGATCCGGTCCATCACCGCCACGGACCGTCTGGTCTGGTCGTCCATCTCCAGGGGCCTCAGCGCGGCGTTTTCCGCTCCCAGGAGCGCGGAAACCACGAACGACGGCATGAGGGACGTGTGTGCGTGGCGCGCTGGCAGCCTCACCTCGAAGCGGTCGATCGCGGTCGATCGACGCAACGTGAGCAGCGACCTGGGCGTGTGTCTGTGGCTCGAGACCGTGAGGAGCCCATCTCCGTGGAGCCAATGGCGCGTGTCGTAGTCCTTGTTGTCTTCAGTTTCTGTGTCGATGGCGAAAATCTGTCTCGCGCTGTTTTCAGCCGTCGCAAACCGGTTGATGGCCTCGTAGTGCACTTTATTTTTCGTATCTTCCAATCCGAGAGCTACCAGATTTTTATTGATGAAGTCAACGAGTTGGCTGCGCTGGTCCATCGAAAGCTTGAGAAACCAGCCGCAGACCGCACGGTACGACATCGCCGTCAGGAACAGCAGCAGCTGCTGGCTGACCTCGAACGACTGGGTCGAAGGCAGTCTGTCGAGCGAGGAGTCCAGGTAGTCCACGTCGTGCTCTTTTTTGTTCTGGAACGCGTCCTTGGAGTACTCGATGTACTTGAACGCGATGGCAAATATGCGCTTGTAGTCCTCGGTGGTGAGGTTTGAGATTAGAGCGGGCAGTTCCGAAAGACTAAACAGGAGGTCCAAGATGGGGGCAGCGGTAGCAGCGGTGGACAGTCTGGTCTGCAGAACGCTGAGAATGGGCCCCAGAAACCGTTTGATCGAGGCAGAAAACTCGTAGCACGAGACGATAAGGAAGTGCAGACACGGTATGCCGGTCTTGTCCCAGGACTTGAGTGCCGAGATCACAGAGCTGATCAGCAGGTCTTCCTCTGTTCTGGAAAAAAGCGCCTGGTACGCCGGAATGGCCGACAGCGTGCGGATCAGCGCGACCTGGACGTCTGTTTTCGACACAGCCACCGGGCGGAAAGACGACGGGAACCGCAGCTGCAGCTGGTGGCAGAGAGTGCGGAGCAGCCGCAGGATCTGGTTGTGGGACGGGAACAGCGACGGGTACGCCAGCTGCGGACACAGATGGCCGAGCACGAACGAGTAGACCTCCCAATCGACGAACGTCTCGAGCGTCAAGACGACCAGTTCGAGCCAGCCGCTCAGGTCGCTTCGTTTGAGACACCTGTGGCTGCACTTTTCGAGCAGCTCCCGCGGCAGATACGTAAGTGTCTCCGGATACTGCCATTTCCAGCTCTCGTCGCGAGCGTGGCCGGTGTCGACGTTTCTTCCCAGGTTGTGGCACAGTCCGTCCACGTCGCAGACGTCGACAAAATGTATGTAGTCGTCTGCGGGTCTGGCGCGCGCCATGAGCCGTGCGATGGTGAGGAAAGTGTCGTGGTCGGCAGAAATGGTGGACGAAGCCAGTTTCAGGAGATAGTCGAAGACAGCACCGGCTTTGTAGGTGTTGCGCGAGCTCTGACAAAGAGCGAGCAGCGAATACACGACGTGCTGGGTGAACACTGCGGCAGAGGGGAATTTGGCGATGAGCGACTCCAATAGCTGGTTGTCTATGCGGAGCAGAATTTTTGCGAGTGTGTCGCGATAGCTGGCGAGGTTCCAGAAGCCGTCACTGAGGAAAAAATCCAGATAATGGTTGAGAGGCTCGCGGTTTTCGCAGATGTCCAGCGACTCGAAAAAAGCCAGCTCCAGGACTGCAAGCACCTTCTCGGTGGTGCCAAAGGTGCTGATGAGCGACTCGCAGTTCTGCTGCCAGTCTTCGGTGATGGCTACACATTTGAGCTCAGAGCTGTAGCTGTCGATGACGTAGTCCAGCTGCGACTCCGACAGCCGGTTTTTATTCTTCTCAAATAGCCGGAGGGTGTGTTCGCGCCATAAGGGATTATTGGCGGCCTGCAGACGGTCAAAGAGCCGTGCCAAAATCAACTCGTCCACGGAGTCGCCGTCTATAGCCATCAGACAGTCCCAGAACCGCGCATCCATAAGCTGTCGTTGCGAAAGAAGGCCCAAGTCAAGCAGCGAGAGAACGACAGAGCAAATAGCGTTGGCCACGGCCGGCTGCGTCTGTGCCGGACAGGACGCAATAGCCGGCGGCAGCAGCCCGCTGGCGGTCTCCAGCACGTCCGTGACCAGTCTGCCGACCTTGGATGTGTCTCTGTAGTAATTCAAATATGTTTGCACAAACACAAGACAGCCGTATGCGGGTCTTTCCTCGGCTCCAATAATTTCAGAGCACTTCACAAAAGTCAGCAGAGAATAATTCGGGCTGCTCAGAAGCGCCACCAAAATGCCGTCGATCGTGTGGTCCAGCTGAATAGTGCCGAGCAGCTTGGCTCTGCCGAGAATGTCGACGATATCGCGTACGCTGGACGGCGGGACGCTGCCGAAAGATATGTATGTGTCTATAATCTGGAAGTATGCGGTGAGCGTTTCTATGTTGGCAGCGAGCGTGGCCAAATCCAGAACCTTGGAGAGCATTTTGGCAAGATCCTTGGATTCGAACAGGTTGAAGTTGAATTTTAGACAGTTTGCAAGGAACAGGGTGAACTCTGTCTGTGACTCTTCTCGTTGGGGCAGGTTGTTTAGTGTGCTCCACAGGTACTTGAAAAGCGGATATGGCTGATAAATTAGCAGATCATAAATATCGCGGCCGTCGTTTGTGAGCAGCTTCAGACTTTGGACGCTGTAATCGATGTCCGACTCGAGATATTCGAGTATATCCTTGTAGTACGCCATCTTCGTGGGTGTTGAGTGGTCGCTTGCCTCAATGCAGGTGAGAAACAAATTGAACGTCTCCAGACGAAGCTGGTCCGAGTTTGAAAGCTCGAGGTTTTGTTTGGCGAGAAACCAAAGCTCCGGGATAGACGAGATGCTTACAGTCTTGATGGAGGAGATCAACTGGCGGACGGCAGCGATTTTGGCGCTCGTTGAGCCCGTCTTGAGCGTCGCAATCAGGTCTTTCTGGTTGAACAGGTCTGTGCCCACCACCGTCGGCTGCACGGCTATAGGCTTTGATCTGAAGCTTTTGGATATCGATTTGAACATGACATGGATTTTTTCTAATTAATCCTATTTTTTTTTATTTTATTATTCTGACACATCTTTTTTTGATCTTTTTTGATCTGTCAAAATATGTTGTCGTTTTCCCAATCACGACCCAAATGCCAAAGGTATATAAACACAGGCGACGCGCTTGTGCAAAGTAAACAACATAATGATGGACCGACTCATTGATCCGCTCTGCCAATTGGCCGCCAACCCCACGGCGCAGTCGCTCACTCTGGGGTTCAGTGCGGCTATTCTGGGAATAATCACCACGATGGTCACTTCGAGCAAGGACCAGTTTCGTGGAATCGATCTTTTACAGGAGCTCATAGACATTGAGAACGCAAACAAGAGCCAGACGCTGGCTAACTCGAAATACGAAGAGATGCTCGAGGTGTTTAGCGTGGTGCTCGCTTTGGGAGCACTTTTGTTCGCCGTGCTCTTTGTTCTGGTTGGCGTGCTGTTTTGGCGGTTTGGAGCACAAAAACGGCTTCTGAGCGAGTTTCAGACCGAGATGGCAGACCTGAAGGCCACTCTGAACCATTTCATGGCCAAGGAGGATGAACTCTTCTACAACATTTCTGTTCGGTTGCAACAGGAAAGCGATACCCTGCACACGGATCTCAACACGGCGGTGAAGAACGGCATGCTGCAGGTCGAGGACTTGGTGGCAAAGTTCCAGACAAAGATCAAGGCCTGTCGCCAAAACATCAAGAACGAGCTGCACAAGTTCGACACCATCAAGGAGGTTTCTGAAAAGACGGAGCAGAACCTCAACAAGTTCGAGTCTTCTCTGTCAACCTACACCGCGAGAATGCAGCAGCTTGAGCACCAGTCCGCGAATCTCAAGAAGACGGTCGATCAGTATGTCTCACAGGTGGATATCAAGGCAGAGCTGATGGACAAGGAGTACGAGCTCGCCAAGATCCAGATGTGCAAATGCAACCTTATGCTCACGAACTCGCAGATTTTGCTGGAGAAGATTTTGGGGAATATGGACAGCGGCACCGACGTGAGCCTCAGCGACGTCCTGAAGGACCTGGACCACGACTTTTCTCTTGATTCGGACGCCTATTTCAAGGCCTATTGCGAGTCCACCGACCTGACGCTCGTGGATATCAGCAAGAGGCTGGAAACCGTCCAATCGACGCTACGAGTGCACGACGACGACATCAGCAAGACCCGCAGAGGCATTGAGGATGCCAAGCGGGACTTGCGCGAAGAGCTGCGACAGTTCACAACCAGAAACGAGCAATGGATCTACAACTGGATTTCGGTTCTGTACGGCCTATTCACGTCAGACATCGCCCAGCTGCAGATCCAGCTGCTCGGGTTGGACGACCTGGACTCGCTGCGCAAGCTGGAGGAGACAGGAGCGTATCTGAAGGACGAGTGCGTTTTCATTGAGAACTTTATATTTGAGTGCAAAAAACAGTGTTTCGGTCTGCTACGCGAGCTCAGTCTGCTGCTTTTCGAGTTCTATTTGCTCAAGACCGAATATCTCAGCCAGGACCAGATCCTCCAGGAATGCGACACCCGCATTGAAACCACTGTGGCAAGACTGTTTGAACTATTCCAGACCAGCTTGCAGAACTCGTCCATGAGCCACAAAGACTCACAGAACCTATCCACCATAATTTGCAAGTTCCAGGAGAAGCTGGTGGCAGACCTCAAGCTCACGTGTTCCAACTTTAATGTCATTTTCAAGCAGAACATCGAGGACTTCTTCATCATCTTCAAGACGCTCAAAGAGATGGACGAGCGTCTTCCCAGCGACGAAGACTCGTCCGTGATAATAAACAACTGTCGTTCGCTTTCCGACGACGACGCAGACACCAGCAACAGCTCTGATTCCTGGGGCCTGGACGACAGTTCCGCGTACAAGCCGCTGCGCTTGGTCGAGAAGAGGACAGTTTCGTGATGCCGTCGCGTCGATCGCCGCTGCTAGTAATTATTTTATTTAATGACATTTATTTTTCTCTCTATTGGATAATGGCTCGAATAATCCTGCTGAAAAACAAAACAGTTCCTACTGATCCGTACGACGAGCTGTTCAGCCAGAACCAGTACGAGCCGGTGTTTCTGCCGCTGCTCAGACATTCGTCCATAAACGAAAAAGAGGTGAAGGAATTCCTCAAGTCCGATCTGTATCTGGACGAGTACCAGGCGCTGATTGTGACGTCGCAGCGGTGCATCGAGACGCTCGCCAAGCTTTTGCAGGAGCTGCGGCACGAGAAGTTCGAACGGCTCGACCGAATTCTCAACAAACCGTCCTACACCGTGGGTCCTACGACGTCGCAGTATCTTGAGAATCTGGGATTTACAGATATTCGTGGCGGCAAGGACGCCGGGAACGGCTCAATTCTGTCGGACATCATCATTCGCGACCCGCTGTTCCGTTCGAGCGCCAAGAAGGTGCTTTTCCTCACGGGAGAAATACGCAAAGACATTATTCCGCGCAAACTCAAGTCCATCGACTTCAGCGTTCTGGAGCTCGTTTCCTACCGCACGGAGCCCCTCGAAGACACGCAAAGCAGGTACGAGCAGCTGTCGTCGACGGCGCCGGAAAAGTCGTGGCTGATCTTCTTTTCTCCTCAGGGAACGGCCGACATTGTGAATATCCTCAAGGAAAAAAAGCACAATTTCCAAATTGCGTCGATCGGCCCGACGACAGAGGAATATCTTCTGGACAATGGTATCAAGCCGGCAGTGGTGTCGTCTAAGCCAGATGCCAAATCGTTACTGTCCTCCATTATGAGCTATGAACAGGCTATCTAGAATGAATACGTCACTTTGTTGAGTTCAGAGACCACCAGCAGGTTTTCGGAGCTATTTTTGTAGTCGAGCTCCATCTGGATCTGGAAGTCGGACTTGTTTCTGATTTCGACCCGCGGCAGTTCCAATTTGCCCACACGCAGCGGCGTGAGAACGAGATCGAACTCGTACGCGGCGCTTTTGTCGTTCTGGAGGTCCAATTCGAGGTCGAAGTTCTTGAGGCCGGCGATAAGCCAGTTGTTCTCGTTCTCCACAAGATCCAGCTTGAGGTTGATGTTTTTTGGGATCTCCGGCTCGTTCTGGAACCGCACCTTTTTGTTCTCCTTTTCTTCCAATTTAAAGAGAATAACGTGGAGCGACAGACGTGCGTGGATTGGTTCGCACACTAGGTACTGCAGCTGCTTGGCAAACCGGAACTCGACAATGTTGATTGTGTTGATCACAGGGAGCGTGACCACTATGTTGAGTTGTTTCCAGGACGCGGAGATGAGCTCCTGTTGCAGATCCGGAGAAACGTCGTAGCTGCGGCCAAAGAAGTCCCGCAGTTTGTCGGCAAGACTCTGGACGTCGGCAGGATGCAGTCGCGAAAGCACTCTCTGGTGGACTTTGGTTTCAAATGGGTCAGTCTTGATGCAGTTCGTCAAAGAGTAATGGTTGAGCTTTGGTTTCTGTGCCCTGAAAAATGTGCGCAGAAGACTCGAGTATTTAATTAATTCCGGCTCCTCGTCCAGAATCTGTTTGTGGAACATTTTCTCAAGCCCAACAACTATCTCGTCCTCAATGTCGTTGTAGTCGATTTGCAGGTTCAGACTCTCGTCGCTGAGACTCTCGATCTTGTAGAAAAACGTCGACCCCTGGTCGTTGAACGCAATAATGTTGCGCGGCTGCTTCCACGTGACCACCGTCGAGTTCTGCGACGTTAGGTCCACCTTCTGCACCCTGACGGGGCGGTTGTGGATCGGCGAGTTGATGGAGTAATTAGAGAACAGCTGCGCCGATTTGAAGATGTCCTGCACCGAGACCGCAATCTGAAGCTGGGTGTCCAGGTCCTTGGTCAGATACACGGAGCGGTCGCCAAAGACCAGTCCAAACGACAACGGCACGAGCGTGTTGGACACCTCTGGCGGGAAAAAATACGGAATTCTCACGGTCACCGTCGAGCCGGGAGAAAACGGACAGTTGCACTTGAACACCAGCTGGTCCATGTCATTTTCGACCTCCGTTTCAACAACTTTTCCGTCACTCTCAACCAAATACTCTGCCTTGGGCACCATTCGGTCGATATCTGTCTTGTGGAACACAAACTCGCAACGTGAGAGCTGCTCAGAGCCAACCTTGGCGACCAGCATGATCTCGTCCCTGTTGAGGTCTCTGACTCGCGGAATAACGGCATCTATCACGGTGTTTTGATAAAGGTGGCCGTTTTTGTAGAATTGCTCAATCGGATATGCAAAAACACGCAAGTCGAGCGGCTTGCGGATTTCCAGCTTGCCAGAGCGTACCACAACGCTCCGGGCTTCCAAATCACCACACACCAGGTCCTTTGACTCCAACTTATAGTTGCTGTGTTTTTCCAGAGAGCAGCTACCAAGCCGGAATTGTGTGCTATCGAAATTCACGATAATCTCGTCCACCGGCAGCACTATTTTGCTGGTGATCCGCACTCCCAGCTCGTACGTATCGACGCCGGCCGGGTCGATGCAGGGAGCGAGCTCGCAGTCAAACAGGTCGGCAGACTCAAATACCACAAGATCGGTCAGGTTGTCGAGAATCTTGGAAAACTTGTCCGATTCGAACGGCTCGTCTTTGGCGACGAGCTCCAAATACGACGTCAAAAGCACGGGCAGCACGTCCTCGTACGTTGCGCTCAGCTGCTCGAGATTGGCGATGAATATCTTCAGTATGCCCAGCGTGATGTACTTCCATTCGGAGTTTTTGAAATAGGTGAACGAGTCGTTCAAAATCTCCAACGACGTCTCCAGCTCCTTCATGTTGTGGAAATAAATCAGTGCCAGCTCGGTCGACAACGTGTCGACGGTACGCGGCCGCGACTGCGCTTTGGAGTAGTCTTCAATGACTTTTTTCGTCTCGTCAATGGCGTACTCCTGGAACCTGCTTTCTGAATCTAGTATGCTCTTAACGGTATCGTCAAACAGCTCGTATTTCTCAGAATGCATCGGAACGTCCACCAGAGAGCCGGCAAGCACGTAGCCCTTGCAATGCGCAAGTTTGACCAGCTCGTTGCGTCGTAAAATTCTAATGTCGCCGAGCTTCTCGTACAGCTCGGCCAGGTCTCGCTCGACACCACCCAGCAGCTTCTGGAGGTGTGCATTGTTCAGAAAGTCAGTGATCAAAACCACTGCTATCTCGTTCTTCTTGTAGCTCTCGTCGAACGACTCAATAAACCGCGAAAGTACCTGGATCCACTCCATTTGGGTGCGAATCATGAGAGCCTCGCTCGTCGCCGTTTTGCGCAAAATGGTCACTGACTGCTTGTAGAAAAACGCCTTGAGCTTGAACCTCGACTTGTAGTCAATGTCTGGCGTGCTGTCAGCAAGAGGTAGGTCTCCAAACGAGCAGCTTTCAATCCCCTCGGCGAGGTCGAGTTTATCAACCTTCGCAATCATATCCTTATAACATTGCAGCGCGTCGTCCAACTGTCCAATGCTCATAAACAGATGAGCAAGCTCGTTCATGCCGTCGAGCGTGTCGCGCGAGCGATAGTACGCGAGTCGGTGGCCAATTGACTCGACAAGCCCTATTTTGACCGAGTTGGCCAGGCCGGCCCAGGCTTCGCTTTTTTCGACCGCTGACGGGTAGCTGGACTTGATTTTGAAGATGTTGTCGAACGTGAGCATGTCGTCGACAAAATCCGTCTTCAGCTTGTTTAGCAGGTTGGTTTTGAGCAGTTTTTCTGCCCTCGAAATGTGCGCGGTGTTTTCGTACAGAATTATGAAGTAGACAGACGTCGGCTTGGCCGACTTGACGTTGTTGAGCCATTGCTTGACCACAGGCCGCACTCGTGCGCGGTACTCGTCTATGCTGGTGCTGGTGATGAAAATGAAGTTGAGATATTTGCTGTCTGTGGACTGGACGTAGTTGAGTTTGATGTTACTGAGGGTGCGCACCGAGCTGGCGGGACCCGGCTTCCAATGGAGCTTCTCAATCCGCGTGATGGCCTCGAGGTCCTTTTTGAGGTGCGCATAGAGCGAGAACGGGTCGTAATACCCGATTTCGAGCGGGATCGGCGCATCTAATTGGTCCATATCATCAAGATCAAAAGCAGGAAATATTTCAAAATAAAAAAAAAAAATAGACAATTAATTGACTCGCGTTCGAAATTATTTTCTTTATTTTATTTACTGCCAAATGCCATCGCAAGATAAACCTAAACGGGCCGCTGCGAATCCGGAATTGAATCCGTTCCTGAGCAGGGCGCTAGCGAGAATATACGGAGACGATCCATCTGTGGAGGTGCGATTGCCCGAGCTGTCTGTTGACGAGGACATCGAGTACTGGAAGACGCTGGCCAAGCGGGCCAACATCCCTATAGAAGACCCCGTGCCGGAGCGCGAGGCCCCAGTGGCGCACAGAGAGAAACAACAGCGTAGCGGGAAGTCATTGAGGAGCGTATTTCGCAGAGAGAACTCAGCAACAGAGGTGCCGTTGAAACGCATTCCGAGAACACGCAAGGACGATTTCAGCTGGTATCGCGAGTCGAAGAAGCGCTATGCGCGGTATTTGGCGGCGTCGGCGCGCGAGGAGCGCGAACTGTACGAGCAGATCCACAAGGAGTACCTTGCCGAGCGCGAGAGTCTGAAAAGGCTCGAGGAGGACGAGAGCCGGGTCGCCAAGCTTGCGCAACTGCTTCGGGAAGCTAGTGGAAACAAGGAGGTGAAAGAGGAAGAGAGTAGCGTGGAAGCGCAACAGGAAGAAGCAGAAGAGCACGACGACGAAGAAGCAGAGGAAGCGGAACAGGCAGAGTCTGACGAGCAACGTGAGAGCGCACACTCTGACAATTCGATTGAGGTGATTGAGCTTGGCTCTGAAAGCGAGGAGTCTGAGCAAGAAGAGCCGGACAACTCCGAAGACCAACCAAAAATTGCGGACCGGTTTGCAGGCAAGCGACTTCCTCCTATAAGCAACTACGTGGTGAGCCACTATGGCGAGAGCGAAGAGGAGAGTGAAGAGGAGAGCCAGGAAAATGAGGTTTACAGCGATGAGAGCGAAGAGAATGAAGAAGAGATCGAAGGGGAGAGCGCAGAAGAGAGCGAAATTGGAGAGAGTCAGGCAGAGGAAAGTGTCGAGGAGAGCGAGGATATTGAAGAGAGCGAACGGGAGAGCGAGCAGGAAAGCGAGCAAGAGTCTGCTGATGAGATCGGAGCACCAGTCTCTGAAAGCCGTTCTGGCGAGCGAGAGATGCCGCAGCCTGTGGAGCTACAGGAAATCGACCAGATGATGTCTGAGGCAGACAGCATATTGAACCAGCCTGTTGCAAACGAGTCCATCTACTACTCCTACCACGAAAGCGAACAGCCGAGCGAGGTTCCGGACTGGACCCAGATCGCGCTTCTTGCTCAACAGGAGACGAGCGTGTACGAGGACGAGGTTATTGATGAGACCACTCGCATAGAGGTGAGGGCCGAGGAGACGGCGGAAGCGGCGGAAGAAGAACAGCCGCAAGAGCCAGAAAAAGCTGACGCGGCTGAGGAAACCGAGGCAGATCAGAAAGCTGGAGACTTTGAGCAGGCTAGTGCCGAACAATTGGAGACTGTGCCAGAGGTGTTTGAAACGGCTATCATGGACACTACAGAATCCGAGCCGCCTGCTCCAACGAAAAAACACAAGACCCCTCCGCCTGTGGAGCTGCCGAAACGAGTGCCTAGTCCAAAGTCGCCGAAACTGGACCCTGGTCTGTTGGATCTTTTGTCGGGCGCATTCGACGTGCACAACAAGGCCAGCGAGGAGAGCGAGCCGAGAGTTGCAGAAAACGCTGAGAAGTCTGTGCATTTCGTAGAGCCCGACACAGAGATTGACGTGGAGCAAGGGGCAGAGAGCACGAACATCGAGCACGAAGAGACAGCGACGGAGACGGCCATGGAGACGGCCACGGAGGGTGAGACCACGGTGCTTGTGACTGCGCCCGAAGCCGAGACGTCGCAAGAATACGACGCCGAGTCGACTGTCCTGGACACGGTGTACGACACGGCGATGGACTCTGCGGCGGAAAACGCTGACTCTGGCGACGAGCCTGCGATCGAGGTGGTGGCCGAGTCGTCGGTGATCGAGAACGACGCCGGCGACGCGTCGATCGACAACACGATCGACCAGGAGGCCTATGCGACGGCTTTGCTCAACACGACGCAGGCAGACGACGACACAGAGTCGGTGCTCGCGAACCAAACGGTATACTACGACGACGAGAACGCAGACTCCGAGGAAGTGGTGGAGCCGGGGTCTGTAGAGTCGCTGGACTCGGACGAGGTCGATCACGTGATCATGGAGGAGTGCGGCGAGGAGGTGGCAGGCAAACGGAAGCACGAGGAGGAGACGGAGCAGGAGCCGGAGCCGGAGACGGAGCCGGAGCCGAAGCGTGCCCGAGTGCAGACCGGATTGCTTGACACGCTGGAGCAGTTTGCGTCGGAGGCGATGATGGATATCTCGACGCCGGAGGTTGATGTTAGGGAGGCGGAGGAGAAGGATGTGGAGATACCAGAGGAGGCCGAAGAGACGGCTGTTATTTGTGTTCAGCCAGAGAGCGAGGGGGAGGAGAAGCGGGAGAAGGAAGGGGAGCAGGAAGAGGAGAAGGAGGAGGAGGTGATGGAAGAGTCAGAGGAAGAGCAAGAGAGGCAGTTGGAGGAAGAGACGGAGAACGAGCAGTCGCAAAAGGAAGCGCAGCCTGCCAATGAAGAGCCTCAGACGGATGCTTCCGACCTCGAACCTCAGCCGGACGCAGGTGCTGCTGAACCGGCAGGATTTTTCAGCTCCCTGAGAGATTTCGTTTCTGGAGCGATGATGGAGATGGAGAGCGACGCCGACCGGAGGAATGTCTCCGAGGAGAGCGAGACGGAACAGCTGGAAAAAGAGGAGCAGCTGGAAGGTCCCATTGAGCCCGCGGAAACTTCCGACAGGGACCACCATGGAGAGGTAGGAGGGGTTTTGGAAGCGGACAAAACGTTGGAAGAGGTTTCTGAGGAAGAAAGGACAGAGGAACCGCAGCTGCCAGCAAAAATACCAGAGTACGCTGTCGAGACTGCAGAGCATAAGGAGGAAGAGCGCGAAGAGGGGCCAGCCGAGGCAGAGGAACAGACGGAAATCATCCACGTTCCGGCAGAGGAGTCTGAAGGGGAGCTAAAAGAAGAGCGGAAAGATGAGCTAGAAGAAGAGCCAAAAGAGGAGCTAAAGGATGAGCGAAAAGAAGAGCTAGAAGAAGTTCTGAATGCAGAGCCTGATGAAGCAAAAGAACTGACGATACCGGTCGGCGATGCAGAGACTGTTGAAGGAAGCTCGGCGCAACCAGAGGCAGAATCAGAGGGTGCTGCGGAGCCGGATGTGGAAGCCCTTGAAAAAAGCCCCGAAGAAGTTTCTGAAAGTTCAAAGGAACAGCCAACAGAGGAGCAAGAAGAGGCGGAGATTTCTGCTGAGACGTCACTGCAGACTGCGTCGCCAACTCCCGCAGAGAACAACGCCAGCCCTGCTTCCGACTCACAACTTCCAGAAGTGCATTTTGAACGTCTCTCCCAGACGCGTGGCTTTTTCGGGCTGCTCTCGGACTTTGCCTCGGGGACTCTGGCCGACATTTCTCCGAACGTATCTGAAGACGAGCCATCTGGGCCTGATGGGGAGCCAGAAGAGGTAACAGAGGAAAAAGAGGCAGAAGACGCGGCAGGACAGACGCTTGCAAACGCTGAGACGAAGTTGGAGCAAGAAGAAACCACAAATGACGACCAGCTACCAAAAGATGAGTTTGAGGAACCCGCGCAGACCATTACCGTCAAGCCGGACCCTGTTTCTTCAGAGGCTTCTCCAGAGTCTTCGGAGATCTCCCCAACTGCTTCTCCAAAACTCTCTGACGCCGAGGTTGCAGATACAGTTGACAACAGCGAGCCAGAAGACGTTCCCGTCATCCATGTTCCTGCTACAGAGTCTCCCGCGACAGAGTCCCAAATCACCGTCAAGCCAGAATCGTCAGGCTTGTCGCTAGGCGAGGTGCCTTCTTTGAACCCAGAGACGCAGTCTGAGTCTGAGCGGAGCAGGGATGCTTCGCCTGCAAGACGAACGAGAGGCCGTTCTCAAAAGCGCCACAGCTCAGAGCCGCGCGACAGCGAGAGCTCAAAGAAACAGCGGCGCGCTGTTTCCGACTCTGAGACCTCGCGCAAGCCAAAGTCGCGGCCGTCGTCTAACGGGGACAGACTGTACCGTGCTAAGTCGCCAGTCAAGATCACGAGCAGCGGCATGTCCACACGCAGCGGCCGCGTGCTCTCGTACGAGCTGGAGCAGAAACGGGGCGAGCTGAGCAACCCGCCTCCTGCTACTCTGCCCAAGGCGGTGAAGGACCTGGTGGAAGAGGCCGAGTTCTTCATCGAGGAGGAGAAGGCCAAGGAATTGAAGGAACTCGTTGACGAGGCACAGCAGTTTGTTGAAGAGCCTGCTGCCCCAGAGGAGCCTGTTTCTGAGCTCAAGGTGGAAAAGAGACGCAAGCCAAAGAGCACTCCGGAACCAGAGCCAGAGCACTTACCACGACGCACGTCGCGGCAGACCGGCCGCTCAGCTGTGCCGGCAGAGCCTCTTGCCCGAATCCCGCCTCCGCGCAGAACCCGCAGAGCGCCAAAGGACAAGAAGTCCAAACCCAAATCTAAAAAATAGATAATTAAATATATTGTACATTAGATATTACTCGTATTCATCCTCCTGCTTTTGATCGCCGGCCTCCTGCTCGGCAACAGCCTCACACGCGTCCACCCAGTCCGAGTAGATGTCGATCGGCTGCGAGAGCGAGTTTATCGGCGTCTGGAACGACTGGCCACAGATTTTGCACGATAATGAGCCAATGTTGATTTTCTTATCCATAGTACAGTTGACCGACTTTTCGTGGTTGCAAAACAGACACGAGAACTGCGTGTCGAGTTTCTGCTTCACCTTCTTGACTGGGGCGGCCTTGGTCTTGCGTTTTCCCTAATTGTTAGCACGTTGCACGAAGCCATACTCACCATTGAATAAAAAGAATACGTGAAATATTATTATCGACGGGACGATTTGTACGTGAAATATTTTCTAAATTTTTTCTAAATTTTTTAGATCTAGAGGCATGCCACCAAAGAAGACCAAGAAGACCGCTGGCGCTGCCAAAAAGGGCAAGAAAGTCACGGGCACAGTGGTGAACACAGAGCTAAAGGTGCAGGAAGGTGTTCATGTGAAAGAAGCCGCTGTAAAGAAGGCCGTTTCCGAGCTGATCAAATGGAAGGACTCGCAGAAGCCCGAGAAGCCGCAGCTCTTCGACGACGACGACGCCAGTCTGTACATGCAGCTGACGAGTGTCAAGTTCTTCAGCAAAAAGCAGGTGCTCAAGCCCACGACTGTGGCTGTTCCGCACCCTGTGCACGACCTGGAGAACGAGTTCAAGGTGTGTGTTTTCGTCAAGGACGGCCAGATCGACGCTGAAACGCTGGAAAAAATCGAGCAGGAGAACATTCCGCATCTCGCCAAGATCGTCTCTGCTTCTGAGCTCAAGGGAGCTTACAAGAGCTACGAGGCCAGAAGAAAGCTGCAGAAAGAGTACGACCTGTTTTTGAGTGACGAGAGCCTGATCACTGCGCTGCCGAAGCTGCTGGGCAAGATCTTCTACTCGACCTCGAAACTTCCGCTACCAATCAGACTCAAAACCAAGGAAAACGTGTTTTCGGTGACCACGCTGGCCAACCAGGTGTCGAAAATGGTCAACTCTGTCCATTACGTTGCTCCGATGGGGGTGAATCTGACCCTCAACCTGGGCAGTGTCCGCCAGCCGCTAGACAACATCGTGGATAACGTCCAGGCTCTCACACAGCATTTTGAGAAACAGCCACTGAAGACCATACAATTGAAGCTGCTGGAGTCGCCTGGACTGCCGATTTACATTGCTGAGCAGATTTTCAGCGAGCAGGACGTTGGCGAGGACGAGAAGCCTGCCAAGGACGAGACTCCCGAGGTGAGGCTGACCAAGTTCGAGAAGGGGCTGGTGGAGCTGGCTCTGGACGAGGACCAGGCGCGTTCGATAGTGGGGCGTAAGGAGAAGAAGGTGAGCAAGCTGAAGCGGGGGAAAGAGAACCAAGACGGAGGGGTTTCCAAGAGAAGAAAATAGTGTGCTACTAATAAAAATGTGCTATTCATCTTTTTTTAATTTTTTTTATTTTTTTTCCGCGGCTGTGCAGTTACTTCATGGTGACGAACACGCTCGTGGTGACCGACCAGTACCTGCTGGACGAGGCGAATGGCGATGTTCTAGATGAGTTTCTGGCGAGTTTGCAGAAATGGGGCGTCGGAGACAGTTCTGTCTCGGTTTCTGTGCTGCGTTCGCTGCGTCGGATAGTCATCGTCTTTGACGCGCCCGAGACGGCTCAGAAGGTGTATGAGCTGCTGCAGAACCAGGGGATTCGGGCCTCCTACTCGCGTAGGAACTCTGCGCGCTCCGAGTCGCTGCTGGAAGCGCCTGCCCGGCTTGAACCCCCGGAACGCCGCGTGGAGCTGCAGTCTCCGCCGCCGTCGCCGTATCTGGGGTATGTGCAGGAGCCCGAGGAACCGCCGGAGCCAATCACGATGACGGAGCCGGAGTCGTTTTCGCATCTGTTGTACCAGCCGACGCGCGACGAGGCGGCGCGAGAACGTGTGTTTGAGGGCCGCGCAGAGCAGCCGCGTGTGCCGTTGCTGATAGTGGACCGCGAGGAAGGCGAGGCGTTGCGCAAACGGCAGCAGGAGATCGAGCGGGAGAAATTAGACGATTATAAACTATCTGAGAGATAGCACCAAGGCCAGAGACGCGAACATCAGGGCCTCGGTGATGTATAGAGCGACCTTGGGGTCGCTTTTCAGCGTCAGAGTGTACACCGTGAGGAAGAAGGTCGGGGCGGCGACGCTGAGCGTACTGCGGATGAGCGCGAGGCACCCGAACAGCTCGCCGTTGCGGTCGGGCGCCTGGTTGTACTTGAGCACGGTCGAGTGCAGCACAGGGTCGAGAATGGACCCGAATCCCTCGAACAGGAAGCTGGCGAGAAACAGCGACGGCGACCCGGCGCAGATCATCAGCAGTCGTCCCACAATGTCCATGAAGACGGCGAGCAGCAGAGCAAACCTGTCTGTTGCGTCGATCACGGTGGTCTCCTTGCGGAAGTGATGGGCGAGTTTCTTGGAGAACCACGGGTTGAACACGAGCAGGACGCTTGCGCGGCACAGCATCGCGAGCCCGAGACAGAAACTGAGGTCTCTGGACGACCACTGGAATTTGAACTTGCCGTAGATCGCCCAGACGACGCCTGCCCCCATGGTAGCAGAAAACATGAGCACTTCGACGACGAGCAGTTTCACGACTGTCCAGCGCGCGGCGCGGTCGACGTTGCCGTTGGCGTCGCGTCTGGTGATCCACAGCAGCCGCAGCGACGAGCCAAACCCAGCAGCCGGCTTGGAAGCACTGATGGACGACATTCTTCTGCTCGACCGCCGCCGCAGCTTGCGCGAGCGCGATTCGGGCAGAAACAGAACCACGAGCACGAGAGCGAGCGCCTGCACCAGCACCGACAGCACGTAGGTCTGGATCATCGGCAGCGGCACAAACGCGCCGGTCATCGGGCCCAGCGTGAGCCCGATGTAGAAGAACGCCACGAGAATAGCCATGTACGTTGCGCGCTGCGTTTCCTCGACAACGTCGATCAGATAGCTGTTGGCCAGCCCCATGGTGACGGGCATCGAGCCGGCGAGCGTGCTGAGGAAATGCACCGCCAGGTACCGCCCCGGCGTGAACCTTGCCTCGTTTGCTGCGAAAATCAGTGCTTTGAGACACCCGGACACCACGAAGATAAGGATGTTGTACGCGAGCAGCGGCTTGCGTCCGTACACGTCGCTCAGGTGGCCCATCTTGACGCTCACGAGCACCGTGCTCACGCCGCCAATCAGGTTCTGCCACCACTGGATCCGCGTGCCGAGCTGCTGGCTTGCTGCCGAGCCGCAGCCGATCTTGTCGTCCGGGTGCTTGCTGTTGTAGTAGCGGCACGCGCCGTCGAACGTGAGCGTGAGCTCCTGGCCCTGCTGGATGCCCAGCACGAACGCCGTGATGAACACCACCACGCAGATCATGAACACCGACGGTCTCTTGTGCCACGCCAGCCGGCGGTGGTCGCGCAGGTTTTCCAGCACGAGGTCCATGTCGGACTGTTCGAGGTCGTCGTCGCTGTCGCTGGCCGTGCACGTGTGCTCGGCCTGGCGAACGCCAATCGCGTCCTCCAGCACGTCGTCCTTGAGGTACACATCGACCATCGGGTCGTCGAGCGGCATTCGGGGGCTGAGGGGGCTGTGGCGGCCGTTTCCGGCCATGTACTGCTGTTTTGGCGAGCTGAGCAATCGGTCTGTCTCCTGGTCCATAGCAATTCAAGACAAGAAATGCGAGTAAATAGCACGGCCGAATTTCTATTGACAGTATTTTTTTTTTTTATCGTACCTCCTCCCTAATTATCACCACACACCCAATGGGGGACGAACCAGCGGCAAACAAGCCCAATCGCACGGCCGTGACGCCCGTGTGCGTCGCGACGGTCACGCGGTACTTCGACGGCCACAGCGACCCGGCCCTGCTCAGCCTTGTTGTCGACGACATCGTGTACGTGCTCAGCACCCCCAACTCGCGGTGGTGGGACGGCATCCTCGTCGACCCGGTCGGAAACGTCACGCGCGGGTGGTTCCCGCCCTCGCACACACGCGTCATCCATCAGGGCACGCCGATGCAGCCGTCGGTGTCCACTGTGCGCGACGAGCGCAGGACGCTCGAGTCGCTCAACGTGCCGAAAAACATCTCCTTCTCGTCGACGGCCTCGGCCCAGACCCCGCACAGAGAGAGTTTCCAGAGCACGCAGTCCGGCGACCGCTCGCAGTCGGTCACAATGGCGTCTCCCGAGGAAATCAACTCGTACTTCTCGCAGTCGACGTCGCAGCCCAGCTTCAACTTCCTGCCCGTCTGGGTGCCCCAGATCACCCAGGACGACGAGTTCGTGTACCACAACAGCGCGCTGAACGTGTACGCCAAGGACCTGCCGCTGATCAGCGCCGACTACGTCGACCACGGCTCCGCGCTCGAAAAAACAGACCTGTCCAGGTTCAACGGCCTGGACGTGGTGCCGATCGACGCCAAGGAGACCGCGGCAGACTCCGAGTCGCAGGCAGAACGCCCCTACGACCAGCCCCAGAACAGAGACACCATCGTCGAGTGTCTCACCGACACAAACGGCAGACTGTGGCACAGTCCAGACATGTTCTACTTCTCGCCGCTGGACGTCACCAACTGGCCCGACCTGTACAAGAAGTTCCGGTATCTGGTCAACATGTGTCTGGACGCGATCGGCAAGAACTCGCGGCAGCTGTTTCTGGTGCACCTGAACAGCATCTCCGAGACCGTCACGCTGTTCCATCTGGCCAGCAACATGGGGGCCCGAGACCTCGAGCGCAACGGGGTCGCCGACAGCGTGCGCGAGAACCTGCACAAGATCACCAGCTCGCTGTCGCAGCTGGCCATCAACGGGAACCTGCACTTTGTCGGGTCGAGGCGCTCGCTGCACTATCTGGGCGGCGACGACGCGGCCGACGCCGAGCTCAGCAGCACGGACGAGCTGGACCACGGCGGTCAGACGACGTGCGGGTCCGAGGCGTTTTTGCGGCGGGCCGAGCGCGACGCCGCCAAACTCATCAAGCGCGCGGGCTCGCTCAAGGAGACGTTCTTGCAGCTGCGGTACGCGAACCACGTGGACGCAGAAAACCTGCCGCTGGTGTACCCGCGCTTCTTCAGAGGCCGTTTCCACGCAGGCAACTTCTCGAACCCGTTCGACGACCTCGGCAACGCGCTGCACAGCTCCGAGAGTCTGTTCATAGACCCGCATTCGCACAAAAATAACGTTCTTCTCGACGACGAGGCCATCGAGTACTTGACCGAGTACAAGGCCAAGGCGTGCGAGATTCTCGAAAACGTGGTCCAGGTGCTCAGCACGCAGGTCCCGCGCGACGTCAAGTACAAGGACTTCATCGAAGACCGCAACCTCAACATCGTCACGCTCATCTACCACAGCGTGCCGGCGCTGAACCGGTTCCTCAACATCCTCGAGTCGATCGACTTCACCATCTTCATCATGGTCAACCGGCTCGCGCGCAAGGAACGGCTGCGCAACGAGCGCGTCGCCGAGGACGACGACCCGGAAAGCGCAAACCGGCTATTCTACGAAACCACCTCCAAACAACTCGAGCCCGTGCTCACAGAGTTTGTCGAGCTCAAACAGTCGCTCCACGACACCCTCAGCGACCTCATCATGGACGCCCAGAACATCACCGTCGACGACCCAGAGGCGTTCGAGGGCATGAAGGAGGAAGAGCTGTTCTACGACAAGTCTATCCTGTCGCTCAAGACAAAACAGTTTGCGCGCGCGCTCGTGGCCAACCTCAACGAAAAGGACTTCAGAGACCTCAACGACGGCGAGTACCTGTACGACTCGAACTTGAAGCTGCGCGCGACGATCTCCAAGGCGCTGCAGCAGTTCGACCTCGTCATCATGTCGACGACCCAGCTCAAAGAAGAGCGCCAGTCGATTCTCAACTACTGCACGCGGCTCATGAACACAGACTTCAGCGTCGCGTCGCTCTTTGTCGCCGAGCGCCACAACACCATGATCTCCTCGCTCAGCCAGTCGGAGTACAGCTACGGCCGGCGCAGGTCACGTGACACAGAGACGGAGCTGCCGTGGTTTTTGGACGCCGACGACGAGGAGCAGTCGGTTATTTTCGACATCAGCGGCATCAAGGGCGGGCCTGCGGAAGGGTTGGTGTCGCGCCTGGTGAACCCGACGCACGACAACGACGACGAGTTCAAGGAGACCATGCTGGCCACGTTTGTGACGTTCATGACGCCGGTGGCCTTTTTCGGGGCGCTCATCGACAGGTACAACGTCCAGATGCCCGAGGGGCTGAGCTACGAGGAGTACAGTGTATGGGTGGAGAAGAAGCTCAAGCGGCAGCGCGAGGAGGTGCTGCGTGCGTTCGCCAAGCTGTTCAGCACCGCGTGGTTGGTGCAGTACAGCTCCCCCGAGCTGCGCGCAAAATGGGACGTTTTCATCGACAGCAACAACGTGGACGCGAAGCTCGCGCAGCTGGGACGGCTGGTGATGGCGATGAAGACGCAGGACGAGTGGTTTGCTGAGTTTGGCCACGGCAACCCGGAGCCGCAGCCGTTCGAGGGCCGGCCGCCTGTGCCGCTGATGCTGGGCAAGAACCTGCGCAACACGTCCAAGCTGCGGCTGCGGGACATCGACTCGATGGAGTTTGCGCGCCAGATCACGCTGATCCAGTTCGAGCTGTTCCACAAGATCGACAAGTTCGACCTGCTTGCGCGGTCTTACCATTTCAACCGCATTTTCAAGCATAGTGAGCCGGTTGGCTCGAAGAGTATCGCCAATTTTGTGCGCAACTGCAACGTTATTACGCACTTTGTCATCTACATGATTCTGCGTCAGCGCGATATCCAGGCCAGAGCAGAAAACATCAAATATTTCATTATTGTTGCCGACAAGCTGCTCAAGCTCAGAAACTACTCGAGCATGACGGCGATCATCTCCGGGCTCAGCTCGACGTCGGTCAGCAGGCTCAAGAAAACGTGGGTACTGGTGCCCAAGCACCTGGTCGCCAACTTCGAGAAGATGGACCAGCTGATGTCGATCGGAAAGAATTACAGCGAGTACCGCAGCATCCTCAAGTTTGTGAACGAGGACCCAGAGCCGTGTCTTCCATTTTTGGGCATGTATTTGTCGGACCTGCGGTTTCTCACCGACGGAAACTCGGACTACTTACACAACAACCGCAACCTTGTGAATTTCGGCAAACGGCTGAGCATCTACCGCACCATCCAGGAGGTGATCAAGTTCAACGCCAAAGCGTACCATTTCGAGAAAATCGACGAGCTATGGACCTATTTCTATGGCATGTGGGAGCAGCTTCCGGACGACGACAAGCTATACAACATTTCGCTGAAGCTGGAGCCGATGGTCAGTCTGGTGAACCAGCAGGATACCGAGAAACGTGCGCGAGGAGTGGACGCGCGTGTGTTCAAGAGAAACGTCCCCGCCCGCTTATGATCTGAATTAATGTATGAATGTCTACTGTTTGGCTGTAGCTTTTTGTAGCAGGTAGCCATTAATTTCTTTTCGCAGCTGGACAGAGTCTTTTTCGCATGTGTCGATGGCCGAGTCAAACGACTCGTCGAAAGCCGTGAAGTCGCTCCAGATGCCCAGGATCTCGTCCTGGCCGCTGAAATTGACTGCCATCTCGTGGTCCGTCGAGCCTGAGTACCCGCACGAGGCCACGGACCGAATGTTAAGACCAGAGTCTACCAGAGCAACACTCACGCCATTTATGATGTTCTTGAGCGTGTAGACCAGCGAATGGGCAGGGTTCAGCGCCACCACCTGCACAAAGATCTCGATCGAGGATTTCGGGTAATTTTGCAGAAGAATCAAACTTTGGAAATTGGAGAGCATAAACGATTCCAGCGACGCAATGAGCCTCTCCTTATCTGGGGTGATATTCTTTCTGTTGTCCTTCAGGTTGTCCAATGGCAGGAACTTCGACAGCTCAACGCTCACCTTCAAGCTGGCCTGGTCGTTGAACGATCTCGTGAAGTTTGGACGAGGCCCGTAGATAGACGTAATTATGATGGTCTTGTCGTTCTCCAGGTACGACGATCCGCTGCAGTTTTGTATGAGTCCCGTCTCCAGGAAAATTTTCGGATTTGTGTGCTGTGCGGGCGGCTTCGATTCGGCGAAAACCAGCGGCCTGACATTCGCAGGCCCCAAATTTCTTCTTCTATCAACGTTCATTAATTAAAATAATTTTTTGTTATTTTTTCCCATGAATCAGCTCCAGGATTTGATAAACAGTGTCGGCAAGAGTTCTGCCGCACAAACAGTTTTGCAGAACGAGCACGTACGGAACGCATGGCACGCCATCCAGAAAAATGAAAGCTGGCTCCTCTACGGCAGCCTGTCGCTCGCCGTGGCTCTGCTGGTGAGCATGTCGTTTGTGGCCCAGCCGAAGCCAAAGAAGAGAAAGAGGTCGAAGAGATCCAAGTTGCAAAAGCCTGAGCAGCCAAAGCTGAGTCCAGAGCAGCAGGCGCAGCAGGACATCGATGCCATTTTGCGCGACTTTGAGACCAACTACGTTCCGGAGATGGACAAATACATTGAGGCCGTGGAACAGGAAATCGCCAAACCTAGCCCACCCAAGCGGAAGTCCAAGAAGTCGGCAAAGAAAGCGGACGCCTCGTACAAACAAAAGTACGAGTATCAGTACCTGTACTTCAACGAGAGCTTGTTGAAGCTGCTGATGAAACTGGACTCAGTGGAGATCCACGACAGCCAGGACCTCAGAGCCAAGCGCAAGCAGTGCATCAAGACGATCCAGAGCTATTTGAAGAAACTCGACTCCTACAAGCCCGAAATCGATAAGCTTACCAAAAAGGGCCTGTAATTTAATGATTTGGCTGTGCTAATTTTTTTCAATTTTTCTCTGGACAGCATGAAAGAGAACCTTATTGGAAAATTGGATTTGCTGCAGTTCAAGTACGAGAACTTGGATCCTCCGCGGTTTCCACTTTCTCGCAAGCTGGCAAAGTCCAAGAACGCGCACCATGTGAAGCTTCTGACGCTATCTGAGGACGAAGCTTTGAAGATGATCAAACAACTGAAAAGAGAACTATTCGAGCGCAAATACCATTCTGCGTATTCCAAGTTAGAGCGGCATTTGGGCGGACAGATCAGGCAGGTGCTCAAAAACAAGACCACGAAGCCAGAAGACCGCAAATTGTACGAGAAGCTGGAGAGCGAACTGGATAAAGTGATAAAACAGAAACTGACCAAGCTGGGGTCCAAGATATTCCACCGCGAAGAGGTGCGTGGGGTTCCGCCAGAATCGTTCTGGGAGGACCGTGAGAAGCTGAAAGGGCACACATACGAGACAGAACTGAATAATCTCGTATCCAGGTTGTTCAACAAAAACACAGTCAAAGAGGTGGTGCAGCAGACAGAACACAATTTCAAGCTGGTTCTTGGTGTTGACAAGAGGGAAAAGAAGCCGGAGACTGCCAAACAAACCGAAAGTGAGAAGAATACTCTGGAAGACGAGTCTGAGAGTTCTGGTGACGATTCTGACGAAACGAGCGTTTCTGAGGACACCGAGAGCTCTGACGACGAGAAACTGGACGCAATATATTCCGACTACAAATCCATGGTGGCCGGATCGTCGGAGGAAGACGACGGCGAGCTCGAAGAGGGCGTGAACTACAACCAGGTCACAGACGAGGAGCCGAGCGAGCAGTCAAGCGAGTCTGACGACGAGCAGCCAGACTACGAGTCGGCCAAAGCGGAACGCAAGAAGCTCGGCAGCGACGACTTCTTCAGCGAGCTGCAGCTCCCTGCGTTGGCCGGCGGGTACTATTCTGGCGGCGAGGACGAGGAGGAACTGGAACAGGCAGAAAAAGACATGAAGAAGCTGGCCAAGGAGCGCAAGAACAGGCGGGGACAGCGGGCTCGTCAGAAAATCTGGGAGAAGAAGTACGGCAAGAACGCGAACCACGTCAAGAAGGAGCGCGAGAGAGTGCAGTCTGAGAGGGAGAAGCAGCGGCTTGCGTACGAGGAACGGGTGAGGAAGAGAGCCGAGAAAAAGAAGCAGGAGGAGGAGAAGAAAAAGCAGGCTCAGGAGAAGCCGCGCCAGCCGTCTGCGGCCGACAAAATGCATCCGTCATGGGAGGCCAAGCGGAGGGCCGAGGAGGCGCTGAAAAACGTCAAGTTCCAGGGAAAGAAGGTGAAGTTTGAGTAGCGAGGTGTAGATATAGAACGGAAAAGAAAATTCACAGCCTGAAAAAATAATATATTTTTATGTTTCGGACATTGCAAGTGCTGCGTCAAATGAGCTCGTCCGTTCCGCAGATCCAGCTCAACAAAGTTGAGACACAGATTGTCAACCTTCTGAACGAGTACACGCGGTACTTCAACGAGCACAAGACGTCTGCCACGCAGCAGCCTCTGGAGCTTCGAATCACCGGGGGGTGGGTCAGAGACAAGCTTCTGGGCCGCGAGTCGCACGATATCGACATTGGCATCGACCATCTGTCGGGAGTCGAGTTTGTGACGCAATTGCAGGAATATATAAAGGCGCAGAACGGCGGCCAGTCGGTCAACAGCGGCGTTTACAAGATAGAAAAGAATCCGGAGAAGTCCAAGCATCTGGAGACTTGCACGACGAAACTGTTTGGGTTCTCGATCGATTTCGTCAATTTGCGGTCTGAGAAGTACGCCGAGGACTCGAGGATCCCTGAAATCGAGGTCGGAACCGCCGAGGAGGACGCTTTCCGTCGAGACGCGACGCTGAACTCACTCTTCTACAACCTGACCACGGGCCAGGTCGAGGACTTCACGGGCCGCGGGCTGCAGGACCTGCGCGATGGCGTCCTGCGCACGCCGCTGGATCCGCGCAAAACGTTTCTGGACGACCCGCTCAGGTGTTTGCGACTCATCAGGTTTGCGTCGACTTACAACTTCCGCATCGACGAGCTGGCGCTGGCTGCCATGCGCGAGGACGAGATAAAGCAGAAACTGAGGGAGAAGATCAGCAGAGAGCGCATCAACGTGGAGTTCAAGAAAATCATCATGGGCAAGAACCCGGTGTACGGGCTGCGGCTGATCGAGGACGTGGGCTTCTACCAGCTGTTTGAGTGCGAGCAGCCCGGCCACGAGGCCGGAAACGAGGCAATGAAAACATCCTTGAAGGAACTGGTGCAGAAATACGACTCTGTTGAGCAGGAGCTGAACAAAAACGAAACTCTGAGCAGACTACTGGCTACCGTCTACTCCTCAGATATCAGCAAACAGTCGCTATTTTTGAACCTGATTCTTTATCCGTGGAGGGACGAGAAAATGGTTCTGGGCAAGCACAGCGTTCCAGTGCCGAGCCAGGTGGTCCAGGAAGCTCTGAGGATGCAGCTCAAGATAAGAGACCTGGTTGGACTGTGCTGCTCCACGCTCGAAAAATACAACTCAACATATCTCCACTGGAACAACATCGCACGGTCGGAGCTGGCAACGACACTGCTTATACCGTACAGAGAGGAATGGCGACTCATGCTGCTCACCAACATGATTGTCTCCATTTTCAAAGATTCACAGAATATACACACACTCATCGACAACGGCGCCAGGTTCGCCGACTATGTCGAGTCTCAGAACCTCCAGGACGTGCACAACACCAAACTCCTGCTAAATGGCAAGGAGGTGGCAGCTGCTCTGAATAGAAAACCAGGCCCATGGCTGTCGGACGTGAACGCCAAACTGCTGACTTGGCAGCTCGACCACCCGTCCTGCTCGAAACAGGACATGGAATCTTACCTACATAGCATCTCGGGATGATGAGATTTTATTAGCAACTTACTTAGATCTTCTCCTCCTTGACACCGTGCTTCCAGATAGCAACAAATGGAGTGACACCGTCCTCTCTGTAGTTGAGCAGGACAATCATTCCGTCTGGGTCCATGGACTCACCGGTAAAGAACTCCCAGTCGTTGAAAGAACCAACAACCTTCTTGACGTAGGAAGTAGCACCCTTTTCAAAGGCCTCGACCTGGTCTGGAGCAGTCTCAGAAAGGTGGGCCTTGACCTTCTTCATGTAGCCCTTGATGTAGGTCAGGAACGATTTCTTGTCGAACTGGGTCTGTTGCAGTCTGAAAGAGTAGACAACGTTGTTAACGGTCTCAACACCGTCGTCCAGGTCCTCACCACCATCTTCAGCAGATGGGTTGGCACCGATATCGATGTCGGCGCCAGCCTTGATTTGCACCATCTGGCAGTCGGCCTCGTAGATGGCTCCATCAACCTCCTTGATGTCGTAAGCGTCAGATAGCAGCTCGTCACCGGAAATCACGTCTTTGAAAATAATCATATTAAGGAAGCAGGGATAATTAGAAACGTGAAAAAAAAAATTTTCATCACCGCATGGAGGAGGATTAGCTTACGTAAAGCAAAAGTTTCAGCTACTCAACTGCAACGCACTCTCCTGTCAGTTCCGGATCAACAATCAGCGATAGCACCTTTTCGGCCACGTCGTCGCACGTGAGACGCGACGACTTGACCGTCCCCTTGGTGACTTTTTTCCCAATGTCTGTCTCCGGCATCAGTCCCGGCATGATTGCGTTCACTCGCACTTTCTTGGACTTCATTTCGAAGGCCAGCGTCTGGGTCAGTTTGTTGAGACCGCTTTTCGAGACGCTGTATGCTGCGGTTCCTCGCGAACAGTCTCTGGCCAGCACTGAGGAGATGTTGACTATGTTTGGATTTTGCAGACGCATCATGCTTCTGGCAAATAGCTTGCACAAGATCAGCGGAGACACGAGGTTGACATTGATGATGTCCTGGATTTCCTGGCTCGGCGTCGACATGAGCAAGCTGGACTGCGGGATGCCGGCGCAATTGACGAGGATGTTGGCTGTTTTGAGGCCTTCGTGGTTTTTCACTATCGACTCGAGGCCGCTAGGGTCTTTTAGATCGTATGCTACGCAATCGTGTTTTCGAGGATGCGGATAAGTCTCGTTGAGTTCTTCCACTTTGCGCTGGAGTTTCTCGAAGTTCCGTGACAGGAGAGTCACCTGGCACCCGTTAGAGCCCAATTTGCGTGCAATTGCGTAGCCCAGCCCCTGGGACCCGCCGGTGATAAAAGCGTGCTGGCCGGAGAGCATGAAAAAAAAAATATGGTAGCAAATTTGCTAATCACTATTATATATTTTTTATCAACATGCAGCTATTTTCCATGCTGACGTCTGGACTCACATAGTTGAACAATTTTGTGGATAATCCGCGCTGCTGCATCGCGTAGACACGGCTTTCGTCGATCGCTCGTCTGGCCTGGAGCCCGATCTCTGTCCTCTGTTTCAGATTAAGCCCCGTAAAATGATCTGCTCCGTCGTTCTCGCTCATTCCCGGCCGCACCCCGCTCGTGGCCCAGCAAGCCATCTTGGACAAGTAAACAAACTCCTGCTGTCCAATGCCAAAGTTCTCCTTTAGGTAGGCCCGGGATTCCTCGAGCAGCCAGTTATATTTACAAGCGTGGCGACAGCACATGGCCACCAAAAAGCCAGAGAACTGGAACTCGGGATCTCGCTGAGCGTTCAGCAGACACCGCAACGTGAGATCTGTCGCGGTTCCACACAGATGCTTCGAGAAGCCGACCACCTTGCCCGGATTCTCTAGACTCCTGACTGCCGTCGCCAGGTCCAGGTCCTTGATGTCTGTTTTGAGCCGGGTGACACAGACTGCACCCCTAGCGTGCTCTTCTTTCATCTTAGTGTCGAACTTCATCCGTGGCGACTGTCTGTCGATCAGCAGTACCTGTTTGTCGCCTGCTACCATGCCCGGATCAGTATCCAGGGCTCGCAGAAGATACCTGGCAAACTCGCCGCGGCCGCAGCCAAACTCAACGTAGACAGCGCCGTCGCTGAGCAGGTTTGCGTGCGCCATGTGGCCGATCAGCGACGCCTGCTGCGTCACGTGCTTGCGGTTACTGAGCTCGTTCATCCGCTCTTCGAGCCCGTATTTGTAGTCGATCTGGCTCATTTCGAGGTCCGCAGAGTACAACTGTTTGTAAGCGTCGCTGAACTGGCGCACGAAGGCTGCAAACTCGGCGTAGTCCAGCGGACTATTTTCCAGCGCAGATTCTCCCTGGACGTTGAAATCGACCACCAGCCACGGGAATTTGCCCACGTTGGATTCAAACTCCAGCTTCTTTCTGAGCGTGTTGCACGTTTTGAGATGGCGGCCCAGCTTGTCGGACCAGACAGTGTGCGACGGGTCCAGAGGACACGGGACTCTGGTGACGGTTTTCCCGTTTTTGGTCTTAGAAAACAGCTCGCCCTGCGGCAGGTGGTTGTAGCAGTACTGCGTGTCGCTGCGAAGCTGCACACCGCACGGCCGGCCCTTGTGGGGCAAGAAATACGGACATCGCCGGATCGTCTCAGACATGGAAAAGTTTTAAGGCTGTGAAAAAGGTTTACGCAAGGAATGTTCGGTGAATTCATTGATCTCATATGTATACATAAGAAGAAGTAAGGAGAGCAAAGAGGATGAGCTATTTCTTGGCCAGGTTGTCCTCGAGCGTGCGCACATGGCTCTCGAGCTTTCTGATGCTTTTCTGGAGAAGCAGGACGTCAGAAACGACAGCATTGGACGAGGACTTGTACTCGTCGAGTAGATAGTAGTATGCACCGAATCCGGTTATGGACACGCCGGCAAAGAAGCCCAGCAGCACGCCTCTGAGCGAGGTGTTGGATCTCTTGACGGGAGTCGCCACTGTGGACTGGAGTCTTCTCTGGACAATTGGCAGCATGATGGCGTAGATGGAGAAGAAAGAGCTGATATGCTTAGCTTGGAGGCGAATTGGTCTGAATCAAACAGTAGGCAGGACTGGAATGCTAAATTCACGCAACAGCTAGCCGGCGTATCACGCTTGTTAATATGTATCTTCTCCACTTAAAATTATTGGCTGGGAAAAACCCACCTCCGTTTCAGAGCCGGGTAAAAAATACCGAAAAACCATTAGGAAAAAAATTGGGCAACAGAGATGTATTATTACCTAACACTAACCGAACAAGTCGAATCCCATGTCGTCGTCAGACTCCTCCTCCTCCTCGGCAGCAGCAGCAGTGGCCTCCTCGGCTGGGGCAGAGGAAGCAGCAGCGGCTGGAGCGGCAGCAGCATAAGCGTCTGGGTTGGCAATTCTGTCCTTGATAGCCTCAGATCCCTCGAAAGTGTAATCAGTAGCAACGGAAAGAGCAAGGATGTTCTTGTAGTTGTTGATGATCTGGTGGGACACAGCTGGGATGGTTGGGTAGCCAGCAGCCAGCGAGATCTGGGTGATGGTGGAGATGGCAGAGACAAAGTGGCCGACCAACTCCTCATCGGTGATGTCCAGAATGGACGATGGGAACACCTGGCCGTCGTCGTAGACTTGCACAACGGTCAAACCGTACGTGAAAGGCGAGATGTTCAGCATGTTCAAGAGAGCAGCTTCGGAAGGTCCGACCTTCTGGTCCTTGGTCAAGATCTTAACGTCAGTGGTAATCTCAATGGTACCTCTGGCAATCTTGGTTGGAACACCCAAAGCCTGGAAGAAGGAGGTCTTACCTGGCTCCATACCAGTGTTACCAGCTGGAACAAACACATCGGCTGGGGCAATGGCACCGGCTCTGGCTGGAGCAGCAACCTTGTTCTCCAAGATAACGTTTCTGATGGTCTTCAGATCAGAGTTGGTGAAAACAAATCCGACGTTACCTCTGACGAAAGGCATAAGCTTTTCGTAGTCTGGGTTCTCGGCAATGAATCCTCTCAGGGCTCTTCTCACCATGGTGTTCTTACCCATAAGAACGACGGCATCTTGTCTAAGAGCCTTTCTAATCTCGTGCATTTGCTGAGAAGAGACGTTGTCGACACCAACGATGAAGACAGACTTGTACTCCTCAAGCAGCTGCTTGAGCTTGGAGAAATATTCGGCCTTCTTGTCCTTGTTAGCTCCCATTTCGTTTCTGTTACAACGTTAGGCTTTTTAAAGCTAGATGAAGTTATTTCCCGGCTGAATTTTCTGAAAAATTTTAGAAGGGCCCCCAGCCCAAAATAATATCACGTGACACTGTAAAGGAAACCGGTATCCTCTGAGATCCTCTTATGGGCTACAAATAATTGTCTCCCCAATTAGAACATTAAATTATTCCGCTATTTTATTGCTATACCATGAACCGTTCCCAGCTGGACACGTTGCTCTTGGAGCTTCCCTATGACGATCTGGGACTTGCACTTGTGCAGTTCAAGGAGCAGCTCAAGCTGAACGAGGAGTCGCCGGCGTTTCTCCAGACAGTGTTCCCCCGTCTAGCAGAGGTACTTGATAAGCTGGTGGTTCCAGGCCTGGATAGCTACGTGAGCGACACCAGTAAAAGCATCCTTGAAAGCTCATGCGACGTTATTTGCTGGTTCTACAACACGTTCTACTCTCATAGTCGCAACGGAGGCACCGAGCTGATCAGCCCAGATCTCACTCTTGGACTGCTATCCTCTTTCTGGACCAGAATACCAAATTTCCCGCAAACACATCCCGACGGATTGGTGCTAGTTACCTCCACCATCCAGATAGTCCTCGAAACAATTCCGCGCACTAGCTATGACGACATTTTCAGCTGGCTCAAGGACGCCGAGCCACCAAAACACTCGAATGCCGCTGTGGACGAGTTCTTTTTCACTTGTGTGCGATCGTTCACGGCAAGAGTGGTGCTCGATGAGCTGGAAACATTAACCCAACGCGGTCGACGTCTCTCTGGGACGCCAAGAGAGCTTTTAGATTCCGTTCTCGAGATGTACGAGCGATGGAGACCAGCAGATAGCACAGAAAGAGGGGAGTATCTTTTGGATCGCGAGCTGAGCATCCTCAAGAAGTCTGCCAGCTCAGAGCCAGCCACCGTGATCCACGACTCTGCGTGCTCTCCGGTCACAGACCCAAATTGCTACAAGTACTTCCTCCAACTGGAGAGAGCGAAATATGAGAAACAAAAAAATCCGGACTGGGTGCAGATCTTCGAGTGTTGCAGAGAAGTGGACTCTCCGAAATCCAGTACCTGTTCCAGCTCTCTAAGCACTGTGGTCTTCGACACGTCTGACTTCCAACGCCTCAAGGAACCTAAATCACGATGCAATGTTTTCCGTAAATTGTTCAGAGTCACAAAGCCACTATTCGTTTCCAAGAAAATTGACTCCAATCCTCCAACCTCATGTCAACTATCTACCTTCTCCACTATGAGATACAGGTTTCTAGACTGGTTCTGGAGCTTTTGGTACCCAGTTGACGAGCACGAGGAGAAAAGGTTCCAGATCTCACATTCTTTCTCCAATTAATTCGCATTTATTATTCCGCTAAGCTATCTTATCTAGGCAAGGAATTCTCCTACGATATCGCACATGGAGTCGACTCCCCAATGGACTCTTGACCGCTGCTTTTTTCCTTTAATAAAGCTGCTATCTCTAACCTTATGTTGTAAAAAGTATTGCAACCCTCTGAGTAACGTGGGCTGTTCCTTGCATTTATCAATCCGCTCCACCATCGTTTTGTCGTTGTATCTCATGTCTTCCGTCTTGTGCTTTTTGTCCCCGGCACCAAAGATTTTCTGCTCTGACAGCTTTCCAACGCTGTCAAAGAAACTAATCATAAAAATCTCCACAAACAATTTCGTATCTTCGTTAGCTGTGAGGAAATTGATAGTACGCAAGACGTTAAGAGGTAGCGACCCTTCACCAACAAGAGTGCCGAACAGTCTTCCAAGGTTCAATGTTTTCTTCAGTTTTTGATCTTCGTCCTCCGTGTCTTCGAATCCTTCGTATTCTTCTCCTTCTAGTTCTTTGAGCAAATCCCATAAGTTGAACTGGAACGTCTTTCTCATAGCATGGTCTTCGCAAAGCTTTTTGGCGACAAAAGCGTAATACGGATTGAAAACGGTCTCGATGGAGGCACAATGCATCAGAATTCTTGGAATTTCACGTTGTTGGGTCTTCTTCAGCCGTAATTTCTCTAGTTTGACATACGCATCCATGTAATCGCTGGCGGACATGATGGATATGAAAATGGCACGTCTGATGTCCGTGTTCATTCTATGCTGTTTGGCCAGCTCCAGCCAGTTTGGCTCAGACTTATCCAGCGCATCGGTCACAGTCTTTGTAGACTCTTCGACCTTTTTCTCTTCTCCTTTCCAAGCAGAGCCGACAAGCCACCATTTACCTTTTTCGTTGATATCCTCTATATCGCTCAAGGTCACTTTGATGGGATCGGCACTCCTTATTCTTCCCAGCTGTTTTTTCAGTCTAGTCACCAGTCCCGAGGTTGCTTCGTTTTCAAGATGCTTGAGCTTGTTGTTCTTCAAGTTAGAAACGGTCTCCACCAAAAACTTCGACCTGGTGCTCATGTCCGAGCCAACATTCTTGTTCAAAATCAGAACAATTTCCTTTAGCGAGCTAGGATCATCCGAGCGAAGCTTTGCACCGCAGGATCGGATCAATTTTAGCAGAAGCTCTGTCTTGAATTCTGTAGGACTCTCAATCAGCTTCTGTCCAATCACGTCATACATCAATCTGGAAGAAAGCAGATTCAATTCGTAGCAAAATGCAATCAGCGCAACCAAGTTCGATGCCTCCTTGTTGGAGCTTTCTGTCTTGATATAATCGCAAACTTTTTCCACCAGCGTCTGGATGGCATACGCGCCAAACCCCACTCCCTGCAAACGGTATAGAGCAACAATGACTGCAGCATAAAGAACAAGAAAGCTATCGAGCATCGGCGTAGATACCAGCACCGATTGAAAAACCACCTTGATTATAGCTTCGTTGACGATTTGGCGCGAATTCTCTGTATACAATGCATTCAGGTCATTGACGACTGTCAAGAAATTTGCCTCGGACAGCTTGTTGAAGGGGCCCTTGACAGAACGAATAACTTTTTGAATCTCTTCACTATCGTCATTTTCGAGCATCTTACGACGCAGGGCCGGAGGAACATACTTTCCAGCAGGAACTGGAGGAACGTAAGGGTTCTCGCGCACAGAAGGACCAGTCTCTGATTCCGACTCGCTTTCGGATGTCTCCAAATCGCCCATCTCTTTCAAGAGCTCTCTGTCCTCCTCGTCCAGAGATTCGGTGGTGGAGTCCTCGGCTTCAGATGCTGAGCCATCGAAATCCAAGCCGTCTAAAAGTCCTCCAATGATGTCGTGCTCATCGGTCTTCTTCAGCTTGCTGTTTTTCTTGATTCCAAGCTTGTTTGCGTAGTATTCAAGATCGTCGTCTGTTTTATCAAATGCTCTGGGAAACGTTGCTGAATCGGGAAAAATCTCTGATTCTGTGTGCGACTCATCTTCCGACTCGTCAAATTCCTCCTCATCGGACGTTTCCCCGTCCAATTCATCGATCTCATCATGTAACTCGTCCTCCTTGACTATCTTCACGTCGTTGCCCTTTTTAGCTCCTTTCAATTTCATTAGCTGGGCCATCACGTCTTTCTGCTCGTCATCAAGTGAGTCATCAGTATCATTGTCAGGCTCTTGCTCCTCATCCTCTTCGTCGTCGTCAAACCCTGTGAATTCTTCGTACTCTTCTTCTTCACTTTCGTTCAAATCACTATCGTCAGCTTCCAGCTCATCTTCCTTCACAATTTTGAGCGGACCATTTTTCACCTGCTTTCTACCTCCATTCTTTGTATCCCTAACGCCCTTGACGTTCTTCAATCTATCCATAATCGCCCTTTCCTCCTTGTCTCCCCCTCGCTTCCTCTTCTTCTGTTCTCTCTGCTCCTTCCGTCTTTCCCTTCGACTGACCTTCCTCTTTTGTCGTTTGAAACGCTCATCGTGGTCGTATCGGCCGCTTTCGCGGATCTGATCCATCAAAGCGCCAGGGATATTCACCCCGTGCCGATCTCTCTTACCCATCTTGACTAAATATTTTTTTTTGAATATTTTTTTTGATGGCTGTACTTTAAAGTGGCAAACGCTTTTAACAATATTCATCCTGAGCATGTTCAAGAAAATCGATCCAAAGCTTCTCACGGATGCGGTCTTCTTTGTTGGGGCCTCCCTTTCCATATTCTATCTTCTCACACATATTCTGGGAGAGGAAGGGCCGGCACGGACATCGAAAGAAACTAAGAAGAAGGCCAAGCTGTCCCTTGAAAAGCTAAAGCGTGCGAATCCGGGCCTCAATCTTGAGCTCTCTGAGTACGAAAAGGTGATCCTCAACAGTGTAATCCCTCCAGACGAAATAGGTGTCTCTTTCGAAGACATCGGAGGCCTCGATAATATCATCAGCGATCTGCAAGAGTCTGTGATTCTTCCGTTAACATGTCCCGATCTGTTCACCCAATACTCCACCCTGTTGCAAGCGCCCAAGGGCGTTCTACTATACGGACCTCCGGGGTGCGGGAAAACGATGCTGGCCAAAGCTTTGGCGTCCAAATCAAGAGCAAACTTCATATCTATCAGGATGTCTACAATCATGGATAAATGGTACGGTGAGTCCAATAAGCTGGTAGACGCGCTGTTTTCGCTCGCAAACAAGTTACAGCCATGTATCATATTCATTGATGAGATTGACTCGTTTTTGCGCGAAAGAAACTCGATGGACCACGAGATCACAGCAACACTGAAAGCCGAATTCATGACGCTTTGGGACGGGCTCACGTCGTCGGGAAGAATCCTCATTTTGGGAGCCACCAACCGGCCTGACGATATCGACTCGGCATTCATGAGACGAATGCCTAAACGATTCCCTATTAATATGCCGAACGCAGAGCAACGGCACAAGATATTGGAGAAATTACTGGACAATGTGGATTACGATTTCGAGCTAGACAAACTCGTGCAAATAACAGACGGCCTGAGCGGGTCGGATCTCAAGGAGCTTTGTCGCAATGCAGCGATTAATTCCACCAGAGAGTTCATTAGAAACAACGTGAAAGACGGCAAACCAATCAATCCGAAAGAACAGATAGTGATGCGGCCGCTGCGGGTGCACGATTTCATCGAGAGCGTGACGCCGAGCGACTCGCTGATCAAGAAACTCGACAAGCTCAAGATTGACCCTGTCGACTGAAGTCTACGCAGATGTGCCAACGAACCAGCCACGAAACCATAGATGCGATTCCATGTACGCTTGCCAATGCAAGAGAATTCTCCTTGGACGTTGATCTAGACATCGCTTTGAATCAGTATACCACATGAACGGTATACAGATCTTCGAAGATGTCATATTATGTTTTTGTAATGAAGAAAATTTTCTGTGTTTATTACCGGGCACAGCTGGTCGCACTGCACAGCCGTGGAAATTTATATACTAACGTCCTAGGTTGTGTGCTCTTCTTTTTTTGTTGTAGGCTTTGCTCTGCACATGAACGTATAGCACGTGGGTGCCGCCGATGACAAGCGTGATCAGAAGCAGCAGCAGGTTCAGCGGAATAGGGTTCATCTTGAACACCGTGTGCGTGAGTCTGTCTAATGGAGACTGCAGGAAGTTGAAGATACCAGAGATGGTCATGACGGAGCCGTAGACCGTTCCAAAGGTCTCGAAACCAAACACTTTGGCGCAGTAGTCCGATATGGAGGTGTAGAAGAACGGTCTGTAGCACACGAAGATGAGGACGTTGACGACTCCGGCAGCAAACGAGTTCTTGATGCAGTTGAGCACGCCGATCAAAATGGACACTGCAAGCAGAATAAACATGACCAGCGAGGTGGAGCAGCCGTCCAGAATGCGGCCAATCACAGGGATTGACAACACACCGCCGAGCGGCAGCGCAATGTCAAAGATTTTGTTCAGTTTGGCGGATTTCTCGTACGAGCCAAGCAAAAATGTGTACTGCGAATTAACGGTTGCAACAAAATAATTTAGTCGGAGCATCTGGATGGTTGCAAAAAGACAAATCAGCAGGAACCAGTATGTTCTGAACTGGTACGACGAGGGGTAGCCGTGCAGGATACCGAAGACGGAGTTTGGCGTTGGCGTGGTGACTTCTTCGAGCTCCTCCTCCACGTACGCCGATCTGTATGCCTCTCCGAGCGAGGACCTTCTCTTGGCTGCGCCTTGGACGGCCAGAAGATGCGTGTTTTCGTTCACCTCGTGCAGCGAGTCCTCACGCTCCAGAGCCACGGCCAGCCGCTGTTGTTCCTCGGTAGGGTTTGGAATAAGGTCGACTGGTGGAGTCAGATAAGACTCGTTTGGCATGATGAAGATCTCCGCCAGAGCGATAAAGAGCGGGACCACAAGGTACATCTTGTAGAACGTTTCGATTTTCAAGGCGTCCGGCCACCTGGTGTAGGCGAATTTGTACACCAGAAACACGGCCGAGGAAGTGTCGAAGGCTCCGGTCAAAAGCGCAAGAATCAATCCGGATTTTTCAGGAAATGCGTTGGACAGCTGGAAGCTCGAGATAAACGAAAACGGGCCGCCCAGCGCCATTGCCGCGTATCCCACCAGGTACGGGTCGAACCACGTGATAGATTTGGAGTAGATAAACACAAGAGAGGCGAACAGCATGGACGTTGCGCCTATCAGTCCGCAAACTCTAGGGCCATACAGGTCCAGCGTTCTGCCAATCAAAAGCGCACTGACGTTGGTCAGAACCGCGCCGGTGGTGAACATCATGTTCAATTTAAGGTCCTGTTCTGTGCAGTTCGGTATGAAGCCCTCCGTTAGGTAATCTTGCGAGCTCAGGTCGCATGCGTCCTCGTAGACTCCCTGGTCGACGAGAATGGGCTTGAGGGCGGCGAAACCAAAGATCGGACCCGCTCCAAAAAGACACCAGATCACGGCGCATGCCACCTGGGCGACTCTCTTTTTGGTGGGTGTCTCGAAAAAATACATGGTTCAGTCTTTCAGGTGCGCAGGCGGGCCTGAATGCATATATATTTTTTCTGTGCTGCAAAAAAAAAAAAAAAGCTGCAGATATGGAGGCCGAAAACGGTGAAAAATTGAGAGATTAGATACAGAATCGCACTGGGCTGAAAACGGCGTTTTCAAACGGCGCTGGGAGAAGGCTTTGGTTTGATGCTGCTCATTGCTGAGCTTGGTCTGGTTGCACATTTTCAGCTGTTAGGCCCTGGAAAGTCCAGCAACCGTTGCTTGCGCCAAGCGGCGCACGACTGACCACAGACGGAGATGAATACAGCCGGGCTCGGTGCCTTGTGGGACAAGCATGAAAACTTCTATTTCCAGCGGGGACCGCCGTGGCAGCTGCCAGATTGACGGAGGATTCCGCACTGCTAGGCCCTAATTAGCGCAGCCTCCGGACCGGCACTCCGAGTATTGTGCTGTGCCACATTGCCGTGCCACAAGTATTTTTCTCAACCCCAGACATTACTTACTTATATATGAACGAGTACAGTACGTGAGTTTTTGCATTCTACTAACAAGCAGCCATTTCTGTGTCGCCCGACGTGCTCACGTCGTTGCGGTACGCGCCCGACCAGCTTGTCGCGTCGTCGCTCGACGGATCGCTGTCTCTGATCGACGCGTCGCAGAAGGTCGAGCAGATCGCCCTCGACGCGCCTATCCTTGATACCACGTTCCTGGACACCGGTGTATACTCCTCCCTGGCAAACGGCACGGTACAGAAGCTTGATCTGCGCTCGCGAAAAGTTTCCAGCACCTCCATCGCCCACAATCTGCCCGTGCAGTGCGTGGAGAGCCATTCGAAAAGAAACCTGATTATCTCTGGTTCATGGGACAAGACGGTGCAGCTTGCCGACCCGCGCGTGCTCGAACAGTCGTCGGTGGTGGATCTTCCGGGCAAAGTCTACGCGATGGACGTCCACCAGCAAACAGACAGATTTATTGTGGGCATGTCCAACAGACAGATCCACGTGTATGACTTCCGAAAACTGGACCGGCCGGTGAGCAGCATGGAAAACGGGTTTCGGTTCCAGACGAGCAAGGTCAGATTTCTGCCGAACGGCCGCGGGTTTCTGCAAAGCTCGATCGAGGGCAAGGTCTCGCTGGATCTCTTCGAGGACGCAGAAAATAATTATGCATTTAAATGCCACCGTCAGAAGCTTGTGATCGAGAACGAAAGCGTTGATCTTGTGAACCCGGTGAATTGTCTGGAATTTTTCGACACCGAGTCGCGTTTCTTCACAGCAGGATCCGATAGGTCGATCTGTCTGTGGGACTACAAAACCAAAAAAAGAGTCAAGCAGTACGCCAACTTCGAAATGAGTATAGTCGCTTTGGCGTACAACCAGGACAACCACCAGCTCGCCATAGCCATGAGCGACGACTCGTACAAGAACATGACCGGACTGGACGACCAAACAAACAACAAGCCCGCCATACCGTCGAAGATTACAACCCGAAACATGCATTCATAATTCATAAAAGTACATCATTTATCCGTCCACAGAGTCGATCGATTTCACCGGATGCAGGTTGTTCGCCGACTCCACGCTCTTGTTGCGCCTGTGCGACGCCTTCTCCTCCGTCTGGTCGTCTTCGTCCCAAATATCCCGAACACAGTACCTAATCCAGCGCCGTCTTCTCACCTCCCCTCTGGTTTTTTTTTCGTTGGTGGTCAGTCCCGCCTGGTACGAGAACTTGGTCACGAGATCGTAGCACCACTTCTCGTCCTCGTCAATGTCCATGGTCTCGTTCAAGAAGTTTTCTTTGATCCAGCCCTCGGGAGTCAGGTCCAGCAGCCAGCCATCGACACTTCTGGTGTTGACTGCCGTCTCCACATCCACAAACTTCCATCCTTCGGGCGGCTTGACCTGACTCAGGTGCAGTGTGCCCACGAGCAGCAGATTGTTGAGTCGCGCGTGCGAGTTGGCCGGATACGGGTCGGACGAGAAGCAGATGAGCTGCCAGTTGTGCGTTTCAGGGTCCAGATGCTGGAGCTCAAAGATCTCCGCCTCCTTCACCTCCTTCTGCTCGCGCAGGTTCAGCTCCTTGTTGAGCCACAGCTCCAGACGGTTCGACATCATCAAAAGCCGCAAACGGGTATCCTCCGAGTAGAGCATGTCCAGCAGAGTGGACCGGTAGTCGGGGTGCATGGCGATGGTGGCAGCCCACAGACCTACCGACAACGCGACCTTGATGAAGGGCAACATTGTGGACAGCACCTGTGCGCCAAACAAGGTCAGCAGAGTACCGCTGGTCAACAAACAGACGAAAATAAAAATGGTGATGTTCTCGTCCTTGAAGTAGAGATATTTGACAATCAGCGACGTCACAAAGTCATAGGTCATAACGTAAAGTAGCATGTGGTTTTGCAGGTCTGTGGAGTTGAGAACAAACTCGCGACTCAGCTCAGGAACCGGCCGCGGCACGTCGACGTGCGAAACGGACGGCCCCTCTGCTGGGATCGGGTTCCTGTTCTGGAGAATGGTGTGTTTGTCGGGCGGGTGTCTTTTCATATAGGCGGGAACAATGATCTCGAAACACGTGTAGAAAAACGGCAGGCTCAACAGCAGGATCGGCTTCAGGATCAGCAGCGTGGCGACATTCAAAAACGTCAGTGTATAAAGAGGCTTGGACCAGCTGAAAATAATGATCACCTGGTCAATCAGCACAAACGGAACAGACAACCGAGACAGGAGCTGGATCGCGTTCTTGCTCATCACATTCAGACTCAGCTGTGGCCGCGACTTCTGCATCTCTATTCTCTCTAAAATCGACTGCAATTCCTCCCCATCCTGAGTAGTGGTGGTAGGCAGAGCCATTGACAGAAATCGCTCAAACATTTTATCGGTCAGCGTGGTCGAATGGTCTTTGGACGAGGCAAAGATGTCGTCAAAGAACGAGCTGGACGCCCGTTTGGCGGGCGGCGTCTTCTGCGGCTCCGAAAAGGACGACCAGATCATGCTGCTGGCCGCCATCTTGGACTCCTGAGGACTCTGTTTCGAGGCCACCGAGGCAGCGTCCACGTCGCCGCCCGTGCTGGCCGTGGCCTGCGACAACGTGTCCCACGACGACCACAGGTTATTTACCATAGACTCCATGAAAAGAGCTCACAAATTATTTTCTGCAAACTTGCTGGGCCCGCAATCACATGGCACCGTCAACCTCGCGTATTGCAAAAAGTTGCATTACGTCATCTCTTGGTCAGCAACGACACGAGGTCGTGTTGCAGGCTTGTGTGCGCGCTCTTGAGGCTCACGAGCCGCAGCTTGAACTCAAACAGTAGCTCTGTGTGGCCGTCGAGGAGGAGTTTGGTGTCGTGGTACTCGAGACCGAGATAGTCCAGCATGACGTCCTCGTTGGAGCCGAGGATCGGTTTCTTCAGCTTGAGGTTCTTTGTCTTCTTGTTGGCCACAAAGTAGCGGTAATCGGCCACCAGGTCGGTTTTGTTGCATATGACGATCATTGGCAGCTTCCGGTGCTCGTTGTTGTACAGAATTATTTCGTGGAGCTTCGTCCTTGCTTGTTCTATGGTGAGTGTGTCTGAGATGTCTATGAGGAAAATCACAAGGCTTATTTGCGGGCTGGCGATGATGTCGGTCCACACGTGCTGCAGCTTGTGTTGTCCGCTGGGATCGTGGATTTTCAGCAGGAGCTTGCTTGGAGGGGCGGGTTGTCTGGTGTTTGCGTCCAGCAAGGGCGTTGTTTCGGTGGACATTTGGGCCGACGTCGGCGGGGACGTGATCGGCGAGTGCACGCGGAACGTGGTGGTGGTTTTTCGCAGCGTGGGCAGCGTGTCGGTTCGGAAGGTGTTGTTTTTGAGGACGTCGACGAGACTGCTTTTGCCGGCGCTCCTCAGACCCAAAAGGGCCACATCGAGCTGGTAGTACTGGCGTTAGCGGCTCTGCAATCGCGTGTGCTTACCTCTCGCGGCTGGACCCAGTTGGATATCCAGTCGCAACAAAAAACCATAATGTCCAGGAAATATTATTTCTCAGTAAATTGCAGTGCATTGTGGATTTTTTAATCTTATCTGAAAAATTTCCAAACTTGATGAGGCCATGTTCAGAACGCGGCCGATAAACGAGAGCGAGCTGGACAGGCGGCGAGAGAAAGACCTGAAGGAGTTCAATTTTCCGAAACTGTTCAACAGAGACGTCGATTACGCCAAGGTCGACCGGCGTGCGCTCGAATCGTACATCGAGCACAAGATGAACGAACTCGTTCCCGACGACGACATAATCGTCGAATTCATCAACAATCTCGTCTTTGACGAGAGAATAAGCCCGAAGGACCTGTGTTTGCAGCTGAACCCGATGCTGGACGAGAAAACGCTGGACTTTGTCCACGAGCTGTGGCAAAAAATGATCGAGAGCGAGCAGGAGAAGAAAGACACCTACAGAGAGCGGGACGAGCGCAGAGTGCAGCGCGTGCACGACGACAGAAACGAGGACCGACAACGGGAGTTCCACGGTAAAAGCAAGTCCTTCAAACGGTCTAAATACAAAAGGTCCTATCGTAAGTAGCTAGCTATTTTCTCCTGAAAAGACTTCTGAAAAAGCCTCTTTTCTCCTTTTCGCCCGAGTCAGACGACTTCTGCGGATGCAGCGGCGGCGTCGACACGGTCGGACGCAACGGGTCCATTTTCCAAGACATGCCGTTGTCCTGAGAATAATATTTAGGGTGGCTGATGTCGAACTTGAGAGACGTCTGTTGACGAGGCCCGCTATAGCCACCAGACGAGTTTATTTGGATGGCCGGGATTTTGCCTCCTTGCGGAGACTTCGGCGTCGGACTAGGGTCGGTGTCCAGAAGCATCGACCGCGCCCGGCCGTATGTTGGGTCGGGAGCTCCCGTCAGCGTGCGCACCAGCTTGGCGCTCTCACCTCCGCTCTTTGCGCTCTCTGCAAGATTCACGCCGTAGTTGTACGCAGCAGCAGAGACGACCTTGAGCCAGTCCTTGTACTTGTCTTTGTCGTCTGGGCGCTTCAAAATGTCGGAAAGTTCCTGGTATATCTTCAAGTTGGTCAAGCGTTGCAGTCGTTTGAGCTCGCCCGCCGGCGAGTCTGTGTTCTGCTCCTCCATCTCCTTCTGCGCGGCGATTGCCGACTCGTGGTCGCTCAACTTGTACGAGCCCACATTCTCCAGCTCTGCCACGAAATTCGGGTCGTCGTAGTTGTGGTGCAGTTCGTCCATGCGCTTGTTCAGAACAGCAAATAGCTTGGCCTCGAACAGATCCATGTTCAGCGACGGCACGATCACGACGGGAACGTGGAAATTCTTCACGAGCCGGTCGGTCACCCGCGACGTGACCCACGACCGCGTCGACGCCGCCTTGGTCGGCTTAGCAGCAACTACCACCAGCGACGGCAGATACAGCGAGTACATGTCTTTCAGCACGTCCTTGGTGCCTCCGACGGCAAGCTCGATCGTAATCTTGAGGACCTTGTTGGGGTCCAGAATCGCCATGATGTACTTCATGATGTTCTCGGTCACCACCTTGGCGTACTCGGGCGAGTTCCGGATATACTCCTCGCTGGCGTCTCTGCTCTGGTTGGAGCTGGACGAAAGACGGCGCGCAAACAGCGAGCGCGAGCTCGGGTTGATGGACGCCGTCACGACCATGCTGTCGCCATCTTCCAACAGTTGGTTGCAGCACCAGTCCAGAGCCACCCACGTATGTTTGCGGCCAGATATGTAGCACATGATGTTTCTGTCTGGGAGCAGCGGTCTTTTGGAGCCCAGCTGGTGCAAATACAGCTTGTCGAAATCTTTGTGCTTCTTGGTTAATGTGCATGCGTCGTGCGTGATAATGGGACTTGTAGGGTACTGTCTGGAAGTCAGGGCTCCAGCAATGCTAATATTTCTTATGGGCGAAACGGACCCCATCCGCTTCATAAACGGATTCCCCGGAGACAAACTGCGCTCGGACGAGTTGGCACGCAGGCCCTGGTGCGGCGAGATGTCTCGATGCGGAGATCGGCCCCGTGAAGCCAGATAGCTCGAGCCGGGCGACGGCTCGCTGCCGCTGATTGGCCCCCAGCCTCCAGAGCTGAGCAGCTGCTCGCGCCGGCTCCAGCGGTCTCTGCCCTGCTGCAGTCCCACGTCGTCGTAATCGTCGTCGCCATAGTAATCGTCGTTATCCGCAATCTGAAGATTCACCGTATCGAAAGACACTCTGCGTTTATAATTTGCGGTCGTCCGGAAAGGCACAGAGCTGTTGTTTTTCGCCAGATGCGGCTTCTTCTCCATCTGCAACACCGTCTTCGGGTCCAGGGGCTTGAACTCGTCTATCACGTTGTCCAGATGGACCGTCTTGTAAGTAGGCACAGTCCTGGCGTTGCCTGTCTGGCCCTCGTACGTGCCGGAACCCTGGTGCGTTTTCGACTTGCTCAATGGATACAGATACGACGTCTGGGGCTTTCTATCCTGGTCGCTGGCACTAACCGTGTGCACCAGGCCTTCGCCCGTGAACGGGGTGGGCCCCACGGTAGTGGTGGGAGACAGCGTGGTGCCACCAGAGTCCATCGATACCCCCGCCGAGTGTGCCGAATTGTGCCTGCTGGATTGCAAATTCGACATAATTAAACACAGCGGCAAATTGCAGTGCTTAAGCTCGTTGCTGCGTGATTTATTCCTGTACTTATCTTCCTTTATTTTTATTCTAATGTCAAATCATATTTTTGCCACACCTCGCACCGAGAGCTAGCCCTGGCTGTTGACGGCCAGCTCCATGATGAGCCGGGTGGCGAGATGCAGGAACGGGTACGCGCTGAACGACGAGATCTCGTCCGAGTCCTGCAGCTCCTGGTCGGCCGGGCCGGGTTTCGCCGGGTTCTTGGACTCCCAGCCGTCGAATTTGAAGTCCACCAGATAGTTGTTTGGCTCGAGCTGGAAGAGCTGGATCTGCATCTTCATGAGGTCGGCGTCCTGCTCGCTGTCGGCCACGGCGTATCTCCAGCGCACCTTGATCGTCCAGAGCTCCTCCTCGGACGGCCGCACCCACTCCGCGCCCAGATTTTTCAGGGCCCTGTAGATCTCGCCCATCACGTCGAGCGGATACGATCTGGAACGGATGCCAAAATGCCATCTTGTCTTCGACTTTTTGGTGCTGATGGGCTGGATCGACGCGAGCTCGGGGTGCAGCTGCACCATCGACGCTCTGTGGATCTGCGGCAGCGACGAGGGCAGAATGGCGATGGTCGAGCTCGGGTTGTAGTTGGTTGCATTGTCGGGCTTTGGGTAGTCTATGTTTGTCGGCGTGCGCCATCTCGGGTGGCTCGGGTCGTTCGCAGCCGTTTGCAGCTTGTCCTGTTTGTTGATATCCTCCACGAGCTTCTTGTTGCTCTTCATTAGTTGGTAGCTGTCGAGGATCTCCTCTGTCTCTGGGATTCTGCCTATCTTGATGGCGTCGATAATCTCCTCGCGCGAGTAGCCCATGGCAATGGCCAATGCGTTCACCACGTCCTCGCTCACGTCGTCGGGACTCACCTTTTTCTCCGCAACGATGTCGTTCAGCAGATACTCCGGCAGGCCCACCTTGAACCACTCGTCCTCCATGATCTCCTTGATGGTGATTCTGTTGAGCGGGTTCACAACGAGCATCTTGGTGAGCAGGTTCTTGGCGCCGGGCGACAGGTCGTGCGGCAGCGTGTACACGCCGTTGCTAATTTTTTTGAAAAGAGCAGGAATCAGCTCATCGTCAAAAGGCAGACGACCGCACAGCATCACGTACAAAATCACTCCACATGACCAGACGTCCACCTCGGGCCCCGCGTACAGTTTGCCGGAAATGACCTCTGGGGCGGCGTAGTTAGGCGACCCGCAGCTGGTCTTGAGGAAATTGCCGTCTGTCATGATGTTACTAAGACCGAAATCTGCAATTTTCACGTTCAGCTGGTCGTCCAGCAGCAAGTTCTCCGGCTTGAGGTCTCTGTGGACGATCTTGTGGCGGTGGCAGTAGTCGACGGCGGCGATGATCTGCTGGAAAAACCGTCTCGCTTCGTCCTCCTTCATCCGCCCGTGCTGGATGATGTAATCGAACAGCTCTTTGCCCGCGTACTCGATCACCATGATGATCTCGTCCTTGCTTTTGATCACGTCATACAGCTTGATGATGTGCGGGTGTCTCAACAGCCGCAGATACGAAATCTCCCGCTCAATTCGGCCCTGCATGTCGGATTTCGACAGGGTCTTTCTGTTGATCATCTTGAGGGCCACTCGCTGGCCGGTGCCCGTGTGGTACGCCAGCTTCACCTTGCCAAACGAGCCCTCGCCCAGGTTCTTGACGATCTGGTACTTGCCAATCCGATTGGCCGGTCCCGCCGCGTGCTGGTGGTGGTGGTGGTCTTCCGTTTCAGACATCTGTGTCGGTATTTTTTATTGCTGCGACTCCACTATTTTTTTACTCCCGGAACTGGGGCGTGCACTACTTCATTAAACCTATTTAACGAGTTCTGATGATTCCGGCAGCCATCAGTGTCATGATCTTGCGGCTGACGTCTGGGTTCTTCATGTGCTCCTGCAAGGCGGCCGGGTTGTTCTGGGCCTGCTGCAGAATCGTCTGCATCACCGGGTCGCTCAGAATCTGGACGACCTCGGGATCTTTCTGGATCCGCGCCATGGTCTCCTCGTACGTCTCTCCCTCCAACGGAGCGAACCTCTGCGCCATGGCCTTTTGGTAAAGCGAGTCGATCTCGTTCAGGTTGGCCGTCGACTTGTTCTTCACCTCTGCCTCTCTGGCAGCAGTCAGTGTGTCAAGACACTTTCTGTACTCCTTGATGGCCAGCTCGGCGTTGGCCTTGCGGATGTACGCTCTGATGAAGCCTGGATCCAGCTTGATGGCCGTCTCGCAGTCTCGGATGGCGTCTGGGAACGACATGAGCTTGGCCAGAGCAGCAGCTCTGTTCGAGTAGCCTCTCACGTCGGACGGGTCTCTCTTGATCATCTCTGTGTACGCTTTCACGGCGTTCGGCCAGTCGCCGGCACTGAAGTACTCTTTTCCTTCCACTCTGGCCTTCTCGGCTAGATCCTTGTCGATGTACGCCTCGGCCTCTCTCTTCTTAACCTCCTTCTCGGTGCTTCTCAGCTTGTTCAGGACTTCTGGCGTTCTGTGCTCGGTCAGCGACTTCTCAAAGTACTCACAGGCTTTCTTGAGGTCGTCTTTCTTCAAGTACGAGTTTCCGATTCTCGCAAACGACTTGGCAACCAGCTTGTAGTCGGCACGCATGTCTCTTCCCTCGTCCACGGCCTTCAGACAGGTCTGTATAGCTGTATCGTAATCGCCCTTTTCGTATTCTGCAGCGGCACGGTTGTTCAGGTAGGTGATGTCCTTGTGGGTTTCCCATGCCTTATTATACAGCTCGATTGCTTCGTCGAACTTTTTCTGCTTGTACAGCGTGTTGGCCTCTGCTTTGTACTTGTCGGCCTGGGCCTTCGAGTCGTCCACGGGCTCCTCCGCCTTTGGCTCTGGCTCGCTCTTTTTGGCTGGCTCTGCTGGTTTTGCTGGCTCCGCGTCCTTCATCTCAACGTCGTTGTCCGACGACGCTTGGGTAGGGTCTGGAGGAGCTGCGCCGAGGTCAATTCCCAAAATGGTTGCCAAAACCGTCATCAGTCTCTGGTCGGTGAACATCTCGGTGCTCAGGCCAGCAGGGTTGGTCTGCAGTTTTTTCACCTTTTCCACGAGAGATGGGTCTTTCATTAGCTCGGCGGTCTTTGGATTAGTCTTGAGTTTCTCGATCAGGCCTGGATCAGAGAATATCTTGCGCATTCCCATGGTTGGGTCGCTCCGTGCCTGCTGGGCGTCGGAAACGGCCTCGAGACCGCTTTTTGCCATTGCATTGCTTGGATCAAGCTCTAAGGCCTTTTCGTACGACTTCTTGGCGTCGTCGAGTCTCTCAAGCCCGAACTCTGCTGCAGCAACACGGCTGTACCCTTTAGCCCATGAAGGGTTGATTTTAACACACTCTTGGGCGTCTTTAAGAGCCTCCTCGTATTTCTTCAACGACGCATAGCAGGCAGATCTGTTCGAGTAGAGAACGTGATTAGGAGTAGACGACACCTCGATCGCCTTGGTAAAGTACTCAATGGCCTTGTCGTAATCCTTGGCAGAAAAAGCGGCGTTTCCCTGTGTTTTGTATTCTTCGGCAGACATGTTGGTTGATGCAAGAAAACTGTTCCTACTTATAAATGTAGATTGGTCTTTTCTAGAAAAAATACCGCTCATCCTTGCACGGAGACAAAAAAAAAATAATTCAAGAAAAATAATTTTATTCACAATGGACTCCTTTGCTACCAGCACCGCCGCATTCGATAGCTGGCTTCATAGACATTACGACTACATCAGCGATGACATTGAGATTGCAGACCTGAGAAATTCGCACGAGGGACGCGGTTTGCGAGCACGCAATGACATCCAGAAAGACACGGTTCTGTTCCGTCTGGCCAGAGACCATATACTGAATATTCGTACAGCGGCCCTGGGCAAGCTCAAGCTGGGAAATCAAGAAGTGCTGGAGACTTTGAACCAATGGGAGGCCCTGATTCTGTGTCTGGCATACGAGATGATGCTGGGAGAGGAGTCTCAGTGGAGCTCCTACTTGGCAGTTCTGCCTGAAAAATTCAACTCCTTAATGTTCTGGTCGTCCGAAGAGCTCGAGAAATTGAAACCATCCAACGTTTTGCAAAGGATAGGACGTGAACAGGCCGAACAGATGCATTCCAAGCTTGTGCCCGAGTATTGCTTGCGTTTGGGTAGCAAGAAGTTGGTGGAGTATTTAACATTAGACCGATTCCATGTGGTGGCAAGCATAATCATGAGCTATTCGTTTGATGTCGACGATCCTGAGGACGAACCTGGGGATGATCCCGAGGACGGTGAGGAGGAGGACGAGGAAATCGACGAAATAGAGCAGGAATGCATCAAATACGACGGGTATTTGAAATCGATGGTTCCTCTTGCAGATACTCTCAACTCAAATACCAATTTGGTGAATGCGAATTTGAGCTATGAAAACGACGCGCTGGTCATGACCGCTACTAAGGACATCCAAAAAGGAGAGCAGATATATAACATCTATGGTGAGTTGCCTAACTCTGAAATTTTGCGCAAGTATGGATATGTGGAGCTTCCTGCTTCCAAGTACGAGTTTGCTGAGCTGCCTTTGACGGTGATCAAACAAACGTTTGTGAACAATTATATCTCGTCGCTGGACAGCAAAATTAGAGAAACGCTCTTCGACAAGACTGCTGAGCTGATCAGCGAGTCCGAGTACTTGGACGAAAGCCTGGAAGACCAGGAAGGGGGTATTGTTTTGGACGCGTACGAGGTGTTTGCCGATGCGGACGTGCTGCCTGAGCTCTTGCTATTGATTCAGATCCTGACGACCTGCTATGAGAGTTTTGAGACGGACCCAAAATGGGCCAAGAAACTTGCGAGAACGCGGTCCGAATTGGAGTCGTTTATCAACAGATGCATTTTGAAGTCGTTCCAGCTGGTGGAGAAAAAGATCATAACCAACAAGTGCGTCGAGAATCTCAATAAATGCGTCGAGGGACGCATTGCCCAATACGGCGCCGCCCAGGACTATGAGATTCCGGCCAGTTATAGAGACTTCGACCGCGCAGAGCTGGCTTCCATCGTGCTGAGATGCGAGGTGAACTGCTTGCGCAACGTGCGGAACAACTTCCCAGAGAAATACGAGCGCATTGACGACTCGAAGCTGCTGAAGAACGTGCTTAAACGCAAGGCCGAGGCAGACACACAGAAGAACAAGAAGCAGAAAAACTAGTCTTTTTTCGAGCCGCTGGCGGCCTGGTGCTGCGATGTCTCCGTCATTATGCTCGAGCTGCTGGAGGTGGTGGTGCGCTGTGCAAGAATTTTCATCCGCGGCCGTGGCCGCATCACCTCGAATCCCTTAGAAGCACCTTTTTTCTCGAGTCCCTTGCCCTCTTTCTTCTCGAAATCCATCGACGCAGCTCGGTGCAGCTTTCTTTCTCTTTCCTGCCAGAGCTTCATCACCTCTGGGTCGGGTTCAAGAACTCTGAACGAATTATAATATAGATCTGCCTCTCTAAAGGCCAAGTCCGATTTGTGCATACGTTCCGTAGACGGGCCTGTCGTCACAGAAGGTACCACGCGGTGGTCAGTGAGCTCTAAATTTTTCGAGTTCACGGACTGCGTTGCCGAGGTGGTTCGGAACAGCGCCGGCGACTCAAACGTCCAGTTGTTGAAGGACTCGTCGAATGACGCCAGGCTGTGGTTGTCGGGCAGCAACGGGACCTCAATGAGATTGCCGTGCTCGATGTAGTCCGGAATATCGGTTCCCTTCTTCCCCTTTCTGTACTTGATATACATTTTGAAGGTGGTGTAGAAGTTGTAGAGCGTGGGGATCAAGAAAACGAGCACGAGAGTCACGAGCTCAATGAACAGAACTGACCACGCAACTCTGGTCCTCACTTTCTCGCTGCCATTGAGTTCGTCGATAAATGCGATGTGCAAAAACGCGATGATAAGCTTGACGACGCCCAGCGATATCCTAGTCCTGTTCGTTCCCGTGTTGGAGTAGTATGGCTCCCAGAACAGCATGATGCACAGAAGGATCAGTTCCGAGCAGATAATCACAATTACCTGGATGACTCCGCTGAATTGCAGCGCGCCGACAGCAAAGCTGAAGACAAAGTTTTCGAGGAAACTGACGGCAACAAACCACAGAGCAGAGGTTTTCAGATGCACGTAGGCCCATTGCCAGATCAAAATCACATTGATCGATTTGTAAAGCATGTCGCGACCCCGTTTAAATAGGACGAACCGCACCACATAGTATATCTGGAGCAGGAAGTAGAGGGCCAGAAGAAGCGAGGCGGTGGCCGTGACCCAGCGCGGGTTGCTCTGAATCTCGGGCTGTCCGTAGAGATGTGTGTGTGGAGCACAGAGCACGAAAAACGAGTAGATGAGGAACGGCGTGGCGATGTAGCCTATGAAGGCGGCAAGTATGTTTCCTATGACAATCAGGAACGAGAGTCTCGTGTAGCGGGCGAAGGAGGGGCGGGTGTCCTTGGGTTTCAGCAGCAGAACCAGCGAGCAAATTCCATGGTCGATGACGCACGCAATCGAGATGTAGATTAGGGCTGTAATCAGGAACGACGACCATATTAGGGGCAAGTCGTCTTTGCCGAAGCCAGAGCCCAGAAGTCGCTTGAGCCCGCCCATCCACATGGACTCATACACACCGTCGACGCCCCTGGCGGCGTGGTTGTGCAGCACGTCCATGACGCCTGCCCAACGCTGCGAGGTCATGAGGGGCTGGAAAAAACCTGGGAATTCGAGGTTTAGGCCGGCCATGAAGTGGATAAACTGAATGTAGACCAGGTAGTCAGCATAGCTCGGCGAGAGTTGGTTGAGCAGCGGCGCGTTGCAGATGGACGCCGCCTTGTACAGGAACGGGTTTTGCGTGTCAATGTACGGCGAAAGCTGGTACCCAAGGATGTTCGAGAGAATAATCAGCGACAGCAGCAATGCCGTGAACACCACCATGAAGTCCTGCAGCGAGCGTTTCTGCACGGTACTGAACGTGGCCAGAGAACAGCCAATCACCGTGTGGTTGGCGTCCGAGTCAGTGACAGTGACGTCCAGCGTGTACGTTCCAAAAGGAGAGTGGTAGCCGATATAGAGCGCCAAGTCCACCACGACCTTGTCTCCGTCGTATATCGGACACGAGTCGTAGAGTTTCTCCGAGCGGTCCAGCAGCTGCGGGAAATACCTGTCCATCGAGACGTCTCTTTTTTGAATCATATCGGACATGTCTGGCACGCCCGTGGAATGGTTTATTAGCGAGCTGTGGTCGGTGGAGGAGGACTGCTGTGAGGCCGTCGTGCTGGCAGGCTCTTCTCCGTCCGCACGGAGCACCCTGGAGTAATTGCACAGTCTCAAGTACTCGTCGTATATCACATCGCCAACGTATTTGAGCCGGACATGGAGCGTTGTGTAGGTGTTTGTGGTTTCGTTCACGTCCACAATATATCCCAGCGAGTCCATGACAATGGACATGTTCAAAATTCCCTCATCGCCATTGTAGGACACATTGGTGAACAAGGGGGAAAGAAGAGTATCATCCATATTCTTGGACCGATCACAGCCCCTGACGTTCAAAAGAGCGCTCGTGGCACCCTCTGCAAGCAGCAGTAATCCCAGAAATAGCAGCGTGATCATGGCTGCAAAAAAGGGACAGCGAGGCTGAAAAGACGGGAATTGGCTCTAGATTTATTTTTTCTAAAAATCGCTACCCCTTTTATTTTTATTTTTTCCATTATTTCATTGCAGACTATGTACATCAGGCGATATTTTTCATCAGGTACTCAAAAATTGAGAAAAATATCATGGTGGTCACTATCGACCGCGTGATCGAGGGTCCGAGTCCCCGGTACAGCTCGCGCGTGGGCCATCGCAATTTGGGCGCTACCACAGGCAGCTTGTCGCGGCCAGCCACCTCTCGCAGAATGTTGCGGATCACGTCGCGCTGGTACTGCGACTTGATCGTATCAACCGGGAACACCAGGACCCAGCTGAAACACCCGGCCACGGCCCCGGAAATCGGCACACTCAGCACGTTGATCGTTTTCTGCAGCTCGGAATTCTGGGTCACGTGACCGTTCCTCGTCTGGATAAATAGCTTGACTGTCTCGTAGAGTCCGTAGAAAAGTCCCGAGGACACGCCGTCCTTGGTGAGGTGGTATCTGTAGCCCGAGTAGAGTCCTCTGAGGCCCTCGTGGCGCACGATGGTCGACGCGACGCTCAGGAGACTCGACGGCAGCTTGTCGCGTTGCAGATGCACATACTTGCCATTTTCCTTAGAGTTGTTGACCAGGAGGAGGATCTGCTGGAAGATCTTGGACAGCTCGAAGGGGCATGCAAAAACAGACACCGCCGCGCCTGAGATGGAACCCGCCAAAACAGCAATCGGGATGTTGTTGACCACCTTGTCGATCTGGGCCTGCTGATCGGATACCGGGGCCGTCCTGTGGATTAGTGGATGGCTGCCCCAGATCGGGGCTCCCAAAAAGCTTACTATGGGCTTTGCCTCTGTGTAAATAGACACTCCGAGCGACCGAGCAAAGGCCGTAGAGATAAGCGGGGCAGCAATACCCCGGAACAGTCCGCGGACGCCCTCGTGGTGCACGGTGGCTCGAAGGCACGCGAACGCGTTCGCAAAATGGTGGGTCTGCATCCGCGTCTTCATGGAGTCCAACGGGAAGCCCACAGACGTGGAGACCAGGGAGGCCGTATAGGAGAGGATGCCTGATTTGTAACCTGTGAGGGCGGCGGGGAGCCGTAAAAAGGGGTCTTCGTACGCGATGTCCCCCGTTATGGCAGGGATGTGCGCAGACGTCTTGTCTTGCAAAGACGACATCGCAATTAAAGAGGAACGAGGAGAATCGGAGTTGAAGAAATTTCTAGGGCACAGCCGCAGGCAAAAGCTGAATTTTTTATTATTTTATTTTTTATTTTTTATTATTTAAATTATTTTTTTGGAATTTAATTATCGTCATTCTTAAATGTTACATATCAATGGCATCTTTGAAACTGAGGATGTCGTTGAACCGTAGTCCGTTGACGTCGATTTCGTGGTCGCGTAACTTTTCCAGCGAGTCGCCGAACACTGCATGGTCAGCCTCGTCGTTGTCCTTGCTTGCTACCAAAATCAAACCATTCGACCGCACCGACTTGACCAGGTCCGGACAGATTGAGAGCACCCTGTTCGGGACCGTGATGCCGAGCAGGTTGTTTGTGGTGGCAAACGCTATCCCCAGCTTAATCGAGCGCGTGAGCTTGTCCTGGTACTGTAGATCGTTGAGATACACCACCGAGTCCTTGTTGATGGAGTCGATGTTGTCGATCTTGAGCTCCGGCTTCTCCACCTCCGACACATCCACAGAGTCTGTCGGGAACCCGTTTGCGGTGCACGGCTCGAACCTTTTCGTGGCGAAATTGTACCTGATTCCGTTGATGTTGTAGAAGACAGGGTAGTTGGGCTGCTTCCAATTCAAAATCGTGCACACCATAGCGTTGTCGCTGGACAGAATCAGCGACCGGTTGCGGTTCCGCTGCGCGCGCAGACCGCGCACGTGCGTGAACACATCGTTGAGGATCAGATCGATGTAGTTGTTCATGACGTTGTCGGTAGTCGGGCTCAGGTCGGCCGATTTGCACTTTGCTACCAAACTGTATGCAGAGACCGAGTAGCACTTCATGTTGAAGAAATTGAGCTCGAAAACGGACGGATAAAAAATCTCCAGGTTCAGCGACACGTCCACGGCGATGATCTGCAGAAACAGCTCCAATGGAATGTACAGTTTGGCCATGATTTGTTCTAATTTTTCCAGATCGTCGCTCAAATTTTCAACCTCCCGCAGCTGTGCACAGAGCTCCTCAAACTCACCCGGCGAGTACAGCAGCCGGGACAGCTGGTCGAAGTCAAAGCTGCACACAGACAGAACAACGCCCTGGAACGTGATCTGCCAGCTCGGACACACCAGCGGTGTCCCGTCGCTCAGATAGCACACCTTGACGCGGTAGTACTCGCCGCTCAGCGACGACGCCGTGACAAACGAGATCGACTTCACGGCCGCCGCCGACGACGATGACTTCCAGTACGTGTCGTACATCGAGATTTCCAGCGGCCGGCCCGAGTACGGATACACGATCTCGTAGTTGAACCGGAGCGTGCCGATGCCGCGGAGCCGCAGGTCCACGAGCGGGACCTCGATGTCGCCGCTGAGCTTGGAGCCGACTCCGGGACACCTGTTCTGAAGCAGTGTCGACGGCAGCGTGCCCTTGGCAATGAGTCGTGTTCCAAAGGTCGGGAACAGCTCGAAATCGATCGCAAAGCCGTCAAAAGTGTCTGTTTGGAACGTGATGGACTTGTCGTTGTCGAGGACGGGAAGAAGCAGGTTCCGCGGGATCAGGTCGTTCTTGTCGCAGCTGATGGTGATCCGTCCAGGTATCGAGGTGAGGAAAGTGTCCGGGTTGAGTCTGATGGAGTTTCTGTTGGTGTAGAAGGACAATTTGAGGAAGATCCGCTTTTCCAGGAAATTGTGGCCGTACTTGCGCAGAGGAATGATTGGCGGAGGTAGCTCCAAGTCCGGAATCATGTCGACATTGCTGATTTCAGAAAGAGACGGCAGATCGTCCAGGTTCGGGGGCACCATCGGAGACATCACGTTTTTAGTGTAGCTCAGGGTTGGAGCCTGCGGAGGAGCCAGCTCTGGCTCTTTGAGCGGCCGCGGAGCTGCAGCAGCAGCACTGGCTTTCAGGGACTCGATCAGGACGTTGGCAACCTCAACATTGCCCTCCCAGAGGGCGTAGTACAGCGGATTGAAGCCGTCCTCATCCTTGATGTCGAAATCGGCTCCGAACTCTATCAGTTTCCTGGTGGTCGAGGCGTAGCCCTTGGTGACGCTGTAGAAAATCGGCGTCCACTTGTTGAGCTTGTCTGTCTGGTTTATATCGGCACCGTACTCCAGCAGCAGCGGGATCAGGTCGTCGTGGCCGGCCGACGCGACGATGTGCAGCGGAAGCAGGCCCTCGGCGTTGCTCTGGAACGATTTGGTCAACAGGCCCTTTGCCTTGGCCTCGGCCGGCGTGCTGGCCTGGTTGAGCAGCAGCTGGACGACTTCCAGGTTTCCGGTCTTGCAAGCGACGTTAAGGGGCAGATACGTCGGCTTGAGGTCGTTTTGCTGCGGAAAAGCGTTGGCTCCGTGCCTCAGCAATATCTCCACAGACGAGACGTGGTTGTTGATGATGGCCATGAGCAGCGGCGAGATCGACTCGTTGTCGACCACGTCGATCAGACTCGCGAGCGGCTTGATGCGCGGCGCGTAGTCCAGAACAAGCAGCAGCAGGTCGTCGCGCCCGAGCTCTGTGATATAGTGCAGGCACGTGCGTCCGGTCACGTCCTTTAGCGTCGGGTCGATGTTATTCTCCAGGCAGAGCTTGACGATGCCGACGCGGTCGGTTTTGCACGAGGCGGCCTCGTGGAGACACGTTCTGCCGTTGAGGTCGTCCACCAGCGTGATGTCAATGAAGTCTCTGAAGTTGTCGTAGAAATACTGCAACGCTTCGTCCGGGATCTGCAGATTAGGGATCAGCAGCAAAAACACCTTCGAGATCGTGAACCGCTTGCTATCGGGACTGAGCTTCGACAGAACCTGATTGGCCCACTCGTGCAGCTTGGAAACCTGCTCCTCCTTCGACTGGTTCGCGTTCTGTGCCGTGATCTCGTAGAAATCCGTGTACAGCTCGTCCGACTCTCTGTCTCCGCGGGCCAGCTCGCCGTCGTCCACTTTGGTGTTTTCTTTGGTCTCGTACCGCACAAAGCCGCCGCCCTCGACCTTCGCCTCCAGCTCCATCAAATTGTTGGCCACAAGGTCGCTCAGCTCAATTATCTCGTCTCTGTGGAAAACGGGCTGCACATTGACAGCAGTCGACAAATAGAGCTCTTTTGTTCTCGATTTCGAGCGCTTGTCCCACTTCTTCAACACTTTCGTGAACCCTGTCTCGTTCAGCTCGACAAACTGCTCGAGTCGGTCCAGATCCTTGGAGAACTTCTTGAATCCATCGTACAACGTGACAAACGCAATGGAGCTTTTCGTGACGTTATCGAGACGCCCGTCCAACAGCGCCTTGTTCTTCTTCTCAATCAGAATGTCCAGCCGGAACTTCAGCTCGGACTCCTTCTCCAGATAAAAGTTGTTGACCTTTTCGAGCTCTCGCTCCAGACGAAAGAAAAAAGAGCCCTTCTTGTCTTGCAGCGACTGGTCCTTGCTGTTGTTGGCCACCAGGGCGTTTATCAGCTTTTTCAGCGCCTTGTAGTTGATGAAGTAGCCCGAATACTCGGGCAATTCCAGCTGCCGCGCAGCCAAGTACTTGCCAAACTTCATTAAAAGTACAAGATCCTGCCAACTTAATTTCACGGAGAAATTACGTCAGCGAAATTACAGGCCCTGTCCGGCCCTCGTAGCGGCCGGACAGCGATTGCACGCAGAGAGCGGACGGGAGCGCTGGAGACGGGCCCAGACAGGCCAGCGACACAGACGGTCGGCAGATGGTCACGATGGACGGCGGCCTGGATTACCCCTGTCGTGTCTCACTTAGAGACACCACACGTGCTACCAGGCGCGACGATCGACGCGGGACGACTGAGTTTACCGTTCGTGTTCCGTTTGTCTCATTATCTATTATCGTATGCGTAGCGTACGTTATATAACATAGTTTTCAGAGTCCGGCACGTAGGGGCCAATAAATCGTAAATGCAGTAGTGGCTCGTCGCGAGCGCTAATAATAAGAATATGTTGTTCATGACAGTTCTCCGTTGATGAAGCTTTCGAACTCGAGCTCGACGTCGTGCACGCTGTCGAACTCGTAGTAGTCGTGGAAAAGGAGGTCATTTTTCGGTTCTAAGCCCAGCGCAAGGTCTGTGGTTGGCGGAGAAAGCATGGAGTCGGCCGTGTTCGACTTGAAAATGGAGAAAACAGACTCCTTGCCGGGCGAGGAGGGCAGTTCGGCCAGCTTGAAGCCTTTTGGCGACAGCGACACCAGCGTGGAGCCCGAGAGACTGTCCATGGTTTCGTTTGTTTTCGTGAGCGAGATGGAAGGCGTAGGCGTCAGGTCGACCTCGTGCTCTGGGTGGTGGTCTAGAAGATCGAGATGGTCGTCCTCGGACAGCGCTGGCGACGAGAAGTCCATGTCCGGGTCGTCGAACTTGATGAATTTGTCCATTTCCTCTGTCTTCGGAGCAGCCGGCTGCTGGACCTGCTGCGAGTGGTTCAGGTCAATGAGAGACACGATGAGGTCGTTGATGTCGTCGTCGTGGCTTCTTTTACGTGGGAATGATGGCGATGGCGTTGGTAGGGTCTCGTTTTCTTTTGATTTCTCTCGAATTTCATTTTTCAAATTTTTCAGGTCGGACACAAGCTTGATGACCTCCAGCTTGAGGTAGTAATTTTCTTCGTTGATTTTCAGAATCTGTTGCTTGAGAGGGTTGTTCAGGATGCTGGCCTCCAGGTCGTGCTGAGCGTGCTGAGCGTGCGGTGTCTGCTTGGACTTCTTGGCGTCCTTGGGCTCTTTCCCCGAGTGCACGTTGGGGTTCACGGCCTGGGAGGGTTTTCGACCGGGCTTCGGCCGAGGAGGCAGTACCCATTTGCGGGACGTCTTGATCTTGATCGGCGGTTGTGCTAGCGGGTCTGGCGAGGTGCCCGGACTAGGACTGGCGTTGGTCAGAGGTGTGCTGATGCTAGTATCACTTAGTGCTGGGGCGTTAGCAGAACAGGGGAACGACAACATACTTTGATTCAACATGACTCATGGAACCCATTGAATAAAAAGATTGGAGTATTGAACTTTTGACAAAGGAAATCCAAAGTATATAAAGGTTGGACGGAATCGGATGCAAAAAAGTCGGCACCCCAACTTTGATGTTTCGCAGCCCGTATTGTTTTAGAGCGTACTTACTTGATTTAGATTTTTTCCACCCCCCATAGGCTGCCGCGATTATTGTGCTGGTTATTATTTGCTGCAATGGAATCGGTCCCCACACGACCACGGCTCCAACACATGCAGTACCCACCCGGTTGCTTCCGCGCTAGAAAGCCGTCGGGGCGCACGCGACTGGCATCTTCCGTAGCATGGGCGCGCATTGCCAGTGACGACGGAGCACTGGCACAGGGTGTGCGTCCAACGCGTGCTCCCTTGGGCCGGAGGGACCTGGGTGCGGGACACCTTTTTTAGCACAAACACCCCCTTTGCTGACAATTTCCCGAGCCGAGAAGTTGTTCTCGAAAAAGGCGCATTTCGGCAAGTGGATCTCTAAACCTACTCATCCCTTCGCCAAATTTTTTTGCCAGCATATTCCAAACGTTCCAGGGTGCAGCAAGCATTACGCAACTAGAACAATTCATAGTCAGTACACTATTATTGAAATCCTCCCCCACATCTCTACATCTTCATGAAATCCATCAGGTCCAACGTTTTTGCCTGTTTCGGCTGCTTGTTTTTCAGCAGCTCGCTCAGATTGTTCTTCTTTCTCTTGCGCGCGCGCTCCTTGCCGCTGTTTCGTTCCACAGCCTTGCCCGCCTCTTTTTCTTGCACCAGCACGTCTTTCGTCATTTCGTGCTTGCACCCCAGACACCTGTAGCGCAACGTCCGCTTCCGAACTCCGTCCTTGCTCTCGTACCGCACACGAATCTGCAGATTGACCCCCGATACGAGAACGTCCTCGCACCGGTGACAGAATATGTACCCGTCTCCTCCCACCGCTTCCGGTAGCACAAGACTGTGTCTATCGCACGTCGCCAAAAACCGCCGCCGCAGCTGCCGCCGCAGCCGGCCGTCTTTTGCCGCGTGCACCAAGTTGTACTGGTAGACAGCCTTATCGGCCATAGAAAAAATAATTTAAAAAAAAAAAAATATTAAAATGCCATTTTCATTAATGCAACGATCTACAGTCAGGCCCGCCTCCTCTTCACAGGACTAAACTCCGGGCTCGGCAGCTCATACCCGCGCTTCTCCCCAGCACGCAGCCCAGAGGTATCTGTAATACTTGTGTTTGTGACATTCCGCAATGCCGTAATGGGCTTCGAGCTCATAGGCTCGGTCAGGATGTTCTGCACGTCCACCACCCTCTTCTTGGCCGGCGTGGACGGCGGCGTGAAGTAGACAGACGTCTCCTCGGGCTCCTCGAACAGCGCAGGAATCTGTTTCTCGATGTATTCGCACCACTCGTCGCAATCGCTCTTGATCTGGTAGTCTATCACCTTGTCCCACGCGCTTGGGGACACCTCGCAGTCGTTGATGAAAATCACCTTGCCGTCCTGTCTCTCGTGGATGCGCCTACTCAGCTGGCGCACCAGTTTGCGCACCCCGTCCACTTTCAAGGACGTGCCAAAGATGATCAGCAGGTTCGGGTTTTTCGCCATGTCGCTCGTGAGCCCGCGGGCCAGCGAGTCTGCGTGCGGGTGGTGCTCGCCGTACAGCACGATGTCCGGCCGCAACACGCCCACCGCGGACCGGCTAGCTCTTTTCCCCAGCTCCGCGCGCTCTCTGTACTTTGCCATGCAATTCGGGCAATCGGGCAACTCGCCCTCGCGCAACGTGTCGCTGTTCTCGTCGTCCCACGCAAATCGGCTCGAGCACATCGTGCAGCTGAGCCGGTTCAGGTCGCCGTGCAATTGCACCACGTCGAGCTCTTTCCAGTTTGTGTCGACGCCCGTCCGTAAGTCGCAGTGCCGCTCCAGCCCGTCGATGTTCTGCGTGTAGCATTTCAGCAGCTTGCCGTGTTTTTTCAGCCGCCTAATAAACCAGTGGGTCTTGGTAGGTCTGGCAGTGCACGTCTTTGTGTACAGCTGTTGCATGAACTTGCAAAACAGCGTGATCGACTCGTCGTTTCTGAACAGCGAGATGTCAAACAGGTCTTTCCCCCTCACGATCGACTGCTGTTTGTCCGACCGTTTGGCCTGGTTGTACAGCCCGTGCGCGCTGCGGAAATCGGGTATCCCCGCGCTGCAACTGATGCCTGCGCCGGTCAGCACGACGACCTTCTTGCTTTTCGAGATGGCCTTGTTGATCTGCGCAAGCTCGGCTTGCGACTTGGCGTCTAGCTGGAGTACCTTCATTGCTAAGAAGAATTCGTGGAAGCGAAACCTTCTTGGTGCAAATACTTTTTTCCGAATGGGGAAATATGAAAATACTCCTGCGAGGAGAGAGAGCTGGGCGAGACACGGGCACCGCGGGCCGTCCAGAGAAGCCCGGCGCGCGCACGGCGGAACACAGCAGAGCCAGACACAGCGTTCGCCGAGCGGGCCTGCCGGCCTCGCCTGTCCTGTCCTGTGACCAGGAGAAAACGCGCTGTTTAGAGCGCGCTATCTTTTTATTGAGCGGCCCGCCAGCGGCCAGCAAACAGCCCTCGCCAGCAGACACCCCAGCACGCGGTCTCCGACCACCAGCTCGCACATAACCACCAACGACGACCTCACTGTAACCACACCTCGCACCGCTGGCAAGTGACGGCATTACGGCTTTTTTCGCAAGTCGCGAGCGCGAACCCTGGCCACGGCAAAAAGTTCTGCGCAGCACAGCACGAATGCCGCGTAACATAAGGCTGCGGGCTGTTTGCCACGAGAAACTGCGTCTCTGCGGCCAAAATCGGCGCCCGCAGCGATCTACGACACACCCATGGGTCTATTCCATGAATCAATTAATCCATTATACGATTAGTCGTCCCAGGCACTGTAGTTTTCTCTGCACAGCTTCTTTCTCAGCTGGTGGCCCCACTTGTAGAAAGAGAACGGCAGCAGAATCATGGCCGTGGAGACGAATGCAAGCAGCCACGAGGCCCATTGCAGCCCCAGCTTGTGGTACATTTGCAGAGTGAAGAGCGGGAACGCGGCACCGCCGGCCGATCTGAGGAACACCTTGGTAGCCAGCGCGGACGCGGCGTACTTTGCGTACGTGTCGATGATGTAGTTGTTGAGCGAGTAGTAGATCAGCACCATGCCGTAGCCAAACGCCAGCCCGGACGAGGCAGGACCCACCCAGATGATGTGTTTGTACGACGTTGCTCCGAGAATCCACAGGGCGATGGCCGGGAACGGCGCGCCGATCATGGCGCCGACAAGACGGTCCTCTGGCGTCGGACGTCTGTGCTTGACGGTCTTGACGTAGTAGTTTTCGAGCACCGGCGTGGTCAGCAGAGCGAAGAACGCGCCGATCAGGATCGGAATTAGCATCATGCCGATCAGGTCGTCGCCGTAATTGTACAGCTTGCCAAACACGGCCGGGTACGCAAAGAAGAACGCGTACAGCAGCGAGTAGATCAGGCACACGTAGAAACACATCATGTCCAGCACGGGCTCTGTGAGGGCAAACATCAGCGGCCTGTACAGACACGTCTGGATGAGCTCCTTGAGCGACATGCCGACGGCCTCCTGCTCGGTCATGATCTTTGGGTTGCCCGTCTGTTTTCTGAGCTTTTTGGCTCTCTTTTTCAGAATCACCGGCGCATACGTCTCAGGAATCAGCGACGCCACGATCCACATGAAGCCGGCAAACGCGAAGTTGACCCAGAAAATCAGCTCGAGCCGGCCAGAGTACCGGGTGATGAACCCGGCCACGAGCGGGCCGATCACAGGACCGCCGTACGGAGCAGCAGCAAAGTACGCGATGGCCTTGCCTCGCGTCTCGGTGGGGAACAGGTCGGAGATAGAGCCGCCCACGTTGGCGAGGCCGGAAGCGGCGAAAACACCACACAGGAACCGACACACCAGGATTGTTCCGATATTGGGCGCAACAGCACAGGGGATGTTGAAGATGAAGTAGAGCCCGAACGAGATGAAGTACACCGGTCTCCTGCCGATCTGCTCCGACAGCGGCGACCACAGCAGCGGGCCCACAGAGAACCCAATCACCATCAGCGAGCACGTGAGAATCGACACCTCCTCGCTCACGTGATACTTGTCATTAATCAGTCCCAGGCACCCAGTCACCACGGACGAGCCAAAGGCCACACACACCACCATCAGCGACAGCGCGATGGTGAAGGCCCACCGCAGCGCAGGGTTCCAGTTCATCGGGTTTTCCGGGTCGTTGATCGTGAACGTGACAAACTCAATGTCCGGGTCCAGCTCTGGAACAGCTCCCGTATCTTTCTCATCGGACGCGGACGAGCTTTGCGAGTCGCCCGGCGGCTTGGTCGCGGTGGGATGGCTTCGGGCTCGGCCTATGTCCTGCAACGTGGCCACAGGGACCAGGCCTGTCTGCGTTTCTAAAGTGTACTCCTCAGGAAATACCGGGTTTTCGACGTTTTGGGGTCGATTCACGTCGACGGCAGAAACCTCGCGCGAAAGACCCCTCTCTCGCAGTGACTTGACGGTTTCTGTCTTGATGACTTTGAGCGACTCCGATCTCGACAGAGTCGAGTGCATTTCTCCAGAAATTTGCGACCTGGCGTCCTCCGGGTCGTACGCCTGTGGGGTGGTGCCCAATTCGAGGTCGGACGCCTGCGCAGGCGCCTCAGTGGGCGAGCTGTAGTGGGAGCGGTCCGGCGACGAGGACGAGTTCAACGATGCTATGGAATGCGACATGAATAATTTTCAGACCCACACATTGGGGATCCCGACGTTTATATACATCCACCTGCCATTCGCGCGTGATAGAGTGCGCACAAAAATAGAGCTTCTGGAGCATATTTGCGTTATTTCTCTGATTATTTTTTGTGTGCGGCTTGAACAGGGTCCCTCGTTCTGTGTGCAAGTATGCGCTACACAGAATTTAATCCGGCAGATCGGATCCCGCAGCAGAGCAATCGTTGCACAGTTCGTGAGCTCTGGACTGCTTATCGCCCTGGGAGGTGTGTGCGTGGCAGTGTCAGAGGCTGCCACATGTACGGGGTCCGAGTCTGCGCTGGTTCGGGCTCGAGTGAGCGCCTGAGCTTATAATTCTTCCCGGCACAAAAATTACGCGGATCCAGCACAGACTTCGCCTCTTTTAGCTCATTTTCGGTTTTTGTCTTGAAACCAAACGACGCGGGCACTTGCGCAAATAAGCCGCCAACAATGCGCTGCAGCTATAGCCACAGCTGCCAAAAAGATAAACCCGAGTATCGGCCTCTCTGAGTCAGCTGCGATGTGCGCGGCGTCGATCGGCGGGTCGGTAAGAAAAATATTGAAAATAATTCAGATAAAATAATTTTCGTGAATTATGCTTGTTCGCTCACACTGGATCGCTGGTCTTCGGCGCGCGGCGAGACTCCGCAACGGCCAGGTGAGGACTCTGAGGGCGCGACCGGATGTGGTGGTCAAACGCAGTTCTGTGCAGCTGGATTCGGCGCTGCCCGCAGATCCCCCAAGACCTCGGTCCAAGTTCCAGAAGGCTAATACGACAGATATCCAGTCTGCCAGCATCAGCAAGCCGCCAGCACAAATAGAGCGCGAGATGAAGCACCAGTTTGAAAAAGACGACTTGGACTACGACCCGGAGTTCGTCCAGGAGCTGATCCAGCAGTCCCAGCAGGAGGAGAAGATGTACAAGGATATTCTGCAGCACCCGGAGAAGGCAAAGGAGTACACCGCCAAGGAAATGCAGGCCCTTGTGGAGTGGCTGGTGAGGGACTGTGAGGAGTTTCTGGCCAACCAGGACGTCGATACGGAGCAGCGAGACAAGGAGCTGGAGCAGACTGTCGATCGCATGATCAACAGCGATCCGACGCCAGAGAACATGGCAGACGCCTTTAGCGGCATGGACAAAATCGCACAGGGGCTCAAGAGGCCTGGCGTAGAAAAGCTCGTGCATTTTCTGAGCATGATCTGCAAAAAGGGTAACGAGGAGCTGAGAAAGTATATTCCGCTGGACAGTCTGCTCAGAATATTTAATATCTCGACGCAGATCAGAGACCTGGAAACGCGCGCAAAATGCATCCACATGGCCGGCAACCTCATATATTCCGCCACAGATGCGCGAGCAGACCCAATAAACGAAATGTTCTACATCGAGTCGCTCATGAAGTTCCACAAGGGCCAGACGGCAGAAAGACTTTACAACAGCCGTCGCCAGAAGCCCGACGTGGCTGGCCAGCGGTTCTGGAACGAGCTGGGAATCCGCGTGTATCTGGAAAACCGGAAAGTCGACGAAGCTGAGGCGCTTGCTGCCGAGACAAAGCAGCAGTTCCATTACCTGCACCCTACAGTTTGTCTCAGCTTTGCAGACTGGTACTTGGCCAAGGAACGGTTTGAAGATGCGTTTCGGTGGTGGGGCAAGCTGCGCGCGGTGATGAACAGTCTGGGCCTGATCGAGTCGCTGCCGCAGCCCGAGACACAGCTCCTGGACGACCAGCAGCTCGTGTACAGCTACCACAACCGCGAGGACCCCGTGACGTTTGATCACGTGACCGAGCTGGCGATCGCGTTCTTGCAATGGAGGCGGTACGACGAGGCGATGGAGATCTTGGAGGTGACGACGCGGCGCGACAAGCGGTTCCTATTTTATTTCATGGACAAGTTCCACACGAGCATGAGCTTTCCGCAGCGCGAGATGCTGCGGCACGTTCTTGAGTCTTCGAGCTACCACCCGTCGATGTCGAAATATATGCTGAGCGAGCTTGCGAGCGCGAACCAGACGAGATCGTTCGAGCAGGCGGAGATCCTCGACGGCATTGCCACCTCTCTGCGTGAGATTCTGGACCTAAAAATCGTCTCTCCCAAAGAGCGTATCGTTGCTTCCTCTATAATGGACTCCATAAAGGCCGGACAGTGTCTGACCTCCATGGAGTGTCGGGAGCTGTTTAAGATGCTTTTGCGCATTAAGTCGAAGAAAACGTATGTTTTGGTGACACAGGTGCTCAACGAGATGAACGACACGTTTGAGCAGATGTCCAGTTCCAACAAGCTCCAGATATTTCCACCAGTGTCGTCGCATTTTTACCTGTTGCTGGTGCAATTATTTGGGCGGCAGAAAAAACCGGATCTCGCGAAAATCGAGGCCATTGTGAGGCTGATGGAGTCCAAGGGCATTGGAATGGTGACGCTGATGGCGAACCAGCTGATTCTCACCTACAAAAAAGCCGGCAGGCCGGATCGTGCGATCGAGTTTGCGCAGCACTACATGAATACCAACGAGAATTTCCAGCTCACCAACGATTTCTGCAGAATAACGATTTCCGTGTACAGACGCGTCCAGATGAAATCGGCCACGGACAAGCTTGCGTACAAAAGACGATTGCACGAGATACAGGATATATTCAGAAGAATATGCCATGCTCCCGGCTTCGATGTGAGTCCGGAGCTACTAAATGAGCTGACTCTGACATTTTTGAAATACGGCGACTACGTGTCGGCTATTTGTTCACTGCAGCTGTACGGAATGGTGTGCAATAAAAGCTTGGAGAAGACGACTCTTTTGCTGGTCAACGATTACCTGGAAAAATCGTTTTCCAAGATGAAATCCAAGCTCACGGAATACGAGAACGATCAAATGCTAGCGAGAATATCACAGATGCGCGAGACGATCGGGTTCAAGTCGCTACAGAATTTGTCGAACAATCCGCTCGATCTCAATTGGAGAGACGCCGCTTCGTACATCATCCGGTACTTGAACGTGTTCGACTTCAATCCCAACCCCTATTCGCTGAAAAATCACGACGGACACTTTACTTCAACGCAGGAGAACGAAGATGCCAAGACCCGGTTTGAGACGCAGCTGCTTAAATCCCAGGAAGAGTACCAGCTGCCAAAAGTCCATTTATCGGATATTGTACAATTATAGAGCCATGTATATAGGCAGGAGCGAGGAGTAGATAAAATTTTATCAATAAAAAAAAAATTTAAAAAAAAAAATTCAAAAGGGAAACGTTCCCTTGTTAATTTTATTTCTGATAATGCCTCCAAAATTTAATCCAAGCGCCAGCACATTCATGCCAGGCGACTGGGGCGTTCCGGCCGCCGGATACCAGGGATACAATGGTGGCTCGCCGTACGACAACTCCACCGGATCCGCTATTCCTATCCGGGTAGCCAAGAAAGCCGGCGGAAAGCAGAAATTATCGCTCGATGATTACCTCAGGTCGCAACAGCCCACTCCTCCCAGCGGCATTTCCGACTCAGAGGTGTCTCAGGTGTCGTCGGGGGTTAATACTCCAAGAGGGAGAGCTATGGATTCCACCACTTCTCTGTCATCGCTCAACTCTGCTCTTCAAAAATTGCAGATTTCGCCAATCACCGAGCTCCTAAACAGCATACAGACGGCCACCAAGCTGTCTGAGATTAGAGAAGAGTGCGAGAAAATTGTTGATATGATTTATGAGCACGGTGCCAGTGCCATCCACGAATGGGATATCCAACAGGTTCTCGTGACCTTGTCCAAACCCAAGAACCCTGCTTTGATCAGAGAGGGCTCGATGCTGCTTCTACAGATTTTGAGCAGAAAGTTTGCCGGCAGAACTCCATACGAGGCATATTTCGTCGACCTATTTGCGCCAGCGTTCGATCTTCTGGCCGATAAAGAGAATACTGTGAAGAGATCTGCCCAGGCTTCCATCGACTCGTTGTATGGAATGTTCCCTGTCGAGGCGTACTCCTCCGTGTTACTCACTATGCTCTTGAAGTACCTCAAGTCCAGTGCCAAATGGCAGTCCAAGGTTGGTGCTTTGAAGACGATTGACAAAATTTTGCAAGAGGCTCCTGCTGACCTGCTCGAATCGAGGTTTGTGGATGCTATTCCAGTCCTCACAGACATGGCCACAGATTTCAAGCCTGAACTCGCGAAAGTGGGCTATAAATCGCTCAATGACTTTGTGAAGGTTCTCGATAATCTCGACTTGCAACCACGTTACGACCTTATTGTCCAGACTCTTGCAGACCCTCAGAAAGTTCCAAACTGTATCAGGTCTCTTTCGTCCGTCACTTTTGTTGCAGAGGTCACAGAGCCTGCTCTCGCGTTGCTGGTTCCTATTTTGGACAAGTCTTTCAAGCTGTCCTCGTCTTCGCAAGAACAATTGAGGCAAACCGTGATGGTCACCGAGAACTTGACCAGATTGGTGAATAACAAGTTTGAGATTGAACACTACATTCCTATCCTACTTCCGGGTGTGAAGAGAGTTGTCGAGACGGCTTCTCTTCCAGAGGTGAGAGAACTTGCCACCAAAGCTTTGAGAGTGATTGAGGACGCCCAGGCTGAACAGTCAGACGGAAAATTCCATGGTAGATTGTCCTTGGAAAAGGCTGAAGAGTACCTCACGGAAATCAAGCCCAAGATCAACGATGCTGTTATCTACGATTACTTGGTCAAGATTCTGCTCACCGACTCCAATGTCAACGACTGGACAAGACTCACCGAGTACTTGAGCATGAGTCTGGGTAATTTCCTGGATGAGGACGCCAAGAATACATTTGTTGACAAAACCATTCACAAGCTCAGAGAACTGTTCACTCCAAACGTTTTCGACGATTCTCAGGACGACGGTGTCGTCATTGTGAACGCTGACTTCTCACTTGCCTATGGTACCAGACTGTTGCTCAACAAGACCAACCTTAGACTTGTGAAAGGCCACAGATACGGTCTGTGTGGAAGAAATGGTGTTGGTAAGTCCACGTTGATGAGGGCCATTGCCAACGGACAACTGGAAGGATTCCCTGATAAATCAGAGGTCAGAACCTGTTTTGTCGAGCACAAACTGCAAGGAGAAGAGGCAGACATGAATCTGGTGGACTTTATTGCATCTGACCCAGAACTGAAGGACGCGTCGAAGGAGGAGATTGCTTCTGCCTTAGAGGAAGTTGGGTTCAACAGCGAGAGAAGAAACCAGCAGGTTGGATCTCTTTCTGGAGGATGGAAGATGAAGCTGGAGCTCGCGAGAGCCATGCTTATGAAGGCAGACGTCCTGCTTCTGGACGAGCCTACTAACCATCTGGACGTTACCAATGTGAAATGGCTTGAAGATTATTTGGTTCAACACACAAATATCACGTCTCTGATTGTTTCGCACGATTCCAGATTCTTGGACACTGTTTGCACTGATGTCATCCACTACGAAAACAAGAAACTGGTGTACTACAAGGGCAACCTGTCTGAGTTTGTCAAGGTCAAGCCAGAAGGAAAGTCGTACTACACGTTGACCGACTCGAACGTGAAAATGGCGTTCCCTCCGCCAGGTATTCTTACCGGCGTGAAGTCCAACACCAGGGCCGTTGCGCGAATGTCCAACGTGACGTTCAAGTATCCTTCTGCCGAGAAGCCATCATTGAAAAACGTTTCCTGTTCGCTGTCGCTTTCCTCCAGAGTCGCTATTTTAGGACCTAATGGAGCAGGTAAGTCCACTCTGATCAAGTTGTTGACTGGAGAGCTGGTGCCTAATGAGGGAACTGTCGAGAAACATCCTAACCTGCGTATTGGGTACATCGCACAGCACGCTCTACAGCATGTTAACGAGCACAAGGAGAAAACCGCCAACCAGTACTTGCAATGGAGATACCAGTTTGGAGACGACAGAGAGGTGCTTTTGAAGGAGTCTCGTAAGATTTCGAGCGATTCTGAAAGACAGATGTTGGAGAAGGAAATCGATATTGGTGACGGCAGGGGAAAAAGACAGGTCGAGGCCATTGTGGGAAGACAGAAGCTCAAGAAGTCGTTCCAGTACGAAATCAAATGGAAATGGTGGCTGCCTAAATACAACTCGTGGGTTCCTAGAGAGAAGCTGATTGCAGAAGGATTTGAGCCGTTGGTCCAGAAGTTTGACGACCACGAGGCCTCTAGAGAGGGTCTTGGTTACAGAGACCTGACTCCATCTGTGATCAGAAAGCATTTCGAGGACGTTGGTTTGGACGGAGACATTGCGGACCACACGCCTATGGGTTCTCTTTCTGGAGGACAGCTCGTGAAAGTGGTGATAGCCGGTGCCATGTGGAACAACCCGCATCTGCTTGTTTTGGATGAGCCTACAAACTATTTGGACAGAGATTCTCTTGGAGGTCTTGCCGTTGCCATTAGAGAGTGGAGCGGCGGAGTGGTGATGATTTCGCACAACTCTGAGTTTGTTGGAGCTCTGTGTCCAGAGCAGTGGATTGTTGAGAATGGAGAGATGGTGAAGAAGGGCGTTACCGAGATCGATCAGTCGAAGTTCGAGGACAACGGCGGAGAGTCTGCCCAGTCCAGAGCAGCGGCCGAGATGGTGAACAAGCCTGCTCCGTTGAAGAAGAAGGATGACGATGACTCGCCGGCCAATATCAAGGTGAGAACCAGAAAGAAGAAGATGACCAGAAACGAAAAGAAGGCTCAGGAGGAGCGCAGAAGACTGAGGCATCTGGAGTGGCTCAGCTCACCTAAGGGCACGCCTAAGCCAGTCGACACCGACGAGGAGGAATAATCTATTTTATATACAGGGCCGTTACAATACATGATAGACCGAAGTCCACGAGTAGTCCGCATGCCATCCATGAGAGGAAGTATAGGATTTTGGGGCTGAACACTGTCCAGATGAAAAGATGAAACCTGAGGTTGTAGCAGCTTAGGATCAAGATCAGTCCGCTGACGGAGTAGAAGGTGAGCGTTACCAGGAGCCGGTGGTACAGTCTTTCCCAATTACGTCCATCTGGTTTTAGGGTGAGATGCAAGTAGGCTAGGGACCAGAATATAGGGGCAGCCCAGTTGCACACAAAAGTGAGCAGTCCGGAAATAATCATATTGTAGCTGGAGAGTCCGTTGAAAGAGTTTGTGAGGTCAACAGACGAGAGCGAGTTTGTGAATCCAAACTGGAAAAAACTGAGGTTTTGCATCAGGATGGTGAATAGTGAGAGAGCGTTGAGACTGGACAGGGGGACGAGTTTCTGGAATGACAGGAGGATCACCAGCAGAAGAAAAAAGATGGGGACGTTATTGAAGTTTGTTTGACTGATCAGCAGCTGTGTGAAGGTTGTCAATATGAGACGTGTGTAATTGTGCGCTGGGTCTGGGAGTTTCGATATTTTGAAAAATAGAGGTTTCAGGAGATGGAATGCGAGGGTGACTAGCCAGACTTTGTTGAACAGGCTAAAAAGCTGTTGGTTGATTGTGTTGATATCTGTCGTTCCCAAACGCTGGCCAATCCATTGGATGTAGCTGGAACACCAATCAGGGATTTCCTTAAAACCAGACTTCAAGTCGTAGGTCTCGGACAGGTAAGACAGAAACTTGGTCGAAAAGGTTATGAAACAAAGTAGCGACGTGCTGACGAACGTGACAAATCTCATGATCGTTCCGTCACCGTTCCCTTTGACGGTGGCTCCTTCTGTGACGTAGAAACAGTATGTGGCGAGGGTTGACGCTATCAAAAATGCAACCACATCAGGACCGATGTCGGAAGAGAGCGACGCTACATACGTCGCGATCTTCATGTTGCTTTTGATGTTGTTTTTCTGTCCACTATTGTTCCACGCCTTGAGGAGCCTTAGACAAATCAGCAGCATTGTGGAGTAGAATGATTTGGATTTGACTGTTATCGTTGCAACAAACAGAGTAGTGAAAAACCACCAAAGGTGGTGTTCCTCCTCAATCATCGATGAGCCGAAGAAGTTGACGGCATAGAGAATAAAAAATAGTAGATCCACACAGGCCTCCAAAAGGCAGCCTCGATGATATGTGAAAAAGAGCACCAAGCTGAGAAGTGCAGTGAATGCATAGCCAGCCAGTCCGTAGAAAATATCCGTGTAATTGTAATCTGATGAGGTCTTCGACAGCTCACGTTTGGAATCATGTAGAAAGTCTAGCAAAGCAGACACAGACGAGACATCGATCTCAGAGTCTAGAGACGTGACCTTATTTCGGGATTTGTCAGTGAGGACCTTCAGTTGCAATGCATTCTTGATTAGAACGTTCAGCTTGTCTTTTGCCGTATACAGCGGAAGCAGGTTGTGCATAAATGTGCCCAGATTATTAATTGGGATTTTGAGACCAAGCAGGGTGGAAAGAGTCGGCACCAAGTCTATCTGGTCGATGCGGTCGAAGTAGTCGAAATCCGCGTTTCTTGGTATAGGGGCTTTCTGTGCTGATTGAAGGTTTCTGAATTTGGACGAAACTAGCAACAACCCAGCAGAAACCTCGCCAATTGAAGAGCCTCCGTGATTTCCAACCTCGTTCATTCCGTGGTCGCCCATCACCACAAACAGAGTGTTGTCGTCTTTCTTCACGGCGCTCTCAAAAATTCTGCGAATGATGGAGTCCATCTCGCGCTGCTTGGCGGGCATACTGGCACTAGCAGGTCCTCCCTTGTGGCCAATGTGGTCCAGCCCCAAATAATGAAGGATCAGACAGTCCCAGTGCTTCTGGCCTTCTTTGCTCAGCTCGTAATCCAGATGCCGTGTGACGTTGTTATCCACAATGGTAAAATCACTCACGTAGAAACTGGCCGTACCGTCTGTCTTGGCGAAATACGAAGGAAACAGCTTCAACCAGGTGTCGTCTCCAAACATGTTGATTTTCCATCCTGACGCATGCATCTGCTTCACCCACGAGTCCTGGTCTCCCAGGGTCGACGACGTGTCTTCCTCTGCAATATTCAGCACAGCGTCGATGAAATTAGGTGTTGATCCGGTAGTTATGCCTTTCAGACGTGGCAGGGTGACGGTAGGAGGGTTGGAGTAGGCAGTGTATCCCAATGCATAGCCATTGTTGATGAGCTCGTGGACAAACGTCATTTGGGACTCGTTGGAAAACAAAAAGTCTGCCCGAAGAGCGTCGATCACCATAATGACGGCGCGATCAAACTGTCGTGGGGGTTCATGGTAAACAGCCGGGGCAGGCGAATGGAAATTCTCAAGATCTTGACTGGAAAGAAGGACCTTGGTGGGGAAAAAACCCCTGCAAAACAGAAGATACGAACAGAGCTGGAGCAGCCAAACGAATGCGAGAAGTAAATAATTCATTGCACCGGTCTGTTCATAATAAACAAATAATTGAATATAGATCGGAAAAAAGAAAATAATTTATTTTTAATAATTAATCTCCCCTTTTTTTTATAATGATTGCCTTCAGACAACCAAATCTGAGCCGGAGCGCGCTATTTGCCGGTAGACAGGCCGTGGTGGTGACACAGAAGTGCTACAACTCAAAGTCTGCTTTCAAGATCACGCCAGGTCCGCCAAAACTCGACAAAGACGACCAGGAAGAGTTTGAAAAACTGATCCACAGAGCCAACACACAGACCATCATCGACGAGTACAACGAGAACATGGGCTTCAAAGTCGACTCCGCGCCCAAGGTCGACGTCGGAACGTTCTCGCCAGACAAGTTCAAGATCATCCCCGAGTTCGAAGGCAACGTGAACCCTAAGACGGGCGAGGTTAACGGTCCAAAACAGGACCCGCTCAAACACGGTTCCGATTGGAGTTTCAACGGCAGGGTGACGGACTTCTAGGCCGGGAACAACGCATGAATTAGAGATTTTCGGAAAAATCGGGTTTTATACACTTATGTCAGATCATTAATTAAATACTTGTACTCTTCAGCTCCTGAGTCAGCGACTCGATCAAACCCGTCCTCAGCTCCAGCTTGGCCTTCATCCGAGCAACCTCGCACGAGTAGCCAGACGGCTGCGCCACGCTGACCACCTCTATGTCCTTCAGCGCCTCCACATACTCCTGCACAGCCCGGAAATCGCTCTGCTTCTCGGCAATCAGTTTCTGGAGTCTCTCGAGCTGCTTTTTGTAGGCCTGTTCTTTCCTGGACAGCGTTGCGTTTGCGTGGTTGGAGGCCTGCATTTCGAGTTTCTCCATGGATGCCGCAAATTCGGAAACTCTTTTTTGTAGCTCCGCTTGCTTGCTGGCCAGCGCCTCCAATTTCCGTTTCGAGCTACCGTATCTTTCGAGTCTGTCCTGTCTGTTGAGTTCTGCCTCGTTGAGCGTGGCGATCTGCACCAAAAACTGGCTGCGCATCTGCTGTAGCTTCCTGTTTGTCACGGCCACGTCGTTGAACACGGCGATCAGCCCGGTGGTGATAAGCTCTCTAGCCTTGTACAGAGACTTGAGGTCTCTGGTGTTCGCGGAGAGCGGCTGGTTGGAGCTCATTGCGTATAGCTGTTTCTGGACCTTGGCCAGCGTCGTCTTGGTGGCTGTCAGTTGGCGATTTAGATCCAGAGGCTGGTATTTTTCATAGACGTCTTGCGGAGCCAGCTCTGTGTCCAGAGCGACAGACGGCTGGGCCGGAGCACACACTTCGAAAACAGACGAGTTGGCAAACGCGTACGAGTGGGTGTAACTCCACACATATGCAATCTTGTGTTCTGCTGTGGCGTGGGGGACAGTGTACTGGAGCGAGCGTGGTTCGCCGATGGAGGCCGTGTTTGGAAGCCGAACTTTGCCTAGACTCGTGACTTTGGTGGGCAGCTGATTATTCAGCAAGTCGCGTAGTGCCGAAACGTCGTTCGAGTCAATGCTATGTGCAAGGACGTCCCACCAGTCGGCAAAGTCCACATGGAGCAGGTCCGACTCGGAGGACGTGAGGAGCAGCGACGTGGGCTTGTTGGGCAGCAGCATGGCGCTGGTCATGGTTCTGGACCCGAACAGCGCACAGTCGACCATTCTGACGACACCGGCAGAGTCTGGGGCCCGCTGGCCGTCGAAAGCCATGGGCTGGTCCTGGTCGTCAAAAAGTACCGCCAGAGCCCTGTTGTACAGAACGCAGAACATGTCGTTCTCCATTGGAATCAGTTTCAACGCGTCCTGCTCGTAAAGCTCGTCAGGGAACGGCTGGATGCTCAGAGGCCCCACAAGCTTTCCTCTGCAGAGGTTTGAAGGAAGAACCTTACTTATGGTGCAGACATGGCCGTTGGACTGCGACAAAAGCGACGCAAATTTCAGCATCGACACCGTGGACAGGTCTTCTGCGCCGCTGGCGTTGTACTTGAGACTTGCGTAGTCGAACAGCGCACCCAACCACGACGATGAAACGGCGATGTTGGCCGGAAGATAGGGGTATATCTTGTAGATGGACGAGTCTGAGGACAGAATCAGCAGGGTGAGGTCGCCGCGCGGGTTGACGGTGTCTGTGTTTGAGCCGAACGCAATAGAAACCGGGTCTATCACGTCGACGGAGTCTGAGTTCGCGAGCGGCGAGCTTGTCCTGAGCCAGTACGTGTGGGTAGGTTTAGAGAGCGACGAGTTGAGGTCGAAGTTGTAGATGGCGTCTGTAGTCAAAACCACCAACTCGGCGCCAAACTGCGATATCCTGTTGAATATTATTTGCACAATGTTTTCCTTGTTTTGTAGGTTGATATGGAGAGAGTATCCAATAGTGTGTTTGATTTTGGAGCCCGGCTCGTTCAATGACACCACGTCACAGTGGGTGCTGTCGTATAGACACAGCAAATCGTCATTGGGGCTCAAACAGAGCCCCGTGGGACTGAACTCCAGAACGTTGTCCAGATAGTGCGAGCCGCTCTCCAGGTTGGTGATTTTGATCTTCCGTTCCTCAATGGAGACGACCTCCTGTCCTGTGTTTCTGGTGATGTTCAGTGCGGTCGCCGAAGCGGAGAACTGGGCACTCAGACGGCCAATTTGTTCCGCTAGCACAGACATGTTTGGAAAAGATAAAACAAAATTAATTTTTCTGCGACAGATCTAACTTTCTTTTTTTGCCTAGAAATGGTAGCTACCTGAATACGTCCCAGAACTCGCCAATAGAAATACATTTTGTGCGCCATTTTGCTGCCAGCACAAGCTTCTGGTTTGTCAGCAGTTCCGCTTTGGGCAGCTCGTCGTTGAATATCAACAGTCCTGTGCTTCTCGAGAATACACTGCTCAGCCGGCACGTCCTCAGCTTGGCCAGGTGTTTCTCCAAATGCGACAGCTCCACGCCTTTGAAACCGGTTATCGATACCACGCGCTTCGGCACACCTTCAAAAAGCGCCGTCTCGCTTTCTGGCCGCGGAACAAACGGTCGCGACCACATGCTATCGAAGTCCAGGGTCTTGTAGTAGATCGACCGCTCCAGAGCCAATTCCGTGATTACGTTATCACTTGCGCCGGCCGGGATCGAGTCAAGCGTCGAGCTAACGACCGTGTAGTCTGCGTTGTCCTGTATTTTGCCGCGATGGCTCGTAATCACCTTCTTAAGAATGTTTTTTTGCGCCTCTGTGTAGCCAGCACCGAGTGCAAAGGACACTCCTTCGAAAAGCGTCGATTCCGTGCTCACCTGGCTCGCATCCAGCACAGAAGCCTGCGAAAGACTCTCTTCCTCCTCCTGCTCCTGACTCCAGTTGTCTTCCAGCCCGCGTTTCAGATTGGACACCTTGATGTTGCCCATGATCGACTTCCACACCTTGTTCGTCCTGTCCACCTTGCGCACTTTCAGATCGCGCTCCTTTTCGTGCGTGTCAACGCTGCGTTTTGCTTTCTCTGTCTGCAATTTGTCCTGCTCTGCCTGCTTCCATGCCCGCACCTTTTCCCAGTCGCACGCGTCGTCGCGGCGGCCCTTGCTGTTTTCCCCGGTCAGAAAATACTCCATCACGCTCAGCATGCCGCCACGCTCAACGCTGTCATACACCCAGTCCGGAGAAACCACGGGAACACCCCATTCGCGGGCCTTGGAGTACCGCAGACCTTCAGGCACGGAGGTCACAAGCACATCCGACACTGTGCTGATCGACTCGACCACGCTGCCGCCGTTCGACTCGACCATGTCTTTTATTTTCCCAATCAGCTCTGCGTCCAGCCGGCTGATCGATACGCTCACGTTGTCGAAAATGGGCATAATCTTGAGCTTTTCGGGCCGCAGGCCCACCTCATCGCCCCGCAGCCACGAATTGTACGTGTTAAGCACAGTCTCGTATGATACAAGCCGGATATCGGGCCGCGAACTGATGGCATGTTGGTATTTGCGGCTCTGCGACCATTTGTCTCTACCGGAGTGCACGATAAGAATACTCGTCTCGGAGGTCAGATTGTCTTCGAAAGAGTCGTGGGGGTACATTTTGGCAAGAACTTTGGTGAGATCTGCACGCTCAGACGCCGTTAGCGAGGTGGACGTTATCACAGCCATGACATGTCCGAGGAAATAAAAATAAAAAAATAAAATAAATAAATCAATAAAAAAATAAATCAAATTATCGGAGAATATTTTTATGAGCACAAGGCGGACCAAGAACACAAAGAGCTTCAAAGGCTGCTTTACCTGTCGACGGCGAAAGGTAGCGTGCGATTTAGGGAGGCCGGCCTGTGCCAAGTGCCAGAAGAGCGGGTTTGTCTGCGATGGCTACGACGTCAAGCTCAGATGGAGCTCCTTTGTCAAATTCGATAAGTACGGCAACCAGCTGCCCAACGAGACCAGCCAGGAGGTTGAGTACTACCAGCGACGGTCAATTCCGTACGTCAGGTATCCCCCGAGCCAGCGATATACGATGTACTCGCAGCTGGACGAGGCCCTGGCGTCGCTGGCCAAGCACGAGATCGCAGACGACGAGGACGGATCGCGGCAGCAGGGCCCGTTCGGGGTGTTCCGCGGGGTGTTCAGGGCCCAGCAGCCACCGGCAAAACGAGCGAAGCTGGCCAAAGACGACACCGCGCGCGCGGGAGCCACCGGCAACGGAAATCTGGGTAACGAGTGGCTGAGTACGGAGTTGCTGGACGCTGCGCTCCTGACGGCGTCTGCGCTCAATGGAGACACGCATTTTCTCGACATGTTCAAGAGCGACACGCTCGAGCCGATCGGCGAGATCGACGACACCGTCCAGCCTGCCGAGACGGTCTCTAACCAGATGTTGCACATGTTGTTCCAGGGCCGCAATAGCACGAGCGACGTGAACCCGCACAGCAGCCGCGAAAACAGCCATTACCACGCCGACTCTTCGTCCAACCTGATCAACATCCACGCCGGCAAGGGCGCGAAAATGCCCAAGACCATCATGGAGATCATCGAAACCGCTCCGCTGCCCGCCAATATTGCTGTAGACAAGTTTGGCATTCCCAACACCTCTCTGACCGTCCATCCCATGACACGCTACTTGCTGAACTACTACATTGAGAATCTGGCCGACATGATGACGGTGATCCCGCTACCGAAAAACCCCTGGAAGTTTATATATTTTCCGCGTGCACTGATGGCCGTTGGCGAGCTGGCGTCGATGGGCCGCACGTCGAACGCGCGCAACTGCCTGTTGAACGCGCTGCTGGCGGTGAGCGCGTTCAATCTGCAGAGCAAGTTCACGCGCGGGTCCGACGAGATGAAGTACTACGTGGATCTGGGGATCCAGCTGCGGCAGCAGGCCACCAACTTCCTCAACAAGTGTCTGGAGGAGGACGTGCTGAAACAGAAGTACAAGGACGTGCTGGTGGCGGTGCTGTCGATGGTGACGATCGACGTCGTTTGGGGGACGATGTCCGGTTGCAAGATCCATCTGGACCACTGCGAGAAGATTATCGAGAAAAAAATGAAGGTGAAGAAGAAGCTGAGCACCAAGGCGGTGATTCTGCACCGAATCTTCAGCTCGCTCAAGCTCATCCAGGACTCGACGTCGCTCGAGAACATCGCGAAGCAGGAGATCTTTCTCAACGAAAACAACTACTCGTCGTTCATCATCGGCAGTCCGGCTTCCACAGAGGAAGTTCAACGGTTCAATAGCAATAACGTGATAGGAATCAAAAAACGGCGCCACAAGCGCGACGCCGCGGTGCCTGCGACGAGCGAAGAGGCTACAGACACCAAGTCGAAGGGGGTGTACAACGAGAAAATCACAGATAACGGAAAAGTGCGCATCGAGTACATCGTCAACCAGGTGGAGTCTGTGGAGCAGGAGGAGGGCGGGTCGCCCAAGTCGGAGGTGCCGGCGTTCATCGACATCACGCGGACGAGTTTCCAGCCGTCCAAGAACAAGCTGGAGGACAAGATGATCTCGTCGGACGCGATCTACGGGCTGCCGAACTCGCTAATTCTGATTTTCAGCGAGGTGGTGCACTTGATCCGGTTCAAGAAATTCCACAAGGACCAGGGCCTCGAGCTGCCGCTTTTTTTCGACGAGCTGTCGGACCAGCTCGAGTACAAGCTGCTGAGCTGGCAGCTGGAGTGGACGCTGACGCAGGACGACGACTGCACGGCGTACATCTCGCCGCGCCACGAGGGCATCTACCACCACGTGATGTCGTTCTACCACGGACTCGTGATTTATTTCTACCGGTTCGTGGAGGACGTCAACCCGATGTACCTGCAGGAGCGCGTAGAGAAGGTTCTGGGCCACCTGGACCAGATCCAGAACATCGTGGAGCAGCACAAGGATACCTGCTACATCATTCCGCTGTTCTGGCAGGGCTTTGTGGCCGGGAGCGAGGCGATGACGGTTTTCCTGCAGAACGGCTATAATTTGTGGGGCCACAAGATCAGCCAGACCGGCGTGGGCACGTACTGGAACGCGCGGCAGATCATGCTGGAGATCTGGCGACGGAAGAACTACAACCACAAGAACGACAGCTGGCCGGACGTGCTGCGCGACTGGAAGACGAACGTGATGTTGACGTGAATCGTAAGTTTTTTTTTTCACAAATATTTTTAATTTATTTTTACGTGGCGCATTCAAGTAGCTAGCATTTTAGCATTTTGCCATCTTTCCACTCCGATGAAAATTAGCACTGTGGTTGGCACGGCAGCGGCTGTTTTTGCGTCGGCGCGCGGGTTCGGGCTTCAGGAGGTGTCCTCTCTCGAACCCAAGCCCGACACGCTGCCTGCGCAATACCAATACGAAAACTTCCACCAGTTCGAGAATACGCCATTCAAGGACTGGGACCATTTTGTGCAGACAGTGATCAAAGATAGCTCGAACGTGACGTTTGCAGACATCAACGAGCTCAACGAGCGCACAAGACCGCTGCTGGCGCGGCTGACCAACGAGAACTTCTTCAAGATCTTCAGACTCAACCTGTACAAAGAGTGTCCTTTCTGGTCCAACTCCGAGGGGTTCTGCATGCACAAGAGCTGCGCCGTCGACACGATCGACGACTGGAAGAACCTGCCCGACATCTGGCAGCCCGAGGCGCTCGGCAAGATCGAGACGATCTCCAAAGAGCCTCCGGCCACAAACGGATCGTGCATAGCGACGGGGGCCAAGACGGGCAAGGACTACTGCGCGATCGACGAGGTCAACGACGAGACCGTTTACGTCAACCTGGTAGACAACCCGGAGCGGTTCACGGGCTACGGAGGCGACCAGTCGTTCCAGATCTGGCGCAGCATCTACAACGAGAACTGCTTTAATTTGGGGGCCGAGCAATGTTTCGAGAAGAATTTCTTCTACCGGCTCATCAGCGGCATGCACTCGTCGATCAACACGCACTTGAGCAGCGAGTACCTGAACTTCCAGACTAAGGAGTACGAACCGAATCTCAAACAATTTATGATCCGGATCGGAGATTTCCCCGATAGAATAGAGAATCTATACATGAACTACATTTTGGTGCTCAAGGCACTTATCAAGCTGGAGCAGTCCGGAGTCTTGCAGGAGCTGACATTCTGCGACGACGGCAACTTCCAGACCAAGGAGAAAGAGCTCAAGAGCGAACTGCACGAGATGGTTCAGCCTTTCTACCGGCTCGGCGACTCTCACGAGTGTCTTTTTAACGAAAATACGCTTTTCCAGAACGACGACGCGGGACAGCTGAAAGACGAGTTCCGGCAGCGGTTCATCAACGTGTCGCGCGTGATGGACTGCGTGCAATGCGACAGATGCCGGCTGTGGGGCAAGTTGCAGACCACGGGCTACGGAACCGCGCTCAAGATTCTGTTCGAGCTGGACCAGCGGGACCGCCTGAGCACGGACTTTCAGATCTCCAAGATCGAGCTGATCGCGCTCGTCAACACGTTCGACAGACTGTCCAAGAGCGTTGCCTCGATCAACAACTTCAAAAAATTGTACGACGCGGCACTCAGACAGGAGGAGGACGGAGCGGCCACGACGGCGCAAGATTCCGTTTTCACAAGGGCGTTGGACAACGCTGGCTCAGGCGAGACGTCGCGGTCGCCCAGCGACATGAAGTTTCCGCCGCCGCGTTCCGGGATCCACCTGGCGGCCGCGTTCAAACAGGAACTCGGCAACGTCCTGGACGCTCTCCATTTCATTTTCAACAGCTACAAGCTGTTCCCCAAGATGGTGTACAATTGGGTGCTGATCCGCGCAGTGTACTACTGGAACACATTTGTGGGACACGTTCACGAAGATTTCGATGTTAATAGGTTATACAGGTTAGAATTATAGCTGGGGTGCTGGCATTACTCTTTTTTCTGTGCTTTTTCGTCAAACAGCTTTTTGGCCTTGGAGATTTCTCGGTCCATTTTCTGCAGATCGTGGATTCTGGCGAGCTTTGTAGGGTCTTTGCGCAGGACGAACTTGACGTCGTCGATCTTTAGTCGGTTGCGTCCGTGGGCCAGCCTCGAGTGGTTAGCAGCGACTATCAGGTCGATCATGTACGTTGTCAGCACGTCTTCGAGCGTCTGAATGGTTTCGTGGTTGGGTGCCGGCGAATCGCCAAACGCGTATAGCAGCGCCTTCAGGTCGTTGCTGAACAGCCGCTGTCTATTTCTGTACACCTGTTTGCGGTACGATGACATGTAATCAAGAGTAATCAAAAATAATTTAGAATAATTTAAAATAATTTAATTTGGTTTATATTTGCTCTATGTCCAAAAACCAGGTGCTCAGCGCAGAGCAGATAAAGGCCAGGATCGGGGCGGGCGACATTTTGGTGATCTACGACAAATGCGTGCTCCGGCTCAACAACTGGATCAAGATCCATCCCGGCGGAGACAAAGCCGTCCACCACATGGTGGGGCGAGATGCCACCGACGAGATGAACGCGTACCATTGCGACGAGACGATCGCCACGTTCAAGCGGTTCCAGATCGGCCGCATCGACCACGACTGGGTCAACCTCGTCCCGCCTATCCAGGGCGGCCAGTACGCAAAGGTTGCTGATAAGCCTCTTCCGGGCCAGATGCCGGCTGAGGTGGCTCCCAAGTTCCCTGTGGGCGTGGTGCCGACGTCTGCCAGCATCCGAATTGAGCAGGGCCCGATCAGGGACCCGCAGGCCGTCATTGAGAACTTCGACAACGTGCTGGTCAAGAAGGATCTCGAAACGTGGCCGTCGCTCGACTACGGCACCCAGAAGCTGATCTCGCAGAAATACGCCGAGCTGCACGAGAAAGTGAAGGCTGCGGGACTCTATGAGTGTCCGTACGTGGAGTACTACAAGCAGCTGTGCATCAATGGGGGGCTTTTCCTGTATTTTCTGGTTTTTCTGAAAATCAGGTGGTATTTCCTGAGCGCGGTCGCGATCGGGCTCTGCTGGCAGCAACTGACGTTCATTGCGCACGACGCAGGACACTTGGCCATCACCCACGACTATAACATTGATAACTTCCTCGGGGTGCTCGTCGCCGACTGGATGGGCGGCCTGTCACTGGGCTGGTGGAAAAGAAACCATAACGTCCACCATCTCGTCACAAACGACCCTGTTCACGACCCAGATATCCAGCACCTGCCCTTCTTTGCCGTCAGCTCGCGGCTGCTCGGCAACGTCTACTCCACGTACTACGAGAAAACGCTGTGGTTCGACCGTCTGGCCAAGGTGCTGGTGCAGTTCCAGGACCGGCTGTACTACCCGATCCTGTGTTTTGGCCGCTTCAACCTGTACAGACTGTCCTGGGAGTACCTTCTGACAGGGAAGAGTCCGCGCGGAAAGGCCTGGTGGCTGTGGTATTTCGAGGTGGCCGGCCTGTCGTTTTTCTTCTACTGGTTTTTCTATTTGCTGATCGGCTCGCTCGAAACATGGCGCGACCGCATCCAGTACATTCTTGTCTCGCACATCGTCACCATGATTGTGCACGTCCAGATCACGCTCAGCCACTTCGCCATGTCGACGTCCGACCTGGGCGGCTCCGAGTCGTTTGCTGCGCGCCAGCTGCGCACCACCATGGACGTGGACTGTCCCGAGTGGTTCGACTTTTTCCACGGCGGACTCCAGTTCCAGGCCGTCCACCATCTGTTCCCGCGGCTCCCTAGACACAACTTCCGCAAAGCGCAGGCGTACGTGCTGGACTTCTGTCGCGAGACGGGGCTGAAATACTCCATCTACGGCTTCGTCGATGGCAACAACAAGGTGCTGCTGCACATGGAAAATATAGGCAAACAGGTCAAGATCATGCAGGAGTGTCTGCGCAGCATGGCTCTGGAGTCGACAGAGCACAAGAACATATACGAAAAACGGGTCCAGCAGGCGATGACGGAGACCAAAATTATATAGACCGGTATGGATTATATCAGAGAGTCGTAGGCGGGCGCTGTGGTGCGCAGCTTGGGCGCCATTGTCTTGGTCCAGTCGATGCTCGGCGACGCTGGAGCCGGCGTGGCGGCCGGCGAGGGCTGCGGCGAAGAGACCCGCGTGGCCTTCATAGGCTGCATGACAGCAAATGTCTGCTGGCCGTTGGTGGTTGCGGCCTGTGCAGCCGGCGCGCCCGGCGGAGTGTACTGCTTCGTAGGCTGGAGACGCAGCGGCGCGGACTTGGACGGAGCAGCCTGGAAGTCCTCAAAGTCGTCCAGCGGATTGGCAGGGGTAGCAGGGGTAGCAGGTTTGGCAACGGCGGGGGTTGAAGCTGTCGACGCTGTTTCTGTTTCTTTGAGCTTCGCAGTGACGGATTTTCGCAGATACACTTCTATCTCCCCGATGACGCGCAAAAGACCGTCGAGGTCGCTTTTTCGGGACACAAAATTGGTGAGCTTCCAGAGTTGGAAAAAAACCGAGTCGCGGATCAGCTCTGCCACATCGACCTCGTTCTTCGCGACAGAGATCGTCGCCGGAGACTTGTTGAGCTTATGAAATATGCTCTCGTACAGCCGCACCATGTTCATGAGCAGATTCGCGTTCTTGAAGTTCGAGGCGTGCGTGTTCTGTACCAGTGGCAGCAGCTTCTCGACGATGATGTAGTTGTCTATGTTTTTCTCCTTCATGCCGCTGATCATGAGCACGAACGCGTCGATGGTGAGGTTTTTGATTTTCAGCGAGCTTGTTGTGCTGAACAGCTGGCAAACAGCCGGGAAAATCTGCGTCGTGATGGTGGAGTACGTTTGGTATTTGAGGAAAACGGAGAGACTGGTGAGCACCTTGTCTTGGAGCTGGACGGTGTTGGGGTCGTTGCTGGCAACCATGGACTTCTCGAAGAGTTTGTTCAGCAGTCTCTGGAACAGCTGTGTGTGTTTTGTCCCGAGATCAGTCTCGTTTGCGCCGAGTTTCGTCTTGATGGTGTCAATGTTCGAGACCAGCAAAAGGTCGTAGCTAGGCATGTTCTGCTCGTTTAGGATCCTGTTGATCAGCGGGAAGATCTTGTCGCTGAACGTGAGCTGCGAGAGCTGGCTGCTGAGAATGAGCAGGTTCTGCGACGCCACAATAATGACTTTCTGGTCGTCCTCGCTCACGCTCTTGGCAGAAAGCAGCGGCGTAATCAGATCAGAAAGCACAGGAATGAACTTGTTGATGAGAAGAGCACGCGGAAAGCTGGGGAGGTCTTTTGTCAGATTTGCAAGGTACTCGATCTTCTCCTGCTGCGAGAGTGTTGGGAACTCGTCTATAACGTTGAGGATCCGGATGAGGTCGTTGTTGAAGATCTTGGACGCCAAAAGGTCGTCGACGGTGAGCGGGGTCTGCAGCATGAGCACGTCCTTGTTCGACTCCTGTGTGTCTTTGAGCAGGCGGATGAAAATGTCGATGTAGTTTCTGGGAATACTGTTGAAGCTGGCATGGCTGTTCAGGTTCGCAGAGCCGAGGATCTGTTTGAGCTTGTTGAACGTGCGCTCGTACTCCAACAGGCTCGAGCTCGAACAGTCCAAGAGCGACTTTCCGTCGTTGAACAGATAGAAAATGAGACATCCAACTGAGAACAGGTCGTTGATGTAATCGACGTTGTGTTTGAGCAGCAAGTTGGGCGATGAGTAGCGGAACTCGATGCTCAAAAATGACGGCAGGCGCGAGTCCAGCGGATCAACGTACTTCTCCTGGATCTGGTTTTCCATCACCTCGATAAACTGCATCCCAGATATTTTCCAGTCGAAATTCTCGGTAATAAAAATAGAGCTAGGCGTCAGGTTCATGTGGACGGTGTGGACGCTCTGGTGGAGAAACTTGAGAGCCGACGCTATTTGTAAAAGCCCCTTCGTGATGATGATCTCGTCCAGATCAGACTTGTTGAGCGTCGCCAGATCATCAACCACATACTCTGTAACAAACAGCATCCTGTTTTTGTGGTCTTCCAGAGGCTCAATCACGGTTAGGAAATTCGGGTGCTTAAACTTGGACAGATTGCCTACGTAGTTGCGCAGCGCAGTGCAGACATCGTCCATGATCATTGAGCGGTTTGTCCTGTTGAGAACCCCGTTGGCTTGGAGACGGGCCTCCAGGTCCTTCTTGCTAAACTGCCACACGGAAACCTTCTTCTTGGTTGTGCGGTGCTTGGCTGGATAGATTGTCCATGTGTTATTGGAGACGAACAGCGGATTCGCCGAGACGGAATAGCTCGATTCGATTCCGGTCCCTTTAAATACTTTGAACATTAAACAAGAAATAAATTGAGTACAAAATAAAACTAAAAAAATATTTCCGTCTACACTATCGCACACTTGTCCGGCTTCGAGTACTGTTTGGCCGGCTTTTTGTCCTTGTGTCTCTCGCGCCTGGCACGCTCAGCCTCGTACTCCTGCTGGATGTTGCGCGCGAGACGCTCATCCTCCTGGCTCTGCAGTTGCGCAGCCAGCTGTTCGTCTGCTCCCGCAACGGGAATGTCCTCGTAAACAGCCTCCTCCGCGTGTTCCTGCGGCTTGTCGGACTCGTCCTCACGAACCTCGAAGAAGCCGTTCAGCAGCTCGTCGTCCGACCCCTTCACGGTCTTCAATTCCTCCCAAACAATGCCACTTCCATAGCCCTCGTCGTTCGCCAGCAGATACAGCCTGTTCTCGAGCTTGTACAGCGTGTTGAAATGGTCGTTGCGGAAGAATATCACAAACGCGTTGTTCGGAACCAGCTCGGAGTCCTGCTTGAGCGTCTCGAGCCCGGCCTCCGTCAGCTGCGTGCTGTTCTGCGCCAGAAAGTCTCTGTACAGCACGTACTTGCGCAGCACCTCCCGCTCTGCGTCGTCGACCTCGAGCGCCAAAACCTCGCTCGCCGACATTGTCTCCAGCGCCACGTCGCTGTGCCTGTCTATCACGCTGATCAGAAAATCCTGGATCTTGTCAAACGTGTCGTACTCGGCCCACGGCTCCGTCATAAGAAACCCGTGCACCATCTTGAGGTCAAAGAGGTCCAGCAGCTGCAGGATGCTGGCTGTCTGGTCCTCGAAGTCGGCCACGACGGCGTTGTCGAGCTTGAGGTTCACGTTGAGGCCCGTGCCGAGCTGCGGCAGCACGTTCAGAATGGCCCCGATGTCCGCGGCGTCGCCTCTTGTCTCGTTGAGCGTGAGCATCAGATGGGTCAGCTCGTTGAGCAGCGCGCTCAGACTGACTTCTCTGGACAGCAGCATCTTCTTGAGCGAGATCAGCATGCTTGGCGGGATGCTGTTTCCGGTCTTCATCGATGTGCGGGACCCCTTTTTGCCCACCGTGCTCCACTCCTCGGAGGATATCTCGCTGGACAAGATCAGGGTGTTGACAAGGGAGATCACGAAGCACGGCCCGTTCTGGTTCTGCATGAGGACGTTGTTCATGTGGTACTGGCCCAGCCAGTCGCGCCAATTGATTGTTTTTGTGCGGAATTTGAGGTCGTCCATGAGAAAGGATTATTTGGGACCGATAGTTTTTTTGTGGGGCGCAGCGTGCTTGGCGGGGAGACAGCACGCGCTGGAGCATGCTTTGGGCCTGAAAGCACATACTCGGGATTTTTCTGCTACGCTACGAAATGAGATGCGAACTACTATGGCACCAATGTGCGGCTGCATACAGATGTATTTATTAAATATTAATTCAGCAAAAAAACACTAAAAATGTTTTATCGACTGCTGGCGGTCCCTGCTCGTTGCCGTCGATTCGGGACATTTTCCCGTCTGCGGAACGAGGCACTGCCGCTCACCTCGGACTCCCAACAGTATGACCAGGAATACCGCGTGATTGAGCTTTTGAAAAGCATCAGTCCCAAGCCGGTGCCCAGATCAGAGTTCCCCTACAAGGAGGCTGCCAACCGGTCGAAACGGTCGCTTTTGCCGCGCGTGCCCGAGATGAACAAGCAGACCGTCAACACGTACGTCCATGAGCTGACCAACTATACGTATGCTCCCGGAACCCACAAGCTGATCAGGGAATTGCTGACGCAGATCGTCGACTCGACACCGGAGCTGCTCTCCAAACAGTCTTATCTGGACATCGTGCAAGACCTGCATTTTTACCTAGACGACGCTGCGGCAGAACAGACCATGGACCGTATGGAGGAGTCCACGGCGTTCAAACGCGACATCGACTTCCACAACGTGATGATGGCCTTTACGGTGGGGAAGACCACGTACGATGCCAGAATTGAGCGACTCCAAAACCTCAAAGAGCAAGGGGTCGCTGCAAACGCCAACACGTGGTACTATCTTTTCCGTGCACTCAGAACCAACTCCAAACGGTTCGAGCTGCTCGAACTGATGCCCGAGTACGGCGTCGACCAGGAACCGGTGTTCCGCAGCGCCGTCCACAGCCTGTCGAGAAATTGCGGGTACGACGAGCTGATCGACTTCTACGAACGAAACGGCTACACTCTGGACAACATCGACACTTATCTGATGAACAAGCTCTGCCGGGCCTGTCTGAACGAGGACAACGTTGCCGAAGCGTTCGAGCTGGTGCACGGCATGCACACGTCAGGACGAGCCATGGTCAACCTAGGAACGTTCTCTGCTTTCAACACCTATTTCCTCGGTAGAAACGAGATCTACAACTGCGTTGCGTTCTGCCACAAGTTCCAGTATCAGTTCAAAATGAAAGCGAGCCACATCCTTGCATACGAGCTCATCGACAAATATCTGACCAAATGTACATATTTCGAGCACTGGCCGCAGCTCACGCGGTACATGGTGCACATACTCACGCACAACACGGCCCACAAGAACTTCCTCCAAGGCAGACATTTCAAACTTCTGGCAAACTACGCTCGAATCCACGGACTTAAAGACTTTGTGTGCAGAGCAGTGGAGCCTCAGGACCTGGCGTTCGGCCAGGAGATGTGGAAGGTTCTGCACTGGCCCGGACAAGTGATTCCGTCGTCGCTGGACCAGAATAGCGAAGAATTCATCGAAATGGCCAAACTCATCTCACCACCCCCAAAAACAGACAAGGACCTAAACCCTTCAGATATATTAAAGTCTAGCTAGCATAAATATATTGCGGACTGTAAATAGCAATATGTCTCATAAAATGTATTAAACCTGTATTAAGTTTGTCTGATCCTCTTCTTGTCCTCTGAAGACGGCGAGCTTTCTCTTCTCTTCTTGCCTGAAAACGTGCTGGCCCGCGAAGACGCGGAGTCTGTGTGGGATTCGTTGGACTCTTGCCGGGAAGGATTGTAGATCTCGCCATAGTTGTCGTCAGTGGTCAAAGACGGATCGACACCGCCGTTCGGGGTCTGCGGAAGTAGAAAATCGTCCATTCTAAAGTCATCCATAAGCGGCTGCTGGTTAGCGTTGATCTCATCGGGGAGCTTTGAGCTGGCCAGCCGCGAGATCCAGTCGTTGATCTGCCGGATCGAGCTCTGCTGCTTGTCCAGCTGCTGGTTGATGTTTCCCATGAGATACTCAGGAGGCATGTTGGCGTCTATGTCTTGTTGCAGAGGACTAGCAGAGGACAGCGCGGACGGAGTTGCGGGAACGGAGGAGTGCGGCACTTGCGTACTAATCTCGGGGAAGTAAGAACGAGGCGAATTGGCCATCGAAACGGGCGACTGGAAGTTCGGTAACGGATGTTGGAACTGCGGCGTTCCGTGGAGTGGATACGGCTTATAGCCGTCAAGCTGTTCGTTGTTCTGGTTCTCGGGCCCTCTGCGAATCTCCTGGATAGGCGAGTCGCTGGCATCCGATCCGTTGTAGATGCTCTGGCTGCTGGATGTGTCTCTCGAGGTCGACTTGGACCCATTATTGTGTGCCCTGTGGGTCAGCATCAACCTGCTGTTGCCCTTTTGAGGTTGGTAGTACGAGCTAGGTTGCTGGTGGTGCATCTGCTGCTGCATATCGAAATCGGGTCCATGTGGGTTGTGTTGCTGTTCCTGTGCGTCTCTTTTCGAGGCCATTTCGAGAAATTCGTTGGGAGCACCTCCTGCGCTTTCCAGAAACTTGGACGACCCGCCATACAAGGTGACAAGGAAACGCAGGATCTTGTCGAGAGTTTCCGATTGAGCCTTTTGTCTTTCTCTAGCCATGTAGTTCTCTTTCCATAGTAGCTCGTTGTCCTGAACGAGTCTACTCAGGTCGTCAGCTATTATTCTCTGTTTCTGCTTCATCGACTCCAGCTCCATCAGCAGGGTGTTGATGTCGATGTCGTCGTCCTCCTCTTTGGAGGACCGGTTTCTAACTATGTTGTCCAACAGGTTCTCCTTGCCCTTGATGAAGTTTGGGTTTTCGAATTGCCAGACTTCATCGCCCTGGACGAGGGACCCTGAGTTGACGTCCTGTATTTTGTGCCAGCCGTACATGTTTAGCTGTCTCACAAAGGAAGCAAAGTTGTTGTGTTTGAAGTACTTGGGCAACACATGTCTCATAAAGCTTTCTCTGTCGCTCACCTGGAAGGCCTTTCCGTCAGGTAGCCAGGAGATGTATTTGGAGTTGGAAGGATCGTTGACCATGTTCCATAGCTTCATGACAAAAGCGGGCCGCTTCGGAGGTCCCGACATCTGGTTCTGGAGCTTCTTAGGTTTGGGTTTCTTGAATTGCAAAGACTTCACGTTCGAGTTAGTCGTCCCAGACGGCAATTGAGGGCTGTCATAGTACGGCAATGACGCAGGAGCGTTGTACCTCGAAATCATGTAGTTACTTCCGCTGATACCGTTTGCATACGGATTAATATGCCGTGCATCTGATTTGATGGAAATGGACGGTTGCGGCGACGTGACGAGCGGAGTATGCGGAATATGGTCTCCGGTGTTGGACTCATCGCCCAAAGAGGGCACATCTGATATAGGAAAAGGGTATAATCCATTGGACGTGTTGTTGTTTGTGGGAGTCGTGCCTGTAGCGGTGGAAATTGGATCTAAATGTTCATTGTCCGTGAGGTTTGGGATGGAATCAAACTGGTTGCCTCCAGACTTGTCTGTGATTTCTTCGATCTGTGGGGAGCCGTGCAATTGATCAACAACCTCGCCGGGGTTCACGCTTGGTCGGAAAGCGCCCATGAATGTGTGGATGAAAGGTCAGGGTTTCTTGGGAAGGCTTTAGACATAAACCTGTATGTTGGCTACCCGGCCTTGTCTCAGCTCGATTACTGCGTGTGCTTGATGTTTGTGCTCTTTGGCTCCAATTGGTGCGCGCAGAGGGGGACAAACTGGGGTCGGTGTCAAGAACAGTGCGATTTGGACGGACAAATATACGTAGCTGGCAGCCTTGAACGCAGAATACAAGCCTCGTTAGGAGTTGATAATTGGGAAAACAAAAAGGGAAATGAAGTTTGCTAGAAATTTCCACGAGGTGCAGGGTGTGCGGGCGCCGGCTGACCAGTTTCACTGAAAATTTTACCGTCCGCCGGGAACCCTGCAGCCGCCCCGCGGTGGTGTACGGATGTGCTGCGTTCCATGCTACTCTATCTATGACGACGCCGTGAGGCCGCCGGGAACCACTTTGAACGACAGGATGTCGTTCTTGCCCGCGTCGACCGTGTCGTCGACGCTGATGCGCTTGCCCTCGACGCCCTCGATCGCCGCGATCGTCACCTCGCCCATGATCTGTCGTGCCACCTTGCCGACGCTCGTGCCCTTCTTGACCAGCGTGCAGTCTCTGAACACGTGATCGCCAGAGCTGCCCGTGAACGTGTGTATGTTCCGCACAGTGAAAACGGGCACCAGGTCCAGGATCTTCACCGCCTCCTGGAGCGCCTGCACCACGCCTGTGGAGCCGAACCGGAACAGCACCAGGTCTCTGATGTTCTCGATCCGCTGCATTAGCTTCTCGTCCAGCGGCCTCAGCCCGCTGTCCGGGCCCAGATCCTCGAGCGTGTCTATAAACTCTGTGCCCTCCTCGTACCGGATATAGTTCTGCTTGGCCAGCCGGCGCAGAAACACCTCTGTCACGGCACTGGTGAGCACTGCCCTGGAGTCCGGGTACTTCAGCAGGATCTTGCTCACGTTCTTGTCTGCGTCGGGATGGTCGATCTTGTTCAGCGCCAGCACCGTCGGGAACTTGAACTTCATGAAGTGCTGCACCACGGTGGTGATCCAGCGGTCGTCCCATTGCTCCAACGGCGGCAAGTTCGGGATCGAGTCGACTGCCCGGGCGATCAGGCTTGCGGAGGCGCCGTACCCGCCGAACTGCGCGCGCAACGTATCAACGACCGACGACTTGGTGGCCGTGTGTCTTCTTACTATGGACCCCCATCTTTTTTTCAGGTTGGTCTCGATCCACAGCCGGATCTCGTCCTGCAGCCACTCCACGTCCTGCACAGGGTCGTATCCGCGCGTGGCCTTGCCCTCTGCGTCGGTCGTCCCAGAAACGTCGACGACGTGGATCAGGGCGTCGGCCTGGCGCAGGTCGTCGAGAAACTTGTTCCCGAGCCCGAGCCCCTGCGACGCGCCGGGAATCAGCCCGGCCACGTCAAGTAGCTCGACCGGCACGTGCCGTTTCCCGCCGGAACACCATCCGTAGTTCGGCTTGCACAGGTCCTGCTTGCCGAACCGCGCACACGCACAGTCCACCTGGAGATACCCCGTTGCGCGGTTCGGGTCGATGGTCGTGAACGGGAACGCGCCGATCTTGGCGTTTGCGTCGGTCAGCGAGTTCAGCGTCGTCGACTTGCCGCTCGACGGCTTGCCGACTATTCCGATGAGCGGGTCTCTTCCCATGAATGAATTACTTTTCAATTATTTTATTTCAATTTATTTTCTCCATTGATTATTTTAATCCAAATTATTTCCCCCATCTAATTATTTTAATCCAATTTATTTTCCCCGTGGCATGTCCCTCCTAGCATTCCAATCGCTCTCTGCAGACGAGAAAATAGAGCAGATCGACTCGATCAAGCTCGCCGTGCTGGGCAACGACAGAGAGAAGGCCAAGCTGCACGACAGCTTCGGCGTTCTGGGCGAGATCCTGCTGACCGAGTCGAACAAGACGCTTCTGCAAAACACAGCAATCATCGTCCAGTCGTTCAGCTACCTGCGCACCAACGTCGAGTTCCTGCTGCGGTTCGACATCTTCGAGGTGCTCGTGAAAAGCACGATCCGCTACCCGGCCGTGTTGGCAGAAATCAACTTCCGCACGCTTATCGACCTGCTCTCCACAAATTCGCTGTCGGAAAAATACCACGACGAGCAGGAGTACGCGCAGTTTGTCGGCGTCCTTGCAGGCATTCTGCGCGACCCGGCCGCGTCGCCCGCCCTGCTGTTCAACACGTACCTGCTGATTCCGTTTCTGCGCCGCACCGAGCTGCTTTGGCAGCTGTACCGGCCGCTCATGAGACGGCTGGCCCGGGTCGTTTCGCCGGTCTTCCAGCAGACGTTGCAGCTCAACTGCGCCACAGGTGACCTGTCAGTGCTCAAGCGGTTTCCCGAGTGCGTCGAGCTGCCGCACACGCTGCCGGAACACGCGTTCGAGGCGCTGTCGAACGACCTGAGTCCGCCGCTGTATGCTCTCGCACACCTTTTGGCCGTGGTCGACCGCGCCGACCTGAGCCTGCCGCTGCCGCTGTATTTTGTGCTCACGGCGTTCCTCGGCTCGTACGACCTCAACGTCAAGCTCAGCAGCGTCAACGTGCTGGTGCAGTACACCAAAAAGCATGTGCGCAACCCGAAGGAGAAAACGGCGAGCCACGCGCGGCTGATCGACGCGCTCGTCCATCTTATCAGCCGCACCAAGGACTCGCACGGCCCGGAGTACACGCTGAGCTCGAACTACAAGATCCCGCGCACAATGTCGCCGCTGTACCTGCTGTCGCAGATCGCCGAGGAGGACCCGGGCAACAGCGACTCGCTGGTGGAGGTGAACTTTGTCGACACGATCGCGTCGATCGTCACGGCAAACTACAGCTCCGACCGCACGTTTCTGGACGAAGACACCCTGTACAAGATCTCGGACTCGCTGCTGATTCTGAGCTGCATCGCCGGGCTGCGCGAGGACTACCGCGAGCTGGTGATCCGGTACGACGTGGCGCCCGTGATTGTGGACTCGATCACGCGGCACGCGAAGATCTACCGCGAGCTGGACGGCCGCACGCCCTCGCCCGGGGACGTGGGCGTGCTCAAGCTGTCGAACCGCATCACGCTGTCGAGCTGCTACCTGCTGCGGTCGCTGTCGCGGTCGGCCAGTCTGCTGCGCACGTACCTGGTGGAGCTGAGGCTGGTGCGCAAGCTGGTGGACCTGCTACACATCCCCGACGACATCATCGAGAACTGTCCGGACGAGCTGCGGCTGGACGAGATCCGGCTCAAGTCGGTGGTGCTGGGCATCGTGTCGAACTCGATCGTGGAGTTCTCTGCCGTCAAGCACGAGCTCGCGTCCGACGAGCTCGCGCTGCTGCTGCACCGGTTCATCTACGAGTCGCGCTACGACTCCCTGCGCATGAACTCGCTCTGGGTGATCAAGAACTCGCTGTTTGGCGGCAACCGCGAGTCGAAGGAGAACTTCCAGACGACGGTCAGTCTGGACAAGATCTTCGAGCTGTGCGGCGACGCGAACGAGCGGATCCAGGAGCACTCGTTCGACATTCTGCGGAACCTGGCCGTGGGCCATTTCAACTACGCTAATAAAATCATGGCGGACTTTGCGGCGTCCGAGCTCGCCCGACGCACGGGCCAGTCCTCGTTCCTGGACTTTCTGTGCGCGCACCTGGAGAAAACGTCCAACCCGGACGTCATCGTGGCCATTGTCTACGTGGTGGTGCATCTGGCCGCGTCCAACGAGAACAACCGTGCACTCATTATGTGCAACCAGGGCCTGCTTAAAAAACTGGTCGCGTTCCTGGAGTACTCGGAACGCGTGCCGGACGACGAGGACCACTGGAAGATTCGGCTGAGCGTGGTGTGGGCCGTGCTGAATTTGAGCTGGCGCGAGGAGACCACGGGGTCCGACCTCGACAACGACGACGACGACAGCGCCGAGGACATGGACGTCGACGCGGGCGACGGGTCCGAGTTCCGCCGCTTCCTGAGCCCGAAGAACCGCGCGCTGCGGCTGATCGAGCTTGGGTTCTACGACGCGATCCGCACGCTGAACAACCACTGCACGATCTCTGACTTCAAGGAGCGCGCGCGGATGGCCATCTTCAACCTCGTGCTGTACGAAAACAAGAACAAGAGCTGAGTTTCGGAGCTGTATGAGGGCTGTCTCAGGTCTATTTATAGCATTTGCCGCGAAATTGGGCCCGTTCTCGACGCACTGTGCCTGGTTGCAAAATTCCTTTGAGGTCCGAATTAGGAATGCCGGATCTGGAGCTAAAAAAAAAAATCTAGCCGGGCTCCCAAATCGGGGCCTCAAAGGACGACGTCTGAATATTTCAGACGTCTCATATTTCGAAACAGGACTTGCGGACCAGACTATATAAGGCTGGGCGGCCAGATGACGGATAACAAACCATGAGATTCCAGTTTTCGCTCGTTACACTCCTTGCCACGGCTCTGGCAGAGGAGTACACCACGCTCACTTCGAAATACTGCTACGCCGGCGGCCTCGTCTGCAAGACCACCACAGACTATGGCTCAGTCACCACCGTCACGGCCAATCGCGCAACCGTGACCACGTATGTCCCTGTAAGCTACGTTCCAACACTGGTTACCGTGGATGGTAAGGAGACTTGGCAGCAGGTCAGCTACTCGACGTCTGTCGACGACTACGGCCAGTCGACGGTCGTGGTGACCTACTGCGACATCTCGTCGCAATCTTCTTCCAGCAGAGTCACCTCCGTCGTGTCCTGCAACGTGCCTTTCACACAGACCGAGGATATCACCATCACGACGACTGCAGGGGACGGTCACGTGAGCACAGTCACGGGCGCCACCACCTACGTCACCTCAAGAGCTTGTCCAACCACGCTAACGTGCGAGACGTGCGAGAACACGTCCTCTACGTCATCTTCATCCACCTCGTCTTCATCCACCTCGTCTTCGTCCACCTCAACTTCATCTTCATCCACTACGTCGTCCACCTCGACTACATCTTCCACATCGTCGTCGTCAATAACTACCTCATCCACTTCATCCACTTCATCCACACTGTCTTCCTCTCTCTCTTCCACCACATCAACCTCCTCCACCTCCACTTCCTCCTCCACTTCCTCCTCTACTTCCTCCTCTACTTCCTCCTCTACATCAACCTTCTCCTCCTCCACCTCCACTCACTCAACGTCCACAAGCTCAACTTCCACGTCGTCGACATCGTCAACGTCTTCCACCCCATCCTCCACATCCACCTCGCCGTCTTCATCGTCTTCATCGTCTTCATCGACCACATCATCTACCCCATCGAGCTCCACCACCAGCTACATAACCTCTTCCACTTGGACACCCACCCCGTCGAGCTCCTCTCCATCATCGAGCACAAGCTCCTCCACAAGCACATCCAGCACAAGCTCTGTCCCCTCCTCCTCCACACTTCTCTCCACATCCCGGTACAGCTGCAACCAGCCCTACGTGACCACTGCCACCGTCACCGCTGGCGGTTCCGTCTCCCTGTCCACGTACACCACGTCGTCGGCCTGCCCAACCGTCACCGAGTCCACCACCGCCACAACGTGCACAGAGTGCAACAAAGACGTCCAGGTGAGTTCGCAGCCGACGCCAGTCCAGTACAGCAGCACGTGGGTGACCGAAGTGTCTGCTTCCACCACGACGGAAAAACTTTGTACCGAGTGCAAGACCAGCGAGGCGGTGGTGGAGACGACAGTGACGAACGAGACGACGACGTACGTGACTACCTGTCCAGAGTCCAGCGAAACCACACAGCAGCCAGAGACCACGCCAGCGAGCTCCACGAGCTTTTCGTCTCCAGCCACATCCACAGGCACGGCACCAGCCACCTCGAGCTCCTCGCTGGCAGAGACAAGCAAAGCGGAAAGCACATCGGAAAGCACATCGGAAAGCTCAGCTGAAATCTCAACACCACCTCCAGAGACCCCCTCCGAAACACCTGCGTCAGTCCTCTCGTCTACACAGACTCCAGCACAGGCAACAGGCTCAAGCTTTGAGACTGCCGCGTCTGTGGTCTCTACACCTCACACCAAGATCTCGATTACGGTGGTGAAGACGTGCACGGAGGAGAAGTGCCAGCCGCAAACGACCGCCAGTTCTGCGGTGCAGTCCGGCTCAACGCTGGCCTCGACCCTGCGCACGTCCACGAGTCCCGTTTCCTCGATCCAGCCGCTGTCGTTCTTCCAGGGCGCAGCAGCGTGTGTCTCGATCTCGTATTTCTCGTTCTTTTTGCTTCTCGTCCCATTCATATAGTTATACAATGCAATAGCAATCATTCACTTTCTATCTCCATCACCGCGTCGTCGTCGTCGCTCGAGTCCTCGCCCTGCTTCAGGTCCTCAGCGATCATGTCCAGGTCTCTCTTGTTGTCCTCGCCAATGAACTTGAGGTTTCTGCTCGGCTTGTTGATCGGGGTCTGGAACGCAGATCTCTGCGGCAGCGGCTCGTCCAGCAGCTGTTTGTTGTTGATGTGCAGATTGCTTTCGAGCGCCTTGTTCAGCAAATCCAGCGCGATAGGGTCGTTGGGCTGGATCGACAGCGCCACGTGCAGCGTCTCGATCGCCTTGGCGATCTTGCCCATCTTGAGATACAGCAGCCCAATCGCAGAGTAGATGTTGACATCCTTGCGCGAAATGCGCAGCACCTTGTTGAAATGGCTGAGTGACTTGTCCAGCATGTTCAGCCGTCTGTACACGTGACCAAGGTTGCAGTGGATCGACGACCATGCCTTGGCGTTCGAGTCCAGCGTGCTGGCAGCCGCGAGCGCTTTTTGGAAGAAAGTCTCGGCCTTGGCCAGCTGCACGCGCCGGTAGTGCAGCACGCCGAGCTCGTTGAGCAGCAGCGGGTCCGTCGGGCAGATCGAGTACGCCGACATGAGGTATTCTTGCGAAAGCGTGAGGTTGTTCATCTGCAAATATTGCATGCCCAGAAACAAGTTTGGAAGGTGGATGCCCGGGAACAGACGCGACGCGGTGGCGTAGGCGCTGATCGCCTGTTCGTGCTCTCCCTCTGCAGCAAACGTGTGCGAAAAGCCGATCCACGCCGGCCCAAAGTTCGGGTTGATCATCGAGGCTTTGGAAAAGAAGACTCGCGCCTCATTGGTCTTCTTGATCGAAAAGTAGTAGATACCAATGGCCAGCCATGTGATATGGTGATTGGGGTAGTTTTCCGCCAGCTTGTGGGCCATCAGGAACAGTCTGTTTTTTCCTCCAAGCTCGTGCAGACAGCTGAGATAATTAGGCAGCACAGAGAGGTTGAGCTCGTCGTGTTTGATGATCTGCTCGCACAGGTCGAGACACTGCTGGAACTTGCACTGAATGAACAGCAGGTCGGCACGGCTGAGCAGAATATCCAGATTCTCGCCCAGACTGTACTCCTCCTTGAGCCGCTGCTCCGCCTCCTCGAAGGTGGCGACGTTCTTGTACTTGTTGAGCCGCGTAGTGTAGAGCAGCTTCACGAGCTCGTTGTTGTTGTCTGCGTCGTCGAAATTCAGCTCGCTCAGGAGCTCCCACTCCTCGTCGGGCGACATCAGATGGTTGCTTATGAGCTCGTTGAACGCCTCAAAACACTTCACGTCCACCAAGACCGCCTCTTTGTAGCACTCTTTGGCCCTATCGAAATTGTTCTGCTTGCTGTACGCGAGCCCGCGCAAATAGCACATCGACGCCTCCAGCTTCACGCCGCCGTCCGGGTTCTTCACCGAGTGGTCTGTCTTGAACGGGTTGACCTCGCCTATGACGTCCAGCGCCTCGTCGTATTTTTCGAGCTTGACCAGACACAGGCCCGCGAGGTATCTGCAGCTCACAGACTCCTCAAAATGCGGGCCGGACAGCAAATTGCGTGCGATCTGGTAGTTTCCGTTGGCAAAATGCACCTGGGCGAGCCAGAAGGCGTCGTTGGGGTCGCCCGTCAGCGACAGCACCTTGTCCCCGATGTAGATGGCTGTGTTGTAATGGTGCTGCATCAGGGCGTCGTGGCGCCACAGCCGCAGCTTATCGGCCTGTGTGAGCGGCGTCTCCTCGTCGTCATCCTTGCTGGTCAGCGTGCTGAGCTTGCTGTTGACGGACTTGGACACGTTGGGGGACGAAAATACCCGGTGATGGGCGTTCTGCTGCGGGTTGACGGTCTGGCCAAGCAGGTTGGGTGGTGTCTGGAAGTAGTCCTTGGACCGTTTATTGGTTATGAGCGGCGAGATCGTAAGCGTCGACGTGTTGGGGCTGTTTGTGGACATGGATTTGTGCGACTCGAAAGAAGGATCAGTGTGTTTTGTTTTATTTTATTTTTATTTTTTTCGACGCGTCGACTTGTGCGGTTTTTTCCCAGTCAAAAATGACTGATTTATTTAAAAAAGTCATCTAATTTACTTTTAGCCATGGCCAAAGTCGTTCTTCATCTGAGAGCAGAAACAAAGCCCCTGGAGGCCAGAGCAGCCCTCACGCCTTCAACCACAAGGGAGCTGCTGGACACCGGCGATTTCGAGATCTACGTCGAAAAGTCGTCCCAGTCCATCTTCGACTGGAGGGAGTACGAGCAGGCAGGAGCCCACATTGTCGAAGAGGGCTCGTGGGTCAACGCCCCTAAGGACAGAATCATTCTTGGGCTGAAGGAGCTGCCAGAAGAGTCGTTCCCGCTGGTCCACGAACACATTCAGTTCGCCCACTGCTACAAAGACCAGGCCGGCTGGAAAGACGTTCTGTCCAGATTCCCTGCTGGAAACGGTGTTCTGTACGACCTCGAGTTTCTGGAAAACGACCAGGGCAGACGTGTTGCCGCGTTTGGTTTCTACGCCGGCTTTGCAGGTGCAGCGTTGGGCGTTGAGGACTGGGCTTTCAAACAGACTCACCCAGACTCCGAAGATCTCGGCGGTGTGAGCCCATACCCAAACGAGGCCGCGCTCGTGGCCGATGTCAAGAAGATGCTGGACGAGGGCGTTGCCAAGGCCGGCAGAAAACCTACAGTTCTGATCATTGGCGCTCTGGGCAGATGCGGCTCGGGAGCCATCGACCTGTGCCGCAAAGTTGGTATTCCAGACGAAAACATCATCAAGTGGGATATGGCCGAGACCGCGAAGGGTGGACCGTTCAAGGAGATTGTCGACGCCGACATTTTCGTCAACTGTATCTACCTGTCGAAGCCAATTCCTCCGTTCTGCAACCTGGAGACCCTGAACGACGAAAACAGAAAGCTGAGAACCATCGTCGACGTCTCGGCCGACACTACCAACCCGCACAACCCTATCCCTGTGTACACGGTCGCCACGGTGTTCAACGAGCCTACAGTCCGGGTCGACACCACCAAGGGCCCTAAACTCTCTGTGATCAGCATCGACCATCTGCCTTCGCTGCTCCCAAGAGAGGCGTCCGAGTTTTTCGTCCGCGACCTGCTTCCTTCGCTGAAACAGCTGCCTCAGAGAGACACTGCGCCGGTCTGGACACGTGCCAAGGCGCTGTTCGACAAACACGTCGCCAGATTGAACAGTCAATAGATTTTTTTATAAATTAATATTTACTCCCGTTCCACCTTGAGCAGTTTTTTCTGCCGTTTCTTGATCTTTTTCCTGTCCTCGCGACGCACAACCACCTCGCCGTCGCTCTCATACTCGCTCTCGGCCTCCTTTTGCAGCGGATCGTGGCGCGGTTTGAGCGCTTTCTCCACGCTCTCGTTCACGGTAGCAACCACGTTCAGCCGCTCTCCAGTATCGTAAACGGCCACCTGGTCCCGGACGCTCAGGTCCCAGACGACGATCTTGCCGTCCGACGAGATGGACACCAGATACGACTTTGTCTCGTTCTCTTTCTTCTCTCTGTAGATGGAGAAATCCTTGACCCGGTTCGCGTGGCCCTGCAGCCCGAACTCGGGCTTCTCAAGAGGCTCTGTCTCCTCGTTTCCCTGTGTAATTTGTGCCACGTCGTAAAACTGTATCGTGCCATTTCCGTTCGCTAGAACGAGATACTCCTTGCCGTCCAGCACCAAAAATTCCATCTGCATTAGTGTCTGCTTCAGCTGGAAAATAGCCACGATTTTGGCCTCTCTAGTTTGGTACACCATCAGTCTATTGAGCAGCCCAACAACGAAGAACTCGCCGTCGCTATTGAAACGGACCAGATTGGGCGACTGACCGTGTGTGAAAACTCCCTTGAGCTTCATCGCAGACGCCTTTTTGGCCGTCATTAAATTCCACAGTCGAACAGTCTTGTCGTCGCTCACAGAGATGGCCACGCGTCCTGACGGGTGGATGGCCAGATCATTGACTCTCGCCGTGTGGCCCTTCAAAATGCCGAACTGCTCCCAGTCTTTCGTTCGCCAGATCACTATCTTGCCGTCCTCTGCTGCGCTCAGTAGCCATTTGCCGTTCTTGTGCGTCAGATACTCGGAGCTTTCGTCAAAGTCGTTTGAGAATACAAGTTTCGTAATCGATCCCTGGTGCTGCAGTAGCGTCCCCAGCTCTTTTCTTTTCTGCAAATCGTAGATCTTGATGTGCTCGTCGTTGGACCCAGAAACAAGGTATCTTTTAGCGATGTCGAGGGCCCTGATCGAGAGCGAGTGCGCTTGGAAGTGGAAGATCGGCTGGAACAGCGGCTGGCTGTTCTTCTCGTCAGGCAGCGTCACCGATACACACAGCAATGTGTGCTCGTACGAACCTGTGATGATGCGAAATACGGTCATAAATTTTTTATTTTTTATATTTTTTTCGTATCTCACATATTTTTCATATATTTTCAAATATTTTCGGATCTTTCTCAAAAAAAAAAAAATTGAATCACGTCAAATGCTGACAGCTCACACACACGGAGAGCTGGCTCATTTTAGCGGACCCGTGACTTTCTGAGCACTGCATTATCTCTGAGACATACCAAACACCTGTAGCATCGGCACCCTTTCATGTAGTCTCATAGAGTAATCCCAACGCGTTACCCAACACCAGCAGATGATTCTTAATCATCTCCGGGTAACCCCTGCCATTTTTTCCAATACTTTTTTTGCTATTTAAAACAAGTGGGTCCTACAATTTACAGTCCATCACAAAGCTAACAGATTTTCCTATTTTACAATTACCGTCAGGTGACAGACAAAAGTGAGAGGACGCTACTTTGCGGCACAGAACTTGTAATCGCCTTAATTACACATAAATCAAGCTACGCCCGCGCCTTCTTAGGCTACAACGCACAACAAAAACACCATGGACGGACTGCTCTCTATGAGCCCTCAGATGAGCGAGCCGATGCAGGAGATGCTCGGCGCCCATTTTGAAGACAAAGACATACTTGACGAGTTTCTGGATATGAGATTATATGACCAGGGAGCAGGAGACGAGCGCAACCACTTTGACGAAGAATTGCACGCGTTTGTGAGAAACGAGCTGTCTAGGCAAGGGTCGCACGAGATCAAGATGGAGCACGACGAGATGCCGGAATTTGTTATTCCGGAGGACACGTATAGTGACAACGTTCAAGGGGGCGGCCAGTCGGAAGAGTTTGAAATGTTTGAGAAGAGTCGCCAGCTACTGATGAAATTGAAGTTTGGCGGCTTTGCCAACGTGCCGGAATTGCCCAGCTTTGAAGAGCTTTCGGACAAGATTCAGACGAAAGGCGACTCAAAGGACGTTACCACCAGCACTCTGCCTCCTGAATATATTTCTTGCAACGACAACTTGATGTACAACCTGGAGATCAAGGAGCTGCCGTCGTCGTCGCGCGTTGAGACACAGATGAAGATTCAACTGGACATTTCTCCTCCGCCGCCACAATTTCTGCTGCACCTTCCGCGAGACACCATAGCCAAGCCTAAGCTGACGCTGGAAAATAACGAGATTCCCGAGAGTGTCAAGCCTCATATGCTCTTTCTAGACACGTTTGTGGTTGGTGCCAGCAACTCGGCCACCTCCGACGGCCAGTATCAGAAACTGAGATCGTGCAATGTTTGCAAACGCTGCATGAGAAGAGAAATGAAGCGCGCGTCGAGACGCAAACGTGGCATTGCCGAGGATTCTATCAACTGGAATTTGAACGTTCCACGAAGAGCCATCATTTTCAACACCAAGGAGGTGATCTCGTTCCCTAGACCTACTGGTAACGCCACGAACGTTAAGTCGATTGACCTGCTGACCAGAATAGTGTGCTATTGCAGACACCACCAGGAGCCGAACGGGTTCAGGCTATTTTTCGTGCTTAAGGACGCAGACGGTAACGTGCTGGGCAAAACGTTGTCTCAGCCAATTTTGATCATGGACAGGAAGAAGCTGCTAAAGGACGGCGAGCAGTCGAACTCGCCAGAGCAGGAAATGCAAGTCAAACAGGAGCCAAGAACAGTGATAAACTCGATCGACGAGTCCTCGAGCGAAAACACCAGCACCAGCGCTGCGACTCACGTGGCAATGGCCGGCTCCTCCCTAAGACAACAGACGCCTATAGCCACAGACGACTCGAGAACATACAAGCGGCAGAAGAGACATCTTTCTCCAGCGGACAGCACCGGAACCTACTACGATGCAGTCCAGCAGCAGAGATCGAGGCAGGCCCTGGGAGCACGTCAGGACTCGTTCTCGTCGAGCGTCAGCAAGAGAGACGCAAACTCGCCAATGAGCTCTGACAACCTCTCGCCGCAGAACTGTTTTGGTGTCTCTTCGGCAACGAGCATATTCTCGAGCACGCCCGAGAAGAAGGCGTCGTTTGCCAATCTCACGCAAAGCCAATCTGGAATCAACCTTGCCAGCTCGCTCAACAGCTCTTCCTCTTCCGCGCAGCAGTCAGTGCCGTCAATTCAGCGAATTATTCCTGCCCAGGGTCCTATCAGAGGTGGCATCGAGGTCACTTTGCTAGGCTCGAACTTCCGGCCGGGTCTTGCAGTCAAGTTTGGCTCTAACGTGGCGTTGGCCACTCATTGCTGGTCGGACTCGACAATAGTGACGTATTTGCCACCGGCCTCACAAGCAGGACCGGTTTTAGTCACATTCGAGGACTCTTCCAAAGAGGGAAGAACCGGAATATTGAACTCCACGTCGCAGCAAGTCTTTACGTACACTGACGACTCCGACAGACAGTTGGTGGAGCTGGCTCTGCAAATTGTGGGTCTGAAAATGAATGGAAAGCTCGAGGACGCCAAGAATATCGCCAAACGAATCATCGGAAACAACAGCTCCAGCATGCCGCAACAGCAACGACAAAAGTCACCGCAGCCAGCAGGCTACGACGACTGGGTCGAGAAGGCCACTCTAAAGATGACGGAGTTGTCCAAAACGTCTCTGAGCCACGAGGAGATGCTGCTGAAGTTCCTGTCGATGCTCAAACTGCCTAACTCGCCGATCGCCGTTCCGAATTGGGCCATATGCACCCTGGAAGGACAGACCATGCTGCACCTTGCGTGTATCAAGGGATACGCCAAGCTGTGTCGATATCTGGTGGAAAACGGGTGCAAGGTCGACACGAGAGACCTCAACGATCTTACAGCTTTGCATTATGCATTCATCAACGGACAGAGGGGATTGATCAAGCTGTTGGTGAACTACGGGGCTGTTGCGTCGATGAGGCTAGGCAACGATATCTCGCTGAAGGACGTTTCCGACTCGAATGTGCTGGATCTCTTGGACGACACGAAGGGAGCCCAGTTCCCGTCGAGCCACAGACGGTTTTCGAACGAGTCGATCGAGTCGATTTTCGACGACTACGACGAGCCGGCGTTCGACCCGAAGTTTGTTGCCGTTGGCAAGTGCGGCCTGAACAAGGCAGATTTCTTCGACAACGACTCGCCGGACGAGAGGTGGCCGGAGCAAGATGATGAGATGGAGTTCGAGGCGGACGACGAGGACGACCTGGACGCGGAATTATTGCCGGACATGCCAAAGTTCGAGAGAAAGAAGACGCGTGCTACAGGCGTGAGTCTGTGGCTCAAGATGCGCAAGGCTTTCGCGAAGAACCTGTCGTCGATCCCAGACCTGAGCGACAGCGACCAATCGGACGATGCGCGCGAGGAGATGCTTCCGTCGTACCAAGAGCTGTTCCCTACAGAAGAGGGCGAGAGGGCGCTGCTCAACTTCCAGGGACACGAGGCGGAGGCAAAGACGCAGGAGGCCGAGGACTCGTCGGAGGAGGCGTTGGAGCTGGCGCTCAAGTCGTCTCAGAAGACCTTGGACGCGGACAAGCGGTTGCTTTTCTTCTGGCTGCCGTTCATGCTGCTTTTGCTGCTGGTGATGATTGGCAGTCAGCTCGAGCTGATCACTCTGGACAACTTCACGCTGGTGTCGAACGTGATCGACGGCAGCCGCAACCTCATGGGCCGGCTGATGCTGGGCAAGGACCGTTTCACGGGGCTTTTGAACGAGAATCTGAACTACGGACGCGAGAGGGTGAACAACCTGTTGAACGACGTGAATGGCGCCATGCTCACTGCGGTGGGCGGCCGGTAAGCGGCGTGATGTATTTTGCATTTTTCTTTGCTAGTTATTATTGCACTTATTATTGCACTTATTATTGCAGCTATTATTTTTTATGCATTATTTTTACCGTTTGGCCGGGGTCCATTTTAGCTGGTTCGGCACTTGCAAGAAATATTTTTATTTTCTGACACCAGACGCTTCGATGGCCCCATTTTTCCATGTCCTCCTGGAAACTGACTGACTCTTTGCGCCGCGAGATTTACAAGCTGGCCCGTGTGCCACAGACGGGCGTGTCGCTGCGGCAGATGGTCCAGTTTGGCCCGCAGCCGTCGCCCGGATCGGTGTTCCATGCGTCCAACTTCATTGTCGAGGAGCTGCCGATCCGGCTCAGCCACCGCGTGAAGGAGCTCGAGGAGCTGCCGTCGGGGCTCAACAGCGACCCGTCGATCCAGCGCGTGCGCGACTGGTACGCCCAGTCGTTCGAGGAGCTCACGTCGCTGCCCAAGCCGTCCATCAGCGACGAGATGCGCGCAGTGCTGTACCCGATGTCGCCAGAAAAAGTCGCTGCGCCGGGCGTCCACTCTGCCGCACGCCCCACCAAGTTCGAGGACGACGGCATAGTGATCGAGCAGCTGCACGCGCGGCCCCGCGACGAGACAGACCACGCGCCCAGACGGCAGCCGACCCGGCGCGCGTACTACGTGCCCACGCCGTCGGACGTGTCGTACACCAGCGACGTGCTCGACTACAACAAGCTCGTCAACCAGACGCTCGTGAAAATCAAGAAAAGACACGACGCAACCGTCACCACCATCGCTCGCGGCGTGCAGCACTGGAAGCACAAAAATAATTTTGCGTATCTGGACGGCAGCATCAACCAGTTTCTCGACCGGTTCTACATGAGCCGGATCGGGATCCGGATGCTGATCGGCCAGACCATCGCGCTGTACGAGCAGAGCACCATGAACATCACAAACGACAACTACGTCGGCATCATCTGTCTCGACACCAACGTGATGGAGATCGCCCAGGACGCGATCGACGCGGCCCGTTTCGCGTGCGAGGAGCACTACAACATCATGGAGGCGCCCAGGGTCCAGCTCTGGGCGCCAGAAGACCTCAACTTCATGTACGTGCCGGGCCACCTCGTGCACATGTTGTTCGAGACGCTGAAAAACTCGCTCAGGGCCACCGTCGAGCACCACACCTCGCTCCACCCAGATAAGGACATCGAGGACATCGAGTTCCCGCCGGTGAAGGTGGTCGTGTCGGAGGGCAACGAGGACATCACCATCAAGGTCAGCGACGAGGGCGGCGGCATCCCGCGCTCGGTCGTGCCGCTCATATGGACGTACTTCTACACCTCTGCGAACAAGATCGTCGAGCCTGCCAACGGGTACAAGCCGCCGTTCATGGGGCTCGGCGTGGGCCTGCCGCACAGCAGACTGTACGCGCGCTACTTTTCCGGCGACCTCAAGCTCATCAGCATGGAGGGCTACGGCACAGACGTCTACTTCCACCTCAACAGGCTGTCCTCGTCGTCGGAGCCGTTGCAGTAGCAGCTTTTTTTTTTTCCGACGCTTATGTAATTCTTATAAAATCACAGAAAAACCGGGGTAGAGAAAAAGAGGGGACCCACGAGATGAGTCGTGCTTTATCCTTGGCTGTGACTGGCGCGCTCGACTTGCGCGCTCTGGGCGCAGCAGAGCTCGCGGCCGTGGTCCTGCGCCGGCCCGAGCCCATTCTGCTGCCGCGCCGCGGACGCATGGTGCGCGCAGGCGTCTTTGCACGGCAGGGCACGTACGCCGACGACTTCAGGTTCCAGCGGCTGATCCAGGCGCTGAACCAGGGCGTGCGCGGCGACTTTGCGCGGGCCGCATGTCGCGACGAGGCCGTCGTGCGCCAGTTCGTGCTCCCGCACTCCCAGAGCCGTGCCTTGAGCCGTTCTGCTGACTGGCGAGCGCAGCTGGGCCAGCTGCAAAAAACCGAGTTTGGACGGTACGTGGCGCAGCTGGTGAGCAGCGCGGACGACGAGGAGGCCGAGCGGGCGGTTCTGCGTCTTCTGGGCACCGAGTACGAGTTCTCGCACACGGCCGCCACGCTGGACGTGATCTGTCGGTATTTATACAATCGCGGCAAGTGGCGCGAGGTTGTGGCGATGCTGGACGTCTACTCGCAGTGGCGCAAGACGCCGGCCGTCGCCACGTACAACAGGGCGATCGCGGCAAAACGGCAGCTGCGCCACCGCGACGAGGACGACTTCGAGAGCTGGGTGTTTGAGCGGCTGCGTGTGCAGCGGCTGGCTCCGGACGCCGACACGTTTCTGCGCGTTTTCGAGAAACTGAGCACGCTCGACGGCCGGCTCGCGTGTCTGGGCGTGATGTCGTTCAAGCAGATCGACGTCGAGTCGCTGGTGGGGCCCGTCGTGGCGCAGGCGGCAGAGAAGCTGGGCGGAACCAGAATCGGCAAAAAATTTCTGTTCCCCAGTTGTTTGAGAGTGCACTTTTCAAAGCTGTTCTTGGCACGCATGCTGGCGCACAGCGGGCCACAGATGGCGTTCCGGTACCTGGACTGGACGCGGACGCCGCTGAGCCCGCGGCTGGTGGCACTGTTGGTGCTCTTTTTCCTGCAACGGCAGCCGTGCGAGATCTGGAACGCGGTGGCAGCAATCAACTATTTCCGCACGCACTACGGGTACAGAGTGGACTCGAAGTACGACAAGCTGCTGGTGATCAAGCCGCTGTACAACGCGGCGCGCGAACGGCAGCTGGACACACGAGTGCTGAAAGTGCTGTACCACGAGTCGTTCTGGCAGGACCGAAACGGGGCTGTGCACAGCTCTGTGAAAAAGTCCCGGCTCGAGGGAGCCGTGGCAGAGCCGCTCACCGAGAGCGACCGCGCGTGGGCACGGGACGTGATGGACATCTGCTGGCCTGTCGACCAGACGGGCGCGCCGCTGGTCGACGAGCCGGGCCAGACGTTTCTAGACAAGTCGCGTCATCTGGGCAACAATGCATACAAGATAAATATTGTTAGGTGAAATAACTTAAAATAAATTAATTCGATTAGTCATGTCGGCACATTCCACGGTCTCGCCTGGGATCACGCTGCCGGACGAGTCCCGGTCTCGCTCTGGGCTCCAGCGGGTACTCAGCCGCGCCTCCAGCGTCATAGAGGCCGTCAGAGACGAGAACGAGATTACTCGAGCGGAGACTGCTCTTGCACAGAGTTTGTACGACGGACAGTACAACGCTGCGGATCTCCAAGACACGCCGCCGGACGGCACCTTCTGGGGCTGGGTGGCGGCCGCGTGTGTGTGCAGCATCAACACGTTTTCGTGGGGAGTGAATTCTGCCTTCGGAGTGTACCTGAACTACTATCTGGAAGCCGACGTCTTTCCTGGAGCCACAAAAAGACAGTTTGCCATGGTTGGCGGTCTCTCGCTTGGAGTCAGCTTTATGTTCTGCCAGTTCGGAAACGTGCTGGCCAAACGGTATCCACTCAAGCTGGTGATGGGCACTGGCTGCGCGCTGGTGTTTGTTTCGTTCTGGCTGGCGTCGATCGCAAAAAACGTGGTGCAGCTGATGATGTTCCAGGGCCTGCTGATGGCCGTCGGGTTTGTGCTTGTGGCGGGCCCGTCTGTCGTGATTCTGCCGTCCTGGTTCCTGCGCAAACGGTCCGTCGCCGCCGGCATCGGGTACTCGGGAGCAGGGCTTTCGGGACTGATTTTCAGCCGCTCGTCCAGCGCCATCATCTCCCGCACGCACAGCCAGGTCTGGGCGCTGCGCATGATGGGGCTTGTGTGCGGGGCCATGCTGGCGGTGTCGATCGCTCTGGTGCGGCCGCGACGGCCCTTCAACTCGAAAAACACAAGCCTCTGGCGCGAGACCCGCAAACTGTTCGACTGGCACGTGATCAGAGCGCTGCCCGTGCAGTACGTGTGCGCGTGGAGCTTTGTGTACAACTTCGCGTACACCATCATGCTGTTCTCGTACTCGTCGTTCTGCACGTCGATCGGGCTGAGCAGCGACCAAGGTGCCGTCGTGCTGACGGTGCTGAACGTGGCGCAGCTCGTGGGGCGGCCGCTGCTCGGCTACGTGTCGGACGCTCTTGGCCGTTGCAACACCACCATCATCTGCTCGCTGCTGCTGGCGCTGCTCGCGGGCGTGTTCTGGATCTTTGTCACCGTGTACGCCGAGATGATTGTGTTTGCGTTTCTGTCGGGGCTGCTGCTGGGTGTCAACTGGGTCAACTTCACGCCGCTCACGGCAGACATTGTTGGGTCCGGCGGGGACCTCATGCCGGCGATTTCGTACGTGAGCATGGTTTCGGGGCTGCCGTACGTGGTCGCCGAGGTGGTGGCGCTCGAAATGGTGGACGACTCGCGCGCAAAACCGTACTTCTGGTGCCAGATCTTTGTGGTGATCACCTGCGCTGTGTCGGGGCTGCTGCTGCTCCCGTACCGCGAGTGGAAGATCCGGCGCATGCTGGCGGCGCGCGCCAAGGCTGCCGGCCACAACGACGCGCGCGCCGCCCGCTACGCGCTCCTTCTGGACGGCAGCTGGTCTGCCTTCTGTCTGCGAATGCTCTACCCGGTGAAAGCGTAGCACAGCCAGAAAATAAGAAAAAAATGTGAGTGGAAAATTTTTAACCATGTTCACGTTAGGGCTGGTGAGACGTTTCAGCGCGGGACGCGCGCTGCTGCAGTCGTCGGTTAAGGAGGGCGCGCCGCTGAACATCCACGTGTTCAAGGCGGGCAAGCCCGCCGTCGCGCTCAAGGACGAGGAGTACCCGGACTGGCTGTGGACGCTGCTCGACAAGGAGGCCCAGGAGGCCCAGCTCAAGGCCACGGACGAGTTCCGCTACATGAGAAAGCAGGCCAAGAAGCTGCACAGACAGAAACTGAAGCAGAACAATTTCCTCGCGCAGCTGCGCAAGTGAGTGTATATATGTTAAGACCGGATTGGAGAATTGTAACTCGTTTTCGCCTGAAAATCACCCGTGCACCAATTTGTGGGGTAATGTTTCGCACCTGTTTTGCGTCGCCCGGCAAGCGGGCCGTGCGCGGTCTGCGTCTTGTCTCTTCGCGCGCGTCCAGACGGCCGCCGGCTCCGCACACCGCGGGCAGCGCCAGAGAGTCGCCCTTCAGCATGCAGCTGCTCGTGATGGTCGTTGCGCTCGGGGCAGGGTTTGCCATCGGCCGCACCAGCACGCGGCAGAACCCGCCGCGCGACCTGTTCCCCGCGGGCTCCACGACGACCGTCGCGGACCTGCGTGCGAGCTCGTTCAGCTCGCCGGCCGACTACGCTCTTTTCCAGCGGTGTGTGAAGAAACTCCAAAACGAGCTCAATTTGAGCAGCGACGACGTGGACGAGGAATTGTGGCGGGTCATCACCGAAAACCCCGGCTGGAGCTCTGTGCTGTGGTCGCACAAGGACACGGACACCGCGAAAAGGTACCGGATCCGGCCCAGGGACGCGCAGCAGCTTGCCGTAGTGATGAAGCTGTGCCAGCTGTACCGCGTGCCGGTGCAGGTCGGAGTGCCCTTTGACGGGTACAAAACGGACCAGTACGGGCTGACAGTGGACCTGGGCCGTCTGGACCGCATTCTCGCGTACAACGAGCGCACACACACCGTCACGTGCGAGTGCAGCGCGGACGTGGGCTCGTTTGCGAACAGTCGCGGGCTGAGCGCGATGAATGGCGCACAGCCGCTCGACCTTGCGCTCTCGTGGCTCGGCCTGGCCGCCCCGGGCGACACCGTCAACGGATACCCGCTGGCAAGCCTCAAGAGCGCCAAGGTGGTGCTTGCAGACGGAACAACGTTCACCGCCTCGCGCGAGACGCTGCGCATCCTTGCACCGCTGGGACGCCGGTTTGCCACGGTCTGCGAGATGGAGATCGCGCTGGAGCCGCACACGGACGAGTGTCTGGTGGTGTTTCAGACCCGGAATGTGGACCGTCTGGTCGAGCTGGCCGACCACGTGGCGTCGCCGCTCACGTACGTGGGCAATTTCGGGTTTGCGCACTGTTCGTTGCAGACGGGAGAGAGCGTGGGTGTGCTCAAAGTGGACAGAAAACAGGCGCAAAGCGTGGTGAAGATGGCCCGTCGGCTCGGCGAAACTCACGTGGTGGTGCCTGTCTGCGAACTGCATCCGCGGGCGCCCAGCGAGGTCGGCCCCACGACAAACAGCGTCGCAAAGCTCGTGGTGAGCGACAACTTTGCGCAGGGCCGGCTGACGGAGCTGGGCGGTGCAGGCGTGCTGCTGAACGAAGGCCCGGAGTGGGACGCTGTGCGGCGGCTGAAGCTGGCGATCGACCCCAACAAAGTGCTCAACGCATCGGAAACGCTCGTGACGTCATCAACACAACCGTAATTATTTTTTAACTATTTTCTCCTTACATTAAGTTCGTGTAAAATCCAGTACCTGCAGAATGCGCCCAACTGAGACATGCGAGAATGCTTGGGGCGGTTCAAATCTCTACCGTTTTTTTTTTCGTGGCGACATGTATCTAGACGTTTTCAGAAGACAAGAGGCAACAACGACGGGCAACTTCTACTCGAACTTCCAGAAGGTGACGGACGTCGAGTACTCGTCTGCCACGGGCACAATTGCCGCAGCCATCACGTCGTTCGCGTCCAGCGTCGACGCAGACTCCCTCATCACAGACGCCTCAGGCTCGGCAGCCAGGTCTGTGCTGGGCGTGTCGAGCGCGCCCAACAAGACGGACGCGGCCTCGTCGTCGGCGGCCGTGTCCCACTTTGCATCGCAATCGTCGTCTGCTGGCTCTCCAGACACGGTTTCGCCCAAATGGGGCTACATAATTGCCCTGGTTGGCCTTTGTTCGTGTATACTATAAATGATAAATATATCGATCATGTGTCATGTGATCTTGCTGAGGGCTGTGTTTTTACTTTCCTGACAATTTTTCGCAGCTGCCAGTGCTCAAAAAAAAAAATTCATTTTTCACCTTCCCTATCATCATAATGGCTCCAATCGTATGTATCCACATACACTGGTGTTTCTTTTATGCCCTATAGTGATTCCACCGCAGGTCGGTGCGTTCGCAATCTCTATGGCTATTCCGTGAAGCTCGCGCTTCTGCGGTAGGCTTAAAAGTAATCACGAGTGTAGCTCTCTCCCGTCCTAACCTGTCAGACCAAGAAAAACCAAAAAGTCGCCAAGAAGTTCACCGTCGACTGCTCCGGCCCAACCGAGAACGGCGTCTTTGACCCAGCCTCGTACGTCAAGTACCTTGTCGAGCACATCAAGGTCGATGGCCACCTTGGAAACCTTGGCAACGACATCACCGTGTCGCAGGAGGGTGCCGCCAAGGTGGTGGTTGTGTCCACCACCAAGTTCTCCGGAAAGTACCTCAAGTACCTGTCCAAGAGATACCTCAAGAAGAACCAGATCAGAGACTGGATCAGATTCGTGTCGGTCAAGAAGAACGAGTACCAGCTGCAATTCTACAGCGTTGCTGTTGACGACGAGGAGGACGAGGAGTAGCTGACAGGAATAGCGTAATAGAGTGTCATTCGAATATGGTGGAAACGTAGGTCCTGTAGTCTGTTTTTCTGGCAGTGCACGTTATTTGTCGCTATATTATTATTTATTTAATTCAAGTGATTTTATGACCACTGTGCCACGAGATACGTCTGACCAGACGGACGAGACAGATTTTGTGGAGTTCTGCCTTGCTGGAGACAGCGTGACGGTGGTTGACCACGGCGTCGCGTCGATCGAGTCCGCGGCAGACGACGCTGATGTCCTGGAGACGCCAGCGCACAAGGACGACGGCTCGTTCCACAGCACGTCCGACGACGAGGAGTGGAAGGAGATGGACATACAGGTCAACCACGACGACATCTACAACATCCGCGGCGAGAAGATCGAGACATTTGTGCAGTCTGCAGAGACAATCGACAACAAGGCCGAGGCGTCGCAGGGGTACACGCGGATCTCGGCGCAGGAGGAGGCGGCCAAGTACCTGGAGATGAACGAGAAGTTTGACTTTCTGTTCCAGAACGAGAACTCGAACCTGCGAAGGCTGCGCAACGGGGACGGGGGCTCCGACGAGACGGTGGACGAGACGGTGGACGAGACGATCGACGAGACGATCGACTCGAGCGCGACGCAGCTCGAGGAGCAGCTGTACTCGACGCGCGCGATGCTGACGGAGCCCCAGAAAGTGGCGTATGCGGCGCTGGTCAAGCTGATCATATTCCGGCTGCATCTGGAGCTGTCGCTTCTGCGCGGGTCCGGGTCGTCGAGCATCTACAAGAAGATCGCTGTGGCGCAGAAATCGTTCACGCGGTGGAGCATGGGCGTCATGGCGCAGCTGTACGACCATCTGGGCATCAGGGAGGGCGCCGAGCGCGAGATGATCGAGAAGCTGAGCTGTCACGGCATCGAGGCGAGCGACCTGGTCGGCTGGCTCAACACAAACCTCACGCTCGACAACAGGCTCCGGCCCGAGACGGTGCGGACGATCGGCGTCGACGCGTCGAAAGCGACGCTCGACATCGACATCCGCTGGACGCTGATCTGCGACCTGTTTCTGGTGCTGCTGGAGTCGTCGACGTACGACGCGCGGTCGCGCACGCTGCTGCTGCAGTTTGCGGCGTCGATCGGGCTCGACCAGCTCGCGGTATTCCAGTTCGAGCGGCGCATCACCGACGCGCTCGAGATGGAGGCCTCGATGGCACGGCTCAACAACTCGCAGGTCTGGGACGAAAAAGACATCCTGGCAGAGCACAGGCGCAAGTACCGCAAGCAGAAACTCGTCAAGATCGGGTTCGCGACCGTGGCCGGCGGGCTGGTGATCGGGCTGAGCGCCGGCATGCTGGCTCCCGTCATCGGTGCCGGACTGGCTGCCGGGCTCACCACGGTCGGCATTGGCGGCACGTCTGGGTTTCTGGCGGGCACGGCCGGCACCACGATCATCACGTCGACGGGCGTTCTGACCGGCATGCGGATCGGCAACAAGGGCATGGGACGACGCGTGGGCGCCGTCAACACGTTTGAGTTCAAGCCGCTGCACAACACGGGCAGGGTGAACCTGGTCGTGACGGTGAGCGGGTGGATGTCGGGCAAGCTGGACGACGTGCGGCTGCCGTTCAGCACGATCGACCCTGTCATGGGCGACTTATACTCTCTGCTATGGGAGCCGGAGATGCTCACGAGCATGGGCCAGACAATTAATATTCTGGCGTCGGAGGTGCTCACGCAGTCGATCCAGCAGATTCTCGGGAGCACGATCCTGATCACGCTGATGGCCGCCGTGCAGCTGCCGATGATGCTCTCGAAACTCGGCTATTTGCTCGATAACCCCTGGAACGTGTCTCTGGACCGGGCCTGGAGCGCAGGACTGGTGCTGGCAGACACCCTGCGCCGCGGCAAGCTGGGGTTCCGGCCGATCACGCTTGTCGGGTTCAGTCTGGGCGCGCGCGTCATCTACAGCTGTCTTCTGGACCTAGCCAAACGCGGCGACTACGGTCTCGTCGAGAACGTGTATCTGTTTGGGTCGCCGTTTGTGGTCAAGCAGGATCAGGTCGCGATGGCGCGGTCGGTCGTCAGCGGCCGTTTTGTCAACGGGTACTCGAAAAAAGACTGGATCCTGGGCTACCTGTTCCGTGCAACCAGCGGCGGGCTGAGCCGCGTGGCAGGACTGTCGCCGGTCGACGAGGTGGAAAACTTTAACTGCTCGGAGCTGGTCCACGGCCACATGGAGTACAGGAAGGTGATGCCGAAACTGATGAAGGAGATGGGCTGGGAGGTGCTGAACGAGGAGTTTGTGGAGATCGACCAGCCGGACGAGGAGGAGACGAGGCGGCAGCGGAAGCTGGTGCAGGACTTTGAGCAGGCGGCGAAAAAGCGCGAGGGAGGCAAGTCCAGGAGGTGGTACGACAAGCTGTTCCGCAAGAACAACAAGGAGTGGTGGGAGATGTACGAGGAGGGCGTCAAGGAGGAGGAGCAGAAGCAGGAGCTGTTTGACGTGGACGAGCTGGCGAAGCAGGTGGAGGAGATCGCGAAGGAGGCGCACACGGAGCCGGAAAACGGCCAGCTGAAGCAGTTCAACCTGAAGACGCCGCCGACGGGGCAGTCGTTCGACTCGGGAGAGCGCAGGACGGTGTCGCCGTTCAATATGACGGTGGTGAAGCCGGAGCCGGAGCCGGCGCCGGAGGCCGCGGAGTACCGGCCGTTCAAGCTGAGCGAGCGGAGGAAGCCGAGCGGGTCGGAGAACGCCAGACTGAACCTGAACGCAGTGGAGACAGAGAAAGCGAAAAAAGAAGAGCCTACAAATATCTATGACGACGAAGACGAGTTCCCGACCGACGAACGGAACCTGGAAATCACCTTTGTCTGATTAACATTATAGGAACACCTGGGCGTTGATCTCGGCCAGACTCACGGCAAACGGCAGCTCGAACCGGGTCAGCACCTGTGGATGGAGCACGCCGATGGTGCCGATGCTGTGTGCTGGCGCGTCCGGCTTGGCTCTGTACATGATTCTAGCGCCTCTTCCGGCAAAATACATCTTGACAGAGTCGTCCTGCTCGATCCAGTAGCCCTTCTTGCCGGTCTTGGCGTCCGCAGCAGAGAGCCACGGCGTTCTGAAGGTCTGCATGATTTTTCCGAGCAGGCCCTGGATCAGCTCGAACCCGGACGCCTTGCCGGCGTACGCCGCACACCAGTTTCTCTGGTTCGAGGCGCCTCTTTCGGAGTCGTCCTTTAGCACAATGTCGCCGCACTCAAACACCCGGATCGGCAGCGAGTGGTCCTTGTTCTCCTTGATGGTCTTGAGAATGCCCGGAACAAGGCTCGTTCTCACCACCTGGTACTCGACCGTCTTTGGGTTGGCCAGCTTGACGGCCCTGGAGTCGTCGGGATTGTTTAGGAACTTGAAATTCTCGTCGTGCGAACACAGAGTCAGCGGCATCACCTCGAGCCAGCCGCTCTGAGCCGAGGCCACTCTCAGGATGTCGGCCACCTTGTTGATCGGCAGCGGCTGGGCCACTGTAGCAGCGGTCTTCGGAGTAGTCTTCTTGAGGTTGTTGTAGCCGTACGCAATGGCGCAGTCCTCCATGACGTCGCACTGGTGCAGGATGTCTGGTCTCGTGATCGGGATCTTGACGTCGATGAGGTCTTTGTTGGACTGCGAAGGAGCCGCCTGGACAGACATCTTGGACAGCAGCTTGCACACCTCTGCCGGGCTCAGCTGCAGGCCGAGACACGAGTTGATGTAGGACACCTCGCACTCGAGCGTTCGCTGGGTGAAGTTGGGACAGACTCTGGACTCGTGGTTGTGTGCCGAGACGATCTCGACCGGCTCGACGCTGAACGGCTGCTCGCAGTACCGCGAGAACATGGCGACGAGCTGGTTGACGACGATCTCGGCCTTGGTCCTGTCGGTGGCGGTGATCTCGATGAAGACGTTTCTAGTGTTGAGACTCACCTTGGAGTGGTCCGAGTTGATGATCGGAGGCAGCGAGCACACCGTTCTGTTCGAGTCCAGAATCACAGGGTACACCGGCGAGTCTCTGATGATGTGCAGGTACTTGCCGAGGTTCTTGTCCTTTTCGTAGAACTCCATCAACTGGTGGCCGTCCAGCTCGACTGTCTGGTTCAGAGGCACAAACTTGATCTCCGAAGGGCTGAGAGCCTCGTACGTGAACGGAGGCTTCAGAGTGTCCAGATCGTGGGTGCCCATCGCAACGAGCGTTCTATGTCTGCACAGGTTCGTGTGCAGCTTGTCCTGCAGCGCAATGAACGAGTCGTAGGACCTCTGGGTGAAGTGGATCCCGCGCAGAATGGCCGCGCACGCATACGGCCTGATCTGCTGGGTCGACGGCTTGACGGTCAGACTGGTCGTTGGCGCGCTGAGTCTATAATTAGGGGGCGCGACACGGCCCAGATACTCGTTCAGCGCCTGCGCGATGCCCTCGATGCACAGCATGTCGTATCTGTTTGCACCGACCTCTATTTTCAGCTGCGGTCTCTCGTCTGTTCCCTTGACGTCGTCGGAGGTGTCCTCGTCGAGCTCGATTCCGAACTGGAAACACAGCTCGTCGAACTCGTCCGTGGTGTAGTTTTTGCCCAGCAGGGCAAACAGGTCGGCTTTGTCCACGGCGACGGTAGGCATGCTGAAGAAAAGATGAGAGAAAAACGAGTTACCCGGGACGAACTGTGTAGGGAGCACGGTGGGTGGATGGGGGTTACCCGGACACAACGGAGAAGCAGGCAGTCTCGTCCGCGCCGTGCGCTGGATGGCCGCTGCCAGCAGCGCGGCGTGGGCCGTGTGTGGGGGCAGCCCTAAGGGTGCCGCATTTCGCTCCGCCTGTGTCCTGCACAAATATAAATATCCTACAAAGTATTCCCCCCCGATTTTCTTTATCTGCTAAAGACAAGTGTAAAAAACAACCATGTCGGCAAATCGCGCAAAGACGTTTGACAAGACCATGAAGCTGCTGCTTGTCGGCGACTCGGGCGTGGGCAAGTCGTGTCTGCTTCTGCGGTTCGTGGACGACAAGTTCAACCCGTCGTTCATCACGACGATCGGCATCGACTTCAAAATCAAGACGATCGAGCTCAACGGCAGCAAGATCAAGCTGCAGGTGTGGGACACGGCGGGCCAGGAGCGGTTCCGCACGATCACGACGGCGTACTACCGCGGCGCCATGGGCATCATTATTGTGTACGACGTGTGCGACGAGAACTCGTTCGAGAGCGTCAAGAAGTGGTACCAGACGGTGAACCAGCACGCGAAGGACGAGGCCCAGCTGTTTCTGGTCGGCAACAAGTGCGACGACACGGAAAGCAGGCAGGTCAGCGAGAAGCAGGGCGAGCTGCTGGCGGAGGAGCTGAGCGTGCCGTTCATGGAGGCGAGTGCGAAGTCGGGGCTGAACGTGAACGAGGTGTTCTACAAGCTTGCGTCGCTGATTCTGGAGAAGAACGGCGACGACCTGGCCGCGCCAGCAGACAAGCTCAACGTGAACCAGCAGGGCTCTGCTACAGGCGGCTCGTGCTGTTAGGGTATAGGCGAACTACAGATGAATGTATGCGATATGGTTGTTTCCCAAACGATCACTGTTCCTAGGAACTTCGTAAGGATTAGGAATATACCGCCACAGACCGAACTCGATCACAAAAGTGAGAGTTCCAGGCCCGTTTGCTTTGCAATCCCTCGACGGAGCTTCCTGTACCATAGTCCCGGAGGACGGCCTCCCATCGATACGCGTCCGTGCGGATCGTAGACAGGAGATTGTACTAGCTTCTCGAGCGCCGACAAGCACCACAAGCGGCCGCTAACTAAGCAGCGGCCAGCCGGTGGTGAAGATTAAATGGTAAAGAATTTTCCACGGGGGAAAAAAAATTTTATAATGAGCAGGCGGATTGCGCGAACGACAGCCAGAAAAGAGCACGCCGACGCGGGCTCCAAAAATGAGCTGCGGCTGTCTGAGACGGAGACGCTCGCGCTGTTTGTGCCGTGGATCACGCCAGACACCGAGGCCGTTGTGCAGCAGGTCAAGGGCGACCTGTTCAACAGGAACTATATGGAGGCCTTCAGCACCGAGGACAAGCGGCAGGCGTACGCTGCGCGGTGGTCGTCGTCGCGGAGTCTCGCGTACAGCTGGTTTTTCGCGCGCGGCGAGATCGGCGCCCTGCTGGCGCGCCGAGAGTCTGTTCGGGTCGTCAACATCGGCGCGGGAGCCGGCGCAGAGCTGGTTGCACTGGGCAGTGTTTTTGGCCGGCTGCTGGAAACGCTGCCAATCAGCAGCACGGCACGGTCGTGGCACGTGACGGCCGTCGACATCAGCGACTGGAGCAGCGTGGTGCGCAAGATCGCGGCGTATGTGACGGACCAGTGGGTGCGGCCGCGGCTGGTCAGCGCGCAGCACTCGCTCGCGCTCGAGTTTGTGCTCGAGGACGTGTTGCAGCTGCCGGCAAACGTGACGCACAGACTGCACGCGGCTGACCTGATCACGTGCTGTTTCACGACGAACGAGCTCTTTGCAGAGAACAAGACACAGGCCATTGCGTTGCTCAACAGGCTGTCAGAGTGCCGAGCGGGCACGCTGTTTTTGGTGCTGGAGTCCGCAGGCTCCTACTCGCACATCACGGTGGGCTCCAAGCGGTTCCCCGTGTACTTTCTCGTCGACACCGTCCTTTGTGGGCCTCCCGGCCGTGCGCGCGACTGGGAGCTTGTGTCGTCCAGCGACAGCGAGTGGTACCGCGTCCCGGGCGGCGTCGAGTATCCTCTGAAGCTGGAAAACATGCGCTTTTTCTATAGATTGTACAGGAGAAGATAATAACGGATTGACGTTTATAAATGCGAAGGTTGTATTTATTTCCTTTTTTTATTTCCTTGTGTTCCCTTTTTTTTGCCCCCTAATTTATTCCCACCAGCAGAGTCATTCCCAAAAGCCCTCCAACCAGCGCCTTGCTCTTCCAGGAGCCCTCGTACATTCTGAGCGGAGCGCCGCCGTTGCTCTCGGACACGGTCGCGACGGAACTGCTCTTGACAACAGACGTCACCACGGAGCTGCCCTCGGTGACGTACGAGGAGCCGCTCTGCTGGACGGTGGAGGAGAAGTGCGTGGTGTACGTGGTGGTGTAGGTTGTGCCGCTGGTGGAGGCGCTGGCAGAGGCGCTGGCGGAGCCACTGACGGCCGACGAGGCAAGCGTCGATGCGGCGACACACCGCGCCCAGTAGCTGTTGGCCGTCGCGCACTGGTACCCGGCCTGGCAGCAGGTGTTCCCGGAGTAGCCCAGGCCGCCGCACTGGGCGTATGCGCCACCGCAGCCGGAGCTGGTGGCGGAGGCGTACTCTGTGACAGAGGCGGTCGTAGAGACCGAGTCGGTGGCAGTGTTGGAGGCGAGCTGGGCCCAGGCAGCAGAGGTGGTTTCTTCCGAGGCGGCGACGGAGGTGGCGGTCGACTCTGCCTGCCATTGGCCCTCGACAGCGGTGGTTTGTGTGTTTGTGGCAGTGGCGACCGTTTCAGCCGTGTCGGCAGTTGCGGCAGTTGCGGCAGTTTTCACGGTCACGGAAGCCACAGCGGACTCGTCCGATTCCCCGGAACCGATAGCCTCGCCGTCAAGGGACCCGCTGGCGGCGTAGACACTGGCAAAAAATGGCACTGCAGCAAGGGCGATGCTATGCGAGTAGACTGTTGGAAGCATGATCTGGCAGATCATCACCTTGGGATCGGCTTCTTATACCAGACACCTCGCTAAGCATCTGCGGCCAAGCCCTGCTCCAAGAAACCAGCCATCTGTTCCTCGTTACCTTTCCGAATTGGGGATATTAATAACATCTCGAGGTCTGCTTACCTAATCGCTGGAAAAACGCGGTGGGTACCAGCCCCTGTGACACGGTGCACAAGAACACGCCAAGGAGGCGCACTAGCGGCGCATCGCGACGTGTCTACGGCCTCTGGCGCTCGAAGCGCCAGCTCCATCCAAGGACTTCGCTTGTTTACAGATCGTCGAGGCGTTGCCAAATCTGATGCGAACCTGAGATGGCTAGTCAGAAGCAATATTTACCTCTTTCTGTAACTAGCAGGATTTCCTGTTTGGGCAAGATTTTTTCCCCGAGCCGCACTCCTTCGCATTCCAAAAATAGAACCGTGTTGGCACCGATCTGGCACCATCTACAAATATAAATAGGCCTGTCTCCCACCGTGTTTCGACATCACAAACACACTTCAGATAAAACACAATGGCTTCTTCCTCCGCACAATCCTACAGCTTGGTCGGCACCGCTAACGTTGCTGCCTCCAGTGCCTCTGGCTCTGGCTCTTCTTCCGGCTCCTCTGGCTCCTCTGCCAGCTCCACTGCCGGCGCTGCCGCTCTGACCAACCCAATGTCCTACTCCGGCTCCAACTCCAAGCTGGTCGCCCTGTTTGCTGGTCTCGTGACCCTGGGTGCTGTTGTGTCTGCTCTCTAAGGACTCTGAAATGACATTCGACGAATACATAGCTGATTAATAAATGGTGTTATATTTTGTTATACCTTATGCCGGGTTTTTTTTCTCAATGCTTGCGTTGAAGAACTGCAGGCTCACGCACGCGTCGTTGACGCCCGTGCTGGGCGTCGCGTCCTCGATCAGCTCGGCACCGCGCACGTGGAACCGCACCATCGTCTCGCCCGCCTTGTCCACCAGGTAGTACCTGTGCTCATTTTCGGGCAAGGCCTCGTCGCGCAACCGCGCAAAGCGCGGGTCGGCCAGCAAGAACTTGAGCTTGTTGTTGTAGCTTGGCGGCGTGACGTTCATCGTGTGCACGGTGCGTTCCTGCGCGCCGGCCGTGGGCAGCGGCGAGTTCGTCGGCGACAAAAACGACGACGACGTCGGTGTTCCCTTGCTCAGCGACAGCGACGTGATAAACGGTGGCTGTGGAGTCTGCGTGGCCAGCTGGCCCGGCGTGCTCAGTGCCTCGGCCAGCTGCACTTTCAAGGAGATGAGCGTGTCGTAGAGTAGGTTTTTCAGCCGGAAATTGCGTTCCATCACCGCGTGGCCGAACAACTTGGTTAAATTCACCAGAAATACGTCTCGTTGTAAATTGACGGACCGTTTCAGAATTAGGTCCACCAAAAAACTTCGGTGAATCAGCACGATCCGCGACACGAACATCACCGCCTGCTCGAGATCGTCCAGGCTGCGTGTCGCGTCCATGTTTGAGCAGTAGTACATGAGCTTTTCAAGCGACAGGTTGAGCGAAAACACCAAGGAGTCGCTTAGCGCGATAGTCTTGGGCTCGCGCAGCCGCGAGCACGCCGACGCAACGTCCATCAGCATGCGCGCGCAGTTGCGCCCGTTGACAAGCAGCCTCGGGAACTGCTCGGAGCCCAGATACAGCTCCTCGCAGCAGTGCAGCACGCGCAGTTTGAGGGGGTCGTCGAGCAGCTCGAACAGGTCGCCCGCCAGCACGGCGCTGCCGCCGTCCAGCTGCGCGAGCAGGCCCAGGAGCAGGTCGGCGAGCCCTTCGTCGCGCACGGTCTCGGGCAACAGTCGGGCAAATAGCAGCTGCACCAGCGGCAGCGAGAAGTAGTTGAGCTTGCGCACGAGCGGGCCCAGTGGAGCTTGCGCGGACTCGTCGCCCGCAACGCCCACCAGCGCCAGTAGGTTCTGCGTCTGTGTCTTGGCCGGCTCTGTCTCGCGCAACGAGTCCAGCAGCAAGCGTCTGTCTGCAGCCAGCACGAACCACAGGCCGTTGGCGACCGGCGTGTTCGGACGGCGCATTTTGGCCGGCGAGCGCATAAGCCGTGCGGACGGTGTCTGCTCGACGGGAACCACAGACAGCTCCGAGAGCGGGTTGAGGTCGTCGACGCCGACGCCGGCAGCCACGAGGTTGACGTCTGTGAGCGACGAGGCTGGCCGCGACGTTGCAACGGCCGCATTGCACAGCACGCGCACGAGGTGACGGGCAAACGCGGCCGTGTGGCCCACGCGGTACGTCTTGCGCTCGCACGCGAGCAACAGCGCGTCGTGCGGCGTGAGCTCGAACTCGTCGCAGAACAGCAGGTCCCACGCGAGCCGCTCGCCGCCGTTGCTATGGAAATCGTCGCCCGCCGCGTCGGCAAATAGCTGCAGAACGGCGTGGATGTCGGCAAACCCGTCGATGACGAGCCGCAGCACGGACCGCAGCGACGCGTCGTAGTCGAGCGCGAGCGTCGGCAGCACAAACTTGCGCAGGTGCGAGAGCAGCACAGCGCCGAAATCGGCGCGTCGCCACAGCTGGAGCTGTTTCAAAAGTCGGGCAACGGGCGTGCCGTGCGTGGGGGCATATGCAACGTTGCTGGCCACGTTCCAGTACTGCGAGATGGCCTGGTTGAGCGAGTGCGAGAACTCCGCCGCGTTGAGCAGCCGTTCGGGCGACGACAGGCCCAGCAGCCCGAGCAGGCTCGTGTCGAGCTGGTCCAGCGCGAACTCCGTGTGCTGAGGCGCCAGCGGTGGCATCAATTGCGAGTCAAAACGCACGTCCAGCAGCAAGGTGCACACGCCGTGCTTGTCGTTCTGCGCCCATGCGGCGAGGAAAGTGTGCACCCGCTGCAGCAGCGTCGACTCGCCGTCGTGGCAGCACGCCAGCAGCTCAGTGTGGTGCGCAACCAGCCGCAGCAGCAGCAGCAGCGTGGCGCGCGGCACAGTCGGCTGTGAATCGGCGTGCTCGACGGCAAGCGCAAGAAACGGCGCTGTCTGCCGAAACCGCTCGTCGCACAGCCGGTACACAAACAGCAGCGCGTCGGGCGTCTGCAGCCACAGGGCGTCCTGGCGCAGCCGCGCGCTGAGCCAGGGGTACAGCCGCACGCGGGAGCCGATATCGAGCGGCTCGGCCTCCGGGTCATTTTCGTCGCACGGCCACAACGCGTCCAGGTCGAATGTGGCGGGCAGCGAGTCCAGCGCCGTGGCAAGCCGTTCCTGCAACGAGGATGCCTCTGCCGTGCGCAGCGCCACGCCCGTCGAGTCCGCGAGCCGGCGCAGGATGTTGCGCGCGTTCGAGTCCTGCACGGGCAACGCGTCCAGAATCAGCAGGTGCACGTAGCACGACGAGTCCGCGTCCTGTAGATAGATCACGCCGGACGCAATCAGTCGCCGCAGGTACGACGACAGCACAAACAGCCCCAGCGCGTGCAGCTCGGTCACCAGCACCAAAAACCGCGGCAGACTGTACCCGCTGTGTTCGGGCTCTTTGAACCGCAGCGTCTCGGCCATCTGGTACGCAAAGTCGATGATGGCCATCTCGATTTCGAGCCTGAGGTGTCTGTTCTTCTTGGACTTGACTTGCCCGAGCTGCTGCGCCTGCAGCCGCAGCAGCGAGCACACGGCGCAGATGCGCGCGCCGCTGTCCTGTTCGCGCAACGTCGTGATGCTCCATCGCAGAAGCAGGCCCAGCGTGGTTTTCCAGTCGTCCGCGGCGCCGGTCTCGTCGTCGGACGAGTCCTCAAACGTGTCGCGGCACAGCGTCTTGAGCGACAGCGTGCGCACGTTCTCGAGCCGCTGCATCACCGCGACGGCCTTCCTGCTGCCAAAGTTGGTGTACGCATCCGCGGCCGACTCTTCGATCATCATCGACTCGTTGCGGTACGCGATCAGCTTATACTGCTCGCACACGGGCGGGTAGGACAGGTCGATCAGAGAGCGCAGCGTCGACTTGAGCGCGTTCCACGAGTTGGGAATAATAAATGCGTCCGAGTTGTAGTAGAACAGGTACTGCGCGAGCAGCCGGAACTCGGCAAGCAGCCGCGGCTGCTGCACCGTCGACACCGCGCGCAGCAGCTTCTCGCCCAGCTCTTTGGAGATGTAGTCGACGGCGATCAGCTTGGACCAGAAAAGGCGCAGAAACTGGAAATGCACGGCCACCAGCTTGTGCTGGCCGAGTGTCAGTAGCCGGTCCAGGTAGTTCACGATCCAGGCCAGAAACGTCTCTCTGCTGAGCAGGTCCTCCAGATACAGGTTGCTGCTGAGATCAAGGACGTAGCTGAGCCGGAACCGCCACGAGTCGCGGTTTTGGGGCGCAAAGGAGACGGCAACGACCTGCTCGAGAAACTGCACCACCTGCTCGGTCCACTCGACCATCCACTTGCCCAGCGCGGCCGGGTTGGGCAGCTTGCGTTTCAGCTGGCGCTGCTCGTTCGCGGAGACGCAGCGCACGAGCCACACGGCGCGCAGCACCGGCACGCGGTGCGCCAGACACTGCTCGAGCAGAAACCTGTTGCGCAGGCCGTGCGGGATGGCGCGGGCAAGCTGGCGCAGCGGGATCGAGGCGTCGGCGAGGTTGCGCATCCACAGGTCGCGCTTGTGGTCGGTGAGCGTGACGCGCGGGGGCGGGCGGTACGTGGACTTGGAGCGGATCTTGTTGATCTCGCGGCGGCGGGCAAGCGCGCGCACCATGACGTCGCTCAGCAGCCCCATTTTCCAGCGCGAGCCGGGCTCGGCGACGTCGGGCGTGGTGCGGTTGAGCAGCTGGGTGAAGATCTGGCGGCCCGAGTGCGACTCGCTCGGCACGGCCGCGGGTTCGTAGTAGCCTTTCTGAAGGTGGTTTTTCATGATTATGTCGTCCTTGGGGGAGTGTTTCCAGATCCTGAAGTCGGGGAACACGGGCTCCTTGGCGCCGCCGGCGTCCTCGCCGTTGAGCGGGTACACGCCTGCGGGATTGGGCACCTGGCCGCGGTAGAGCGTCATGGGGAAAAAAAGGGAAATATCGATAAAATAATTTAAATGAAATAATTTAGTAATTTATTTATGTAATTATTTAATTATTTAATTATTTTACTATTTTATCTTCATGAACACACACCGGCCTATCGAATCCGCGCGCGCGCACGAGCCGGCCGTGCTCAACGCCGCGTTCAACCAGGACCAGACGTGTTTTGCCGTGTGCCACGAGACCGGGTTCCAGGTGTACAACACCGACCCGATGGAGCTGCGCATGAAACGCACCTTCAGCACGAACGGCGGCGTCGGGCTGATCGCCATGCTGCACCGCACCAACTACGTCGCGCTCGTCGGCGGCGGCCGCCAGCCGCGGTTCCCCGTCAACAAGCTGTGCATCTGGGACGATCTCAAGAAGAAGCCGTCCATCATGCTGGAGTTCATGAGTCCGATCCTGAACGTGCTGCTGTCGCGCATTCTGATCGTCGTGGTGCTGAAAAACAAGGTCCTCATCCACGCGTTCGAGTCCAAGCCCAAGCTGCTCGCCCAGCACGAGACTAGCGACAACGACGCCGGCGTGGCAGAGCTCAGTGTCAACGAGCAGACCAGCTTCCTCGCGTTCCCCGGCCGCGCTATTGGCCAGATCCAGCTCGTCGACGTCTCGCCCGCGCACCGCGACCGCAACCTCATCTCCATCATCAAGGCCCACAAGTCCAAGATCCAGTGTCTCGCCATCTCCAACTCGGGCCACCTCATCGCGTCCGCGTCCCAGACAGGCACCATCATCCGCATCCACGACACCGCCAAATGCTCGCTGCGCTTCGAGCTGCGCCGCGGCCTCGACCGCGCCACCGTCACCTCCATCAAGTTCTCGCCCGACGACTCCAAGCTCGCCGTGCTCAGCGACAAAAACACCCTCCACGTGTACAATCTCGCCGTGGCCGACCCGCAGCCCGAGTCTGCCATGGCCAACCGGCTCCACCTGCTCAGCGCAGTCCCGCTCATGCCCACGTACTTCCGCTCCGTGTGGTCCTTTGTCAGCTACCACATCGACACGAAGGACGACGCTGTTAACGACTGCGGCGTGCTCGGCTGGGCCGACAACGAGAGCATCGTCGTGCTCTGGAAAAAGAAGGGCATCTGGGAAAAATACGTGCTGGTCGAGAACGAGAAGTGGACGCTTGTCAGGGAGGGCTGGCGCCGTTTCGAGGAGTAGTTTATTTTTCTACGCTATAGTTTGGCCTGGCGGGGTGGCCGTGAACGAACTACCGCCTCTAAAGACACGCGAACGCCTCTTGTCCCCAGGATTCTGCACCGACGCACCAGCGCGCCCCAGCCGTGGCGGTCGAGCTCTGCCACGGCCACACGCACGCTCTCCAAGCTGTCCGCGAGAACGGCGATCTCCGCCACCTCGTGCACGGCCGCCAGCGCCGCGAGACTGCGCACACACGCGCGCGCCTGCGCAGCCGCGTCCGGCGCCCGTGAAACGTCGTAAACGGATACTCGAAACATAAACGTATTTTTGAATATTTAAATTTAATTACTTGAATAATCTAAATATTTGGAAATATTTCGATAAATAGTGCACTCTGCCGCAGCAGACTTCTCTGGCAGCCAAACGTTCGGCGGCGCTCAGCGGTGCAACCACGCCGGTGGCCGATCGGTAGCACGCTCCAGACGGCTCAAAAACCCCAAACGCCTTTCTCCACCCTCGGCACTGTCGTGGTGCTGTGTTTTTCAATTTGAAGGTCTTTAAGTTGGAGACAATCTCATTGAAAACCAGCTTTTTCGCGGCTCGCGGTGCTGTTCCCGCCGAGATGGCCCAGATATTAGCGGCCCTTGGTCACGTCCTAACCACGCCCGCTTCACGGCCCTGCTGCTGTACTTAGCAGAAACGACGCCGTCCTTGCAGCAGTCAAGGTTCTGCACAGCAGCAGCCATTCTCGTCAGCAGTCGCTTGTTCGCAAATAGCACAGCTCGGCAACAAGACGCTTCTCACGGTGAATATGTGCACGCTCTCTGATTCGATGTACCGCTTTCCCCAAACAACTAGCTACCAACTCTCTCGTCGAGCAGCTCCGCGCGCACGAGCGGCAGTTCCGGATCGTAGAACAGGTGTTCGCCGTCGGCCATCAGCACACACCGCCGCGCGTCCGCCTCGGTCTCGAAAATCGCCACGTACGTGCTCAGCCCGGTTGTTCTGTCCGTGTACACCTGGCGCAGACTGAGCTCGTGGGTCTGGTACAGATTGAGCTCGCAGAAGGAGTCCAGCAGCCGGCGCCGGCTGGTGTTTTTCGGGATGTTGTGCAAAACGACACACTGGCACCGCTCGACAGGGTGCTGTTGCAGAAACTCGAGCAGGCTGCGGTCCTGCTGTGTGTCCAGCCACGGCTGTTGTTTGAGGAGAGCAAGCAGTTTCGACAGATGGGGGCTTTCCTGCAACGCATGCATTTTGTGGTCCATGCTCTGCTTGAGCGCGTCCCAGTCCACCAGCTCCTTGCGGATTCTTGTGTCGGCAAGCACCGGAAAAAACATCTGACCCATCTCGTCCTCAAAGTTCACAAAGGTGAACGACACGTACGAGCCGTTGAACAGGGCCGACCGCACGTCGCTCCAGAACACCGCCGCGTCGGCGAACGAGTCGAAAAACACATAGTGCGCGCCCGTCGGCTGCAGCGTCTGCACGTACCGGCCCTTGATGATGTCTCTGATAACGGGCTTGGCGGCGTATTTCGTAGGTTTCAGCTGGTACATGCGGACAATGTCGGACCCGGCAATGTAGCCGGCCTTGCTGTGGGCCTTGAGAACGTGGCTCTTGGACGGCAGAGGGGCGGCCTCGTCGACGGCCTGGCGCGGGCTTGTTCTGCCCAGGACGGGCTGTTCGAGCGCGTGCTGGCGGGCAGTCTGGAACCGGCGGTTCACCAGCTTGCCCAGCCGCGCCACAGAGTGCGTGTCGGCGGTGTCCAGCAGATGGCGGAGCTCAAAGGCGACCATTTTTTAGCGCTGGATGTTTTTACCCTCTTATTTTGCAGGGTTTTTTTTTTTTTTTTTATTTGTTTTATCTATTTGTATATAGTCACCAGACAGATTTGATTGGTGATCGTCGCGGCCCGCCTGTACATAGTCAGCTACATTCCGCTTCGATCTACAACGATGGCAAACTGGGGTCCTTTCAAGGGCGGTTCAGGTGAGTATGGACACAGGGGGCAAAGCCCGTGCTAACGGCAGTGGAAGAAACAACGAGCAGTCCGTGGGACACGCCAGCGGGCGGCGAGGGCGCCGGCGGCAGCACAAAGGTCATGTCGACGGCCGAGCTCGACAACGAGGTCGCGAGCATCATCTCGAGCCTGAGCGGGGCCAAGTCGAACCTGTTTGGGCAGCCTAACTCCGTCTTTGCACAGCCCGTGAGCGCCACACTGGGCGAGGGGCTGGCGAGCGACTCGGGGTCGGAGTTCCCCAACCTGAAGGACGCGCTGAGCGCAATCAGTGCGCCGGTGCCGCAGCACAAGTCCAGGTTTGCCAACAACCTGTTTGGCGCGGCGTCCATCTCGGGCGTCAACGTCTCCAACTTCAGTCCCTCGGGACTCGGGTCGTCCAATTTTCTCGAGAAGTTTGCGTCTGTGACAGAGAAGACGCGGGAGCTCGAGCTCAAGATGGCCCGGCTCAACATCCAGAACTCGGCCACGCCGTCCACGGGCTCGGGAAACACCGGCTCGCTCTCGTCGTCGGACCTCGACCCGTCGCGCCGCTCGTCCAACCTCAACAGCACAGAGATCCCGTCGCCCCAAGTGGCCTTCAGAGAGCCCAGAAAACAGAGTTTCAGCGAGAAGTTCGAAAACTACGTCTCCAACACCAACTCGCCCACCAACCAGTTCGTCGCAGGGTCTCCCAACGCTCTCTCGTTTGCCGACGTGCCGTCCGAGCACAGCTCGGCGATTTTGGAGTCTCCCCACGACCACGCCAAGAACCCTTGGAACCCGGCAACGGCCCCCACCTTCCAGCCTCGCGGTTTCGAGAAGCCGATGGCCCAGTTTGGCCCGCCGTTCGACCCAGAGATGAGCGCGTTCCCTGTGATGCCGCCTTACGGCCTGGGCCAGTGGCCTGCGTGGGGGCAGCAGATGCCGCCTCCACCTATGGCGCCTCTTGCTCCGGGACCGGGGCCTGACGAAGAAGGCAGCGAAAAGACCGACGACGAGCAGCAGGCTGGTGTGCCAGCGCCGCAGGGCTTCTTCCAGCCCGGTCTGCGGTCCATGACGCCGTTCATGATGCCTCCCTTCAGCCCGTACGGGTTTGTGGCGTCGCCTCCGCCGGTGGTGCCCGCCGAGGTGTCTCCGTTGCAGCGCGAGGCGCACATGGCTCCGTCCAAGACCGGGTCTCCTGGGAAACCGCTCAAGAAGAGCATGTCGCCCAAACCTGCCAAGATGAAGAAGCACATTGTGCGGTCGCCTTTGCTCGAGGAGTTCAGAAACAACAAAAACAAGGAGTACACGTTGAAAGATATTTACGGCCACGGATACGAGTTTGCAAAAGACCAGCACGGATCGCGGTTCATACAACAACAGCTGGCTCTGTCGAACGACAGAGACAAAGAGGTGATTTTCAACGAGATCAGAAACCACGCGATGGACCTCATGACGGACGTTTTCGGAAACTACGTGATCCAGAAGTACTTCGAGCACGGCAACGACGTCCAGCGGAAAGTGATGTTTGAGTCGATGCGCGGGAGCTTTTACGACCTGTCGTTGCAGATGTACGGGTGTCGTGTGGTGCAGAAAGGCCTGGAGGCCCTAAAGCTGGAAGACCAGCTGCAGATCTTGGACGAGCTGAGAGAAAACATCTTGCTTCTGGTGAAGGACCAGAACGGCAACCACGTGATCCAGAAGTCGATCGAGTGCATCCCGATAGCCAGGATCCCGTTCATTTTGGAGTCTATCAAACACCAGATCTACCATCTGTCAACGCATCCGTACGGGTGCAGAGTGATCCAGCGACTTCTGGAGTTTTCTGACGAGGCGGACCAGCAGTTCATTCTGGACGAGCTGAAGGACTACGTGTACTATCTGATCCAGGACCAGTTTGGAAATTATGTGATCCAGCATGTTGTCGAGCACGGCTCTGTCAAGTACACCGACGAGATACTGAAAGTTGTGCTGGAGAACCTTGTCGAGCTTTCGAAGCACAAGTTTGCGTCGAACGCCGTGGAAAAGTGTATCATCCATCAGACCGAGGAAAACAGGGCCAAGATCTACAAGGAGATCATGCGTGACAACATGGATCCGCACGGCAAGCTGGACGAGAACAGCTGTCTGTGTTTGATGATGAAGGATCCGTTTGCGAACTACGTGGTACAGAAGCTTGTGGAGCTTATTGACGACCAGAAGAAAGGGCTCTTGGTGAAGAAGATTCGGGACTACCTGAAGCTGATCAGCAAGAACAACTATGGCAAACATCTGGCTAGTATTGAGAAACTGATTGCGCTGAGCGAGACCTATGGCGACGGTGCACGGGTGTGATTTCTTATATATAATGTTTTTGTACAAAAAAAAATTAATTTTTTATCTAGGAAGTATCCATGTCTACGTTTTCGCCGATCCCGGAGAGCGTGGCGTCGCAGGACAGCGGCTCGTCTGCGGACGAGATGGAGAACGTGCCTGATGTTGACGATCTTTTTTCGCAGCTGCGCGAGGCCACGGGGGCGGCCAGCAAGTCTGTTTCGGCGGACTCGTTTGAAGATATACAAAAGGTGGCTAAGAAACTGCCGAAGCTGTCTTCTGGCGAGCTGGCGAGTGCGCAGAAGCAAAGACGCATTGCCAAAGTGGACGATCCGATTGAAGTTGCGCTGCCAAAAGAGGAAAAAGCGGGCAAGAGCGTCTCGGAACGCTGGTTCGAGCTGCCCAAGGTGGAGCTCACCGACAAGCTCAAGCGAGACCTTGTGATACTCAAGAACCGAGCGTCGATCGACCCGAAGCGGTTCTACAAAAAAGACAAGTGGGAGATCCCAGAGCGGTTCCAAGTGGGGACGCTTGTGGGCGGGCCTACAGACTTCCATAACAGAATACACAGGAAAAGCCGTGGAACCGGGTTTGTCGACGAGCTGCTGAAGGACGAGCAGACGAGCGGATGGCTGAAGAAGCGGTTTGAGGAGGTGCAGGTAAAGAAAGGAGGACGCAAGGTGCGCAAGCCAAAGAAGCGGGGCAGGCTGTAGCTGGTAGCGACGATTAAAGATAATTTTATTGATGCTAGTTCATTGCTTCGTGAAGAATTGCGTGGGGGGAGACTCGCCAAACACTTTGATTTTCTCAAAGTTTCGCTGACGGATGCTTTTCCAGAGGATCTTGCGGTCTTTGGACGAGAGGTTGTCGACGTCGACGCCGACCTGGCTGCTGTAGTAGAACTCAAAGAGCGTCTGGGCTGCGACGAGCAGGTTGAGGAAATAGTTGCGCAGGGCCACCGCCATGAACTGGGGGCCGAACTGGCGCGAGTTCTGGATCGAGACCTGGGCCACGAGGTTTTTGAACTGCGCGTCTATGTTGAACTCCTTGAACAGGTCGGAGTCGACGAGCGCCTGCTGGAACTTGTCGGGCGAGTCGTCGAGAGCGTTGATCTGGAGGAGTTGGTCGTCTGTGGGCGTACGTGCTGCCACGTTGAACAGGAATTTGTTGAATTTTGCAGTTTTCAGAGCGCGGATTTTTGCGAGCTCGCTCGTGAGCGTTGCGCGGGCGCGTTCCTCCACCTGGACGCTAACGTGGCGGTCCCTCCACTCCGGCGGGAGGCTGCTCGTGCGAACACAGAGCAGCACCCTCAGCAGATTGAGGTTCCAGTCGATCAGTTTCTCGGGCGAGTTCTTGTTCGCGCCGTCGTGCGTCTTGCGCAGCAGCACGCTCAGCTCGTTGAACACCTGGCTCCCCACGTCGGCACACGCCGAAACGTGGTCCAGCGCCGCGCTGAGCCCGATTGTGAGCGTTTCTGGACGCCGCACAGGGTCCTGGTAGTCCAGATTCGGCACCTGGACAGGCTCGCTCTGCACGCTCGTGGCGGCAGAGTACATGGAGGTCGGGATGGAGTACACCGACTGGAAAGAATCCTGGGACGGCGTTCTTGTGAGCGGGCGCGTGGGCTGGGGTCGCCGTTTGGCAAATAGCGCGGACCCGTGGCGGACACGGTCTATGAGCGACTCGTTTCTTGATCTCGGCTTGTTGAGGTTGTCGAGCACTACTCGCCGCGCCTGCTGGGTGATTTCGTCCGGCGGCTTGAAGGATTGCTCTCTGAGGGTGAACATGAAGAAAGGGGGGAGAAAAGAAAGAAATCGAAATTCCAGTATTTTATACGGGAGAAAACCCCCCACACGGAACATTACGTTAAGGCAGGAAAAAATCGGATTATTATTGTTGAGCGCTACAGGCATTGTTTTTCCCCGTCCTACATCTGTTTGCACGTATCTTATTGGACAGAATGGTCGTCCCCCGGAAAAATTAATACATAGAGGAAGGAAAAAAAGATAATCCGCGCGGCGTATTATTCGTTGATTCTGCGGTCTGTAGACTTGCCTGTCTCGCGGCGCCGCTTCATGATGATTTCTGCCTCCTGGAGCCCCCGCTTCTTCACCAATTTCGAGTGGAACAGCCCGCACGCGTTGCACAGCGTCCGTGTCCCGTTGGGACCCTTGCGCCACTCCGGCGTATTGATCGATCCACAGTGAAGACACCTCGTGCGCGGCTTCACGCTCAGATCCTGCTGCAACGTGCCCTGCGGAACAAACTTGGGCATCTGGTCTGTGTCGGTTTCACTCATAATGAGCGGCTTGGGAGGGTGCACTCTTAGCAGCGCCGACTCGCCCATGATGGACGGCTCCGACTTGGTGGGGCGGTGCGCTTGCACTTTGGTCTTGGTTGTGTCTTGATAGGCAGCTGTGCGCTGAGTTTGTCCGGGCTCGCTGCGCACGGCGAATTTTGGCGAGCGGCGGTCGCGTATGTACTGGAGAAAAATGCGCATTTGGTCGGTATTTCTGATGGCCCGGTCGATTTCCGGCTCGGACAGGGGCGGCAGCTGGCTCAGCGTCGTGACCTGTGTGAGTGGACGCAGAAACTGGCCGAGCTCGTTCATGTTCTGCTGCGCGCCGCGGAGCCTGTCGGCGAAATCCTGGTTAGGGTCCACCGCCGGGAACCGAAATTGCTCGGGAACAGTGTATTCAGCTGATGGCGGGTTGGGGAAACTCACTACCGACGGCGGGCCCGGCGGGCCTAGCGGACTCGGCTCGAGAGAGCTCGTCGTGCTGGCCGGCAGAGGCACGGCGAAATTCGCGGCAGACGTGCCCTGGGCCAGGTAGCCCACGTCAGAACTACTTCTCAGATGCAGCTGCTGAAACGGGGGATAGAGGTCTGTTTGCAGGCTGGGCAGGCGGCGGTGAAATGCGCCGGGCGCCTCTGGCGGCGCGGGAGGGTCCTGCTTGGGGAAGGTTTTTGTCAGCTCGTCAAAGGAAGGAAGCCTGACATTCAAGTGGTTGGGATCTCTTTTTTGCATCAATGAAAGCATCAGGATCCACTTGAGATACGAGATGAACAGCCAGACTGCTCGAATTTCGTGAAAAGGCCGGTTTCTGTTGCTTTATATTTGTTTCCCTTCTGAGCGCTGGCCAGCTGGGCCAGTCGCTAAACTCATGCACCCAATATTCTGCAAGTGCAGCCTGGAGCAACCTCTAAAAAAAAACGCCGCCTGCAGCTCAGCGAACGAAACGCACACTAAAATTTCCGTAGCCGCACGCGATGCAGAACACCATCGTCGGGGCATTTGCTACTGTACTGGGGAGCCAGCTATTACATAAAATAATGCACGCATCTATTGCACACCCTGGATAATAACTTTAATAACATCGGTGCGGCCTGCCTTGACAAGCTCAAACGCTTCCTCGGCCTGTTCAAACGTGAACCGGTTCGTGATCAAAGGCTTCACCTTCACCTTGCCGCTGGCAACCAGGTCCACCGCAATTGGATACACCCCGGCAGAGTACCGGATACTGCCTGTCCAGTTGAGTTGCTTCACAAGCGCCTCTGTCACTGGGAAACTGACAAACTCGCGGCCCATGCCGGCCTGCACAAAGCGCGCCTCGGGCTTAGCAAGAAAGACGCCGACCTGGATGCATGGCTCTGCACCTGACGCTTCCAGAATCACGTCTGCTCCAGAACCTAAATCGAACTTAGATTTGATCTCGGATGACACCCTTTTGGCGAACTCCTCGTCGGACTCGTCTGCGCTTTTGAACGGCATCTTGTACACGCCGTCGGCCGCGTACTTGGACGCAAACTCCAGCCGGCCGTCGCTGATGTCGCACCCAATAACCGTGCGGCAGCCGTACGCTTTGGCAACGGCCTGGGTCAGCAGACCGATCGGCCCGCATCCAAACACAACGACCCTGTCGACGGCCTGGAGACGTGCCCGCTTGCAGATTTGCACAGCCACGCTGACCGGCTCCACGAGCGCGGCCTCCTCCATGTCCATCGAGTCTGGGATCTTGTACACGTAGTCGTAGGCCACGGTGTAATACTTGGCCAGAGTGCCGTCGTCGGGCGGAGTGGCGGCGAATTTCATGTTGTCGCAGTGGTTGTACAGCCCGTCGCGACACAGCGCGCAGAACCGACACGGAACACCCGGCTCGATGGCCACACGGTCGCCCACTTTCAGGCCCTTCACGGCGTCGCCCACCTCCACAATCACGCCAGACGACTCGTGGCCCAAGATCATGTCCATGCCCTTCTCAAACACAAACTTGCCGATCCGGCCCTTTTGCCAGTAGTGCACATCGCTACCACAGATACCCGTCTGGGCAACATGCACTCTCACGTCCGTGTCTTTGATTGGCTGAGTCTTGCGCTCCTCGAACGCAAGCTGCTTAACATCCTTCAGAACAAATGCCTTGTACGTTGGGTCCACCATTCTGTGGGACTCCGAGGCTGCGGACCCGCGCTTTATATATCCGCAGCCTCGGAATTAGTCGCCCCCATTCTAGGCCAGATCCGTAAAAAAATGTGGGGCACCACCAAACCTGATCTGCGCTATAAAACCGGGTACTTTCTCTCTGCAATCCGGTCCAAAAATGCTCTTCAAGCCAGAAAACGCACACGTCAACGCTCTCTTCTCCCTCAAGGGCAAAGTCGCCTTCATCACCGGCGGCTCGCGCGGAATCGGTCTCGGCGCGGCTATCGGCCTCGCTGAGGCTGGCGCAGACATCGCCATCACGTACAACTCGTCCTCGCCAGAGGCCATGAAAAAGCTCGCAGACAGCTTCGCACAGTACGGCGTCAGATTCAAGGCGTACAAATGCAACGTCTCCAGCAAGGCGGCCATCGAGACCACCACCCGCGAGGTCCTCGCAGATTTTGGCCGTTTGGACATTGTGGTCCCGAACGCAGGAATCTGCATCCACGAGCCGGCAGAGGACTTTTCTGAGGAAGACTTCAGAACACAGATGTCGGTCAATTTGGACGGAGCATACTACACGGCCCAGGCTGCCGCCAAAGTGTTCAAGGAGCAAAAGGCAGCAGGAACATTGGACCAGGGCCGGATCGTTTTCACGGCCTCTATTTCGTCGATGATTGTCAACTATCCGCAGAAACAGGCCCCTTACAACGCCAGCAAGGCCGGCCTTGTCAGATTGGCTACCTGCCTGGCGGTTGAGTGGATCGACTTTGCCAGAGTCAACTGTGTCTCGCCTGGATACATCGACACCGATATGGTGGATGTGCACCCACCAGAGTGGAAGAAAACGTGGGGGCAGATGATCCCTGCACAGAGAATGTGCCAGACGTACGAGCTCAAGGGCGTGTACGTGTTCCTGGCCAGCGACGCGTCGTCGTACATGACCGGCGCCGAGCTCGTTGTGGGCGGAGGCTACACTTTGACCTGAGCGTTTTGGGGCGGTGCCAGTATAGATAGGTCGTTGGTAGCCATGTATAGCCGTTAATGCAGTCTAGAAAGCAGAGAAAACCCCGTAGACCGCCATCTCCCTACCCCACAGGGGCCACCGACGCCCGCGCACGGCTTCGTCTCCGAGAAAATTTTAGGCCTGCTTCATGTTCCCCACCTTCTCCACTTTCTCCGAGCATGGGTGTGTCTGGGGTAAAATGCAATAGGGGCGACTGTCGCCCTCTGCCGTTGAAAAAGTCCGTTTTGCACGCTATAAAGCGGCCGTCGAACGCCAACGTTTCTTCATCATTCAGCTATGCCACAGTCAATCAGAAGAGCCAACCCACCCATCACCGACTCCGTCTTCGAGATGTTCTCGATGAAGAACAGACTCGTCATTCTCACCGGCGCGTCCGGCGGCATCGCCCACGAAGTCGCTCGCGGCCTTGCAGAGGCGGGGGCCAACCTCGCGCTCTGGTACCACAAAAACCCCTCCGCAAAGACGCTGGCCGAAGAGCTGATTTCCAAATACGGAGTCAAGGCCAAAGCGTACCAGGTGGACGTGCGCAGCTATGAAGAGGTGGAATCTGCCGTTGCTACCGCGCTCGCAGACTTCGACGGCAAGCTCCACTGCATGATCGCCAACGCGGGCATTCCTGCCAAGGCTGGCGGACTGGACCAGTCTCTGGAGGCCTTCCACGACGTCGTGGACACAGACTTCAACGGAGCGTACTACTGCGCCCGCGCAGCAGGATTTGTGTTCAGAAAACAGGGCTTTGGAAGCTTGATTTTCACCGCCTCCATGTCGGGCCACATCGTCAACGTGCCCCAGCAGCAGGCAGCCTACAACGCTGCCAAGGCGGGCGTCATCCACCTGTCCAAGTCGCTGGCTGTTGAGTGGGCCGACTTTGCCAGGGTCAACTCGGTCTCGCCAGGCTACATCGACACGGCCATTTCGGGCGACTGTCCGTTTGAAATGAAAGAGGCTTGGTTCAAGGCCATCCCAATGCACAGAGACGCCGATCCACGCGAACTCAAGGGCATCTACCTGTATCTGGCCTCGGACGCGTCCTCGTACACGACCGGCAGCGACTTCATTGTCGACGGCGGATTCTGCTGTCCGTAAATCTATACGTGCACACCAGGTGCACACACACCCTGTGACGCATGGGCTTTTTCCTGCAACCCCAGGTTTTTTCCTAATGCGGAACGCGAGTGTGTAGCTATAAATATGCGTCTGAATATTGGCTTGTCCCCCAGCTCTGTAAATGATTCGCCTTAACACCACCCCCATCGAGGAGATTGTCGGGCCTGCCATCGCCCAGGTGCTTCCCAAGAACGAGAAGCCCTGGTGGAGAACCAAACACCTGCTCGTGCTCAACTGTGTGATGCTTGTGCCGCTGCTGTCGTCTGCCACCGCAGGCTACGACGGGTCGCTGATGAACGGCCTGCAGTCGCTGGAGGAGTGGCGGGAATTTTTCGGCTACCCGCACGGAACTATGCTTGGATTCATCAACGCAGCGCAGAACTGCGGCTGTCTGATTGCACTGCCAACGGTCGGATGGCTCACCGACAAAATCGGCAGAAAACCCGTTCTGATCAGCGGCCTTATTGGAATCGTCATCGCCACGATCATCCAGGCAACCGCCTTCACGATGGCCCAGATGATCGTGGCGCGGTTCCTGGTGGGCGCCGCCGGAATGTTCGCCGTGCAGCCCGTGTCGCTGCTGACTGCCGAGCTGGCGTATCCGTCCTTCAGAGGAAAACTGACCTCGCTGTACTGGTGTCTGTGGTACCTCGGCGCCATTCTGGCGTCCTGGTCGTGCTACGGCACGTCTGGCCGCGGCGACTCGTGGGCCTGGAGAATACCCACCATCTTGCAGGCCGGCTTCCCTTCTGTCCAGTGTCTCTTCATGTGGCTCGTTCCAGAGTCGCCTAGATGGCTCGTGTCCAAGGGAAGAATTTCCGAGGCCCGCGGCATTCTTGTCAAATACCACGCCAACGGCGACGACACGCTGCCGCTGATCGACGTCGAGATGACAGAGATCATCCAGGCGCTCGACATGGAGAAAGAGGCCGCCAAGTCCAGATGGCTGGACCTTGTGAAGACGCCCGGAAACAGGAGAAGAACGTACATCGCGCTCAGCGTCGGTGTCGGCGCGCAGTGGAACGGAATCGCCGTTGTCTCGTACTACCTCACGCTCGTTCTCGACACCATCGGCATCACCTCGTCCGACATGCAGTCGCTGATCAATGGTCTGTTGCAAATCTTCAATCTCGTGGCTGCGGTGACAGGCGCCCTCGTGGTGGACCGATTCGGCCGCAGATCGCTGTTTCTGTTTTCTGGCGTTGGCATGCTGGTCTCGTACATCATCTGGACGGCGTGCTCGGCGAAGTTTGCCCAAACCGGCTCCAAACAGTACGGCCGTGCCGTTCTCGGGTTCATCTTCATCTATTACTTCCACTATGACATTGCGTACACGCCGCTGCTGCTGGCGTATCCGACGGAGATCTTCCCGTACCATTTGCGTTCCAAGGGCATCACTGTTGAGCTGGTGGGAGTGTACAGTGCTCTGCTGATTGCGGCGTTCTGCAACTCGATCGCCATGGACCGCATTGGCTGGCGTTATTACATCGTGTTCTGCTGTATTCTCGGTGCTCTCGTGGTCAACACCTATGTGTTCTACCCGGAAACCAAGGGCTATTCGCTGGAGGAGATTGCGCGGGTGTTTGACGGGGAGGATACTGTCGCGCTGGTGGACGATGCAGAGTCGTTCAAGGCCAGAGCAGAGCACCACGACACTGTGTAGCTATCTGGTCAATACTAGTACGACAAGCAACAGCAGGGGTGCCATTCTGGGCCTCTGCGTAGGGGCCGCGCTGGCTGTGCGCACCGTGTAGTTTCTTTGTATTGCCTGCAACACCTCGTGCGACTCCGGTAGCAGCCGCTGGCGGCTGCGGATCTTGGGGCTCAGCTTTAGCTCCAGTACGTCTCTTTCCCAGTCGCTCTCAGACGGCCACGGTCGCGCAAGAAGAGCGCTTTTTCTTGTTTCGTTGTTTTTCGGGACGTTCAGCGCGACAGCCGTTTCCACGATTTTCGTATTGGACCTCTCGTAGACGTTTCTGCTGCAAAGCGACGAGAGCAGCTCGTAGGTGTTTTTGTTCTGGGGTTAGTGGCGGCAAAAGGATACTCACGTAGGCGGGACAGAACTTGGTGCACTCCGCCACCAACGCCCCAACGTAGTAGCATTTGCACACCTCGTTGGGGCCCGTGCAGGACAAATACCCGCTGCGGGCGCGATCGTGGCACTCTAAATAGTAGCCGTCGTCCTGAAGTTAGAGATTGCGGCGGGAGGTACCTACGCAGAGCGGTCCGCACTCCAGGAACCCCTCGGCGTTGAGCAGCGCAAGCGTGTTTAGTGCAAACAACAGCACTATCAATAAACGAGCCATAAAAAAGGGATAATAAAATAAAACGAGTGAAAATGACTCCTGCGTCGCACCGACGCGACGACAAAAAATAAGTCATTTTATTTATTTCCGCTTGTCTATGGCGACTTCTGACGCTCGCACAGGCGCCACGAGCGCGATCCGGAAAAAGCTCAACTTCCACGACGAGATCCTGTGGCGCAAGTTCTCGTCGCGCCGACTGCTTCTGGTCGAGTCGCTGTCTCTGAGCTCGAAAAAAGCGTGCGAACAGGACGCAGAAATCCAAGTTTGCGCACAAACCCTACAGCAGGAGTTTGGGTTCCCGAGAGAAACCCTGCCCGAGTTCGACAAGCTCGTGCGGCTGGCGATCCAGAGCGTGCGCAGAAACAAGAAGCGGTCGCAGAAACGGCTCGCCAACCGGCGCCGTGAGAAGGAGGACCGGTCCAGCACTGAGGAAACGGCAAGCCCGATATACTCGGATTTGGTCAACGAGGACGCGTTCCACGGTGGCAACAAGTCGGACGACGCCGAGACGGAGTCCAAGACGGCCATCTCGGCCCTCGTGGCGCCGACGCTCCACCGACCCTTCACAAGCTCGCTTCGGCAGCTCAACATGGACGGCGAGTTCCGTGCCGCTGCAGACCGGCTGCTGATCAGCATCAAGAAGTCGCGCACGTGCTACGAGCTGACCAAGTCGACCGCGCGCTCGTTCGAGTCGATCGAAGGGTTTGGGTCGGCGTGCATCTCGTCTGCCGTCATGTTTGTGCTTGAGCGCAGCTTTGGCCATCTCTCGTTCGACTCCGTTATCTACATCAGACAGAAACTCAACAGCGACTTTGTTCTGAGCTCCATCATCAAAGGGCTGGACAGCGAGTCGTTCGAAGTGGTGCAGTTGGGCGAGTTTGTCGCAGCACAGCTGTTCAAGAAACTCGTTGGAGGCTGCGTCAAGGACTTCGGCTTCAACGAGGTGCTCTACCCGGTCGCAGACATCTTTCGCAGCATCCTGGAAAAAGACTATCCGTTTAACCCGCTGCCAAACCCGCCTACACACAAATCGTCCATCCTGTCGCGGTCTCCGTCCTCCGACACCCTAATCACCGTGGTCATCCGCTTCAACACTAAGGACCTGCGCTTCATATACCCCTCGAGCTCGTGCTCGCCGCCGACGGTGCTGGAGTTGATCGCCAACTCCAAGACCGCGTTCGGCATCGTCAACAATAACCGCATCCTCAAGATCCGCAACGCAGAAACGAAAACGCTAATCAACAGCGACCAGGACCTGGAGAAACTGTTTGACGCTACTAGAAACAAGCCCAACAAGCTCATCGAGCTGGAACTCATCTATCACAACATGCAAGATTACCTGAATCTGAACTTCGACGCGGCTTACCCGCGTCCGCAGCCTGCTCCGCCGGTGCTGCATCCACGGCTCCCGCCTTCCGACCGGCCGCCATTCAAGTTCCAGCCGCTGCTCTAGCGGCAGTCTACGAGACTTTCATGTTGTTGATGGCCAGCACCAGCTCCTGGGCGACCTGTTTTTCGGCGCCAACGGAGCGCTGTCCCGCAGACGGCCCGTCTGGCTGGTCCTGCTCGTTCTCCTTTTCGTCTAGCTGCCTCTTCTCCAAGTTTTTCCGCTTCTTGATGTTGTGGCTCTTCACCACCAGCTTTGGCAGCTTGTCGAACCGCACCACGAGACTGCGGCCCTGGAACCGTGCGCCGTGGAATTTTTCAATCAGCTCGACCGAGTCCTCCAGACTTGTCGTTTGCGCGATCGCAAACCCCTTCGAGACCCCGCTGGGCTGCGTCTTGAGGTACAGCTGGACGATCTTGGGCCGTCCCGAGTTCAGAAAGTTCAGCACAGAGAGATACGTCGCGTGGAACGGGATGTTGCCGACAAAAAGCCGAGTTGGACTGACGTACTTGGCCGCCGTGTACTGGACGAGCTGCTCGGCGGGCCGCTCGTTGTCGTCGACGGAGGACTCGGACTCGGACGCAGAGCCGTCCTCGTCGAAGTCTGGGTTCAATATCGAAGAATAATTGTTGCCCAGCTCCACGCGCTGTCTGGGCTTACCGGGGTATTTTTTCGGGGAGCGGTACGTGCGTGGCTGGTGATTGTGTGGTGGAGCGGCAGTTGTGGCGGGCGCGGGTTCGGCATAGGGAAACGACACAGATCTCTGTCTGGGAACAGGCATTCCGTACGTGTAGTACGGGATGAACGGCGCCATCGGGGCCGGCATAGGCTCGATTGTGGGGAAGAACGGAGCAACACCGTGTTTAGCAGGAATCTGTGGCTGATACGCACTGAGCATATGACACTGCAAAACCACGCTGTAGTACTCGTACCCGTCCAGCCGGCCCACGATCCTCGCCGCCGTGTCGTAGTCGTCCATCCCCAGCGACGCTACAGACAGCCCGTTCGTGTGCATCTCATAGATCTGGACGCTTCCGATGGCGCCCAGGTCGATCGCAAGCGGTTCCAGCAGCTCTTCGAGGTCGACTCTGGTCATGGTGCGCGGCAGATTCAGCACGTTGACAATATACTGCGGATCAGGACCCTGTGGACGGTACGGGTGGGGGGCGGCCAACAACCCCCCTGCCGGCTTCTGATCTGGTTTCTGGGACATCGCAGACGTGCTGATGGTCAGTGGGAGGTGCGTGTGAGCAAGATCTGGTTCTGGCGCAAAGTTCTGCAAAATAACTGTACGCAAATTTGCCTTGGAGCCTCCCGTGGATGTCACCTTCTACTCAAAACTCTTCTGATATCTACAATTTATAAATTAAGCTGCTCGTCACAATAGCGAACAATAGATTCCATGCACAACGGTCGCGAACGCAAGAGAGTGTACGCCCTCCTTGCACCGCACACCGCACACCTGAGTATATCTACGCTTACACTCCGTCTATGTTACAACCGTCACTTGCGCCACTTCTTCTTGCCGTTCTTGAAGCCCTGCGGCTGGCGCGGCTTCTCCTGCCGGAACCCGAGGTCTCTGGCGAGCGCCGAGTCCAGCGAGATGCCGAACTTGTGGATCCGCTTGAGACTGGCCTCCAGCTGCGCGATGTCCTCCTCGTTGCCGAACTTTCTTGCCCGGGCGATCTTCTTGTTCAGCAGCTCAATCGCCGCCTGTTTCAGCTCCTCTGGATTGAGGTTTTTCTTCTCCTCCTTGGCGGTCTCTGGCGTCTCGTTGGAGTCTGCGGCAGTGGCGGTCTGTGGCGGTTTCGCGGCCTCAGCAGCCGTCTTTTCCGCGGCAGGCTCCTGTTTCGGCTCCTCGGGCTTTGTGTCTGCCGGCTGCGGCTCCTGTTCTGGCGCCGGCTCGTCCTTTTTTGCGCCAGACTCGTCTCCCGCGTCGAGCTGGGCCTCGATCTTGTCGGACTCCTCCAGACGCGCAATCAGGTCTGCCTTGACCCCGTTGGTCGCCAGGCCTCTTTGCTTGAGCAGCTCTCTGAGCTGGGGCACCGTTTGACTTGCGTAGGCGGCCATTTCTTATATTTTGTGGAACGCGATGGTAAACAATTTTTACAGCAATTCGAAATTCAGCAGAGCACAGCCGTGAAGAAAAAAAACATTTTATTTCCTATATATCCATGAGCGCTGTGACTCCTGTGCAGGTCAAATATTGCGGCGTGTGCAGCTTCCCGGTGGAATTCTGCGAGTTCGGCAAGAAGTTCAAGAAATGCAAGGCCTGGCTCGAAAAAGACGACCCGGAGCTGTACAAGAAGCTGTACTCTGAGAGCGCGCACAACTCGTCGCTGTCGTCTGAAAAAGAGGCCAAGATCTCCGAGTCGCTCGCCAAGATGCAGCTCAAGGAGGAGCGCAAGCTGGAGCGCGAGCTGCAGTCGCTCAAGAGCTCGAAGGTGCTGATAAAGCGGATCCAGCGCACGAAACACAAGCACGTTATTGCGATCGCAGGTCTCGAGGTGTTCGACGTGGACATGAAGAAGATGGCCAAGACGTTTGCATCGAAGTTTGCCACGGGCGCGTCGGTCACGAAGAATGCCGAGAAGAAGGACGAGGTGGTGATTCAGGGAGACGTGGGCGACGAGGTGGAAACGTACATTCTGGGGCTTTTGAAGGAGAAGGGCCTGGAGGATGTCAAGGTCGAGCAGGTGAGCGAGAGAAGGAAGTGATGTACGAGTTACGAGTGGATGAGTTATTGTAGCTGGGGGACATTTTAGGGTGCACTAGACTGGCGAGCATCACCGTCTCGAGTGATTATATGGCTCACGGCTTCCACGCATTTCTTTAGTCGCGTGGACAACGAGATCACAAGTCTAGGCTGGCCAAAAATCCAGCAGGGCCTTAAGTGGGCGATTTTCAAATCTTCATACTCTTGTGCAGCCAAAAGCAAAGCTGAGCCATATAGGGCTCCTCTTCCGCAGAGAGTAACCCACAAACGCTCATTCAGCTCAAAGTAGCGGTGGCTAATAATCACCGACAAAAGTTCTGGTCTGAAGACATTGTCACAATGTCAAAAAAGTGGACCTTTCTTTGGCACTTGAAACCGTTTTCAGTGGAGACGCCTTTTGACATGTTGCGGCGACAAGTTTCGCACGTTTCAATGGGAATACCTTCCAACCAGAGAATCCCGTTTCTATGGAGTTTTTTGCTACCATTTGCAGTGCATTCAGTTGCAGTGGCTCCCCAAAACCATAATTTCTTCCACTGTTGAACCAAGGTTGCGAGGATGTGGTAAGGGTGTAGACTGGGGTGAAACTTGACTGTGGCATTATTGCGACTAGTGACAAATCATGTATGGATGTCTCCGGTGGCAGAGCTTTCTATTTACCACAGGTAGCCAAAATAATTAGACCTTGAATCAGCAGCTGAAAAATGGATTTTCTATACCAGCTTGTACGGTCATTTCTAGTTTGATCTGTCTTCTTACTGGTTATACGGTCATTGGCAGTCGGGACAGTGGTCAGGTCGGATTATTTATACCATGTATAAGTTTGCAGGATTGTATTTCATTGGACCCGGCCGATATGTTTAGCCTGCTCACTGCTTTGTGCCTCTTACATTCTATTTCCCACTCTACTGCACGTCCCACTTGTCTACGCCCCCACATCCGAAAGCTGAGCCAGATCCCCGACCTTGTTTTTTCGTTTTTCGCCCGTGACATGTGTCACGTGCTCCGCTTGCAATTTACCTAATTGCATTTATTTTTTTATTTTTTCCAAATCTCGAAAATCAAGCTCTTGCTTTGCACATGTCGTTCTACGATGTTCTGCAGCGAGGAGACGACTTTATCCTGAAAGACCGTCCTGGACAGTCTCGCATCTGGAACTTTTTCTCCCAAGCCACATGCATGGCCGTGGTGGGTGGTAGCAAGGCCATCCTAGGTCTGTTTTACAACGTCAATGTTAAGGGTCTGGATAACCTAGACCACGGGCTTGCAAAAGCCCGCGCCGAGAACCGCGGATTTCTCACGCTTATGAACCACATGTCTGTTTGCGACGACCCGTTTATCTGGGCCTGTCTACCATGGAGATACTTCCTTTCGCTAGACGACATTAGATGGGGGCTTGCCGCCTCCAATATCTGTTTCAACTCGAAGGCGAGCAGCACATTCTTTTCTCTTGGAAAGCTGTTTTCCTGTGAGAGATTTGGCCGCGGGCCGTTCCAAGGGGGTCTTGACGCGCTGGTGCGAATTTTGTCTCCGGACGATACACTGGATACTGACCATATTTTCCAAGGCACAGAGAAGAGCGCTCCAATTGGCAGCACGCTAGCAAGCGACGTGCGGTCGTTCTACTCTCCGAGATACACGCCGCCGGTTCTTCGATACAAAACGTCGTGGGTGCACATCTTCCCCGAGGGCTACGTTTGCCAGTTGAAACCCCCACACAATAACTCGATGCGCTTCTTTCGGTGGGGCACTGCCAGGCTGATCCTCGAACCGACGGTGGCCCCCGTCGTGGTGCCCATTTTCACTGACGGGTTCGAGAAAATCGCTCCAGAGGCCAAGGTTGACGACGTGGTAGACTCTTTGCTCCCGCAGGGAATCGGCTCCACCATCACGGTCAACATAGGCAAGGCCCTGGACGACCGCATAATAGAGGCCTTCCGTGCCGAATGGCGTGCCCTGTGCGATAAATACCACGATAAATTGCATCCGAACGATCTCTCGTTTGAGCTCAAATTCGGCAAGGAGGCAGAGGCTCTGCGCAGCCGTGTTTGTGACTATTTGCGCGAAAAAGTCGCGCAGTTGCGGCTTGAAAACGGCTTTCCTCCCGAGGACCAGCGTCTCAAGTCGCAGAAGTTCTGGAGCGAATACACCAAGACCGACGGCGCAAGTGCCCCGGACATACAGTTCGTCGGATACAACTGGGCTGTCCGTGCGTACCAAAAAAACACCAAGACGTACGACGAGTACGGCAACGAGATCTCCAAGTGATAGGCCTGTATATATAGACTGTCTAAAGTATTCTGGGCTGTGCACCCCAAATCCGAATTTTTGAGGAGCTGCCCCACCTTTTTTCTATCTAAATATTGATGGATCGATTTCTAAGGACGTTGGGCCGTAGTTGCTGGCGGGCGGCGGGTCCGCCTTTTGCCATCTGCAGGCAGAACAGGGCTCCCGTGGGGCTGTTGACTTTCACAGCTAGGTTATCGTCCGCGGTTTCCACCGAACAGGCCAATTTGGAGGAGCTTGTCTCCAATCTTAAATCAGACCTGCGAGCCATATATTTTTCTAAGCACATTGCGCCCAAAGGCAAAGCCAGTCAGCTCCAGGGGAAGCTGAGACAGCTGCTGTATTGCATGTCGGGCTCTGAATTTTCCAAAAGCGAGCTCCCGTTTATAAACAAGATCGTTCATGCCATCGATCGAGAATCAGACCCAATGGACGTGTTTACCGCGCAGGAAATGCTAGCACTTCTAACGGCTGCTGTTCCGGCTATGACTGCTAAGGATGTGAAAAATATAGATTTTTTTCCTCGGTTCTACACCTCGTTGAGGGGATCCAAAGAGTACCAACAGGATAGAAATATAAGACTGCATTTATTCGAGCTATTTTTCAACTATGTGCTAGTGAGCAACAAGGGCGACATAGCGATCAAAGCAATAGAAGCATTTATAGAGGAGGAGGCGTCTTTGAGGCACGACGACGTGACGGCGGAGGTGGTGGACGTGGCTCTGGAGGCTTTCACTACGGTCACCCCCGATACTGCGACGGTGGTCAAGTTGTTCGAAATAAGCGATCTGGGCGATGAGAAGCGGTCTGAAAGGCTGCTTGCTGCATTTTTCAGCGCTGCAGACGCCGAAATCGGGCGAGATTACGAAGACAACCAGGTGGCCGCCAGATTAACCGAGGTGGTAGGTATTATGGAGCACAAGAAAAATCAGCCGCTGAACGAGTACATCAATCTCCTGTATTTTGCCACCAAGAACAAGTTCAACGGGTGTTCGAAGGAAATATTGGATAGGTTAGTGAGCTTGACGGAGTGTTTCAGGAATAAATTGGGGAAAAAAATAAGAGACGAGGAGCTTGCTGCCATTGTTGCTGCCGCGCTCAAACTCGGCCAGAGCAAGGCGGCGGAGAACTTAATGGAGAATCTGGAGTACGACTTTGCTGAATTCAGCCGGCCTGAATGGCTGGCATATATGCAGATCAAAGTCTACAAGACTGCAGACGAAAAGAGCGTTATCGACCTGATCCGCAAAATCAACAACGATCTCCAACACAGCTACAAAAAAGACTTTCGTGTGAACGACACCGAAACCTTCAACTATGTGGTCAGCTCATGCTGCTACTCGGAAAAGAGTCTGGCCTTTGTGAATGCTATTTCTGATTTTTTCGAGTCAGAATATACAGTGACGCCGACGGCGGAAACATACGCAGCATTGATCGAACACCAGCTGGATGTCGGCAAATGCAAAGAGGCCTTGGAGCTGTTCGAAGGGTCGCTCGAACAACCTATAGAATGGGGGGAGGACGAAAATAGCGTTTTCGCTCCTGTTCTGTTTCGTTTGCTCGAACTGTATTGCGAAAACAGCAACGATGATACCTCCTTAAAGGTGATTCTGTACAAGCGGATCAAGAACTATGGGTACTCCCTAAACAAGGCCGCTCTCAAGGCCATGATAGACATGTTTCTGCAGGAAGACTGTGCGGGAGACGCAATGCAGCTCTTCCATATCGAGGTGGTGGAGCATTCGAGGGAAGAACGCCAATCGCTGACAAAATACGGGCCAATCTTCGAGTCCTTCTATGAATACAGCACCACCGCGGAGGTCAGCACCAGTCGCAACTGGCACGTGTATGAGTTTCTCCACCAAAACTTCATTATACCATATGAAAAGTACTATCGTCTGATGGAGTACTTTATTTCTCACAATGAGCCCAAACGAGCACTGAAGATGTTTGCAAACCTCAAGGCGTTGAGCAAAGAGGCCAAGATCGCGCCTCCAAATGAGGAGGTGTATATTTATCTTTTCCGATCCTTTGCACGTTGTAAATTCGTGGAAGGAGTGCAGAAGCTTCATTTGGGAGCCAAAATGGATCTTGCCATCAACATGAACATCAGGCTGCTTAACGCCATAATGGAAGGTTATTGCGCTATTGAGGACTCGTTCAAAGTAAGAGACACCTTCCACGTTGCCTATTCGCTCCCGAAATCGCGCGGACTCAACGCAGAGAGCTGCTACTGGATGCTCCGCTCGCTCAGGGGATACACGCTCAAGCACGTGACGGATTTCTACACCAGTTTGTCAGCGTACGACGTTCTGGCGGACCCGCGGATATTTGGTGAGTATTTGATCGCACACTGCTCCTTTGGTAAGTATGAGACAGCGCTGCGCGTTCTGGAGGAAAACTTCTATAGCGATGGGGGCCATTTGATAGACAGACGAGTTCTTCGTGACATGCACAACTGGTGTGTGGATGAGGACGTGAGAACAAAAGTGGAGCTCTTTGCTTCGCGCCATTACCCTGCACTATGGTCAGAGCTCAAAGATAGCGGCGAGCTAAGCAACACAAAAAACGAGCTACTGGATGAGGGATACAACCCGGAACGACCTCAACTTGTGTAATGCATAGATTTCTCAACTATTTCGTCTGCAGCTGTGTACTATTCACCTTGGTGGCAAAACGGAGCGAGTTGAGTGTTTCGTTGAAATGCTGTAATTTGGTGGATATGTTAACAAACATGAGAGTCTTGGAGTCTCCGCCAAGCGAGTATTGTAGAAGATATGTTAATCTTGAGTTTCTGTATGGGATATGCTGGCTTTTGTTGCACAGAGAGGTTATCACGTCACCCAGAGAGCTGAGCGACCTGTTGATGGATTGCGTTTCTTTAAGGCGATCTCCAGTCACCATCGATTGCGATATCCGCTCAGACCCGGCCAGGTCTATGAGGTTCAGCTTGCCATCAACAGACTCGCTGGTTTTCGTGTTGTGGCCATTCAGCTGGATCATGAAAATGGAGTGAGATCGCGACGACCGATGGTTGGCATTCGTGGACGCGGTCGCGCGGTTTTTGTTGGCGCTTTTTAAAATTTGAGCCACCTGCTCTTGGTTTTCTAGTGCAACAGTGGTCATGTCGGTAATTGTGGTCGTTCGTGTGGCTTCATCGTGCTTGATTTCGTGCTTGACAGTATCCAAGTTGCGCAGATAAGACTCTGTCATGAGGTCGTTGATGTTTTCGTTGTATATCTCCAAGAATTGTCCTGTGATGCTAAACTCCCATCCATTGTCCTTGGCGGAACGGCTTCTCTGAAATATCAGGTCCACGGCGCGCGGGATGATTCCGTCCGTCGCGCTAGACATCGTAAATGTTTTGCCCGAACCTGTCTGTCCGTACGCAAAAATGCACACATTATAGCCGTCCAAGGCGCTTTGAACCAGCTGGCTGATTTCGTCGAAAATTTCCGAGTTGGTCGAGTCCATGCCGAACACCTTGTCAAAACCAAATTTGTAGTTCTTGGGAGCAGGCTTGCTGAAGCTGTGAAGTGGCTGTTGCGTGAGCGGTGGTTCAGTGATAATAATTTGCTCCTTTCCGTCGTTTGAGTCTGTAGATGCGAACATCTGGTGCTTGAAACAGTTTTCTCTCTGTTCCGGCTTGACTCTGCAGAAGACACGAATGTTTCCTTTTAGATCCTGGAGAATATTATGGGCCTTGCGACGGGCCAGTTCTTCGGACAGAAGCTGCTCTTTCAGTGCAACAGTGGAGGTGACAAATTGCTCGGCATCTTGCTGTTTTTGCTGCAAAAGCCCGACTTTTTTCTGGAACTCAATATTTAGCACTTGTATCTCGTGACGTATCTCGGCCGTCTTTTCTTCAAACTGTGCCGACCTGAGTCTTGTAGACTCCACTTGTGACTCCAGCTCCTGTCTTTCTTGCTCTCTTCTGGCGATTTTTGCCTCCAGGGCCTCGAAGTTGCAATAGACAGCAGCAACTGCCTGAGTAATCTCCCTCTTGTCCTCCTCCAAGATATTCAGTTCTCGTGCATACTCTCTGTCCACAGCTTCCAGCCTGACGCGTCTCCGTTCTATTATGCGCTCGTGTTCGCTCTGAAAATGCAATTTCTCCTCGTTGATCTGCCTTACGAGCTCTTCTTTTCTTGTCTCTAATTTTCGTCTGGCATTTGTGTAGGCGGCCTGTTTCTGGGCTATTTCGCTCTGAACCTTTGAGTCGCAGTCTGCACTTAACTGCTCAATTTTGCGATTAAACTCCAGTTCTGTGTTGCACCTGTAGAGCTCAAACTCTTGTTTCAATTCTGCAATCTCGCTCTCCAGCCGTTTGTCGGCCTCTGCAAGCTCGTTTTCCTTCTCTTTGTACTGCTTTTCTAGCTCAAAAAGCTGGTTGTTCAGCTTTTCAAGGTCCAACTCGAGCTCAGGTAGGTCTGTGCGGATTCTCCACAGCTCACTGTTGAGATCATTCAGCTCCTGCTGGTTCTTGTCCTTCCACTCCTGCGCCTTCTGGAGCTCCAATTCTCTGCTCCTTTGGATGTTCTCGATGACTTTTGCCGGTTTCATTGCCTTGCGCGGAGGAGACCTGTCGTCCATGCGTCGAGAGACCGAAATATTCGAGATGTCTTTTAGCATCATTTGTGATAAATCATAACATTACGCGACAGGAAAAAAGTTGTGCTACAAAAAGGTGGAATTTAGTGGAAGTGATATTACAGGGAGAATCAATGTGCAGGGCCACAATGCTGAAAGAGACGTAGGGACTGAGATCAGTTGTTCAGAGATGGTCTCAATATAGCGACTCAACAAAACACTAGATTTAGTCTAGCCATGTCACTATTCAAAGCATTCCGGCTACCATATAGCAGTCAATATTTAATATCTTACACCCAAAATTTAAATCAGAATAAATTATAATATTCACCTCGTAGCCTTATTTATCTACGTCATTTTTTACCGTTCTGGAACTGGGACTCAGTCACGCCAGCTCCCATCGCAGCAGTACTGCTAACACCTCCCGACACGAGCTTTACAATGCTGTCGATGTATGTGGCACCGGACCATTTCTGGTGCTTGACAACCTCAACATCGTCCTCGATCTCCTTGGCCTGGATGTTTTGTCCGTAGGCCTTCATTCCGATCTTGGAGTAGTCGCGGGCAAAGTTGTCGATGGCCAAAGCGGTGGTGTGCAGACCGGCAAGCGTGATGAATTGCCAGATGAAGCCGAGATCGGCCAGCTTCTTGATGTATGTCTCCTGGTCGGCAGGAGACATGGCAGCGTTCCAGTTGAACGACGGCGACAGGTTGTACGCGAGCCATTTCTCTGGATACTTGGCAAGAACACCCTCGGCAAACTCCTTGGCTTGCTCGTAAATTGGTAGCTTTGTCTCCATCCACAGCATGTCGGCGTACGGAGCGTACGCTCTGGCACGGTTGATGGCACATTGCGTACCTCCCTGGTATCTATAGTAGCCCTCTCTGACTCTTGGGGCGTCCCAGTCGAAGAAAATGTCCTTTCCGAGGATCGATTTGGCCAGCTCTCTGGCCTGTCTGTGCGAGTGGCCGCTCAAAGGCGTCACGGTCGAGGTGAACTGCTTGATTGCCTCGTCCTTGTTCCTGATATCAGAGGCCTTGATCTCGTCAATGACCGCCTCGTGGAACAGTTTCAGGCCTGCCTTCTCGGTCCACTGCTTCTCGATCTCCTCGAGCTCTGCGCCGTACGCACCTTCCTGCTCAGCTCTGTTCATCACTTCCACCAGAGGCTCCACGTCCGGGTTGGTGGCACCAATAACGAAGTAGTGGTCTCTTGTGTCGATCGTGGAGGTGATCAGAGTGGCGGCCTCAGAGTCTGTTCTGGCCACACACAGCAGGTCAGACCCAAAAATGTCGGCCGAGGTACGGATCGCAATCAATCTGTTGATGTGCTCCTGGATAGGAACGAGCACTTTTCCGGCCATGTGGCCGCACTTCTTGGTCCCTGCGGCCTGGTCCTCAATGTGGATTCCTGCGGCACCGGCCTCAATGAACAGCTTCGTCAGCTTGACGATGGCCGTGATGCCTCCGTGGCCGGTGTCGGCGTCGGCGATGATCGGCCTCATGAAGTCGATGTACGGCAGCTTGGCCCTCTCCTCCTTGGACAGGGAAAATCTCTCGTGTCTCTGTTTTCTGTCGTGGAAAAGCTGAGCGAAAAACAGATGCTGCACCTTATTAGGAACAGTGTCCATAGGGTAGTCGGCAAGGTCTGGCGAAGGCTCGTTGGACGTGGAGGCCGTGGCAGAACATTGCCAGCCGGAGACGTACACGGTGTCCAGGTACTTGGCCATCTGCGTCACGTGGATTGGGTCCAAGGCACCAAACGTGAACGACGCAGTTCTATTTTTGTGGTGCTCCTCGAGCAACTTGAACGCCTTCTTGGCCATGGTGTCAGAGGCGTTAGGGTTTTTGATGGTGGACCGTCTCTTGGCGATCTCCTCCGCCGGGTAGACTCTCTTGACGCCCTTCCAACGAGGCTCTGCCCACCATTTCTTGATTTGCTCGACCTCCTTCTGGAAGTCGCGCTCTTCTTGGTCGATGTCGATCTGTGTGTATGCCATTTTTCAACTGAACACATCTACCCCAGAACTTGCCTCTTTATATATTTGCGCCATTTTCCAATTCCATATCCCCTGATCAGTCGCGGGACATCGGGGGACTAAAGGATGCCTTAATCCTTGCTACCAAAAAATATCTTGTGATACCGAATACGGAAAGTCCGGGGAAAAGGCATGAGCTACACGTCATTTCCGTTCGACCATTTTTCCATTCCACCTCCGGTGCTCGCTGTTCTTGCGCAGACACCGTGGTGGTGCCACCAGAGACGGCGCCGACAAAGGCCCGAGTCGCCCTTCGGCCCATACTCCGAGATGAGTACCTGATGACTCCGGGGATCCCTCATCCTTGCACCAAATCGCCTTTTCTCTTTTATTTTTTAGCATGAGCGAGCTCGAGTTCAAGGACGTGCTCAGACAGGTCCCGACCATCGACGAGGACGTGCGGCGCGTGCTGCAGGCCCTGGGCGAGCCCCAGACGTACTTTGGCGAGGACAAGGCAGACCGACGCGAGCGACTTGTCGATCTGCTCGGCAGAGACGAGGACCTCCGTGCTCGCTTTGCAGAGCTGACGGGGCTCGACCGCGGCGACGGTTCGGACGCCGACGAGGAGGAGGAGTTCTACACGCCGGGAGGCGAGGAGCTGTACGATGCCCGTGTATTTTTGGCCAACTACTCGCTTGCAAGGGCTCGTGACAGAATCAAGTTTCAGACGGAATATTATCAGAACCATCGGCCCGTCGAGGTGCTGCAGGAGCGTCGCAAGTACAACGAGTCGCTGAAGAAGATCACCTCCCAGGGCTCGCAGGTGGTCTCTGACCGCTGCACGTCTGTGCTGCGGTACTCCAATGACCAGAAATACCTGGCCTGCGGCTCCTGGGACGGCAAGACGTACTTGATGAATCAGCAGCTGGAAAAACTGGCTGTCTTGAACGGGCACGAGGAAAAAGTGGGCGGGATCGATTGGCACCCCCACGTAACCAGTGTGGTGGCCACGAGTGGCAGCGAAGGGCAGGTCCTGTTGCATAATGCCGACACACAAGCCGTGGTCGCGACTCTCAAAGGACACGAGCAGAGAGTGGCACGAATACAGTTCCATCCCTCGGGCCGGTTCCTGGCGTCTGCGTCGTTCGACCTGACGTGGAGGTTCTGGGACGTGGAGAAAAATAAAGAGCTCTACTACCAGGAGGGCCACTCGAAAGAGGTGTTTACTTTGGCGCACCAACCAGATGGGTCACTTCTTGCGAGCGGCGGCTTAGACGGCATTGGCCATATATGGGACCTGCGGACAGGAAAGTCGATCATGGTGATGGAGGACCACGTTAAGGGGATATATGCTATGGACTGGAGGAAAAACGGGTATGAGCTTCTCACGGGCGGTGGAGACGCGAATCTGAAAGTCTGGGACATTAGAAACAACCGCAAGCCGAAGCAGAATATCGTGGCACACAAAAAGCTGATTTCTGACATAAAAGTGTCTGGCAACGACAAGTTCATGGTGACCACGTCTTACGACGGCAACCTAAATATTCTTTCCTGCGACAACTGGCTTGTGATCAAACAGTTCAAGGCACCCGAAAAGCTGATGTGCTGTGACATTGCTCCTGATGACGAGACGGTTGTGTCTGGCGGCTGGGATCGGTGCGTCAATTTGTATAATAGCAGCTTATAGAGTGTAAATTGGCATTTCATTAGTGAAGCCGTCGAGGACCACAAAGTTGTTCAGCGGAAGCTCCCTTCGTCCCAGCATGTTGATGAGATCCTGCGACACTGCGCCGCCGACGATCGCGCTGACGGGCTGGAACTCGCAGAACGCCTGCTGGGCCAGCCTTTCCACAAGCTCGGGTCTGATTATCTCTTCAGGAAGCTCCAAACGGCTCACAACCTCTGCCACCTTCAAACTAAGCTCTTTTGCGTCGATCGCGACATCTTCAATTGGTTTGCCTATCTGAGAAGGAATCTCTAGCAGGGCAAGCAGAATGGGCAGCACAGGACTTATTTTCTTGAGTTTTCGTGGCGTAGGAAAATAAAACTTGAGCTTTTCGTTGTTGGTGAATATGTCAGACAGCGGAACGAATTTAGTTTTGACAATACAGTTTTGCAACTCGACGTCGTTCTCCACGACCTCCGAGATACTCACAATGTCAGAGGTTGGACTGAGCGGGCCCACCTTCTTGGGAGTAGGATACTTTTCGTATTTCACAGACGACTCGTGCTCAATCAGATCAACAAAAATATAGCCGTAGAGACCGTGTGTGCCTGTTGCATAGAACGGGATTTTGAGTTTTCTTGTGATGGCATTGAGTCTTGTGAGTTGTGTCTTATCGAGCCCTGTGGCAACGACCAGGTTGTACGACAGAAAAAAGTCTTCTGGTTTCTCCTGCCAGTTGTCAGTGCTCACGGTCAAATTCACTCGAGGATTCAAATCTCTGATTCTGGCTTCGGCAGCGAGCACTTTTGGTTGGCCGACCTGCGTTTTGTCGATGAAGAAATTGGCATTCAAATCCTGGTGAAGCACCTTAAACGAGTCAATCACGGTGATGGCGCCAATGCCTCCGAGCATAAGGTTCTTAACAATCTCGCAGCCTACACTCGTGAGGTTCACCACAAGCACTCGCGACCCGCGCATTCGGGTCTGGGCCTCTATTCCCCACAGTCTGATCTGGCGATCATACAGCTTAATCTCGTCTGACGGTCAGAGTCTAGCAATTTCTCACATACCTTCGCTCAACGTCTTGGAAATCATGATAACAATTATTTGAAATATTAAGACGAAATATAATGTAAGTTTTAAGTTATTCAAAATATTGAGACAAATTCAGACAATATTTATTTCTCTGAACAAGATGAATTTACTAAAAATACTGGATGCCAAGCCGGAGCCGACCATTGCAGACGAGCACTTCAACGTGAACGAGGAGTACCAGCTGTCCAATGACTACAAAATACCGACCCCGATGAGCGACTTCCAAAAAGAGCTCACAGACCAGATCGTGTCCCTCCACTACAGTGACATACTCAAATTCTTTGAACGGGTCGATGACACTCGAGAAAACGACCGCGTCGTGCTGGATTCCTTGGAAACAATGCTGCTGAATACACAGCTGGTCTGCTCGCATCCATATCTTCTGATCGACCACTATTTCCCCAAAAGTCTTACTGCAAGAGATATACCCAAACGACTCTCAGAGACGAGCTGCAAATTCAAGATCCTGAGCGATCTGCTTAATCTTCTAGATGGCATCTACAACGTAAAAGAGAAATCTAGTTTTGACGTCGCTATCATTGCAAGACCGGGGAAGACACTGGATTTGATCGACGCGCTCTGTCTAGGCCACAAATGCAATTTTAAGCGGTACTCTGGAACAAAGCTCAAGGAAGTGTCCGGATCAAACAGGAAACACGTCAATCTCAATGTGCATTTGTTCCCCTCTGACATGAAGAATCTCACGGCCGAGCCAACCACCAGAATGAAAATCATCATCTCGTTCGATATCAGCTGCTCTCTGGACCACGACAAGGTTCTAAAACTCAGAAACCGAAGCACAAGAGTCTTGCGCTTGGTGCCGATCAACTCGATAGAACATATTGCGCTTTACTACCATGATTTAGTGGCCACCAGGAATTACAACGACTATTTGAAGCCGGTCACAGCAGCTTTGGTGGTTTTGAGAGACAGGGTGGGACAGCTGCCTTCGGAGCTGCGTCCCATTTACAACAAGAACCTGGAGTTCCTTACTAACTGGCTGCGCGATCCAGAGGTGAATAGGTGGCCGCTTATGGACATGACGTCCATCCCAATGTATACCGCCAGCGACGTCGAGAAGTCGCTTTTGACCGAAGTGAAGTTTAACTTCGATAATGATGACTTTCTGAAAGAAGAGGAAACTAAAGACAACGATCTGAATTTGAACTTCAACTTTAACGGGAAGACACAGATGATAGGACACATCATCCAGCCTCGATTCAAAAGCAAGAACAACAAGAAAACGGACTTTTACGAGTCGAAACGTCTGGAGAAGAAGTATCTCTCAAATGAGCTCAACGCAGACAATAAGCGAGTTACTGGCATATCAAAGGAAATTGCAATGGACCAGATATTGACCCATACGCTGATGTCTCAGTTCAACCAGAAACTCGAGGACTTTATCTTGCTCAACAAAGAACTCGAGTCATTTGATCGCTTTTATGATGCCCACAACAACGGGATGCGAGAGATTTTGTCGACGAATCAGCAAATAACGACTGACTTAGCGGCACAGGAACGGCTGAGCAACGAGTGCAGCCAGAAGGTTACTGAGTTGAACGAGCAGATCAGCAAATTGAAAGATTCAGTCATAGAAAAGCAAACCGAAATTGACAAAATCATATCGGAAGAACTCCCAAAGGCAGAAGGTGCACAAAAGTGGCTGATGGCTGATATACAGATTCAACGCCTGAAGGAGGAGATAGAAAAAGTGCGCTCGAAGGTTGATTCCGCTGGCTCCGAACGCAAGTATATGCTTATTGAGCGCGATCGAGCAACACAGTCGATGGAAGATTCTGTGCGGGAGACGGAGGAGAAACAGAAACAGATAGACGAGCTGAGGCAGAAAATAGAGGCTCTCAAATTAGAAAGCGACGACGATAAGTTGCAGGAACTGGAAGAGTCAAGAAATGTCTACGAAAAGACGCTGGAGACTAACGAGAACCTGAAGGCAGCGATGGAGACCGCATTCCGAAAAGTGACCGACTCTGAGAGCAGGTCGCGCTATGTAAACTACTCTAGAAACGGGCTGCTTTCCAAGCGAAATGCCAGTCCCACTGTGTAACAACAATGCGAAAATAGGAAATACCGAATGTTATATAGTTGCTTTCTCTATCAACCGAAAGATGTTTATTGTCGAAATATTAAACCGATATATAGGTATCACTAACTAGCTACCGAATAGCTTAGATAGCGCGCTCTAGTAAGGCAACGGCACTTACAACAACAAAGCACCAGCAGCAACAGCAGCAGCACCAGCTGCGTAGTAGGAGCCGAATCCAGCAGCAGCACCACCCTCGTAAGTAGAAATAGAAGAGCTGTTCTTGGCTGGGCAGTTGGTCACGGACTCAGCACAAGAAGTGATGGTCTCAGAGACAGTGCTAGCCTCGGTCTTGGTCAAGACAACGGAGGAGGCAGCGAAAGAAGTAGCAGCAAAGAGCAAGGTAGCGACGGAGAATTGCATTTGTGAAAGAGCGAAGAAAGTTGGTTCGTTAAAGAAATATCTCAGTTGGGACAACCCATATTTATAACGTTTAGAGGCTGGGTTTTGTTTTGGTAAAAATTTGCATACTGGGGAATGTAAATAACATCGGTCACCCCGCTTCCACATTAGGAAAGAAATCATCCCCAAACGGAAATATATTTCAACTGGCGATACTCTGCGTGACGAATTGGGAAGGCGATAGACGGATAGAGCAACCACGGCATCGTGTCATGCATGATTTGGCCCGGCCTTCCTGCAGTGTCCTCGCACAACGCGCTCGTCAATAAGATTGTGCATCTCCAGCGGCATGCTTAGACTAGAAAATCAATAGGCGAGCTCTAACGTGGCTATGAATCTCAAGCGTTGCGCAACGTGCCGCCTTCAGTCCCTTCTTGGCTGCTTATTTTTAGGTTTACAGTTTTCTATTTTTCTGCAGCGCACGTAAAGCAAAACTATTACGGTAGTAATTCTATTCAATCTGATTGGCTTGCCAACTCCACTGGATTGGGAAAATCGAGCAAACGCCATTCTCCTTAATTTCTGAGAGAGGCATTCCGTTTCCAAACAATAGAGATATTGGAGCTGTATTGTTTGCGGTCTAGAACCCCTGCACCTGGCGTTATCCGCGATGTTGATGGCTGAACATGAACCCTACGGATCTGGTGAGATCTGAAATTCGGCTTGGACATGCGCATGTGTTCTGACTCACTAAATCTGTGTGAGCTTCACAATAGTGTCGATGTTGATATTTTTAGATTCAAAATACTCTGTCTGAATCTTGGACCACAAAAAATCAGAAACTATGATTGTTTGCAAAATGCTAAGCACCAAGCCGATGGCGTAGAAGAAATTCGCATTTCCGGAATTGAGGCTCATCCAGACGTAGTAGAACACCGGAAGCAGAGTGAGAATCAAAATCACTCCGAGGTAACTCAGGAACGGAGAGAATTTGAGCTTTTTGTAGTAGACCTTGAATATGATCAGCATCGAGTAAAACAGGTTCAAATCTGTCACTGTGGGGTACGCTTTGGCAAAATTTACGAATCCAACAAGAATCCACGAAGCAAATAGCAAGTCGTTGCGGAACCTGGTGGCCAGAGGCACGACGAAAATAAACGAGTATATGTTGAACACAGAGAGATAAAAGCTGCTGAAAAAGTCAAAAATCTCCGTGAAGAAGTACCACCATAGGCCTATGTTGGGCACGATTTTCTTGAAAAGCACAATGGAAGCATAGTTGAGATACAAGAACCGTAGCGAGTTGTTTGTCAAGATGTAACTCGAATACAGCAAGGCGGAGATGGAGGCGATGTAAAGCATGAGTGAGCGTACCACTGCCTGTTGCGAACGAGTAGATTGATAGATAGAGAACATCAAGGGCACAGCAAAATACCAATTGTAGTACGTCAGATATGTGGAAATTGCCAAGGTCACAATCGAGGCCCTGAACTTGTTCTGGAGAGTGAAATGGAAGAACAGAATTAGAGTAAGATTGTTGATCACTGTTGTTGACTTGGAAAGAGTCGAGAGGATAGCCAATGGGTTGAATGCATAAAAGGTGGCCACCACTCCTGAGCTGAATTTTGTGGAGTATTTTGTATTTTTATTGATTTGCACCAAAAGGAATCCGATGAGAGTGTCGAGTGCTGCAAAAACAGCATTGAGATGTGTCAGCTGAGAGAACAGTACCAGAAGAAGTGGAGGAAAGTGAACTACCTCACCATTATATGGATCAATGTCACTTGTGAGCAAGAATATTCCCTCTTGCAGCGATCTGAACGAGGATATAGGTGTAGAAAACAGCACAGACTTATCGAGAATTGATGTAATCTGTGGATACAGAGCGGGCACTGCCAGTCTGATAAAAAAGCCTGTTGTGAGAATGATATATTCGGACTCGACCATGGTCATTAAATGAAGTGTTTAATTTTCCAAAGGGCCCGCAAAACTTAGCATTATTTACAAATATTTTTTTATATCGTCATTTTTGCCAACACATTTCTAGGGTGGGAGATTGTGAGACTAAATTCGGACCTGTAAATAGAATTGAATAGCAAAATGGCGAAGAATAAAAACAAAAAGAAGCAAAATGGCAAGGACACAGTGAATGATATGGACAAGAAGATAGACAGGTCGCAACAGACCGAAAATCAGCCTGAAGAATTACAAGATGGCCCTGTTCCTGAGGACAAGAAACGCGACGATGCGCAAAAGCCGAGTGAGCAGGCAGATGAAGAGCAGACGTCGCAAACAGACGACCCTGTCTCCAGCACAGATCAAACAGAAATTATAGAGGAACTCAAGCGACAATTGGAAGCCAAAGACAAAGAAATTTCACGACTGCAATCGAATAGCCTCAAGGAACAGCTTGAACAAAAAACAGAGGAATGCGAGAAATACCAATCTAACTACCAGGCACTGCTGAGCAGATTGTCTTCGATGAAGTCAGTGTTTCAGAAAATGAAGGAATCAGAGATTGAGCTGGAGAACACCCAAAACGAGCTTAAAACATGTAAGGAGACAATTGAAAGTCTGGAGAGTCAAGCTGAGGAGAAGCAGAGAATTATTGACTCGTTGAGTTTATCAGTGGCGTCTTTGAAAGATGAGGCCGCAAATTTGAACGCAGAATGCGATAAGTTGAGCAAAGACTACACAATGCTCAAGAAAAGTGCTGAGCTGAAAGACGATGAGCAAACGCTGGAAATTAAGCGACTGGAAACGTCCAACAAAAAATACGCCGTGGAGCTCCAGGAGCTTAGGTCCGAAATCGAGGAGTATCTGATAATCGTGAACGAAGAAAAGATTTCGAAGCAAAATCTTTTGCATGAGATGAACGAAACAAAAGCTAAAAATGAGAGTTTAAATACAGAGAATCGCGCCTTGCAAGAGGAACGCAAATTACTTCAAGACCAAATCACCGATTTGGAGTCCAGGATCGCCAACCTCACGCAGACATATGAGGGAGAAAAGCACGACTTACAACATCAAATAGAGGTCAATATCACGAAAGCATCCGCCACGGAGCAGCAGTTGCAAGAAGCGCAGTCGAAGCTGGGTGACGCTGAGCAAAAACTGACGCGAATCACCGATCTTGAAAACGAGGTGAAGCAGAAGCAGCTCACAATCGGCAAGCTAAGACACGAGACTATTGTATTGAACGAGCATCTAATGAAAGCGATGAAACTGGTCAAGAAGGAATCCACCACCGAAACGGTGGATCGAGAGCTGATCTCCAATCTTTTAATTTCGTTTCTCCAAATACCCAGGGCGGACGCCAAGAAGTTTGAGGTGCTGCAACTGATCTCCAACTTTTTGAATTGGGATGATGAAAAGAAAAGGCATGCGGGATTACTGTCGTCGCATTCGAAAACCAACTCGAACAGCGTTTTGAACGTTCCTAGCACTCCTCTTGCCGAGAATTCTGCACCGCGCTCTGGCCAGTCGTTTGTGTCGCTGTGGACAGAATTTCTCGAGAAGGAATCTACACCTTCTAAATAAGCGTGTACATTGTAATAATTCGTTGCATAATTAGATTAAGACCCTTATCGTCTACAGAACGCATTGTCGAGCAAACTCATCCCACATTCGCACCCTTAAAGAATAATTGATTGTGGATATGTGTGCAGGATCATGAAATATTCTAGTTTGTCAAAGCTCGGATCTGCCCCATATGACTTAACTTCCAGCATCAATGTGAGAAACGTATGTTGTTGACAGGCCCAATGAACTATACTAGATTCATAGGTTTGCGTTATAGTCCTCTAAAGAAAACCGATCCAAACTTTTATTACATCCAGTAAGACCGGGTTCAGACCTGCTACGAAGCCTGGAGAGCAGGGCAACACAAGCGCTAATCAATGATCGGCCAGGATTGAATCAATTTTCATCCGGCCAATGATGTAAGACATAGATCTTGAACCCAGCGTCGCGGAACTTGTTAGTGGTGGAAGATCTTGGAACTATATTATCTGGAATATTGCCGAAGAAATGGCCGCAGGGACTGTTGATGAATTAGTCTTGTTCCGTGAACCCACGATTCCCATGTGATTCACTGGTTGTATATCAAAACCCCAGTCACATTGTCTTCTTCTGCGCACCTAAAGAGAATCAATCATCTCGAGTTGGGCAGAGTACTGGCTCAATCGAAGTGCGATAGGCAAAATTGTCGAGCGCTCATTAGATCGCCATTGTGGAATAGTCAGACAGTGCCCTGACACATCAAGAAGATGTTCCTTACTAGATCATAAAGTCCTTTAAAACTAAACTCGGAGTTACCCCTGTAATAAGTCAGGAAACGTTTGATCTGGTGCACTAAAGCCGCGGAAGCAAGTATCTGTGATGCGCTTACGAACCAACGCACTTGCATCAAAAAGAGCGCCTATCTGATCATAGTCACAAATTACCCATTCTAAGGCAAAAGTGGACCGGGGTCCCACCGCGAGGAGATCCTAATCTTAATCTCTAACTGCGATTCGTAATTAGCAACCGGTATTAATTTTATTATTTATCGCTGTGCGGCTTATTAATCTGGAAGTTGCGGATGCCAAATTGCCTATATATATATATTTACCGGTTGCACCAACAAGGTTTTCAATTGTCATCTTATTAACTGTATGTCGTCGGAGAAAATTGAACTGTACTCGTCTAAATACTACATCGCCTGTGCCACTGGCGGGTTCCTGGCTTGTGCTCCCACACACTCGGGTGTCCTGCCCCTGGACCTCGTGAAATGCAGACTGCAAGTGAAGCCTGGTCTTTACAAGGGAAATCTGGACGGTATCAAGTCCATCATCAAAACCGAAGGTTTGAGAAAAGTGTTTACGGGTATTGGGCCAACTTTCATTGGTTACGGTCTGCAAGGAAGTGGTAAATACGGATTTTACGAGGTGTTCAAGAAGAAGTATAGCGATTTTTTTGGTGTGTCTAATGCCTATGTGTACATGCTTGCCTCCGCATCTGCCGAATTTCTTGCAGACATTGCTTTGTGCCCCTTTGAGTCCATGAAGGTGAAAATCCAGACCACTTTGCCTCCAAATCCAGTCGTCGGTTTATACTCAAACCTATACTCAGGATTGGTCCCACTGTGGTTCAGACAAATCCCTTACACCTGTGTAAAGTTCACTTCATTTGAGAAGATTGTCGAGTTGATTTATGCTAGCTTCCTCACCAAGCCCAAGGAACAGTACTCCAAAATTCAACAAACAGGTGTCTCTTTCGCAGGAGGATATGTCGCTGGTATTTTCTGCGCTCTGGTTTCCCACCCGGCAGATGTGATGGTTTCATTGATCAATAATGAGTCAGGAAAGGGCGAGCCAATGATGTCCGCAGTCGGTAGAATATACAAGCGGATCGGGTTCAGCGGACTATGGAATGGTCTGGGTGCAAGAATTGTGATGATAGGTACCTTGACTGGATTTCAATGGCTGATATATGATTCCTTCAAGGTCTCCATTGGCCTTCCTACCACGGGCCATTGAATGTGCCGTTATTATATCCATTCAGACCATTTTTTCCGTTGCAGATAGATAAACATCCCCAATCCTGAAAAAGCCATCAATGATAGTATAAATATGAATAAGTTATTCCCTTGTGTTTGTGGGTCTTGCTGGGATTGCTGTTGTGCATCTCGTAGTTCACGGAAGCCCCTGTAGTATTTGTTTGATTTCCTTTTCGTTGCTGACTCGAGCTCTATATTATTATCGCACTTCAGGTAGCCCTTGAAACAAGGCAAAAGCATCTCAAAAGCGTTCTCGGAATGCGAAACATCATAAAATGGTATCGTGGCGTCCACACCCGCGCAGTCAAAAAGCACCTCGGAACCACCTGGGTGTTGCTCAATCAGACTTGTCACGTCATACACTTTGCCATTTATGACCATCCACAAATCGTCTGGTGACACATGCGCAGCCACCTCTTCAGCTGTGAACACTCGTCGAGCGCCTGTGCTCATCACTTGTAAATTTATGTTTTATGCGATGTGTTGACCGGCAAATCGAAAAATGAAATCCAGGCTCCCTCTTTTCGTTTAATTTGTCCCCGTCCCAAGCCTCAGTCACTCTGCGGTTCGTAAGCCAGCTACTCTTACGAGAAGATTGCTTCTATAATGCTGGTAAAGATTTGCTTTCGGTTACCCGACGGAAAAATACAAGTAATCTTTTTTTATTTTTTGTGATAATTCTCCACTTTAGATTATGCTTCCCATCACCCGGAGACTGACGACGGCACCTCTAAGAACAATCCATGTGGGATTTAGATTCAAAACTACAGCAGCATATGATAGCGCAATCCAGGCCCTCAGACAGGACCTGAAAACCAGCATTCGTATGAAAGCAGACGTCTTTGAAAGAAACGTGATCAAAAGCATCTTGACTGAGGTCAAGAACCTTGAAGTTGCTAACGCCGGGAAAGATCAAGACGAATTTCAGCTATACGATCTGCTAGCCAAGATGATAAACCAGCGGAGAAAAACTGCTGAAGAGTACCTGAAGGAAGGTGCGCCTGATCGGTTTCAACAAATGGGGCTGAACGAGCTCAGAGAGATTCCATACATCGAGAAGTATATGAAGGAGCTTCCAGTAGCTTCAGAAAGTGAGGTTGAGGCTAAAGTGGAAGCGATTGCCAAAGAGTTGCAGAAGGGTGAAGGACTAAGTAGTCCAAAGGCATTGTTCGGGAAAATTCCTTGGAAGTCCATCCAGGAAGACTGGCACGCTTCTAGAGCAGCAGTTTCTGCCGTTATTCCTAAAGTTTACGAAAAATTGACGTAGTAAATTTCCCTAGGCGCATCTATCCAATATTAACTTTTACCTGCTTCTTGGACCAAATCCAAGAATTTCTCTTTCGACATCTCGTTCACGAGTTCCTTCTTCTTCGTCTGCCCAACTCCCTTGATGGATTCAACCTCCTTGCTGGTCTCCGTTTGGGTCGCCAGAATGGCATTGAACAGTTTGATCACACCTCTCTGAGCAACTTTTCGATAACGCTTTTCCCTCTCTAAAGTCTGCCTTGCTAGCGCATCATCAGTAGGAAGTAAGTTTTTCACTCTGTTGGATGTGAGCTTGGCTTTTTTTTCCGCGAGAAGTTGCCTTTTGGCTTTGAGCTCTAGTTTCTCACTCTCTAGCTTTTTTAGTTGTGATTTAGATCTGGCCAGGATTGGATCTTTACGATTGTGGGCCTTCAGCTTGGAGTCAAGAAGAGCATTAATGGCTTTCGAAAACGACTCAGAGCCATCGCTCTTGTTCTTCTTCTTGCCTGGAAGCGTTGGGATCTCTTCATCGTCTGAGTCGGCATTATCCGAATGAGACGAGTAGTTCGTTTGCAGTTCGTCATCACTATCCTCACCTATTTCTTGTTCGCTGCTTGAAGAATCGCGCTCACTGGCGGAATCACTGTCATTGTCGCTCTCTATGCTTTGTTCAGTGTGATCGCTCTCACTTTCTTCTTCAACTTCGCTGTCTCTTTCGACTTCGGCGTCAATTTTTTGCTCCTTTCTTTTCAGGGCCTCTCTTGAAAGAGCGCTTTTGGATGCTTTGGGTATACCCATGGCCACCTTCTGCCTTTTGAGATCCGCCTTTGTCGTCATCAGAATGTTCTTCTGAGAACTTGAAAAACTTCAAATAAATTTTTCTGTGAAGTGTAAGGATGTGCTGATATTCGATGGCTATCAGGCATGAAGCGTTTGTTGCTTTGTACAGTAACCGACTACATTTCCTGGCCTTGAAGTATGGCTTGCTTAGACAGTCGAGAATGAGGATGAGCAGCCATCAATTACAAAGTGAATTGGATTCCTGTTACCTGGCTGTAGATCCTGCAATTAATTGCTCACTTCAACAGTGAAATTCAAGCTTTGATAATTCAAATGGCTCTCACCCAAGCTTCAACTAAGAACTGCTTTCATTTGAACCTATTCGTGAATGGCTGTATCAATCAAGCCTATGAATTCAATTTCTTGAACAAGCTTATCGTTTATGCGCCACAACGGGGGCTGGTGATTACCGATTAGTAAAATTGGGCTATCTAAAAAGGTTGATGCCCGCTAAAAATGAGTCACTCTTAAAATCTTAAATAGGAAATTGTGTATTTTGGTGGCTATCGGGTTTCGACGAGTCGACCAGGTATATTGATGGCCACACAACCAGGCCTACCATCACATTGCACCTGGGAGATGGAATTGATCCCGAGCACGCTCCCTTTTGTTTTCAAAGCTTGATCGTTTTTTTAACTTCGAATCCACTGTTTTCCGGTCCGATAGCGGCAAGTTGATATTATTAATTGATTTTTCCACAACTTTTAATATTTAAAGGAGTCATTTCCCGTTGAAAATTTTTTCTCATATACTTTCTCTTTTAAAGACACACCTATACACAACCAGCTATAAAAAGATTACTTTGTTATTTGTCATTCCGTTAGTGTTAGTTTGAATTATCAGTGAATTATTCAATATGTGTGCCTAATTTTATATCCTTTCAAGGTTATAATTTCTAAATTGTTCAGTATGTTAGACAATTAAAGAAACGAGAGAGAAAGTACATTTCAGAGACTTAAGTTTCGTTCGAGTTTATCTCAACCCATCCCCCAATTAGATCAATATGTTAAAGTGAACCATAGATTTCCCACCGTCCATCATGGCGTGTCGTTGTTGACCAACTTATTTTTGAGAAAGATAAGATAAAATAGAATTACCATATATCATCATGTTGTTAGGAGAATCAGTTTTCAGTGCTTTTGCGGAGCCCCCATCGTCTAAACCAGTCGACCTCGAGGAATTACTCCTCGATACCAGGGGTTCTCATTTTGATGATCACGATGCTGATCAGGCTCTCCATTCCGGTACGGGCCTTACAATCTCTCCATTTGAAATCCACTCTTCTGTGATCGATTCCATTTTCGAGGATCCAGATGCTCAGGCAGTTCCGATGTTCGAGCCAAGGGAGGATTCGTCCTCCTGGGAACCACTTTTCAAGGAGGAAGATGATCTCATTCAAATTGCCCAGCCAACTCCTGCTATGAAAGAGGAGATTCTGCCAAAGACAGTTGTGACGTCACCTTTAACAGATACGGAAGAGTCCAGACGTTCAGTTTCTTGCACTAGCGAGGCTTCCACTTCGCCCAAAAAGGATCGCTTTGGCTGTACCCCTTACACTAGAAAGAAGAGGTCTCTTCCACTAGAGCCAGTTGTTCCTGAAGGCGCTGATGCTATCGCTATCAAGAGGGCTAAGAACACCGAAGCTGCTAGAAGATCTCGTGCTCGCAAAATGGAGAGAATGTCTCAGCTTGAGGATAAGTGCGAGTCGTTGATGCAAGAGAATGAGTCTTTGAGATCGGAAGTTGCTCGTCTCCAGAGTCTTCTACAACGATCTTCGTAAAGTTTCTTGAAAAGTTTGTTTTGAGATTTAGCAGAATATTAAAAGATTTCAAAATCAGTTAAAAGCTTTCGTAAGCTTTTGTAAGGTCACTTTTAACATGCTGTCCTTAAGCTCACTATAGACTATGGAGTACGAATGTCTTACAATCTCAGACACCGGAGAGAGAAGTGATGGGTGAAGGATGGAAGAAACTAAAAACGTACCAAATCGTCGAAAACCCTTCTACTTGAACGAACAACATACAAAGTCTATAAGGAAGTTGGGAGATTAGTGTAGTGGTCATCATTCCTGCCTTCCAAGCAGGCGACATGGGTTCGAATCCCGTATCTCTCAAATCTCAACTTTCATTTATTTTTTTTTGGCCAACATTGGATCTGTGACAATTGAAAACTCTATGAGTGCGGTGGCAGGTGGTGTTGGGAGATTAGTGTAGTGGTTATCATTCCTGCCTTCCAAGCAGGCGACATGGGTTCGAATCCCGTATCTCTCAGATCCCGACATTACTCCATTTTTGTCGGTCGTGTGATTATAGTACTAAAAGTTGTAAGGTAAAACAATCATTTCTGCACACAGAATCCTCCGTTGCGCCCTTTTTTATCAAAGTGCTCACCAATGTCATACTGGGTTGCAATCTAAAATTGTTTTAATTTTCACAATTATCTAGCTGAATCGAACAATTGGAGTGCCCTCGCGACACGATAGCAATCCATGGGACGGCCGCTCTGTTTAAGATACGAGCAAATGCTCGATAAGAGACATTCCCGATAAATCATCCTGATAATCTGAATGATGCCTAGATCTGAGGGCTGGTCATGAGTTTTAGTATATCTGGAAAGAAATTCAAGTTGGGACATTTGATGGCACTAATAGAAGCGAGTGCTATGGAGTGAGAAGGTGGTCTCGTTATCCACGGTATGTAGAACAATTCTATTGCTCACGCGATTCTTGAAACACTAAACCATTCTTCAATGACCTCTGAGATTGTTCAAGTTGTTGTGTTCTACTTCCTTGTGGCGGCAATGTTAGATGAAAACACTTAAACCCCGTCGTCTTTTTTGTTTGCGATTGACCCAGAGAGGGATACAGTGAGACCTTCTCTTAGTTCTTTGTCACGTAGAATAATGGTTACCCACAATCTTATTAGCCCCTGGACCTGAACTTGTTGCCAATCCAGAATCCTGTGACAGCCTCTACAAAAACGCAATCCCCCATGTTGCAATATCATTAAGGCTGTACTTGTCTGCACTCGCTTGAATTCTACTCATGACTGGTTCATTTGAAGTGGTCGAGTCTCTTCCACCAGAGTATGGGATATCAGACTGTTACAGCACTTTTGAAGCTAGCAAACAGGTATGAACCAAAGCAGTGTATCTCTTGATCAAGGCTTATGCTTGAGAATAAATTCGGCAGCTTTCTATGTCATAAGAAGTTCTGTTCGTGGAGTAGCTGCTCAACATTTAACATTGTCTTCAATAACTACCAGCATATTGGAAACGGTTTTGTTCAGCATATGCTCCTTCTCTGATCTCTATTCAAAAGTATCAGAAAAACATGGGACAGCTTTCGAGGCCAGTTACGAAGATAGACTACAATTATTGTATGTCCAAATGGGCGTTTGAGCTGGGAACTTTTACCCCGATTTATAAACAAAAAGGGCTAAGAAGTCTCTAGATTGTATAACGTCAGGCAAAAACAAATGCATACAGCAGGGTTCGAACCTGCGTCCCATCACTGAGAATAGAACTTGAGTCTACCGCCTTAGACCACTCGGCCATGTATGCAAGTTTGAGATTTAAATAGGGACTAGCTTCTATGTATGCTATCTATTGTAGGGATACATATTTATTTCGATAGAGGGCGTTATACTCTTATGTTTAGGCAACCCTTCTTTGTCACTGTGTCTTCACATTTTCGTTAGACCTTAATTTATTTCTGAAGAACGATAAGGATGTAATTCATATATTCGTATGTCCTGTTTATCGCTTGTCATCGGTTCTTCACTGTTCGCTCTATATCTTGATCGGATACCTTGCACTCTAGAAGGAGCCACTGAAAACAGTTAATTTATATGCAGAAATTCAATATCTTGCAGTACACCTCCTCTAAAAGTTCTGTCAGAAGTGAAGACAATAGTCCATGATATCTCATATCAAGGGGACCATGGTTTTCGTGGTAACCATCACTTTAGCATAATAGTATTCTTACATGTATTACGTGAATTTTATATATTCAATTGAGTATATCCTCAACGGAGAATCTATAGTTCTTTTGCTTGTACATTAAGTTACTGTCTGCTAAACGAAGTCTGTCTAGAATCATAAGGATTTGTTGTGTTGCAAATTGATAGACTATATATCTCACAATACTTCATTATTTGAGCACTATTATTTACTGATTAATACTTATTGTTCGACGTGCAAGTCGTATTGTTTGTCATAATTACACCGGAGTCGGCGATTGCATTGAAGCAGGCAAATCAGCACTCGTTTCATTAAACAAAATAGCCCTTTTTTGTCTAGCATATTCTCTTTTTTCTTCTTGAGATAAATTGGCCAGCCTTCTGGACGTGTCTGCGTCTGGTATCGACTCAAAAAAGCCTGGAGAAACTTCTCTTATACTATCATACTTATATTCAATGCCTCCAATATTAAATGAGGTACTAGCAGAACAATAAGCAATAGCGTAGGAGGTGAAAGAAGCAAAAACAATTCTTACAATTGAAACCATGATGTAACAAATTTTTATAATTTGTGGAGTTTGGTATACTTAATGTGGGTTTAAATAGCAGATTTGATATAGTATTGTAGTATGGAGATATTTTCCACAGCCATCGTTTATATCAGAATAACCGAACAATCCGAATACGACAGTGGATGACAGATACCGGTTATTATTGTTCTTGATACATATGCAATATGACAAAATTGTACCTTAAGATATTGTATGCAAAATTACTGACCAATCGGGTATATACAAACCAAATGTGGGCTACACATGGTTTGATTACAAAGGGTATCAATGATACTTCTTGCTAGGAACTTTTATCGCAACTCGACGAAAGATAATGAATAGCGTAAATTTATGTGTAAAGTAATGTGAGCTAATGATATAAGTTGTTCTTGTAACCATAAAAATGAGCGATCAAGCTTATTTAATTAGTCAGTCAAACCGTTCGGAGCTTTGCGAGTCTCCACAGGTCTCCACAGGTACAATAATAACAAACTGGGGTGGTTTCTGCATTTACCTCCAACTCGAAGGACGTACCGTTACATCCTGGTTCTGTATAGACCCAAGCTATAATGCTATAGCTCCCGGGGCTTATCAAGAATCCTTCAAATGGACCCCATCCTGTACATTCTGCCATCTAATTTCCATTTTCTAGCACTCCCAGGTTATAAGCACAATTTTCATCGGTATAGGTTGCCATGTATGGCGTAGCATATCTTTTTTTCAGCTTTAGAGGGACCGGAGATTGCATTGAAGAAGGCAAGTCAGCACTCGTTTCATTGAACAGAATAGCCCTTTTTTAGTCTAGCATATTCTCTCTGTTCTTCCTGAGATAATTTGACCAGCCTTCTGGATGTTTCTGCGTCTTCTGCTATCGACTCAAGTGTGTTTTATTTTATGTTCGTTTCCGGTCATGGTGGATTGTAGTAACCGCGATGTATTAAACCCTACCTCCCTCGTAGAGAAGAAATAATATTTGTATTGATCCTCCTTTTTCCCCAAGACCTCGCTCGATCCAATTCTCAGTGAAGACCAAAAAAACTCCCTTACATCTCTGAAACCATATCCCCCACTCGTTTCCATACTCTTTCGGTTGCGGCCATATCTAGCAGAAAGCACCGTTTCCCGTCCGATCAACTGTAGTTAAGCTGCTAAGAGCCTGACCGAGTAGTGTAGTGGGAGACCATACGCGAAACTCAGGTGCTGCAATCTTTTTTTTTTTTTTTCCTTCGCTCGACAGATTTCGTGCTTTTTTATTTTCGCCAACCAACGCGGTCTCAAGGTCGCGTTTTGCATCATCCCATTGTCCATCCAATCATCTATATATACACCCACCGTTTTCCACATCTCCCCATCACGTAGAGAAGAGAGATCGCCATTCCTAATCCCTCTGACCTCTTCTTGTAATCCTGCCTCCAGGAAGAGCAGCAACAGTGTGGTATGGTACAAAGTCTTCAACCTTCCACTACTACAGCTTTGCTGGCTCTTCCAGGCACCTTGTAGCGCTCTGTAGAACCTATTTTAACCTCTGCCACCATCTTTATGCTTAAATTTTTCTTTCCAGCGCCAGATGACAAACAGGACGTGTGCCACACATTTTGCATCACAGAATATCTGTCTATTCTGCCTACTTTTGTTAGCTTAGGTGCCCGTACCGTACTCACTTTTCATACAACAACCATCAATTACCATACATTTTTTCTCATTCACCTTCGATTTTACTATGGTACAGAAAATCTGTCATTTGTCAGAGCTCAAAACTCTTCTATTGGCCATTATCAACTGAAATCTCTTAACCACTACACTTCGAAAATTCAATTCAAAAGCTTTGCTACCAAAAAAAAAAAAAAAAAAAGAATAGAAAATAATAAGCCAACTAAAACTAACTTATTATCACTGAAGTATATAAAAAC